ACTAAGTCATACCGATACCGATTCAAACTAATCGACTCACCTAAATGCAGGACGTGCGGCGTAGATGATAGCATCTCGCACAGAGTATTTATATGTAGAAGACACATAATGGCAAGAATCACCTTGCGAAGAAAGATAACCAAGATCAACATTCGGTTCGAATTAGGTCCAATGCTCAGGAACGCACAAGCTCTTCAAGCCCTTTACGAGTTTTTCAAACCACAATTGACTACGTACCCAAGATACTCCGGTGGTTCGGCGTAACCGAGAAAATTCCCGGACACGCAAATCATCAAGACATTTTACGACACTAGTCAAGAAACGCTTCCTACCAATTCAACATACCATTCAAATCCTCATGCTTTAAGAAGTATTGATGGACGTAGTTTAACTTTGTATCGTCTTAACAATATATTTAGATTTCATCATCATCATCATTTTACTCCGTCAGAATGCCGATACAGCGCTAACTATACAGCATCATTTAGTAAGACGGAACAAGAATGCGCAGCAATGACAAGATGAACGCCGAGGCTCAATAAAGTTGAGGACTTGGGGGAGCATGCGGACAGTGAAGGCTTTATAAGAATACCATTTTGTACAGAAACGATAAGCATATAATCATAGCATGACATATATATATATAAATTAACTTATTTTTCACAACCTGTAATAAGCGTGATTAATATTTACAAACCAACAAACAGATAACCAAGTTCAATATACGATTCGAATTAGGTCCAATGCTCAGGAATGCACAAGCTCTTCAAGCCCTTTACGAGTTTTTCAAACCGCAAATGACTACGTACCCAAGATACTCCGGTGGTTCGGCGTAATCGGGAAAATTCGCAGACGCATAAATCATCAAGACATTTTACGACACTAGTCAAGAAACGCTTCCCACCAATTCGACACACCATTCAAATCCCCATGCTTTAAGAACTATTGATGGTCGTAGTTTAACTTTGTATCGTCTTAGCAATATATTTAGATTTCATCATCATCATCAATCTTAGTTATATCTGTAGGCTCGGTGAAATACGTCTGTGTCTCATCTCTGGTTGACTCTGTATATTCAGGCTCAGTACCTGGATTCTAACAAGTCACCTGCACTTGCCTCTTAAGTGATCGATTTTTAAGCAGAAACCGTATGGTCACTCATCACTAGACTTTTAGAGACAGACACACTGTCAGAACACATATTATCCCGGACATCAGTAAGTTCATGACTATGCCTTGTGTCCGCATCTAAACACATGTTTATTTCGGGCGCAACAATGATGGACATTGACTAGGGTCTTTTCTATTGCAACTTTAGAGTATTTATTTTGGTTTTAATAAATAGACAAATAGCGACAAATGCTAGAAGCAGTTTTTACCGGCAAATTCGATATATACTCTATCCTGTTCACCAATTTACTTCTTTCCGGTATGTCATCATATGATTTAGCTGACTTGTAACCTAGATAAGCACAGTATGGTATTATTGGCACGAATAAAATGTTTACACTTGCATAAATGACTGCTTCTACTAATGAACATAACATTTTTGTGAAAGTCATGTTGAGAGTTTCTCAGGAGTTAACAGCTCCAATACTCAACGATTTTTTTTTTAAAAAAAAAGGTTCAAGACAAAAATAGAGCAAATAAGGTGAAAGGCAAATTGTATATGACTGTATTATCCCAAGAAAGTGAATACGACCACTGGAAGGTCCAAACCAAAAGCCTTGCTCAAAAGCAAAACATTCTACGAGCGTGAAGTCATGTTCTAACCTGCAGGTGTCACAGCCAGATTGACCTATACTATAAATAATGAGTTACTCCGATCGTTGATCAAGCTTCTTTGTGGATAAGGGGTATCTTACGATATTTTCTCTAGGATGATTTAGAATTATCTGTCTGGATACATCCATCTTGTTCAGTAGCCCCTGCAAGTCCCACTAAAGAGACTAAAGTATATATAAGAGGCAAAAAGCCGCTGGCACGCAAGATAAACATACTTAAAAAAGCGGGCGGTAATGTGTAAATATAAATACAGATTCAACGACTTTAAAACAGCAAGTATGAGGCAAGTTGTGTTACGTGATGTTATAGTGCAACGTGTGTCAGTTTATAATGGTTAATGATTCACCTACTTCACCTCAAAAGTTGCTACGAAGATCTTCTTTTCATAGTTAGAAGCTTTATCAATTTGATTTATCTTGAGTGAAATTAATCTTTATTTCTAAGTGAATCCTTGTGTAGAAAAAAGCCTAAGCCTTACTATCAATGATGTAGGATGTTCCATTTTGATCCTGATTTGTAGTTTAGATCTAGGTTTTACTTCATGAGTAAATTTAATGCGATGTGCGTTATAAGGAAAATTGGCCTGTTGAAGTCTCTCTATCAACCCAGTTCATGGTAACTCCTTTTATTCCAGATTGAACTTCATTGTGATTAGCATTTTTTCATAGCATTTAGCCAGCTGTTTGGAAGTACACAAGTCAACATAGTTGTCTCACAATGAGGAATTGGTCACTTTCCCATTACTTGGACATAACGCACCGTTTCGAAATAATTGACCTTTGTAGATGTAGCAACTTGTATAGGAGCTTTGTTTATAGAAGAAACATATTGGCTACATAATGACTAGAATAACACTAAGGAGGAAAATAAGTAAGATCGAAATTCAATTCGAATTAAGTCCAATACTTAGGAATGCTCAAGCTTATAAACCCTCTACAAATTTCCAAGCCAAAATTCACTGTATACTCAAGATAGTTTGGTGTTTCAGTGTAACCGAAAACAAACGAGAGAGAACGAATTATCAAAGCATATTATGCCATTATTTGTCAAGAAATGCATTTAGCTAATTCGGCAGATCATTTAAGTTCTTGTATCAGAAGAGTTATTGTCGGAAGCGGTTGATTTTTGTACAATTTGAACGCTATATCTCGATTTCATCATCACTATTGCAACCAAGAAGTTTTAAACCCGAAAATTGGTTCAATAGAAGAGGAAACCAATTACACATTTTTAGTCATTTCACCGGTACCCATTATTTGCCAAGGGTAGTCTCATAATAGGTGAAAATACGGCTGCTGCACCAGTAAAGGAAGCCATTGAAGGGTGCAAAACCAGGACGATTGGTGTCTGCTAAGGACGGTATAAATGTGAGGTACCAATTGTAAAAGCTAGAGCATTCTAAACAGCAGATGACAACCTCATCCTAAAGAATTCACCTCAGACTTGATGGCCAACCAAATTGCATGGATCTATCCCAGAATTACTGTCCTCATCTTACACGCCGTTCGATTCAGAGACAAAAGACTAGTCTTTCTTAATCAACTCGACTATGGTCAACTCGTAATCACAGGATTATTCAAGGTAGACAGTGTACAGTTCCGTCGTGTCAACCAAGCTTACATCATTTTTACCTCAAATATAATCAATGTTGGTGCCGTAGACCAACAAAGGTAAACGACTTTTCCAAAGAAGAGGCATGCTCCAGTGTCAAGGTCTAGAAGAAAGACTACCCAGCTGTGAAAGCCCAGAGGAAATTGATGTTATCAAGGCTATACTTGCTGAGATCGAGGAGGTTGCCATCGTTACGAAAACCTGGAAGCGTCGTTTTGTCTTTCATGTGTGGACTTCCATACGAAGCTAGTGGTGTTACATGCATTTGAATAATTTTTTTAATGCTTTCAGCTTAAATTCTTAGCGAGTATTGACGCATATAGATCTATTTAGATAAAAAAAAATTATTTCTGTAAGCCTGTTTTACTTTTCAAAAGGACTGTCGTTCACTATAACTTTAAAGAAACAGGAAAGATCTTTTTGCATACATAGATCTTTTCCAACTACAACTTATCATAGTCTAGCTTCGAAATAATGACTATGTTATTTTCAATGGCAATCCTGCTAATAAGTTTGCATTTAGCGCGAAGATACAATTTCTCTTATCTATTCTTTACCGAAGAGAATTCGGGCAGTTTGATCGTGCAAGATGTTAAATACTCTGAAGTATCGTCAGATGGTAGAGTAGATGCAGGTCCTACTTGTGACGATTTTGCGAACGCCAAAACACCCACAATTTGGGGTTACGTTTCTAAGTACTCCACTGCAATTAGAGCCATTGCTGCGACTTGGATAATAGTAAATAACATCAAGGACTTGATGTCAACTCCTATTGGTGCCAGAGAAGAATGCAATACTAGAAAAATCAAAAACCAAGAACAGGCCTATTGGTATATATTAAATGGAAATTGTACAGCTATGGCTGCCCGGAATACCCTGAATAGCAAAATAAATGATACACTGTTTGCATTCAGTAATAGACGTCCAGCGATAGGATGTATTAAAATGATTTCCGGTGATTATTGGGGGTACGTTACTATACCTCCTGATGATACAAACGAGGAATTTGACAAAGCCATCAAACACTGTGAAAATAACGGATACGTTATCAGAGCAACAAGGCGAGACTATGATGAGTTATAGAAAGGTAGAGAAACTTTAATAGTACTAAACTGGTTAAAATCATAAGGAGTGATCAAAATTATTATTTTAGCCCAGACAATCAATTCCTTCCGCTTCCTTCAACTTTATGTATTTTTATTTTGATTGCCTTGATTTAAATTCATGGATGGGATGTCTTCTCTTTAATAAGTACATATGACGAAAACAGATAAAGGCCAATAGCGATATATCTTTATCTTCTCGCTACCTATAGTGGAGATTAATATATATCTAAAAGAAATAAAAATCACCGCACAAACATTGCATAGGTTCGATTTTTAAATCTGTATTGTAACTCAACAATTTACATATAGTCAACACTCTACTTATAAATTCTGGACCATATTACAGTTAGTCGTATTATTAGTTGAGACTGGAAGAAACAACGTTCTCGAAGTTATGAACTTTAGACCCTGTTGGATTTTGTCAATTAGCATCCATAACGAAGACACTTACCTATTTTAATAGTACTAACGGTATCTAGCATATCAAGGATAATTATTATAAGTCCTTGTACCTTTGAAATCATTATGACAATATTTATTAATTGATTTTTGTTTCAGTAAATGTGAAAATTTTGGAAGACACTAGAGGGGACAATAAATAATCTGTTGATTTCATCAGCGATCGACAATCACTAGCCAATAGACACTATTGTATCATACACCAAAGCTTGATATCTAGGTGAAATAAGAGAAAAAAATCTACTTATCTCGACACGCTACATTTGACCACAATGTTTAGTTTAGGAAATTATGAGGACATGAATATGCATTAAATAAGAATATGATAGTGTGGATCATTTAAGCTTTCCACTTATCCAGACCATTCAACTGTTCTCAAATCGATACCTTCTTGTACCATCTCCCATAATGGTGACATATCTCTAAGCTTGTTGACAACGCCCACAATCTTGTTAACGACCAAGTCAATTTCAGCTTCAGTTGTAAATCTAGAGATACCGAATCTCAAGGATGAGTGAGCCATCGTATCATCTGCACCCAACGCTCTTAAAACGTAGGAAGGTTCTAATGAAGCTGATGTACATGCAGATCCAGAAGATAATGCGACATCATTCAAAGCCATTAAGAGTGACTCTCCTTCAACGAAGGCAAATGAGAGGTTAGTACATCCTGGATATGTTGCTGTTTCACTACCATTGAGGTTCACATGGTCTAATTTTCCGATGATACCATCCAAAAGTCTTTGTCTGAGTACACTTATTCTATCGTGGTCATTCTGAATAATCGTTAGTAAATGAAAGTAAAACGAGAAATGATATATTCAGATGCTCGTTACCCCTGCACAAAAAGTCATCGATGAGCGACTTAGCTATGTAGCTAGACCTCTCTCATTTAAAATGATAGCGCATTATTTTTAATCATCGCATCTGAACAATCTCCATTCTGATAACAAACTTACCTGCATTTCTAATTTACCAATACGACAAGCCTCACCAAAACCGATTGCTAATGGAGCTGGTACAGTACCAGATCTCAAACCTCTTTCTTGACCACCACCACTGAAGAGAGGATCAATTCTGACTCTTGGGCGACGTCTGACGTATAAAGCACCGACACCCTTTGGACCATAGATTTTGTGACCGGATAATGACATTAAATCGATGTTCATATCTTGTACGCTCATTGGGATTTTACCGAGTGCTTGAGCAGCATCTGTGTGGAAATGTATGCCTTTATATTTACGGAGTAGTTGTCCAATTTCCTTGAGTGGTTGTATGACACCAATTTCGTTATTAACTGCCATGATAGATACGATTGAAGTATCAGGTCTGATAGCCTTTTCAAGCTCTTCTAGGGAAACTAACCCATTAGTTTGAACAGGTAAGTACGTGACGTCAAAACCTTCTTCTTGCATTTGACGGCATGAATCTAAGACACACTTGTGCTCAGTCTGCGTGGTTATAATGTGTTTCTTTCTGTTCTTGTTGAATCTAGCGACACCCTTAATTGACATGTTATTCGCTTCTGTAGCACCCGACGTGAAAATGATATCTTTTGCATCTGCACCTATCAGACCAGCAATATGCTAATAAAAGGTTAGAAAGTTCCAATTGAATATGACATACTAACCGCTCTAGCCTCTTCAACACCATCTTGAGATTCCCATCCATAGACGTGCGTTCTTGAGTGAGGGTTACCATATTGATTTGTGAACCAAGGCAACATTTTATCTAATACTCGCGGATCAAGAGGCGTCGTAGCTTGAGCATCCAAGTAAATAGGTCTCCTTGGATCAGTTGATTTGCGTTCTGCAGTAATGTTGAACCCGAAAGAATCTAATTGGTGGGTTAATAGAGTATCAAATATGTAAATCAGTCCGTACCAAGTGGCGCTATTATAGCTTTATTATCTAAATCTTTGGGTGCGCTCAATGGTCCTGAACCAGCGTCAACTGTCGTCGCCATCCCCTGAGGTGCAGAAGGTGTGGCGAGTTTCCTTGTGTGCTGTATAGCTCTAACAGAATTCTTACTTGCTAGACTCTTAGTTGATAGTCTTTGTATTAGTTGTTTCGACAGCATTTTTATTATCAACTTGGTGGTCGTTGAATAGTAGAAGTTTACTAAATTACCGTCATGAGACGAATGGAATAAAAAAATATGGATACTAGCAATACAATACAAATGACCACCCATAGTAATCACACCTGTGTAGTTATATTATGTTGGTCATGTTGATGTCAAATCTGAGGTGTTTAGTAATACTAAAGTCGATAGCCGACCTACATATTATAGTCGTCAGCAAATGGATCTGGGTATGAGTCGCAAATCGTTTGCTCATTTATATCCATAAAATTATGCCATCCTCTAAATTGTTCTGACGAAGAGCTGGATTTAACCTGAGGATCATGAGGTTCTGCTAATGTCGGCTCAGACTTTATTGAGAACATCTCACTCAAGCTGAATGTATGGTTGCTTATCAAAGTCGAAGAATTTTCGGTAGTTGACTTCTTATTAACGATTGTGGAAGCCTTGTAAGTCTAAAGGGTCTGTTAGAAGAACTAGGTATCAACTTTTATTACTACTTCATGTGGAATTTGAATGTTAGTAACTTCGTTCAACACCTTCTGATCCTTTTGAGGGATAATAGCGCGATAATCATCATCTTGGTAAACTGTAAACTCAGGGTCTGGGCATGGAAGTGACTTGCGCTTTTTCCTTCCTTTTGCTTTTCTCTTTGTGGCCTTCTTGCGCTTTTTAGGTGTTGCTTTTCCGCATGTTTGATAGGCATTCAGACCACCTACAAAGTGATATAAGAGTTGTCGCATTTTTATTAAGGTAGACTTGCATACATTGCAAAGGTATACCTTGTTACCGTTTAGAGTTGATCAAACCACAGATAGATGCTTACATTAGTAATTGGGTGTCTACGCCAGAGAGATGACTGTAATAAAGTACTATAATTGCATAATCGTATAAATATTATAACACTTACCGTTATAGCCGAGCAATTATTACAGCTCACTCCAGGTATTTCGCCTTTCATTATGTCTAACGTCGCCAGATCCGCACTCTTGATGGTAAAAGATAGAAATATTGAAGCGCAGAAAACTGAATTTTCAGAATTAATCTCAATTAAAGAGTATATTTGTAATAGTAGGGCAATAGAACATTCAAACATACGTCATCTCTTGTTATCATCAATAGGCGCGCCTTACACAATTTGACAAGCAACTTCTCAAAAAACATAGCCGCCATCGTGTATGATTGTATGTTTATATTCACGTTTATTCATCTATTCTTTACTTTGATTGAAAAATGACTAACGTCATGGTTGATATGACTTACCCATACAATAACAGGTAAACCTACAATTTATCACTACTATATTACTAGCTAGTTGTATACCTACCAGCTCCTATATTTGCTGTCTGTAAAGAAAGTTGCGTTTGTCATTTTTACATTTTTTTTTTAAAAAAAAAGTGTCCTAAGGGTAAAAATAACTGTCAGAGTATGCTAATATTAGCATTTAACTCTTCTTCAAGAGACTAATGACATGCACTATTCTGTAAGTCTAGTTACTCATAACATGACCTTCAACCATGAACAAAAAGTATGATGTATCCTCAACAACAACGACATGTACCAATTAAAACTTATTTATAGACATTTTAAACGTTTCAGCAGTCTGCTGGCTGGTATTTTTTGCTTATTATGGGTTTCATCAAAAGACACATCTTTGCGAATCAATGCAATTAAAAATTAGAACTACTATCAATCCAACTACATCTATGAAAGCTATTGTCATACTGCTTCCTTCCTATTTTGTTGGGTATATTATAAAAAAAATAATGATAGACCGAAATATTTTTTTAAACTATATAAGAGCTAACTGCGTCTATCAATTCCTTCTAATTCGAGAATATAAATGAAGCTCTTAATTAGCCGGAAGAGCTTATTGTTGGTCTGTAAAAATCAAACGCGCTTTATTATTGGTTGAAAGAGTATTAAGTATAATATGATCTGAAGTAGATGGCGTTTTGGTATAAGATATGGTTTCTTATATAGTTTTCATTGTTGTTGTCCGAGTATCTGTGCATAATTCCCTGTCCCTTTCTGTCACTTATTACTAAATGATGCTGTATTCCCAGCTCTGTATCGGTATTCTGACACTTACTGTCTAGTCTCTTAAATTTCTAGAAAATTTGCGCCATGATGATGATGATGATGATGAAATCTAAATATATTGCTAAGACGATACAAAGTTAAACTACGACCATCAATAGTTCTTAAAGCATGGGGATTTGAATGGCGTGTCGAATTGGTGGGAAGCGTTTCTTGACTAGTGTCGTAAAATGTCTTGATGATTTATGCGTCTGCGAATTTTCCCGATTACGCCGAACCACCGGAGTATCTTGGGTACGTAGTCATTTGCGGTTTGAAAAACTCGTGAAGGGCTTGGAGAGCTTGTGCATCCCTGAGCATTGGACCTAATTCGAATCGAATGTTGATATTGGTTATCTTCCTTCGCAAGGTGATTCTTGCCATTATGTGTCTTCTGCATATAAATATTCTCAGCGAGATGCTATCGTCTGCGCCACATGTCCTCACATGTCCTGCATTTTGATGAATCGATTACTTTGAATCGGTAGCGATATGACTTAGTCGTAGGGAAGTGACCTATACGTAGCCGGGTTGCTAGTCATCGTGTCGCCCTGGCTAATTCATTGAGGTCTTGGCATTTTTGCAGCTGTCAGCTTTCCGGCTGATGCTTTTGAGGTATTGGATTTGATGACTGACAATTTCGAAGCTTCGATTTTCAGTGGAGCTGTATAGCGTTCCGGCATTCTACGTCACATTGCTGAATATGAAGTCCTGCGTGAAAATTTGCGCCACTGAGTGAGCTAAAAAGCATTTCAATCATAACGATGGCTATTAAACATAAGATATTCGGAATCATCAGATTCCTTGTTAGTATATCGGCTAGTACGCCCGCTTGTCAGTTGTATAACTATTCGCGGGAGAGCTGGGTTCAACTCCCAGACAGGGAGTTTCCTTTTGACATTTTTGTCACTAAAAATACTTATTGAATTTTTTTTACCTGGAAGTTCTGCAATACGAGAGTGTAACACAAAAGAGCATTTCGCAGTAATTCACGTGTCTTTATCATGCTTTTATTTTCTATGCTCTCTCCGCTAGGGCGCATTCAAAGAAAATATAAAGGAAGAGTACATTCAACAAGCGCAGTGAGTATATACATAACCTATATCATTTTCATTCATTAATTAACCCTGTTGCTTAAATGTTTTTGGCAGCTTCATACCCTTCGTGGACACCCGTTGTTATCACTAATTCCACATGAGGCGTGCAAAATTCACGTGAAAGGCGCGCGCTATAAATTCGCGCCCTCAACATGTTGTAAACTCATACTTACCTTGGCAAGGCTTCTGGTCTCATGTATACTGGGAGTCGTGCTGACCGTCTGGGCTTTGCACGGCGACAGTGGCCTACTCAGAAGGGATGCATTGTATAGACTTCGGTTTATATATTGCCTGAATATTTTGCACGCCTTCTATTCTACTCTGTAGGATTGATGGCACTGATTTGGATAGATTTTCTATTCTTATTCGTGCTGTCGTTCTGCTGGATACATTTAAATTAGCCTTTCTAATTCAATGCACGCATGTATAATAAAGAATAAATATATATCATTCAATCCGATAAAGGTGTAAGTGCAGTCCAACTGCGTACTTTTGAGAAGTAGAATGGCCGTTGATGCTTTCGGTGGGTTAGTTCTGCGGTCTTAGACATTTGCATGAAACTTGGAACTCACTTTCAAAGGTATGCTCACCTCTTCTTCCTCATTGTTAAGAGATGTATACTCCATTAAATCAACCTTGTTGTGCTTACCATGCACACTCGACTTGAGTTTGGCTTTCATTCTAAATCGGTAAGGGACCCTCACACGATCAGGATCTTTAAGATCTGAAATGAGAATCAAATCACCCCGCAATTTCCAATAACCGTGTAACAACCCCTTGCTTCTCATGTCTTTAGTGATAGTCGGTACACTTTGGTTTGGTACGTCTGTACTCAACCAACTAATAACCAAACCATCATTGAAAAATCTCAAATACCGGTAAAACGTAACTAATTGCGTGAAGGTATTCCAAGCGGATTCTGATTCACCGTGTCGCAGGTAATGACATACGGAGATATATACACCATCTAGCCTAATTCTAGGTATATCAAGCCAAAGCTTACGCCAAGCGCCGTTAAACTTGTAGGTTGCAATATCATCGACGTCTATAGATTGTTTTATTTGATATGGAGGGACTAAATGAGTCTTGACGAGGTCTTTCCATATAATATTATCATTCGAGAGAACTAATAACTTTCTGCTACTGCATGCGAACCTCATGAGTGTTTGTAAATCAGACTTATGTACTAGATGTCTATAGATGTTCAAAATGATCTCATCTGGGAGTGTCGATATTGGGCATTCTTCGTCCTCTTGGTCAGCTTCCAATCTGAGATTTTCATTTAACGATTGAATGAGTTTATCTATTGCGTCTAATCTATAGGTTGATTGTTTTGGTGCATCTGGTCCAGTCTGATAGGTGCATTAGTTTTATCAAACCATTTATACCAACCTACTTGAATAGTTTTTGAGAAATTATAAGTATGTTTGCCATCCTCGTTTATTTGTATGTCATTCTTCACTGTTTCTACCGTAGTTACACTATCGATAGCAATTTCCTCAGCTTCTCGTGCTTGTTTCTGCTTTATATAGTTTCCATATTGTTTATCCACCTGATCATCCAATTTGAATGCTTTTCTGTATAGTATCAATGAATCGTTAAGTTGTCCCACTTGTTCAGCTTCTACAGCTTGCTTATAGCATTCAACTGCCACATCCGTGTCATGATATATACGTTCTTCTTTACGCTCACTGTGGTCTTTATTCAATTCACTCTGCCATTCCCTTCTAAAAGTCTCCAAATCGTTGACATTAGTCATATATAGTTGGTTGTATGCGATAAAAGAAGTAATAATATTCATATCGAAACAAAAATATCTTAAATGTATTGTTGGAAGCGTCCGTTTTCTACTTTGCCAACTTCTACCAATTTCTTAGCAGCATTGGTGATAGCGGCGCGTTTAGCTTCATTATCTTTAGTGGCGTCGAGTGTCTTCTTAAGTTCACTGGTTTCTTCAGGCTCAAGGCCATTAGCAATCAAGTCCAACTCGTTGAGTTGGTTCTCAATGACGTTGGCAGAAGCAGTTGATCCAGGAGCTTGGAAGTAGTTTGCGTCGGTGACAATCTGTTTAATAGCCTTCTTAGCCTTACTGAGGTTCTTTCTAGCGGCTTCCTTTGCCTTCTTGTCCGTTGCTTTTGATGCCTTGTTCTCAGCATCCTTCTTTGCTTGCTCCTCCTTAGCAGCAGCTTCTTGAGCAGCCTTTAGGGCGGCCTCTTCTTGGGCCTTCTTTGGATCAGAAACAATACCTTTAGCCTTGTTCTTCTTGGCTTCACGTGCTGCCTTGTCCTCTTGTCTGAACTTCTTCATACGAGGGTCAGCAGCCAATGCGTTGTCAACCAAGGTTCTGACTCTAGCATTGTCTTCCTTCTTTCTTTGTGCTCTGTCAGACTTGTTCTTCTTCTCAGTGTAACGCTTGTCATCACGGTTTTCTGATCCCTCGTTGACTTCCTTGTCATACCATTCAAATGAACGCCATGAATTGAAGTTATACCAGGCGTTGTAGAACTCTTCAACTTGGTCTCTTGGGGCATCTGCTCCGCCGAGTCTTGGTACTTGATCTGGGTGTACACCATCTGAAAATCTTGCTTCACGATCGAAAACTGGACCATAAACTGCAAAGAAATCACCCTTGAACTTAACATCTGGAATCTTATCATCGATAGATTCATCAATTGAGTCAAATTGACGACGTCTTTCTGGGTTGTCGAGGATTTCTAAAGCTTTAGCGACACACTTGAAGAATGAATCATCGTTGGCATCACCACCTCTACCAGCTTTCTTATCTGGGTGGTGTCTGAGGATTTTCTTCTTGTGTGCAAGACGAATTTGGTCTGGTGTAGCCTTGTAACGGAGGTTTGAAAGACCGAGAATGGCGTACATATCGAGTGCCTATATTTGTTAATGATAGTATTATTACTATAAGAGAGCACTCACCTTGTAGTTCTTTGGATCTGAAGCAAGTAATTCTTTAGATTCTGGTTCTTCACCAACGCCGTCATCCTCTGGCTGGTTTCTACGTTCTTCCTCAGCACGCTTTTCATTTTCAGCTCTAATGAGTGCATCATCCTCATCGAATGATCTTCCATTGGCTTGACGACTAGCGTGTGCAGCGTAGGCACCACCGACTGGGACGAGCTTGCGGGTTACTGGCTTTGACAAACTCTTAGCACCTTCTGAAGAAGTGCTGGCAACTGGTAAACTGATTTCAAGCTGTGTAATTGGTTGTGTCACTGCTGACATTCTTCACTGTAGATTTTCAAGAGAGAAGATTATGCAAAAATGGGGTAATATACAAAAATTATCTATAATTTATGATCTATTGGGTTGTGCATTGTGTAGAAGGTCCATCATCATCAAAGTCATTTGGTGGTGGTGCGTGTGTCCTGCCGAACTGCAAAGTGTTATTTAGGGTACTAATAAGTATATAAACTCACATTCGACATCGAGCTCGTCTCGTATTTCACGTTCTCAGTCTTCTCTCCCTCTTGGATCGCGTTCTTTGGATCTGGGTTTGGCAACAACTTCGCAAGAGCCTATAATTCGTTAGAAAGAAGCCTACTCAGAGGGCAAATACTCACATTACGGTCTTGTAACTTCATCCAATATCCACTTGGCATTTCGACTTCACATTGGACATATAAATCACCAAATCCCCTCGATAAAGGCATTCCTTGATCGCGCAAACAAAGAGTTTCATTTGGCTGTATGACTCTTCCTTGAGGTACAGACACTTTCACAGTGCGTCCGTCGAGGTGATGGCAAATTATTTTCTCAAAACCACTCAAAGCTTCCAATAATGTTAGTTTGATGTTAATTGCAAGGTCATAACCGGACACTCGGAAAGTGTCATGTTTCTTTGTACGTAATCTGAATACTAATGAGGCAGGCTTAGCTCCAGGCTGGTATTTCATCAGAATAGTCACTAAAATCAATCTCAGACTTACAACTTCGTCACCTTCACCTTGTAGACGAATTCTTTGACCGTCAACCATACCCTTTTTGATATCAAATGAGATTTTCTTTTTAGCTTTTGTCGTTTTATGGCCTTCACACTTTCTACACCTAAAAATTCTAATGAGATACTTGAAAGTGTTGTTCTGAGCACATACTTGGATTTATCTTTAATCTTTACACCTTCACCTTCACATGCTGGACATGGAGTTGGCATCTGAGCTATCAAACCAGGACCAAGTTGGCGACTAGAGAGTACGTGACCTTTACCTGAGCATCTACCACATGTCTGCGGTTTAGCGCCTTTTTTACCACCAGAACCTGAACATAGTTTGCAAATTACATCCTTCTCTATAGCAAAATGTACTGATTTGCCGTTATAAAGATCTTCCAAGGTGACATCGAAATCAACGACTTGATCTTTAGCTTTTGGAGCCGGTGGAGGTCTATTCAAATCGAAGAAGAAACTGTTCATAAAGTCATCCATAGGTGGACCTGCATGTGAGTTGTCTGCTGTACCGAAGTTGTCGTAACTCTCCCTAGAAGTCTCATCTGAGAGAACTTCATAGGCATTTGAAATCTTTTGAAACTTGTCACTAGCGGCTGGATCATTTGGGTTCTATTCCTTCATTAGATTGTTGTTTAACGAAGAGAGAAGACAAACTTTATCCTAAGGAGCGAGTAAGAGGGATGAAGTGAGTAATTATAACGATTACTAACAGGGTGACAACTAATAGCCTTTAAGTGTTAGCCTTAGATTTGATAATAATGTAATAATTTGACTAACTTGTTTACGATAAGCCTTACGTATATCAGCTGACAAGTATTAGAAACTAGTATATAAACAATAGTATAAGACCAACATTGACTAGCATTTGGGGAAATACCCAACAAATCGTACAACTCAGTTTCTGCAACCATATCGACAAAGTAGAAGACAAGAATATAGAATGGATATAAAGAATACAAAAATATAAAATCAATTATATTATCTGACTATTTGTTAGTATTTATATAGTATATATAAGGGTCGACGATAAAAGCTGTATCAGCCATAAAGAAGGTAAGGTAGCTGAGAGTTTACTGCATGGTAAATTCGCTAACTGAACGCTAACGTAAACACCAATAAAGCCAAATGCGCTCAAATCATCATTTTTATTTCGCTTTTATCGCTTTCCCTTTAACTATTCACTCACTAAATTTGCGTTCTGAATAGAGAAGAAGTTTAAGAAGTGAAGAGTATTTATAGAGGGCAGAAAATTTTAAAAAATGGATCTTAGCCAGAAATTATCAAACATCAGGCAGCAAATAGACAGCGTGGAGGTCGATATAAAGAATAACGTGAACGATAATCAAGCAGAGTTGCTAGAATATTCTAAACTATTTAGTAAACTTAAAGATTACAACTTTGTTGATTTATCCAGCCAATTATCAACAAAACTGAACCTGTGAGCTGTAACGCTTTCTTATGACATCACTAACGAGCTTGTTTTAGTGTAAAATCTAAAGTAGACGGCGACTACAATGAATTATCCAGTAAATTCGATGAACTGAATAATATAAACGCGGCTTTAACTGTTTTACATTCAATAGAAAAATTTCACAACCTATTCAATAGCCTCGAAGAGGAAATGAACAGGAAAGACTACAACAAAGCTGCGCAAACAGCACAACAGCTCGACCAAGTCATTCCGATCGTCAACGAAATCGACTCAGTGAAAGAAGTTATACCAAAAGTTAACAAATATAAATCAATAATTAATAAAAATAACAATAAATTTATAAATAACATTATAAATTTACCAATTAATTAAACTATCTTTAGTAATTGGCTCAACCTCATTCTCATACTCAACTTCAACATGAGGTTGTCGCCGTTTAATTGGTTTCTTTGTATTATTAGATGGTTTAAGCTTACGCTTCTTTTTGTTATCTTCGCCTTGATTGTCATTGTCATCATCGTCGCTCGATTCGCTCTCCTCAGATGATTCTTCACCTTCAGATGAGCTAGCTTGGTCGATAAAGCCACTTTCTTCCATATCCTCAAGGTCAGATTCAATATCGGATGCTTCAATAAACTCTCTCTCATCTTCGCTATCAATCTCATCATCTTCACTCTCATCGTCGAGGAGTTCCTCTTCATTTTCAACCTGTTTGTCTGATTCAAGGACTTTCCTCCATACGTCCTCATTAACGTTGAGTGGTGCATCACCGTACGCCTTGGATTTCAATCTATTTATCAATTCTGCTTCAATTGACTTTTCTAATTTTGCAGCAGATAAAGCCTTCTCCTCTCTAGTGGCTTCTCTTCTATCCTGCTTTTTCTTTATACCAACTAACTTTGGCCTGAATGGTATGTTAACTAGGAAATAAAGGCTGACTACCGAACTCACTCTTGTCTACTCTTCAGTTTCCTCAATTTAATCAAATATTGGGTAATCTTTGTAATACGCTGCTTGCATTTATGTATAGTAAAGTTAGGCCAGTATATCAGATTGCTATCAATCTGTTCTAAGGCTTTTGTATAATTTGATGAGAGTTTTATCTTCTCCCACATATGTTTAGGTGTGTGTGCTCTTTCTGCAGTTTTTATATAGAGGTATATTACACCTGGAGGTCCTACATCAGTATCGATTATTAGAATCTGTAGTATACCCACCTTCATGCTCTCGCACAGTCGCGTATCTAGAGTTTGCGAGTGGGCATGACTGTCTATTGCAGAAACCAGTGACGTTGTATTCATTCCTACAAAAATTCTGCGTTGTCGTCCTATCAAATTAGCCACCTTCTCAATAGATGATCAAAGTACTCACTTGACTTTGTAGGAGCAGAATTGATGGTTTATAACCTGCCATACGACATCATCCCTTTATTTTATATAAGTTTTGTCTATTTAATGCTATTATAACTCACATCCTGACAGTGCGATAACAAGAAAGAAGAAGTTTAAATTTTAATAAAATACATAACCTAGAAAGAATAATATAGCAAAAAATTACAAATTGTTATTTTGTAGGTTAAGATACGCAGGGCTCTTTCTCGAACTTTGCAAATCCTTCTCCTTCTCATCGTCTTCTGCTTTCAATCCTAAACCAATATTCAAATGCTCAAGTTGCTCAAACAGTCCTCCTATAGCAGTACCAGGTCGTTTACGTCCATCTGATGCTAACTTTGGTCGTTGAAGGTGTGGCACCGGTGATGGTGTTTTTGATGGTATAGGTGGTGTACTTGATGGATTATTAAGTGACGCCCAGGCAGCTCTGTATAAGTTGCCACCATTAACTAAAGATGTTTGTGAAATGCCCAACTCTTTGTCGAGATACTTCGCCAATCCCATCGTGTAATCAGATCTTTGGGCCAAATATGGTCTCAACATCGCTGGATCAAGTTTAGAAAGGTGTATGTCATCTCTCATGTAAGCTCTAAGCACTTCCGGTCTAACTATAAACAAATTACCAAGTTGTCGTAACATTTCAAATCTCGGTTTTAGTATTGGTTGATTGAAGTTAGCTATTGTTTCTTGGTATAATGCGATATCTTTCGTCAACATCAGTCCACCGGTTGGATTTACAGAGAATTTCTTTAAATGATCCAGCAATAAACCGTGGAATGCTACACCAAGTTCGATTAAAAATTTCTCCAAATTCGAACCAGTGAGAGCTTCCACTGCGGATTCTCTAGCAAAAGAGAGTATTTCACAACATAATAAGCAAGGCTCTGTATTTATCCTTGCGAATGAGGTATCATCATCTTTTGGTCTAAAGTCAACCTTGCGTTGCTTTTGCAAGCAACTACCTAGGTAGTTGATAACGACTTTTAAGTGTGTTAGTATTATTGAAAAACAATATTAATTACCCACCATCCATCAAATTTTGCAAGATGGCATTCAGTTTGACTTCCAACCTGCTTATCGTGTTATTTGCAAACAAAGCCAATTCTCTCTTCATTCCGATCGCACCATTGTTGGTAAGGGGTATGATAGTAGTTGCTGCGTATCTCTGCCACAATTGTGTGATGAGATCTGCCGGTGAGCATATCTCGAGACATTCAAATGGTGGCTCTGATCTACTATTATCGAGCTTGAAAAGCGTGGTATCTACAGCAGTTTCTACGTAAGATCTACCAATTGATTCTGCGAGAGTTTGTAACAATTTAAAGACATTCTTCGAGAGATTGTTCGATGATGTCAAATCAACACATCTACCAACAGATTCAGCATGCCATTTCAACATCCTTTCAGCAACATCAAGCGATAGCTTCCCATCATTTTCATCAAGTGTATTGAGAACATCGTCGTTATTTTTACCGGAGAGTTTCAACAAAGCTGCTGCTGAACTTGATGCTGAAGATGTTTCCGAAAGTTGATTAACAACTCTATCGAGCATGGATGTTGATTTTGAGGAATGCACTGCGTTGTGGTATAATGTGAAACTAGATAAATAACCAGCGTATAATTCGGTTAAAGATGTACATTCAAGGGATATGTATCTCTCGCCTTCCATGTAGGGAACAAATAGTTCATCCAACGATTGATCTAAGAGTGTTGAAATACCACTAGGACCAGCGAATGTTCCTGGTGCTACTAAACCACTTCCTATGGTTTTAACAGATGATGATAACGTATCGTATTTCTTCAAATCCTCTACTAAGCCGCTAATTGTCATTCTGGATATATGTAACATTCTTAAAAATGAAAATCTTGATAAAGAACCAGCCTTTTCAAGCAAATCTTCCAATTTGGATTGAATGGATTGTGCGAATACTCTTTGTAAGAATACCTGCATGACTAATGCAGGATTTGGGAAAACTGCTTGTATAATTTGAGCCTCTTGTTCGACAGTGCTACGAATTTCATCAACTAGTGCACTCAACGATGGCTCTACAGTTGGAGCTTGTTTATCAGGATCGCTGAGGGTGTTCCAGAAAGCAGCATTATTGTCGCTATTATCAGCATTGCCAATTCTATCTTTCGAAATGAAGAAATCATGCTGGTTGACGTAAACCTGCATACAAGATGCACCACCGTTGAAAACCAGCAAAGTTTGAGCGCAATGTGCCATCATTTTTGGATCACCTTTCCTATAACTCTTGTCAAATAATTTGAGCATATCCTTCTCGAACTTCTCGCAGTATTTATCGATCAATTGGTGAGTATTCTGTGCGTGTGGAGCATCAACTACTGCTGACAAGGCTGATAATCTACGCAGTAAGATTGCGCAATTTAACCTGCTATCTTTACCTGAGGACTTGCGTAGGCTATCCAATTGTGAGGTGTTTCCACGTGCTAGAGTGTTGTAGTGTTGAATTAAATCACGAGCTGCTATTGCACGACTACGGTGATCTGATATCACCTGGAGATGTTCACCGATACCGACTGTAGTATTTCCCACGTGAGATATCGAAGACTCCAAATCGAGGAAAGAGAAGCCAACCGCTTCAAAGTTTCTACCTAGCTCTTTTGTCCTCTCTAGGTGTTGTCTTTCTGCGTATTTGACTGTACGCTGTAGTTTCGTCCTCGACTCTTGAACGTGAGCAGAATGACTGTCTAGGTCCTTGATAGTAGATTGTATCTGTGACAATAAAACGCTCTTATCATCAAAGTTGTAGTTATCAGAGATGGCGTCGAGAAAATCTCTGAGATGGAATGACTTTGTCTGTCGAGCGCTCAGCGATAGCTCTAATAATAAATATACAATAACCCACGTCTAATAAATTCATACAAATTTTATAAATTCCCAAATTCGTTTGATTTGACAGTCTAACTAATTGTCGTGTCGCCTTAGAAGAAACGTCGATGGATAATTATACGAGATTAGAAAAGGTGAATTATAATTTAAAATCGCGTTATTCTCTAATAGTCTATCTCTAGGTCGGAGAAGGTAGTCTTGTTTACCCCCAGAGTCTTAGTATCTCACCTCTATTTAGGTACTTACGGTGTCGTCTACAAAGCTAAGGATGTCAACAACGGTAGGATCGTCGCTCTCAAGAAGATCAGATTAGAGGCAGAGGATGAAGGCGTTCCCTCCACCGCGATCAGAGAGATCAGTCTTTTGAAGGAGCTCAGGGATGACAATATCGTTAGGCTCTTCGATATCATACACTCGGATGCTAAACTCTACCTCGTCTTTGAGTTCCTCGATTTGGACTTGAAAAAGTACATGGACAACGTCGGCCAGAAGAAGGAAGGTCTCGGTCCAGATATCGTCAAGAAGTTCACCTATCAACTCATCAAGGGTACCTACTTCTGCCATGCTCATAGAATCTTACACAGAGATCTCAAACCTCAAAACCTCCTGATCGACAAGGAGGGTAACCTCAAACTCGCAGATTTCGGTTTGGCAAGAGCTTTCGGTATCCCTTTGCGCACTTACACCCATGAAGTCGTCACATTGTGGTATAGAGCACCAGAAGTTTTGTTAGGCTCGAGACACTACTCTACAGCTATCGATATGTGGTCAGTTGGCTGCATCTTTGCCGAAATGGTCATGCGTCAACCACTCTTCCCTGGTGATTCAGAAATTGATGAAATTTTCAAGATTTTCCGCATTCTTGGTACTCCAAATGAGGATATCTGGCCTGGTGTCAAATCTCTCCCTGACTACAAGACAACTTTCCCTCAATGGTCACGCGTTGATCTTTACAAGGCTGTTCCAGGTTTAGAGCCTGAAGGAATAGATCTTCTTTCGGTGCGTTGGTGTTGCCTTACAAAAAACATCTTCACTCACATTTTTTCCAGCAACTTCTTATATATGACCCTGCACACAGATTATCAGCCAAGAGAGCATTAAACCATCCCTACTTTGAGACAGCAATCGAAACGGATATACCATCAATCACAGCATCTATAGCCGCATCCGCCCAACAGCGTGCAGCTCAAAAAGCTAGAACAGCTTCACAAGCTTCTCTAGCTGCTATCAAAGCTTAGCTTTATGATTTTCTCTTATTTATCACTCTCTCATCTTCCTTATATTTAACGATATGTCAGATAATTATACAGCTTTCTAATTTTATTCACAATTGGTTAATGTACTATCATTTTACTGTGCTTGTGATTGTTCTTCCACATGTCTACGTGCAGCTAATGTCCGTGATAGTCCATGTCGTTGTCTCAATTCGTGCGCCTTTGATAATGAGACATTTGCATCAATATTGGCCTTGAACTGCCAGTCTTGAAGTGGATCCACCTCTTTAGATTTGGTGAAGCTATTCTTAATCATCGTCGTAGGGAAGAATGTTTGGTATTCGATGATAGTGACAATAGCTGACTATTTGTGTGTTATGGGAGATAATGAATACTCTGCAATGACACTCACAAAGAAAATCAAACCTGATATAAATGCGCCGTTAGAGCTATACACAGGTTTGTGCCTTCCAGTGGATGGATGATGATAGGTTGACCAGTAGAATTCGCCATCCCATCCCCCAGATCGACGACTGTAGGGTGGCGTATAAGAACTAGCAAACTGTGTAGAGCGCCTATGACCATAGTTTCTCCTAATAAATTCCATGTCAGCGTCCCATTTCGATTGGGCGCCATCCGAAGTCCAGCCGACGCCGGTATCTACGTATTGTTGTCTCTTTTTGGTATCGGATAATAATTCATATGCTCTTACGATAGCTTGAAAATCCTTTGTATGTTTCTGCTGATCGCCTATCGTGCACCTATCCGGGTGATATATCTTTACTAGCTCATAATATCGCGCTTTTATCTCCTTAGAAGTTGCGGTAGACGGTAGAGAGAATATCTCGAATGGGCTAGCATTACTTTTCGTTGGAAGCTGCAAAAATCTTATACTTGTTCTTCTCATTACATCGTCGTCATTCAACAAGACGGTTATTCCCTTACGATCATGTCCTTCTTATACGATGACGGTATACATACAGCAACTACAGCATCACAGGTGTGTTTCATGGCTATCTATTACTTCTATTAATCAACAGTAGAGAGACGTAGAGATCACTTTGGAGTATGCAATGCAACAGGACAAAGAGCTCGACAGGGTAGCTCACGCTAACTACCTCACGGAGTCCTTGAGAAGTTTACCGGCATCTATGAGAGTACTAGACGCATCACGCCCTTGGCTTATTTACTGGTCCTTGCATAGTTTACTCACACTAGGTATATCACTCGATAGCGCATCTAAATCGAGAGCTCTTAACACTTTATTAAAATGCCAGAACTCTACTGGCGGTTTCGGTGGTGGACCAGGTCAAATCAGCCATATCCTTACCACATACGCCTCTATCATGAGTTTCGTAATCGCTGGTGGACCAGGTTCGGGCAACGGCTGGGAAGATATCGATAGGAAAGGTATATATAACTTCCTTATCAGAATGAAACAGAAAGATGGTAGTTTTATCGTCCACGAAGGTGGTGAAGTTGATGTTAGGTGGGTTGGTTTTCAACTAGATGATTCAATCTAACTCAATTCAAGAGGTTGCTATTGTGCACTCACAGTTGCTACCTTGCTGGATATACTTACACCTGAGTTACTCGAGAATGTCGATACTTTTGTTTCTAGTTGCCAGACGTACGAAGGTGGATTCGCAGCTTGTAGCCAAAATGGTTCTCAATTTGGTGAAGCTCATGGTGGATATACAAGCTGTGCTTTGAGTGCACTTACCATGGTCGACTCCACACGTTCGACGAAGCTACAGACACGATTCGACCTTGATGCTCTCATACGCTGGAGCGTACACATGCAAGGACTGGAATCTGAACTGGGAGGGTTTAGAGGGCGTACGAACAAACTAGTCGATGGTTGCTACAGTTGGTGGCTTGGTGGATCTTTCAACCTGCTCGAGTACTGGCAGCAGGGCGTCGATTCGACTGTGGATGATGACGATGATAGCTGGATTGATGAAGAGACCTGTTTGTATGACAGGGAAGCATTGCAAGGCTATATCTTGAATGCTGCACAGACTCCAAAAGGTGGCTTGCGGGACAAGCCAGGAAAGTGAGTAAATCGGTTCACTAGAGCTACAGCTATCTAACATAATTATAAGGAACGCTGATACATACCATACCGCATACAACCTCTCTGGATTGAGCGCTTCACAGCACTATATCAAATATGAGCCCGACAGAGCCCAAGAAATAGCTATAGACTTTAAAGAAAATACCGATGATAGTATACCCGAATTAGAAAATGCTAGACGCTTAGATATCCGCAAGTACGCGTACGCTAGCGCTATGGCATGGATGCCAAACAAAGCTGCCAAGAGCGTACGTGGGGGTGGGTCGAACATAACAAACCCGACACACCCTGTATTCAACTTGACAATGTCAAAGTCATCGGCGGCATTAAAATATTTTTACAGACAGTAAAACATCGATTAATTTGTTGACTCACTTTGATAACATACCATCACGATGAAAACTATACCACAGGAACTAAAAAATTTGGAACCATTCCTAGCGAGAGCGAGAGAATTAAAGGATGTAGAGCCTGCAATTTCCTATTGGTGTGCGTATATCTTGATAGAAAACTGCTAGCTTACAGAACCAGGCAAGTTCTACGTTCTCCAGAACGCACTGGACAAGAAACCGGGGAAGCATTGTGAGGAGTTTCTCCTGAATTTGATGGGCGAACTTGAGGAAGTACGTTGAATCTAGCTAGTTTTTTGTGCATCACTTATCATTACGTAGTCCAAGTCACAGCTTTCTGGAAATGACGACCTGAAGGATCTGGTCATAGACGAAGACGCCGCGAATGCCTACATAGAGAATTTCGCACTCCGTGTATTCATAAAAGCTGACGATCTAGACAGAGCTGGCACACTCAACAAGTGGGTATACGTATCAATAGAACGATGTATGCTAATTGCATCTTTACAGGACTGTAGCACAGACATTCTTAGCATCCAGCTACTTCCTATCCCTCCTCACCCTCTTCAAAAACCCACCGGGTGATCTGCAGCAGAAAATAAAGTATGCACGTTTTAAAACAACTCAGTGAGTAACTATATAATCTATACTACTGTTCTAACTTTACAGAATTATGAATTCACTAAAAAACCCTCCGCCACCCGCTTCTGCATCCCCGAGAGCTAGTACTTCTGCACTAACGTCACCACAGCTAGGCACAGCTGGATTATCGAATGCACCTTCACCTAAAGCAGCTATTTCAGGTTTACCTAGTGTGCCCTCCCCGAAGGTTGGTTCAGTTGGGTTGCCAAGCGTACCTTCTCCAAAAATAGGTACTGCTGGCCTACCACCACATATGGCATCACCGAAACCATCCCCAAAACACGGCACAGTTGGTTTACCATCACCTAAGCAATCACCACATCCTTCTTTGCCTTCCTCACCGCGTTTTCGCTCAAATTCGAGCTTATCTCAGCACTTACCATCACCAAAAGCTATGACAAGTATGTTACCAACGGAGGAACCTCAAGGTATCGATCCAACCATCGTTATTAAAGCACAAAAGCATGCAAAATGGGCAATTTCAGCATTAAATTATGAGGATAAAGATACAGCTATAAATCAATTACAATTAGCATTAGAAAGTTTGACCGGCACATAATTTTATGCTGGTAATTCACCGCCTAAATTCAAATAAACAGATTCCCTTAATCCTTTCCAAACTGACTTTTTAATTCTAGTAGTCTCAGCAATGATAGACCTTAACTCATTCATACGTTCAATATATTCGCGACTATCTGCCAAAGCTTCATGCAGTGATTCAATATGTCTTTGAGCTTGTACTTTTTGTTCTTCGACGGTCAGATGTATATCTTGAACCTCCTTGCCGTTGTTAGTTGGTAAATCAACTCCAGTATTCGAGATAAACAGTTCATTTATATGATTAGTAGTGTTGCGTGTGTCATAGATATTTGATAATGCTCTACCAATTGATTTTGTAATTTCCTTCTCGTTTTCAACTACGTCAGCTGATCTATGTTCAAATTCAGATAACCTTGGACAAGTGATAGAAGATTTAATATGAGGTGACTGTACAGCATCGACCAATCTTTGAGGTTGTGGTATAACATCATACCATGAAGGTTCATCTAACTCAATGGAAACTGAATCGCTATCATCTGAATCGTACTCAAGCTCAATCTCATCTGGAATGAACCTAGAGAGGCGCTTTTTAACTTGATCTCTGTGTGCTCTATCCATTTCTAGACTTCGGGAGCTAGGATTCCATCTAGAGATCTTACCCTTCCTATTAAGGCTATTGGAGAGTGATAGCTTTCTACCGCGATTACCGCGTGGGTTTTTAGCGGTTTGTTGATTACCCGCTACTTCATTCTTGAGTATAACGGAGGAGGTTGATGGACCAGCTGCATACCATTGAGGTTGGTCGTTAGAAGGTAGAGATCTAAAATATTAGACAAGAATTATATATAATAATATACTCACAATAAAGATTGTACAGAAGTCAGCTGTTTTACCATGATGATAGTAAGGGAATAACCTTCCATTCAAACGATCATGTCTTCAGATGAAAAGAGAGATACTCGTAAGGAATTGGAGATACGGATCGCGGAGTTAAACTGTCAGTAGTTTTTATTACTAGTGATCCACTAAACCCATTATTATACAGCTCAAATAAACGCTAGTACTAGCAAGCAACAACATCCAGAGGGTGCACAGAAACCAATATTCTCATACTCTCACTCTTCTTCCCGTGGGAAATATCCTAAAGCCTATCAAAAACCTTCATATAGACCTCGTCATATGAACATGAACATGTCATTAACTAACGCTAACTCTGCAGACAGCTCACAACCAGCATCTTGGGTATCTAGGAGAACTGGTAATATGTCATTAGTCACATCTGACACCCTAGAGAAATCACTCTCCTTAAAAGCTGCCAAAGAGAAGGAAATAGCGACCAAGAAAGCTCAGAGGTTGGCTAGAAAATCATCAAAGAGAAAGAAACATCAATCAATCACCAAAGATGGTCGTAGACAGATAATTATTGATGGCGTACCATTCGAATTTGACGAAACGGGCGGCAAATTAGTCAAAGTTGCAAAGGAGGATAATGATACATTCAACGATGAACCGCAACAATCTGTATATAATATCATGGATGATGACACTAACAACAACAACAACACTCCAAAGAAGATGACGATAGATGGTACGAACTATGTTAGAACTAAGTCAGGCAATTTAGTTAGGGATATATTTGCAAAGAAACGTAATGAGGAGGCTATGAAAGCTAAACAACAGCGTTTGGATAAAATGGTTGGTATGCTCGGTAGTGTTCAGAGAGCACGTAATACACAAATACAACGTAAACCTCATAATAAAAAGGAGGTCCTATCGGAAGACCAGAAGATATCTTTCGGCAGGAAAAGATGCCCAACTTTCACAAAATCAGGTAGATGTTCGAAAGCTCTACATTGTCCATACGTACATGATAGCAGCAAGACAGCAATATGTCCACACTTTTTACGCAAGAAATGTAGGAATAGTGATAGCAGTTGTCCACTATCACATACCCCATCACCTAATAATATGCCAAATTGCTCGCATTTCGAATCACCAAATGGATGTAGAGCAGGCGATGAGTGTTTATTTACTCACGTACATTTGAGCAAGGATGCTTCAGTTTGTCGTGACTTCGCAGTACTAGGATTTTGTGATAAAGGTCTTGACTGTGATTCTAAACACGTTCGAGAATGTCCAGATTATGCCGAGAATGGTGAATGCAAGAATCCAAGTTGTAATTTGCCTCATATCCTTAAATCTGAAGCTAACAAAGTTGGCGTTATCGATGAATTTACCAAACGCAAGGAAGTTGAAGAAGAATCACAGGAAGAACAAGATGAAAGCTCTAAACCAACTTTCAAGAGGAGAAAAAATCAACATGATGATCTTACTGAGCAGTCAGATTTTGTCACTTTTGATGACAGCGGGAATTCGTCTGATAGTGCAGATAGTGTAGACAGTGATCAAGAGTCTGTGAATTCTGACGATTACAATCTTGCCAATGAATCAATACCATTGTATTAGTAAACTAATTTATAATGAAGGGTATATTTATAAGATTACTTTCAATTCTCGCTCATAGTTTAACCAACTTTCGTGAATCTAATGAAATTTAGTACATTCTCATGATTTCAGCACTACTTACACTTCTTTGAGACTTTAGCAGTGTACTGACTAAATCCTTCAGACTGACTTTGAAGTCTTCCATGCGTAATTTGTCAAATGCAGCCATCTCTTCTTTGATCAATATACTGACTCTGCTAAACTCACGCTTTGATTCGTGAACACTGTGCTCACTCTGCGAGAAAGTAAGAATTGATCTATTAGTTTAATCCTTACTCACAGCAGCGAGATCTTTGAGCGAGTAGGCTATATTGTACTGGTGTATCTGACCAACTGACTTTTGTTTCTCATACGTCGTTTTCTTTTTGGTATATGAATTCTCTGCTGCTCTGATATCGTGATATAATTTGATTCTAGTACTAAAAGTGTTCTTGAAGTATTGTCAGTACGTTCAACAAAGTAATTATGGTCGGTCTCACCTTGATAGAACCAATGACGCGCATATATTCGTCAACTGTGGCTGCAAATGATGAGGCGTCATTCTTAACAAGTTCATCAAGACCTCTCTTCGATTGGGCTGAGAGATCTGCAAGCATCTGGAACAACTTCGTGAGCTCGTCAGAGTGTATGAATTGACGTGAGAGTTCGAGTAACGATTCAGAATATTCGGCGAGCGAGGATGCCAGATCTTGAACGTCACTTAAATAAGTTGGAGGTATTGTAAAGTACTCACCATATCGCTGCGCAGAAACATTCTGTAAAGCTTTCACAAGAGCTTTAAGTTGTACTTCCAAGCCGTCAATGCGTTGTTTTTCACTATCAAACCATTCATCTGTGAGATTATTAAGATTTTTCAATAGTTGGCACAGTAATAGACTAACCAGATTCAATAAATTTAGGCCCAATGATTGAGGAGCCCCACGATGCAAGTACAGACTTTCCCTCTGCCTTGTCTAATTGACGTTGTTTCACCTAAATGAAGGTCAAACCGTGACAATTTGACCTCTAAAAGAAACTTACGTCAACTGCAAATGAATCACTTTCTAAGAACAGTTTGAGATCTTCATCCTTAGATAACAACGGATGATTAGCGCATTTCATTAAGCATTTCTCTAACGCTTGCCGTCTTTGCTCAATGAAATCCATCTTGAATCGACCATAAGCTTGTTTTGAAGGTGGTGGAGGTACGAAAACACCCGGATTGTTCTTACAGAGGTTTTCATAAAGCCATAAGAAATCGCTGTATCTACGTAATACAGTCATAGAATTTTGCCTATATGCAGGCATTTTGGTCTGTAAAGCCCATTACGAGGTTGTTTTCATGCTAAATAATCACCTACGAATGTTCTAATCGTATAGAGGACATATGAATTCGCTGGATTACCGATCTTTTGTGGGTCTGAGACTGAAATATCATAAGTATTTCCATTTGGTAGTTTTATTGTTTCTGTCACTGGTATAACAGATGCTGTGTGTCTCTGAGATTGCTGTAATGATAGACTCCTCTTACGCTCAGATAAGCTCTCATTATCATCGTCGTCATTGACAACGTTAGTACCGTCATTGTGATTGTCTGGTGTAGACTCCTTGATGGTTTCCTGTGCGTAGTCGGGGTCGTTGTCGAGCTTGCTATCGTCATTGGCGGGGGATGGTTCATCTAAAGAAACTTCTTTGAATTGCTGCTTTATATCGTCTTCTTTAACTTCCTTTGGAGCTGCAAATGAACTCTGAAGGTCTGCAAATGGATTGTCGTCTATTGAGTCCATCGTTGAAAAGTACAACGATGTGCGGAATAATATTTCATTCGATAAAACAACCAATAGACTATAAAGATCTAGTTATACGCAATAAAAGACGTGGTCCTGATTATCTATCAACTAAGAATACACCAGCTGGTTACTTCACAAGCACAGTTTTGCATTTACGTGGAAATGCACTCACACAGCAACCATTAGAGAGTGATAAAGGTGATATTTTATGCTATAATGGTCAGATATTTGATTCATTCGAGGTAATTACTATTTACCCTCAATTATCACTCTAAAACGGTTTTATTTAGGTTCCAGATGAATGTAATGATGGTGTTTTACTACTAAACATCCTGTCAGGCTTATCCGATGATGATCTTCGTGATTATTTGCTAAACATAGCAGACCCATGTGCATTCGTGTATTATTCAACATCTACACGGTCTACTTTCTTCGGAAGGGACACTCTAGGAAGAAGAAGTCTCTTAATGTCTTCCTCTGATGATGGTATCTTGGTTTCATCGATTCCTGATCCTTCCTTGTCTTGGGAGGAATGTGATGCAACCATTCTCTACGAATTGAAGGATGATCAATCACTAATTAAACACCAACGAGATACCTCAATCAAACTCAATAGGATGATTCCTGAAAAAGACACGGTTGAAAACATTCCGTGTGACATTCTCGACCAATTTCGCCATATACTCACTCAAGTTGTTGACAGACGCGTACGGAGTATACCAACACATAAGGAGACTGGCTCCTCATTGCGAGAATGCAAAGTTGCAGTGTTATTTTCGGGCGGTATTGATTGTACAATGGGTAAGACAGTCTTTTCTTTGATATCTATCATCTAAAACACTCAATAGTTGCTCACTTAGCTTCTAAAATACTACCAAAATCAGAACCTATAGAATTAATTAATGTAGCTTTCTGTGCTACCCCAAATCCTTCTATTGATACCCTTCGGGAAGTTTGCAGTCGCGCACCTGATCGTCAAACAGCTATGGAAGCGGTTGAGGAACTACAAAAGTTACACCCAGGGAGGGAGTTCAGATTGGTGAATGTGGATATCACAGCGGAGGTGAGTGATCTAATGTGAGCGTTATCTGTTAATTAATAAACCATTATTAGGATTACAACACAGAAAAGCAAACAATTATTGAGTTGATGTATCCAAAGAACACAGTCATGGATCTCTCTCTCGCAGCTCCACTTTATTTTGCCTCTCGTGGTCAAGGATATCTGTACAACTCTAAAGAAGACTACACGGCCCAGGCGAGAGTTTTGTTAAGTGGGTTAGGTGCTGATGAAGCCTTGGGAGGTTACGGAAGGCATAGAGTCGCTTACCAAAAAGGTGGCTGGGATGTACTCGCAGATGAGGTAAGTCATGTCCATTTATTTAACTATTTCAACTAAACAGCGCTAGTTGGAGATGGACTTAGATCGTCTGCCATCACGTAACCTAGGACGTGATGATAGGGTACTCTCACATCATTCCCGTGAAGTTAGATTTCCATTTCTCGCTCAACCACTGCTACGTTGGTTGAGTACAATACCATTACACCTCAAAGCCGACTTCAGACAGACGGAATTGGGTGACAAAAGACTATTACGCACACTCGCAGTATCTGAAGGCCTAGTAAGCGCGTCAAACCGTGCAAAACGTGCAATGCAATTCGGTAGTAGGAGTTCGCGGATGGACGGTGCGGGAGCCAGTAAAGCCAAAGGCGACGATATAATAAAAATAAATTAGTCTATATTATCAAGAACATCTGAAATTATTGCATCAATCTCCGGATCATCTAGTTGTTGTACTTCTTTGTCAAGAACCTTTCCAAAAGCATTAGCTGCTGCAAGTGTGGCATCATCCATGGATATAGAGTTATTATTGAGTGCACTAGCTACGGATGTCATCTTTGCACCATGAATACCGCAAGCGACTATATTTCTGAACCAATCTAATGGTTCATTTGTGATGTTGATTGCGAAGCCATGGGATGTGATTCTGTGTCTCACTTGTATGCCAATTGAAGCAATTTTATGAACATCGTCAAGCCACACACCTGTATGCTCAGATGTTTGACCGCGTATCCTGTACTGATCTGCCAACATTCTAATGAGCGACTTTTCAACTCTGTCAACGTAGCATTTCACTGAGAGCTTAAGAGAGCTGTGTTAGTAAATATATAAGAGTTAAATAAGCCACGCACATTCAATCTAGATAAATTGAAGATAGGATATCCGACTAATTGACCTGGTCCATGATAAGTAATCTGACCGCCACGCTTTGTGAGTTCGTAGTGAGCGCCTAAAGCCCTCAATCTTGTAGACTCCTCTATATTCTCATCAGTTGTACGCCTTCCTACTGTGTATACTGGCGCGTGCTCTAGTAGGAGTAGTACATCCTTCGTTGGTTTAGCAGCTACCAAACGCTCCTGCAATTCTAAACCAGCTTTGTAATTTATAAACCCTGGTAGTCTTTTATAGTAAATTGACATTCTGCTTTTATTTTCTCCGTATAACTTGTTTATAAAGAACTACCATCTACTTAAAAGATGTCAGAGGCCAATTCGAACGGCGTGACACCAATTGACCCAACGCAAGGTAAAAAGGTGTGTATATAGATTATTCGTATAAACTTCTCTTATTTACCTATCCCAGCATGAAGCTTACCCTGTAGTTGGCGGCGATATTTCCAATATATCTCAAAACCCAGAGTCACCTGCAGTTGAGCAAGAAAACGCTGATGTACAAATGGAGAATGCAGAAGAGAACGTCGTAGTAAAAGAACAATCAAAGTATCACTCACAGGAAGAAGCTAGGAACTATTTGGCAGCCCAAACCCAGGAAATTATTATACCAAGCTATAGTTCATGGTTCAGCTTTGGACAAATAAATGCAATAGAGAAGAGGTCCTTACCTGAATTCTTCAACAACCGCAATAGATCAAAAACACCTACAATTTACAAAGAGTACAGAGATTTCATAATAAACACATACAGATTGAACCCATCCGAGTATCTGACTTTCACGGCTTGTAGACGTAACCTCGCGGGTGATGTATGCGCTATCATGCGTGTACACGCTTTCTTGGAACAGTGGGGTTTGATCAACTACCAAATTGATCCAGATACACGTCCAGCTGCACTTGGTCCACCATTCACTGGTCATTTCAGAGTCACCCTCGATACTCCAAGAGGTCTCCAACCTTTGCACCCTGGTACTCAACCTGCCACTAAAACTTCCGTTAAACAGGAGGCACCGGAAATTGCGAGACAATCCTCAAAACCACCAAATGTCGAACTTCGCAAGGGTATCTACAACACTTCCTCTTACAAAGTTACAGAAGATCCAGATGAAACTGCGAAAACCGCTAATAAATTTAAAGCATCAAATGATGAAGGCGTTTCAGGTGAAGCTAGATACTTCTGTGATGTTACAGGTACAGAATGTACACAAGAGCGTTATCACTCTATTAAACATCCAGATTTTGTGTTATGCCCACAAGCTTACCTAGATGGTCGCTTCCCTTCAACAATGTTCTCTGGTGACTTTATTAAAATTACAAACGATAAATACAAGCCAGCAGGCACAATAGAGGATGATCCACAAGCAAATGCTGAACCATGGTCTGATCAAGAAACACTTCTATTACTTGAAGGATTGGAACAATACGATGATGATTGGAATTCAGTTGCTGAACATGTGGGAACCAGATCAAGGGAAAGTTGTATTGCCCATTTCTTGCAGTTACCTATTGAAGATCCATACCTCGTTGCATCATCCGATAGTGCAAGAGATCCACAATATCATGGTAAAGCATCACAAGGTGATCTCGGACCATTAGCATATGGTAAATTCCCATTCTCACAATCAGATAATCCAGTTATGAGTGTAGTTGCCTTCTTGGCTTCAATTGTTAATCCATCAGTTGCATCAGCAGCAGCCAAAGCATCTGTTGGTGAAATAACAAAAGATGAAAGTGAGGAAAAGATGGATGTTGAACCTGCACGTAACACTGTAGAAAAAGCTGCATCTGTTGCATTAGGCGCTGCAGCTGCAAAAGCTAAAACTCTTTCAAATAATGAAGAGAAAGAAATACAATCTTTGGTTTCTAAAATTGTTGAAGCACAATTAAAGAAATTAGAATTAAAGACTGAGCAGTTTGAAAAATTGGAAACAATGCTTGAAGAAGAGAAAAAGAGTTTAGAGAATGCAAGAATGCAATTAGCACAAGAGAGAACAGAATTCGCCCAACAAGTCAAAGAACTACAAAAAGCTAAAAACGATCCTTCACATACCTTGGAATTATCTGATGGTCAACTTAAATTTGAAAACGTAATCGCAGATCCAACTGAATTCGGTAGTGGTGATATTGCAACTTTGGGTTAATCCAATTCTAAAATTATATAAACCTTGTAATTATGTACAACTAAATTAATGTCTCTTGTTTTATTGTTTTATTGTTAAATGCGATTAAGTAGTCTATTTACGGTTGTTGCTTTTCCAAGTAAATGCATGGTTGATCCAACACTTGGACCCATCTGCGCAAGTTGTTAGTGATGATATAACAGAAAGAACATATGCATGTACCTTCTTTCCTGTCAATGCCCACCTTAGGGGCATCATAAACTCGTTGGTCTTCAATCCAAGAGATTTTTGTTGCTGTTTGAGATGTGAGTTGAGGGTTGCTACCTGCCAATCTTCTTCATTCTTCAGGATTTCATAGACAGACTTTAGAACAATGTCAATCTTCTCAACACTAGTGCTTCCGTATGCGTTTTTTGCGTCATCAGACATATAGTCAGGTTCTATGAAGAAGTAATCACCCATGAGTACCGCTTCGTTAAGATTACTAATGCGATCCTTCGAGTAGTTAGCTTTGATACGTGGAATCCCACTTAAACTTACTCTGATTAATAAAAGCACTTCTCCCAAATACTCGTTGTCGTATTGGAAGCCATCTACAAATAGATGCTTCTCAAGCAAAGTTCTAAACCTGTCTATTAACTCAGCATCACCCTTTTCGACTTTACGACCGAGATGCTGCTTGTTGAGGAATTGCAATTTGCCTCCAAACATAGAAGCACGTTTATGAGGGACGTCATTCAGATCAAAGCGTCGAATAAGGTCTTCCATTGTCATATATTCAGATGGATTGCTAGAATTACTTGTCTTCAGTGCGTTCCAACCCATTAACGCAGTGTAATTAACAAAAGCCTCTGGTTCCCAGCCTTTAGTCTGTCCAAGGTAAGTGAAATTAAAGGCACCACAAAATCTACTCACTATGTAATCCTCTACTGACACATCTCCAGAACGCTTTGATAGTTTCGTTCCATCGGGGTTCACAAGTAGCGGCAGATGTGCGAACTCTGGTGTAGGCTTTTCAAGTGCTTTATATATTGCCAAATGTGTGGGCATGGAGGACAACCATTCCTGTATGACGTTAGATTGTAATCACTTGGTAATGACACACTCACTTCGCCTCGAAGTACATGTGATATTTGCATATGACTATCGTCAACTACATTAGCGAGATGGTAGGTTGGAAATCCGTCAGACTTGAGTAATATCGGATCATTTGTGTAGCCCATTCCAGGAGGTCTAGGTGCAGGTATCGTTATTTCACCATAAACTGTGTCTTTGAATGTTGTATCCTTCTCAGGGATCTAAATGGATTTAGTAGTTGTCAGCTAGGGTGTAATTATCCCACCTTCAACCTAACAACGTGTGTCTTGTACAGATCTTGATCTCTTCCGTTGAGCAACTTGACTGGTTCGCCTGGTTGACTATAATCTCTGTATGCTTGGCCAGCCTATTACCATATTAAAGACATTTAAAAAGCTGGTATCAACAATACCTCTAACAACTGATCGATTGCACTGCGATAAAGATTTAGACGCTCAGATTGGATGTATGGACCAAATGAGCCAGGAATACCCGGACCTTGGGTTATATTTAGAGTGGTGTATATTTATATAAGATTGCATACCTTCGTCGTACTGTATCCCAGACCATTTAAGTGATCTAATTAAAGTATCAACAGCGCCAGGTTGATAACGTTTCTATCGTTGTATAAGTTAAAGAATGTGTTATTAATAAGTCACAGACTCTATCTGTATCCTCTATCCGGAGTATGAAGCTACCGCCAGCTTTTCTAGCAATGAGGTAGTTGAACAATGCAGTGCGTAAACCTCCTATGTGTAGATTGCCAGTCGGAGAAGGTGCAAAACGCACTCTCATTATTTAATATATTTACGCCCGTGAGTGTGACTCAGAAAGTTATTAAGAAGTTTATGAAGACTTCTTAAAACTCAACGATGAACATTGCACAAAATATCGCAAAATCACCTTCTGTAGCGGCTAACTCAATGAAAGCAGCTTATTCAACCGCAGCTCCTTCTTCAAAGATATATAGGGATGCTATGACAGGTGAAGTTACGTCTTTACCGGATATCGATGTAAGTTTACTCCTATTATCTCACTCATCTACTTACTAGGGTGGAAGGTCAGCAAACTACAAATCGAGAAGATCGCAAACCCAAAAACTATACCACCTTCTAACACTTTACGTTTCGGACACACCTTCAGTGATCACATGCTTATCATACCGTGGAATTCTGGCAGTGGATGGGGTGCTCCTACTATCAAACCATACGGTCCACTCACTCTTGACCCATCAGCTGTATGTTTCCACTATGCTCCACAGTTGTTTGAGGGTATGAAAGCATACAGAGACAGCGAAGGCAATGTCAGACTCTTCAGACCAGATATGAACATGGCTAGAATGAACAGAACCGCTGAAAGAGCTGCTTTACCTACCTTCGATGGTCAGTCGATGGTAGAACTTATCCGTAGATTAGTTGTACTTGACCAAAATTGGATTCCACAAGAACCAGGCTACTCACTCTACATTCGTCCAACTTTAATTGGTACACAAGCAAGTTTGGGTGTTGGTGCTTCATCTGATGCTCTCCTTTACGTCATTTGTTCCCCAGTTGGACCATACTTCAAGAACGGTTTCAAACCAGTCAAATTATTGGCAACATCAAAGAATGTCAGAGCATGGCCAGGTGGTACTGGTGCATTCAAACTTGGTGCAAACTACGTACAAGGTGTAAAACCACAACATGAAGCAGCAGAAAAGGGTTACGATCAAAACCTTTGGTTATTTGGTGAAGGAGAAGAGCTCACTGAAGTAGGAACAATGAATCTCTTCATCGTTGTTCGTAACGACGCTGGAGAAACTGAATTAATAACTCCTCCACTCGGGGATATGATTCTTCCAGGTGTGGTAAGAGACTCCATCCTCAACCTTGCACGTGATCCACCTGAATGGCTCAAGGAACAACTCCCAGAAAACTTCAAGGTCACAGAACGCAGAATTACAATGCCAGAATTAGCAAAATTAGCTGAAGAAGGTAGAGTTGTTGAATCATTTGGTAGTGGTACTGCATGCATCATCGCTTCAATCTCATGTGTCAATTGGAGAGAAAAAGACATCACTATTCCTGTTGAAGCAGACGGCAGTGGCGCAATCGCTACTGTTTTGAGAAATGCCATCGAGGCGGTCCAATTGGGTAGAGAAGAACACCCTTGGTCAATCGTTTGTTAATTTAGTATCATCAATCATATAAACTGATAACTTTATTATATGTAACATAAAGTGAAATTTACAATTCAATAAGCATAGCTTCCTGTTGCTGTGGCTGACTTTGTGGTTGCTCATATTGAGAAGGTGATTGCACCAACCCTGATGGCGCTGATGGTAGACCTGCAAGAGCATTAATCTTGGCTTGTTGTTGATGCTGTTGAATTGGTTGTTGAGATATCTGAGGTGGTTGCTGAGGTGGCGGTGCTTGTACTGGAGCTGGCTCTGGCGCTGACGCTAAAACTTGTTGCTGAGGATAACTATGCTGATATTCATTCGGGTAACCATCATAAGGAGCCGATATCGGCTGTGGACGTGTTTGTGCAGCTATAGTCTGCTGTTGTGGTATACTCGTTGGTGGTGCAGAAGGTGCTACCCTATGCTCTTCAATTGGTGGTGCAGAGAATGGAAGTGATGGTATTGGGGCTGGCTGTGGTGGGACGATTGAGGCGGTATTGTACCGTGGCATGTGTTGCTGGTAATATGGTACTTCATTTACCGGACCGCTGGTGTGCATTGGTGTATTTCGCCGTTGTTCGATTTGTGACTCTAAAAGTCTATTATATAGTCTCACAGACTCTGACATTTTGGCGTGCATGTCTATCAGCAAACGCTCTTTGGCTTCAGTCTCACTAACGCCAGATAATAATCTCGATTTAGCATTCAAAGCGCGATCTGCGGCATATGCAAGCTCTGGTTGTGGTGGCCCTTGCTGTTGTTGGTTGACTGACTGAGCAAATGATAAGATTGCGTCACGATCTGCAGTAGCAAGTTCGTAGCTTGGCTGGGCGCGCGTTAGGGATAATAAATGCATAAACAGTACCATACCTTGGCCTGATGGTTGTATTGCGGATGTGACGTGCTTCTTGGAGGATGTGACTCGGCGACTTGCTCGATGTTCTGAGTTTTATTGCCACTATGCATATCTTTTAAACTAGCCTCGATCGCAGCCTTCATTTCATCATCTTCCTCTTCATCTGCTGGTGGCTCTGGTCTATTACTGTTGATAGCCGGTCCAGCTTCCTGGCGTCCGCTTTCAGCTAAACTGAGCTGTATGGCTTTGAGAAGGTCTGCATCAGCTGCATCTTGGGCTCTACTCTGTGCTGCCGGCTTCTGTGCTGGCATTCGTATCGCAGATGGCGGGGCTGCCTTTGTGCCATCACGTAAGATCAAGTTGTAGCAACCTTCGCAAACTCTGACGGGATCCCTGTAACCCCAATGTGGTAATGCTAACAGTTTGTGGCAACATAAGCTGTCAAATACTCTACCACAGTTTCTGCAGTGGTGTTTACGGTTGAAAGTCGTGAAACCAGATTGACACCTCGAGCAGGCGTCACCATCCGTCCATTCAGGCGCCTGTATTTCGTTAAATTTCTCTTGACTGCGTTATATCTCTTACTAATTCTGAAGCCATTCTGACGTTGACGTTGACGTTGTAATTTAAGAGATAAACTAGTGCGATATAAGAAATTAATTAGTTTGATTGTCATTTACTCTATTAATATTTGCGTATCTGTAATATATATCGCCTATCTCGCCATCTCTATAAGTTATTAGCTGACAGTTGGTTTGCTGTTCTCAAACAGATGACGATCTGGGTGTTTTACTACTCCAGCAGTTGATCTCTTAATCTATTGAAGTTATCACATGCGATCCATGTAATGTCCCTGTAAGGGTTCTCCAAATAAGGCGCCTACGTATTCCTACTAGATACCAGAGAAATACACAAGCTTAATATACTCCGATAAATACCAGAAACAATGAGTTTCATACTATCCATCTTGTTATCAACGACGTCACAACTTCTGAAGACAATCAATCTGTACTATCCGGTAAGATAATAGATCTAATAACGCTTCTAGGACACTCTACGAGTAACCTTTAATATCCCCTATGAAATTATCTATGCATTACATAATACTTCTCTCCACCGTACAACCATCAACCGCGGTCTAGGTATAATGAAGGAATCGCATGTTGCACCTATAAAAACTAGAAAAGCTACATTCAGTCAGAGGTCATCTTATTTTGATAGGGAGAATGAACTCAGTGCTGTTGATACGTTCAGAGGATTCTACACTCTTTTTTGGATATTTGCTGCCATGATGGGAATTCGTACAGCAGTCGAATCATACGATGCAACAGGTAGTTTATTGGGGCTGACTTTCGGTAGATTGATCAGCAGGGATGGTGTAGTCTTGGCTATATCAGATGCAGTGCTCGTATGCTCAACTTCTATTTCTTTTGTCTTCATAAAAGCCATCCAACATGGTTGGATCAGATACAATGTCATTGGTCTCACTATTCAACATATAGTTCAGGTCTTCTTCCTAGCTATACCCGTATTTTGGTCCTGTCAAAGGTATGTCTTAGCTTTGTTGGAGATTATTTGCTAACTATATCAGGAATTGGCCATGGGTTCAATCTGGTTTCTTAACGCTCCATTCATTGACCATGATTATGAAGGTATTGGTATGAATATACTCACAAACCACAATTAATTAGACTATAGATACACTCTTACATGGCTACAAATGGTTACTTCGCTAATGTTCTCGGTCAAATAAAGTCATTAGAGGCACAGCTTGCAAACCTCAACGCAAGCGCGCTTAAAGCAAGCGATGAACAGAAAGTAGCCCAAGACGAAGAGAAATCAGGAGATCTTAAGAAGCGTAAACCGTTCAGCAATGTCAAGGAGGAAGAAAATGAAACGAACAATGGAGTATCAACTCCACTTGGATCTAACGAAATTGAAACAGCAGATGTCAAAGACGTCAGCGAACATCCACTTACTCACGCACCAAATCCTGACATTGCAAAAGTTGCTTCTGAAATAAACGAACTCAAATCACACATTACTTCTCAAGGTCCTTCCAAAATATCATACCCAAATAACGTAACATTTGGTAATTTCTTAGACTACCTTCTTGTTCCTACGTTAGTTTATGAATTGGAGTACCCTCGTACTGAGAAAGTAAGATTGTGGTATGTTATCGAGAAGACATTGGCTACCTTCGGTACTTTCTACATACTTTGTGGGTGATTTACTAGAATGGTATTCATCTAACACACTACAGACGTCATAAGCGAGCACTACATTTCACCAAAGATGCCACGTCCAGAAGAATGTGAGGCTTGTCTTGGTTATATCAACAATCTGACATCTCAAAACAGCTTTCGCCAGAACATGGCTAGATCTCTGTATACCATTTCTGTGCAATTACGTGCTATTGTGAGTATTGCACTGTTCTTATCATTCACAGCTGACATCTAAGGTTCTACATCATGTAAGATTGAGGATTTCACCTACTTCAATCAACTGACAGACTTAGCTTTGAATGTATCTGCAATGCCTTTGCAGAATTAACAAGGTTGGTACTGATAATATTTATGTGATGGTCGATAACAGTTGTTAGATTCGCTGATAGGGAGTTCTATCAAGATTGGTGAGGCAAAATTACGATCAATATATCTTGCTAACACAATATAGGTGGAATGCAACGACATGGGATCAATTTGCGCGCAAGTGGAACAAACCTGTACATATGTTCCTCTTAAGACACGTTTGTAAGTTAAACGTAATTAGTCGGCGCAAACACTAACAAATATAGATGTTTCGACTATATCCACATACAAGATATCCAAACAATCAGCGACACTTTTGACTTTCTTGCTTTCAGCACTCGTTCATGAGCTCGTAATGGCAGTTGTAACAAAGAAGATCAGGTGAAGTGTGAGGTATTAAGCGAAATATAACTGACATGGTTATCATAGAATGTACCTATTCATGTTACAGATGGCACAACTACCAATGATCGCGATTGGTAGATTACCTGTTGTAAGAAGGTATCCAGCGTTCGCGAACATGTTCTTCTGGCTTGGACTAATGTCAGGGCCACCATTGCTAGCAGTAGGATATATGAAATATTAATTTGTTTTACTTGTAAACTATTATTTAATCACGATGTCTCTTGAAGAATAACAATCACGATGGATCGTCGGAAAGCAGAGATTGAGGAGAAGAGGACGAAACTAGCAGAACTTAAGAGAGCGAGAGCTGAGAGGAAGAATGCTATAAGTAGTACGAACAGAGGTCAACTTGACAATGTGCGTTTTGGTAGATATGTGTGATATAGACAGCTAAACTTTAGATCAGGTAGCTGAACTACCAAGCAACACAGACTATAGTCGGATAGGGAAGAAAGAAATAGACGAACTCGTAGCATCCCTCCTTGGCTCTAACTCGGTACTTAGCGATAGCACTAACATTGTGAAGAAGCCAGAACAAACTGAAGTAACGAAAGTTGAATAGTAAGCATTGACTCATCGTCGGGATATTATCTCACTTAATTCAGTACCCAAGCACCTAGAGCTCAAGTTGAATTACAATCAGTAGATCAAGAAGTCTTCAAGTTACCCTTGAAAGTAAGCTTGGATGCAGTATTTACAATACTTTTCTCATATTACTATCACAGGAAATAGTCACTTACAATAAAGAAGTACAAACAGCTAGTATACCCATTGATGGAGACGATACACTTGGTGATGCAGGCGTAGGAACTGAGACAGCTGAGGAGCTTAAACAGCGTATGCAGAAAGAAGATGAATTACGCGTTGAACATGAGAAAAATCTCGCTGAGGAAGAAGCAGCCATACAAAAAGAGATTGAGCAGGAGATACATGGTGTGTAATACCATTTTCTGACAACCCATGCGCTCAATCACGTTTAGAACTCACTGAAGAAGAGCGTCTGGCTGTATATACCTCGCCAGACTTTGGTGATTTCGTAGAGAGCTCTTCAAAGATCATTCAGCGAGCATTATCAGACAATTATGACATAACGAGGGATTATCGCATGGCTATGGACTCAGCTACACATGAGAGTGAATCGCGCAATATGAAGCTTTTGTGTTCTTTCGCAGATGACCGATGGACAAAAAACCGCTCGGTCACGGCCGTTGATTGGTCTCATATTGTAAGCTTAACTACGATGGTTATCTATTAAGCTAATGAGATCTTTCAAGTTCTCTGAACTCAGTTTGGCGGCGTATAATAAGAATACCGCGTCTTTCAACGATCCGAATGGTATTGTTGCAATCTGGAATATGCACTTGCTAGACAGACCTGAATTCGTGCTGCATTCCCAATCTGATGTACTCAGTGCGACCTTTTCACCCTTCCACGCGAATCTTATCTTTGGTGGTACCTATTCGGGCCAAATATTGTTATGGGATACACGTGCAAAGAGTACGCCAGTATTGAAAACACCATTAAGTGCTACGGGACATACACATCCCGTTTATGATATGCAAGTCGTCGGTACGCAAAATGCCAACAATCTTATGACAACGAGTACGGACGGTTTGGTATGTAGTTGGACGGTCGACATGCTGGCACAGCCACAGGTAGGTGGTTTCCAAAAACTAAGACCGTCTAATCGTTCTCTACTAGGAAAGCTTAGAGTTATCAAGGACGGGTCATAACAAGACCGACGAGGTTGCAATCACATGTCTTGATTTACCACACGCTGAAACAATGTCATTCTATGTCGGAACAGAAGAGGGAGCTATATATCATGCTCATAGACATGACAGAGCTGGCGTCAAAGCTGGTGTTGATCATAATGAGATATACGCCGGACACAACGCGCCAATCAATTCCTTGAATTTCCATCCATTGTATCGTACAACAACAAACGCGATAGATTTCACTGACTTGTTCCTCACGACATCGCTCGATTGGACGATAAAGTTGTGGTCAACCAAGGGATCGCCAGCTGTAAATGGGCAGCAACAGCACCACAATCCATTGCAGACGTTCAACGAGCACACCGATTGCGTATATGATGCACAGTGGCATCCACATCATCCTGCGGTATTCGGGTCCGTCGACGGTTGTGGAGAGTTTAAACTATGGAACCTTAATATGGATACCGAGGTACCGATCAGTAACGCGAGCCCGTCAAATAAAGCAATAAACAAGATGTCTTGGGAGAGAAAGGAAGGTAAGAGGGTCGGACTTGGCTCAAGCGATGGTAATCTTTATGTATATGACATTGGAGATCAGGCAACACTCAGAGGAGGCACAACGGAGTGGGATGATTTCCAGAGTGTTGTAAACCATTTAAAGAAAACGTCTATACATTAGCTATAGCAGAACCCTGCCACCGTGCAGGTGATGATAAACTCGAATTGGCGATTTAGATGGAAGTGAATAATATAAGAAATATAAATAATAATAGATTGTAATGAATCAATAAATAAAAGTAAAAAAAAGTAAAAAATCAAATTAATCGAGTAAACGTCTCTTGTACTCGTTGTACAACGTAGCTTATAGCAAGACAAGCTAAATAAGCTGGTTTTAGATTCTTCTCAATAAAAAAAACGCATAGGATATACAATGTGAGTTGCCCGCTGTGCCTCTCTGCTATTCAACTTACACAGCTCAGCTTTGAATGATAGCAGCATCTTTCAATGGAATTTCCTCATCATAGACAATCACAGTCATTATCAAGTCATAGGCAATCTAATTCAATGTTAGCATCTCCACAGTCCTCACCACTTTCACCCAACCAGACCCCATTCTTCTACGCTCCCCAAGCTCCCACAAATCAAGCTCTTTTCTTCCATCAACAGCAGCAGCAATGGGCGGCTGCTGCAGCTGCTTATCACCAGCAGCAGATGATGTTCCATCAAAATCATATATTCACACCACCAAACCCAGATTTTACTGGCAGGCGAAGGACCTCCTCAGGTCCGCAAAGACCGAGTTCCACACATCCATACCAGGAATCTAGGCAGCAAACCTATTCACAAGTGGCTAGCCTAAACCCTCGCTCAACTGCTAGTCATAGAAGGTCGAAATCTGATGCTCTATCAAAAGATGATATCTTAATAAAAAATACTACGAAAGCTACTAGTCGTCCTATGGTAAATAGAACTGAGAGTTCACCAGCAGCAGCAACTTCTAGTAAGAAGTATGAAGAAGAAGTCGATGATTTTAGTCCACCTATGGGCCGTATTCGTAATAACTCACACTCTTCGAATGATTCAAGGTCTTCGAGACAATCATCTAATCATTCTCCTCAATCTACTCGTAAAGATCCCCCAACTCTGAATAACAAATCATCACAGCAGTCAACCAGACCTTCACCACTATCACAACAATCACCTCTTATCTTAAATGATACTATAACAAACAAGAATGAAAAAGCTGGACTTAAATCACGACTTAAACGGGCATTGTCCAATCAAAATTCTATGAATCAAGGACCTGCTGATGATAGCGCGATTAATAAAGTTTCAACTATTGCATCACCTACTGTACCAAAATCCCAGCCTGGTAAACAATCACCTTCGCCTTCACCTCAATTACCAACGAGAACTAGAGCAATTTCTGAATCCAATAAGGTTAGACCAGGTGAAGCTAACGAAGCTAGTGAGAAACCTGCCAAAAAGCATAGCATTTTCAATTCTAAATTTAACGTTTCAACTGATAACATTTCAATTTCTTCAGCCGCCTCTTCCGCATCAGTTATGTTACGTAAAATCGGCAGCGTTGGTAAATTGGCACGCAGAAGTTCCTTCGCTGGTTTGACAAACTTATTTAATAAAGATAAAGAAAGAGATAGCGGTGGTGAAGAACCAGAGGATATAAACAATAAATCTATTGGATCAAAGTTAAAAAAGAAGAAGAAGAATAAACGCAAGAAAGAGCCAAGTATATCTGTTAGTCATGCTACTGCTGAAGTTGATAGACATTCAACTATCAATGAAGAACCTGAACTTATAGATGGTTTAAGCCCTGCAGCCGCCTTAGTTAAACAACATCAAGAGCAAGTAGCAGCAGCTGAAGCAAAAGCGAAAGCTTCAACAGGGCATTCACAGCATAATGATTTTAATCACGCAGGTAGTGATAATAAATCAAAGTTGCCAGGTGCAATAGATGTTAAAAGAGATGATGACTCAATTTTATCTCAAGATGATGATGATTTAAATAAAGGTTTACAAGGCGTACAAATACATGAGGAGGAATGGAATACTTCACAATATGATTCATTGGATGCTCCTCATAGACGTGAACACACATTGAAAGGAATTTTGAAAGGAGCAAAAACATACCGTCAAGAAGACTTTGAAGAGAGAAATGAAATACGCGGCCGCTCAAATTCATATACTTTCGCAAATGCTCTGAAAGATGAAGAAGGACGTGAAGTACAACCGCATGTTTCACATCAACTACCCTCACCAAATCCAGATAAGATTGATGGAATATCATCGAGACCTTCATCCATGCATAAACCAATTGATAAACCAGTTGTCAATCATACAAATTCAACATCTGCATTACCAATTCAAGCAATGATTACATTAGCTGCTCAGCCAAAGAGAAAATGCTCATTTGCAAACTCTATGGGCATTCAGCACACGTGGCCGGCGACGATTTATGATAGAAGAGGAGAACCCGCAACTTGTAACAGGTTAACACCTGAATTGGCTCAAATGATAAAAGAAGAAATGAATGCATTTAAAATGGAAGAGATGAGAGTACACGCCAGTTCCAGGTTAAAGTGAGTTAAATGATTTTCTAGATATCATCTTCTAACAATAACTTTAGTACACAATTCTTCCTATAAACAAAAATGATTTTACCCAATTTTCTGAAATAAATTTTGTTTGAGATTTGTAGAAAATGTTTTTCTTTTATAATACCCAAAGTTATTAACGTTTTTGATAATTTCTTGCTCTTTGCGGTCTTGTCGTCATCATTGAGTATGCTGAAACTAAATGAAACACCTTCACGAATATTAAGAAGGATAAATGAGGAGGACAAGGAAGAATTGATGTCTCTACCAAGTGTTGATGACCAAGACTACTCAGGTTTAACAGAGACTGAATCTAATGCGACCACAACACAGCTAAAAGAGAATGATAAACCTAAGATGACATTCAATTACGCAGAAACTCCTAACAAGTTGGATAACACGAATAAAACTCCAAAAGACGCGCTAAAACGTTCAATTACTCAACCAAATGTACTCATGTCTGCTATGAAGGATAAGGCGAAATCTAACGTAAATAGTACACCATTCCCAAAGACAGTTTCATTTTCTAGAAACCCTTTAAATAATGATAATCAATCAGTCGAGTCTTCGTTTGCTTCCTCGAATAATGATCTTATAACACCACGACAAGTGAGCGGAAATCCGAATGAATCAGGTAATAGATTTGATGGAAATAAATTAAACTCATACTTGCATTCACTCAATCAGCATCTCACAACAGAGAATCAACAACTCGTTAGTGCACTTGAGAATGCCAAAGAGGATGCATTTGAAGCTCAAGAGCAATTGCGCTTGATTGGTGATGAACATGATGCTGAAATTGATCAATTGCATAACGAAGTTACCCGTTTGAAAACTTCAAAATCGCAAACGACATCCGATGAAGTACAGAAATTGTCTTACACGGTTGATAAACTTCAAGAGGAGGTATATCATTACAAAAATCGATCTAAGCAGCTAGAAGAGGAAGTCGCTACCCTCGACAATGATAAATATCAACTTAATAAGGAACTTGAAGATACACGTAGGTCACACAAAGATGTTGATGGTAAGATGGAAAAATATGAACGTACTATTGGTGGATTGGAAGCTGATATACATGACATGGAGATTGAGTTTGAACGCCGTCAATCAATCCATAATAGTCATTTAGAAGAATACAAGAAGGTTAACCATGAAATGGACAAGCAATTACAATCTAACCAAATTGAAATTGAAAGTCTAACATCAAATGTTAACAAACTAAATGAAGAGCTTGATCAATTAAGATCTTATAACCAATCTAATAGTCAATTCACACCACGGAATAAGTCGAAATCTCAAACTATTGATATCACTCCGGCTGTACATAAGAGTGTGATTAATTTGAAAATGCCAAAAACACCTGCAACTCCTGAATGGATGGGACATGATACTTGGTTAAATCAAACAACGATTGGTGCCGGTGATGTACAACCACTCCTTGCACAAGTTGCTGCACTTAGACAACAACTAGATGGTGCTAATGATGAAGTTGATAGAAATATCCGTAAGCTTGGTGAAAGTGGACTTGATAAGGGATCTGTTGTTAAGAAACTACTTGAAAGTAGCGATAAAGTTCATACTCTTGAAATGGAATTGCGGAAAGTACATGAAGGACAAGAGGAGGATCGAAAATCAATTGAAGCATTAATAGCAGAGCGTGAGAATATTGTTAAAGTGAGTGCCTGGATTTCTAAATCGATATAACTAAAAAAAACTACGCAGCTCAGTGATACATTGCAAGATGAATTACAGAAAGCTGAAACAAAGGTAATGAAATTAGAGAACAAGCTCACGGAAACCTCACAAATGAGACGCAAGTATGATAGTAAGGTTGATCAATGTGAACAACTTGAGAAACTCAATAGGGAATTAGAGGAAGATGGACGTGAAACGCATGAAGAGCTCGCGCGCCAAGAGATGGCTTTGAATAGAATGAATAGAGAGTTCATGATCCTTGGTCAGGATCTTGAAATGCTCAAGAATGAACGTGATGGATTGGAGCATCGTCGAACAACTTCCCACAACATGCTCAAAGATGAGTTATCAGAGTCAGAAGCTAAATTACGCGCATTGGAGGCACAATTGAATAATAAGAATGCTACAATGTCAAGTGAAGAACGTAATAACTTTATTAGAGAACGTCGTGGTCTTGCTATTGAAATTAAGTACCATAAGGCTAAGTTTAATCGTGAGAGAGTTTTACGTGATGATCTTATATGTCAGAAAAAGTATCTTCTTTTGTTAGTCGGTGGATTAAGATTGACGTGAGTACTTATGTTATCAGCTGAGACAAAATGAGACTAACGATATATAGACAAGATGCTACTATTGCTGCCATTTCCAAGATCGGTTTCATGGAAGAACTCGCTAAACGTCCAAAGATGAAGCCAACTACGAAGTTCCGTAGTGCTGCATTTGCGATTATCGCAATAAATAGAATGAAGTGGGTGAATTACCACGCTAATTTACGATAAACTAACTTTATGCTTAGAAATGCCAAAGTAAATTGGCAAACTGAACGCTATGAGCGTGATAAGTTGATAGCTGCACGTTCTTTACGTCGCTGAGACATCTTGTTCCCTTCTATCTCATTACTGTTGTAAAATTATTAAAATTCACACACATACACACATACACACATAAAAAGATCCTTGCGCTCGAGAATAATATAACAATTTGTTAGGGGAACAAAAGAATAAAAAAAAAAAGGTATCGAAGCCAGTTCGAGGTGTTTTGAAAGTGAATAAGAAAGTGAAGAAACTAAAATGTTAGGAGAGTAAGAAAAGTTTCAATTTCACTCCAATGAAAGAGATATTTAGTGTGAGTTACGACGAGCGTGACGGCGCATACGCTTTTGGTTTCCTGCGGAACCTGGAACGTATGGCTTTGGACCAGGAATCTTGTAGCTTGAGATACCATCTGGACCTGGGGTGTAGATGTCTAAGAACATGTCATCTTGAGTGTAGACCTCGGTTGCCTTAACGAGTGGTGGGACAACACCTTGGCCGTTCTTGACGTTAAGTTGGATACATTGTGGGTAAGATTGGATACCACCTGGCCATGTGTGACCACCACCATCTGGAGTTTGAGCAGAAGCTAAGTTGATGATTTCATGTCTAAGGAGGTATTGACCATCTTGAAGGTCGTATGGGATAGTAGTAGACCACCATGATTGTTGTTCAGTGGAGAGTCTATCTTGAGCCCATTGACCTTGACCTGATGGGCGACTTGGCCAGAAACCTTGTGGGGAGCGACCCTTGGAGGTATCCAAACCAGCCTCATCAAGCTTAAACATCATAGTGTTCTCGTCTGGGGTGAATTGGGTGCAGTCACCGTTACATGGGACCAACCAAGACATGATAGGACCTTCGTAGTGACCCCAGTAGTCACCAGTTGGACCACGGTCACCCTTCCAGCGCATCTTGACAACGTCACCAGCGTTAGCTTCAACGACTTGTTCAGCTGGTTGGTTTCCGTTTTCATTACAGACCTGGTAGTTGTTAGAACTTGAAAAATAGCGCATGAAATTTTTCACATACGACGTTTGGAGTGTTAAGGTTCCAGCTGATGGTTTGTCAGTAAATGAGTAGGGAAAAAATCAGAAGACTCACTATTTAACGTAACCTAAATCACCTGGTACACCACGGATACTAATGAGAAATGTCAGATGAGCTGTCAAATGGCATTCCATAGGATATAACGCACGCTGGACCAGCAGTTGAGTAGTTTGAACCGTCGTGGTGTCTGTCAGCGACATAGTCTATCGGAGTATGTAAGCAAGACAAATGCCAATATGCTGCTGTAACCCACATTCACTGATGTATCCATGTCCTAAAACATATGAAGCGAGTGTGAGGAGAGCCGCAGTGCGAATCATGTTCAAGGTATAGTTTCTCGAGGCAAGGTTGAACGGAAGAGAAGGAAGCACAGATTTAAAGGGAACAGTGCACGCAAATTAAAAATGAGGCAAATAAACAAATTACAAATAAAAAAACTTCAAATAACAAAATAAACGAAAATAAAACAATCATAAACAACTCTATTTTAGATAGCGGACGACCTGGGGCTTTTTTCTAGGTTTCGTTCCTGAGATGCCAGAAAACCGCGCAATTGAGACAAAATAATAAAAACATCAAGAACTATTAGCGTAGTTCTTTGGTAGTCTTTCCATATTGATATGACACAGATTTATCACACAGCCTTATGACACCATAACCCCTCATTCCATTCTATCTAGAACTAATTTTAGACTAGTACACTAAAAATAACCACGTGTGTCACTCAAATTATGTCTCAATTCGTAATTTGTTTCATTTAGATTCAATTCACGAATGTATCCATAACTTTAAAAGCATATGATCGAATATTTGATCTTCAAAGCTCGGTTGCAAATGACATGCCTTATGTGATCGAAGGAGTAAATATGCAAGAAAAATATTGCTGCTATTCTAATTATCTAATAATACATAATACAATCAATTAATGCGACTCATGATGGTAGGTGGATCAGCTAATGATGTGTCAGTGAAAACATTACTGAAAAATTGTAAACTATACTTACGTTCAGGGAATTGCTCCTCTTCTGCTTTCCTATATATAGTTTCTATCATATCTTTTGACTCACGTCTTTCGAGATCGTCGCGAGCTTTGATGAGACTTTGCACGAATTGCAAACATGGACCGTGACGTTTAGCGAATGGCTACGAGAAATTAATAAAATCAATACGAAGCGACCATCACTCACGAAGTAATCAAGATAAATCATTGACTCTGATGACGTTAAGAGAGACACAACTCTTTCGAGAATATCAAGATCATCCTGTATATCACCAGCTTTACGGTAGCGTTTGAAGAAAGTGTGTGCTTCAAGGGTATCTGCTTTTATTTGCTCAACGAATGGCAAAACCTTAATCTTGGAGCATTTCTTGAGCATGCGCAGGTACGTAACCAAGAATTCGTGCATGAGCTAGACAGGAAGTTAGTTTAAATGCCGACTTTTATACTCAAATACCTACACTTTCAACAAGTAGCTCACGCAATGAGACGTTCATAAACTCTGACCAATCATCGAGATAATCGCGCATAGTTTCCAGCATCTGGATTACCAAGGACTCCTCAAACCAAGCACTACCGAATAAGCCCTTAATAGCAGGTTTAAGATCAGAGAAGATAATTGAAACAATAATTTCAATACACTTCCTCGCAACATCAAGACTACCATCCATGGCGTCATTAAGTTGTTTTTGTATAGCAGTTTTGTATTTATCACTAACCATAACTTCCGTACGTTGGAGTAAACTTTCTGTAAAGTCAGCAGCTTTAATTTGGTCGTTAGCAAGAGCGATGAGGTATTCTCCTAAACCGTTTGCAACAAATTCAGGCTTCTTATTCATTTGTATAGACTCAGAGTTGATAATTTCAGTCCAATCGGCTTGTACTGATCTAATAACTCTTGAACATTCAGTTATAACCCTTGCGAGAACACCACCTTGACCACTATTTGCAGCTAAATCTGCTTGAGAGTTTATCATTTGGAATAATATTACTGCTCCTTGCATTCCCCATAAACCATCACCGTCTATCTCAGGTGGTTGAGAACGTTGACTAAATTCTGTCTTCTCATCTTTCATTAGATTGACGGTCCATTCGTCAAGTTTACGTGTGAGTAATTGTACGTAATCTTCTATAAGATCTTGCTCTTTACCATCGAGTAGCGGTGGAGAATTTATCCATTCTAGTGGGATGTTTAACTTTTCCATCTGCTTTGCATAGTTCTTTACAAAGTTGTAAAGTGTCAATAGAACTGCAGATTCTGGTTCACTTGATAGTATCCTCTTAAGTGACTGATTTAGACGTGTGTGATAAGCTATTATGTACACCTGATGTATATTGAAGTCGTTCGGAAAGAGAACTTGCACTTTGTCGGTTATATCTTGAAAGTCTTCATAAATCCAATCGAGAGTTTCCAAGAATGCAGCATTATCATCTTGATGTTGTTCATCAGCTGCGTCGAATAGTTCATCAACGCTCTCTTTAATATTATCGATGAGAGTAAGTTTCATATTCTTTATAGAACGTGAATTAGCTTGCATTTGTTTAAATCTATCATTTTTTGAATCTTCATTTGCTTGGATGACGAGTTTGAGTGATGTTACTTTCTCATCTTCACGTTGTTCATGTTCAACGATTTGTACAAGCCTCTCAACGACTGATTGATCGCCATATCTAACGACATCAAGGATGTGTTTAGATAAATCTTGTAAGTGTAGTTGAAACTCTTCAATCAGGGCGTTCAACTTGTGGAAATGTTTAAGAAGGGTATCTCTAGATTGATTATCTAGCTCGTTAGCCTGATACAGAGCGTGGTTTTTGAAAGTTTCCAATTGAGATAACTCTGAGTGTATAGGTATGAGGTAATTGTTTGAACCCATTGGATCTTCCTTGTCTGCATCCAACCAAGACTCGATGGTTGATATTTTAGAGTACATCTGACGGAGATTGTTGACAGTTTCCTCGACTTGGTTGAAATTGCGATGAATCATTGCGACTTGAGAGATGTTTGAGAAGTCCTTATTAGTTGAATTTGAATTGTTCGTTAGTTGCTTAACGGAAGAGCGTGTGTGATATAAGCTTCTCAAGCTATCCCTAGTTAGATCCAAGTGTTGTGCTAGGTTTGACTTTAGTTTTGTGTCTATCAGGGATTTCTCTTTTGATAGCTTATTTTTAATAGTAGATAATTTAGAGAGATCATCCTATTAAAGTGTTACGATAAAATAAAATAAATGTTATTACCTTACTGGTGATTTAAATGCGTCTATGACTATTGTAGATTCAACCATGAGTGTAAGTGATAAAGAGCCGTCTATTATAGTCGATAACAAAAGCAGGATAATAGATATTGCTATTTACACTACAAAACAATAGACAAGGAATCAGCTTCTATTGATTTACCTTTTGAGGGTGAGTTGATATTCAGATAGCAGAAGTAACTAATTAGGCTAGATATACAAGTACCTTTAGAGCTCCTACCAGTGTCCTTAGATGAGGAACAAGGTGGGTTGTATCGCTGCGATGGGCTATTACTTACAACTTGATAGCGACATTACCTTCAACTGTACACCCTTCTTATCCCTACGGCAACCCATTCAAGGAGACGCATTCGACGATAGAGCAGACATCATCAATAAAGACCCAAGTTAATTCTCTCTACTGGGATGACCTAGCCTTGGATGATCTCCTACCAAAGAACAACCAATTCAAGTTGGATATACTAAGCACAGAGCAGCAGCAAGAGGAAGAACAGGATGAGGATGAGGAGTATGAAGACAATGAAGATAACAATAACGGTGATCACTCGTCTAATTCTTGGTCTGAGTGACCCTGTCTAGCAGCTTATTTACAACTATTTCCTTCTTCTTATCAAAGTTATCGTTTAACTCTCTTAATGCATTCTCGGTATCCTTTTCAACTTGTCCTTTGTGTTTTGATTGACTGTCTGATGACTGTATAACGTTAGTTTATCTATTAACTCTGAGTATGAGTAACTCACATCATTTTGTGCGCTTTTGAAGTCGTCTTCCTTCGCTTCTTTCATACTTTGTACCTCCTTCTGAGCGTCTGTTCTAGCTTGCTTCAGCTTCTGAGTTCTGTAATCCCTAGCTTGTTGCACTATCAATGCACCGTCCCTCTCAGCTTCCAACAGCGTCTGGATACCTTGTGAACTTGATCGTGACTGTGAGGTGTATAAATTAATTTTTACTATATATTCACTATACTTACCATATTGACTTGGATGTTAGTTGATAAGGTCCATCTACTACTACCAAGATGTACTTAATTTCAAGGTTTTTAAATATTATTATTTATTATTATATATTTAACGATATACAGATCAATTGACCCTTTGTTGGGCGTATTTACAGGCTTTCTTTCTTTCTACTTAAACGAAACACATCCAAAAACATACAGGGAGGAACCTGATAGATTGATTAGCCTAATAAAATGGAAGTTAGACCAGCGGAGACTATCTACACAAAATGACGACAACAACGACAGCGATTTGAATGATTTAATACAACAATTTAATAATACAAAATAATTCACTTTTTCTTCTTCTGTATGCTTTGTAATACTTTCTTATTAGGTGTGTTAGAACTCATGCCGAGTTTATTCTTGCATTCGGTACAATACCAGACCTAAATATCGTTAATTGATTCTTATTGTCTGGTAATCGATGACATACCTCTGGTAACGGTGGTTTAACATTAACGCATCCCAAGTGGAACCACTGGAATTGACAATCATCGTTGTCACAACCAATCATCTGTTGGTTTTGTTAGATGTGCTTATCACTACAAGACCTCTTCCACTCACTTCTCCATAAGACTTCTTCTGGCAATAACAATAAACATTTTCATCCTCATCAGCTTCACCGGTAATACCACCCTTTGTAGAGTCTGAGATTGATTCATCCTCCATCGCGTCAATTGATTGATCTTCTTCACTTTCAGAAGGACGAGCTGAGGATTGACGTGACTTCTTGCTGGTGTTATTACCACTGCTTGGATTGAGACTACTAAGCTTGCGCTTCTTTTGAGTGACTTCTGACACTCCTGGTGTTGATATTTTATCGGTAATTGATGGCCTTTTCTGGCTATTACTGGACAAACTTTTATTGAGAGCAGCGGGTGTAGGTGTAGATGGAGCTTTTTGATTGAATGGATTGGATATAAGAGTAGCAGGGGAGTTCAGTGGAGCATTACCAGCGTTTAGGTTAGCCGATAGTTGCTGCACCGTAACCAAGTCAACGTTAACTCTCTTCACGTGTTTATCAATCAGCATTTTAAGCTTATTCGACCATTCCAGTTTTTCATTAGCCAGTTTATCGAGTCTATCATACTCAGATTTGAGATAATTATCAAAGTCAGTATCAGGTTTAGTTTCCTCCTTGTTGGTAGTACTCCCAGGTGGTTTAGTTTTCAACATTGTCGTATTCAATTCCACCTCTTTACGCTGTATATTATCGCGTATCTCTGAGGATGACTGATCTCTGAGTCTAATTTCAGTTAAAATAAATTGAAACTCCTGCTGGAGATTGTCAAGGCTATTGACGAATTCTGTGGCTACTACTGCAGCCTCATCCATCTCACAACTTGGTGGTGTCGATAGAACGATGAAGACAACGGAAGGGGTTAAAGTAATTTCAACCCTAGTTAGACAGCCAGCCGGTGTAGAGTCTAGTAAACAAGCGAATGATCCTAATAAATCAAACTATGAACCTGAACTAGAGACTAACTCTAGAAATAGGGATAATGTGATGAATGCAGCTGAGTGGTTGGTCTATCCATTAACAGCCCCTTACCCTAACTAATACACACAGGAATTCACATCTCATTTGGGCTAGAAGAGAGCGTGGACCGCAATTCGATATGAACACCCAGATGTGAGTGATTTGCGAGCTATATAGCACAAACTAATAAGGCTATAGGTATCAATTCGACAAACAGAGTCTGGACTACTACACACAATCCTCAGATCCCTCTCTCGGGGCTATCAAGAATCTACTCAATCAAAACGAGAAACCAGCGACAAACGAGGATAAAGCTGGACGGCGGAAGCGTTATTAAGTGACTGATATTGTACTACTAGTTTTAATGCAAATTTATTACCCTTTTGTTAATGTCATATCATATTCCGTCCGTGCGTAGATTTCAACTGTCTACAATACCTTTTAAATTCCAAGGAGAACAACGCTCGTTAAAGTCTAACTACGATGCTCGAGAAGAGGCTAACTCATAGACATCATAATCACCATAGACGCGCTATATTTGACGGTATACTCGGTGATTCTAAAGATAGTAGCAGTAGCAAGTCGGGTAGTAGCAGCACAGGCAGCAGCAGCACAGGTAGTGGTTCAAGCTCAACTAAATCTGGCTCGTCTAGTACAGAATCAAGCTCAAAGACTGATTCCTCGTCTTCGAAAACGTCTTCTAGTGTGAGCAATCCTCCATCTTTATATCACAATCTAACAAAGTCACAATAGTCAAGTTCAGAAACATCATCTAGCAGCTCAGATAGTCCATCACCAAGTTCATCCCCTACAGACTCTTCACAAGCTCAATCGACAACCACAGATCCAGCCGGTTCAAATAACGGTTCAAATGATGCACCTACACTTGGTACTGGACCTATAGTTGGTATAGCAGCAGGTGGTGTCGCGGCTATTATTATACTCGCGATTATTATCGGTTGCTGCGTCCGCAGGAAATCTAAAAGATCAAAGAAGCCAGTAGTTGATCCATTTAATCGCCATTCATTCAAGCATGAAGCTGAGCTTATACCGGATCCTATAGAAGCTGATTATAGAAATCCATCACCAAGACCTAACATGGCTGGTATGGGTGCCGCTACTAATAATTACATTCCTCCACCTTCTTTACCTGGCTTAGCGCACGTACCACGCGTAGATACACCACCGATGATGCAGTCACGCTCTCCATTTGATCCATATGGTCAACATCATCAATTACAACATCCACAATTGATGAATGTTGGTATGGTTCCACCTTATAAACCAAATTCACCTAGTTACTTCCCAGCTTACAGTGACACTTTGATTCCACCACATCCACCAAATCTCGATAGATCACCATCAGTCCAATCACATTCAGCTGATATTTCATCACCACCAATGTATACACCACCAGATAATCCTGATTTCTTACCAAACCCATACGAAAATAAAGGCGCACCATCAGGAAAGGGTAATGATACCACAACTGCTACATATAGACCTACTAGTCTTAGACCTGGAATGCAACTACCACAGGGCGGGAACTCACGTGGGGCTGCACCTTCACATAACCTCAATGATGCTTACTCTGGCATTTAATAACTACCTTGGAAGTGAATAAAGTGTAATGAACTGGTTTTACCACTTTTTTCGCGCAACATTTTCTCCACATATCAAATAACGATTAACGAACAATCTATTTACATTCTTTGAACCTTCTTACTTTTTCTTTTTATAAAACTTTCCAATTTTTAATAATACATTACTTTATTTTCCATTTTATACAAATAATTACCAGATTCGCTTTACCATATCATCTGTGATGTGTTAGAAGATGGATGTGATAGAATAATTATTGTGACTCACATCTGGAAAGCTCCTCTAGGGGTATTTTACCAGTTGGTGCGTTAGGTACATCGTCTATCCTAGTAGACAAATGTTGTTTACTCCTAATGCGATCGTCCTTAAGAGTTGTTAGGTTTGTAATATTTACATTAATTAACACTCACTTTATCTTCATTTCCCTCCCCTATTGGTGTTTGCAAGTTAGTCAGAACATCTTCTGTTCTTCTAGCTACCGCTTCTGCCTGTCTATGATGAGCGAAAGCGCTAAGTCGTATACCCAAAAGAAGCTTGATAGCGAGCAAAACAAGCCATCCGACGACGCATACAAGCAACCAAACGAACCATTGCATTACAACAGCACCTCTTTGAAGAGCTGAAGGTGGGAGTGTAGCACATTCATCAATCGAGGAGCTGTCGCTAAGCATTCCAAGTGCTTGAACTGCAACTCTAACGACAAATGCACCTAATGGTATAGCAGCAAAACCTAACCTTCGACTAGCCTTTGGTGCGAGATCAACGGGTGCGCCAATTTTTTTCGTTGTTGATACGAGATCACCTGCCAAAATGTCAACGAATCTACCATAAATGCTTGGACGAATATGCATAAATTTTGTAATAAAAGCATGCTTGAGCCAATCAACAGCCATTTCTGATAATATGACTATAACAACAGGTGAAAAAATTGTCTCTAATTGTGTATTTGAACGTATGAAAGCACGTGGAAGGAATGCAAAATTAGATCCACTTAATTCGATTAAGTTCCGACATGCAATGATAGTCAACATGAGCATCAATTGAAATCTTTCGACAATATCAGCGCAAGTTATTTGAAATAACGAAGATTTATCAAAACGCTTGAAAACACTTCCTTTAATTTCAACAAATTGATTACTTAATAGAAGTGTAAGTAGTGCGTTATCATAACTATTAACTGCAACATTGAGTGCGACAAGTTGGTAGAGAAAGACAAGTGAATGGGCTACTGCGTAGATAACAGCCAGAGCGAGATAAATAGGTGTAGTACTAGGTTTCTGCGTCAATCTCGTCCGTGAGAATAATGAATCAAGGATGTCCTGACCTATTGAACAACACAACTTATCAGCGATTTCAAGTGCGTTGAATATAACGTAGAGTTTAACATTATCTTGCCCTCGTACACCATGATACATCCTTGATGGCTCTGTGTATATCAACAGAAACGCACTTGTTAACAAAAACAAGAGCATTTTAAGTATATCTGCTTTCTGTGATGCATTTAAGGTTTTACCAACGTTCAATAATGCGAATGTCGCTCTAAGTGGTAGTATTGTGAACGTGTATAAGAAGCTATCCAAGCATACTAGACTACCAAAGTTGATAACTTTCTCAATACCCAATGGAACCTGCAAGAAGTTGGAGACTCTCTCAGATTTATAATGCTGTGTGTCTGCTATCTCTACACTCCTAAGTTCCTCTTTAAGGTAATCAAGTAGTGAATGCGTTGTTATCTGGTCCTCTATACAAGGAGACTGACTTTCTTGAGGAGAAGAAGGCTCAGAGTAGTAGAAATCCTTAAAATACTTAATTAAATTTTACTTCTTCTCTATATTCGAGAACTTACATTAGTCATACTCCTCGTTGCTCACTATCAAGAAAGATATGACGAGCCAAAGGGAAATATCAGACGAGGAACTCCTAAAAGCGTTATCAGAGAAAGTAGAGAAGTCGAATGTAGAGAGTGTAGTAGAAGGTATCATTAATAGACACAACAAAGCCGGAAATCTAGACACAGATATTCTTGAAACTGAGTTAGAAAGTAATCAAAGTGAAATTAAATCTCAATTGGATTATATAAGCCATACGAATAAAACACTCAACAAGATAGACAAAGGAAAACATTAAATATTTACATTACAAATCGTGATTTGATAACTTATTTCAATAAAATTATTTACGGCCAGCAACCTTCTTGATTCTTGCTTGGATTGATGGCGAGTCTAAACCTTGGTGTGGGATTTGGAATTCAACACCACCACAGCCCTCGGTGTGAGCACCCATGAAGTCATACTTGGTGTGGAATCCGCGTTGTAACAACTGAGTACCTAATCTAGATCCGAGACCGTTCTTTTGTGAAATTGATTCAACTACAAAGACGAATCCTGTTTTACCGTATTCCTTGATGGTTTCCTCATCGACGACGTTCAAGGTTGGCTTGTTGATCAAACCAACGTCGAGACCTTCTTTACGGAGGCGCTCAACTGCATCTAATGAACGGTAGAGCATGTCACCATATGATATGACATATCCTGCTGAACCTTTTCTAATTACTTCCTCCTTTCCAGGAACGAAGTCATATCCTTCACCGAATAACTTGGTTTCAGTACCCTCCTTGTAAATGTATGGAACCTTAGCACGGGTGGAGAATACAAACTTCGGACCCTTGTCGAAGAAGACCTTTTGAACGACAGCCTTCATTTGTTCACCATCAGCTGGGAAGTAAAGGTTTGTTTGAGCGGTATCAAGCAAACCATTGTCCGCAAAGAAGTGGTTAAGACCAAAGTGACAAGTGTTGTCAGCCATTTCATCTACACCTGAGTGTGAAAAGTGACACAAGAAGTTACAGTAGTTGAGTCTTGCCATAGTGATTTCGGATAAGCACATTTCCAAGAATGCTGAGAATGTTGAGAAAACACCTTGGCGCTCACCATTACCACCGAAACCGAAACCTGCTGCTGCTGAGAAGTTACCACGTTCCATGACACCAGATGGGATGAAAACTTCTGGGTGGGCTGCATGAATACCCTTCAAACCAGTTGAACCTTCAAGATCTGAGTCAATGACCATGACACGCTTTTGTGCCTCCTCTTTGGAGAGCTTATCGAGAACAAGGTTGACAGCTTCACCGAAGATGACTCTGTTGGCACCCTTGTCAGCTGAAACACCAGTGTATTCATATTGGTATTTTTGTGGCTTGATTTGGTCGTAGAATGATAATTGATCCTCTGAGTATCCACGCTTCGTGAGGTATTTCTTAGCAACAGCGACAGGAATAACATCGTGAGCGTGAGATTCACCTTCAATACCTTCGACTTCTGGTGCAATCTTTCTTGAAGCTACAACAGCAGCTGGACCATCGTAAGAGATAATTTCACACATTGAAGCATAAAGTTTGTCAATATTTTCACCCTCTGTTCTGAAGACCTTTAAGCCATGTCCTTCGAGAGTCTTGGCAGTGTTGAAACCTTTCAAGTATTGTGATGGATGACCGGAGATAGTAACATCGTTGTCATCAACGAAAACCTTTACGTTGAGATTTTGTGCAACAGCGAGACGTGCAGCTTCAGCGTCGTTACCTTCCTGTTGTGAACCATCGGAACCCAACAAGATGACATTCTTTGATCTGTTTGCCATTGCAACACCGTTAATCATTGCCCACATGTGGCCGAGACGGCCAGACGAAAATTTGACACCATCTGAGAGACCCAATTCAGGGTGACCTGGGAGCTTGGAGTGTGCTTCACGGTAGTTGAGTAAGTGCTCTGGAGAGATATGGCCATCTAATGTGCTAAGAAGGTATTGTGTAGCGACACGGTGACCAGCCTCATCGAAGAATGTGTCAACGAATTTTTCTGGGTTAGCATTGATGAATGCTAACAAAATACAGACTTCTGGTGCAGTGTCGAATGGACCACCAGTGTGTCCGGAGACACCTCTTGCAGAACCTGTATTTTGTTAGAATATGGAAAGGAGGACGACGTCATCAGGGCGCCACAACTCACCAGTAGCAGTGAATGCAACGATAGCATCTCTGAAGATGTTGATGTTATGCAAAAGGTCTGCTCTCTGTTGGCTGCTTAATTGTGGGTTTCTGAGGTTATTTGGAGTAAGCAAAATTGACCGACGAAGGAAATAATTATACGTACTTGTAGTCAAGTGTAAGTTTCTTGAATGACTCGAGTGGTACAGGGAATTTGGCGTTTACAGCGGTCATTTTCTTCGTGACTGTTCAATTACAAGGTTTAGAGACAAGTTACTCCAAGAAATCCGAAAGGAAATATAAAATTGTTGGAGTTAGGAACAAACATCATTGATATACGTAGATAAGGCGTTAATAGGAGTACATAAGCTTATTAGTCTGTCTGTTACCCAAATACGTCATTTAGTTTTCAATCTAACGAAAAAATCAGAACTAAAGCGAAAGTTGAATATAACAAGAAACGTTATCTTGTATAGGTCTTTAATGTCAATATTACAATAATTAAACAAATGAATAATAATTTTAACGGCCATATCTACGTCTTGAACCAAAGCCTGTACCAGGTTTTGAGATATCTCTACGTATACGTCTGTAATTAGTCTGTCAGATAGGTTTCTAATGTGAAGGTATATAACTCACCTTGTGGACTTTTCTCTTTCGAGTTCGCGTTTCTCGATGTCCTGGGCTGTATAATACTCCAATCGCGGGATATACTCATCAGCTTCGTGCCAATCTCTCCAAACGCCTTCTAATTTTCTTGGGCCTTTACCATTGAAGAGTGGGTGATCCAAATCTGATCTCTGACCTGTAGATGCACCCATCAATCCTGATTCGATTGCCTCCTTTTTGTGTCGGATCAACTCTTCATGGATTACATGAGCTATAGCTGCTTTTGCTTCACCTGATAGTCCTAAATCTAAACATAATGTCTCGGCGAACACTTCTGGTGGCATTGGGGAACATAAATCCCATTCAACTTTGTCAGTAAGGTGGAAATTGGCGAATTGTATGTCGAGCTGGATTGTCTGTTTAGCATTTTTGTAATCAGGAAATAGTTAAACGAACATTCAATATGACTCTCAAGTCAGTCTCTAAATTCATCGCAATATCCTGATCTTCAGGTTGACCATCGACTTCTTCAACTTGCTTGGTTCCTTTAAATTGCTGTTGTTGAGGTTTTTCACGCTGGTAAACAAGGTCATCTTCATAATTATCCTCATCTTCAACATCCATCGTTGGCTCACTAGTTACTAAACCACCGTTACTCAACTCTTTCAGACGTTCACGATGACTAACGTCAACTTCAATAACCGCTTGGTGCTCTTCAATTTGTTGTTGCATGAGGTTCGCAATTTGATCAGCGTATGGTCTGATTGGGATTTTCAAATCACTACAAAGACCTTCGGCGAATGTAGCAGGTCGAAGGACGGTCTCATTTGCATTCCAGATGAAAGTATCACGGAGTCTCCAATTTTCGTGATCAATTTCAATCCTTATTGGTACTGGTAAGAACGTTCTCTCTGCATTTCCTTCAAGTTCTCTCTCAGAAGCATATTGTAATTTGAACATCCTATCTTTATCTAAAAACTCTGAAACTATGGATGCACCTGGTGGTATATCACCTAGATAAGAACCAACGTAACTAAATTGATCACCACGTCTGATACCACCTGGCATAGGTGTTGATGGACCAGTTGATCCACCCTCGGTCTGCCGTCTAGACGACCGTCTACGACTACCAGAATCATCATCACTATCATATTCCTCTTCAAATTCATCTGGATCCCTCTCGGCGTAGTTTACGAAACCTTTTCTTCTAGAATTGGCCATAGCTTGCGTAGCTAAGGTTTCTTTTGGATTACCATATTTAGCTTCAATTACACCTTGTTGATTGAGTATGTTATTAACTGGTTGCATTAATGTTGTTATACCTTGCTTTATTCGAGCTGGGAAGGTCGTGTAGAGTGCTTGACCACCACCAACTTTCTCTGCTGGTTTGTGAGAATTCTGTAAAGGAACTGGATCACCTGTTTTCCAAACGTGTTTGTAGGGTATATCTACAGCTTCTTCATCATTCTCCAATTGTGCTGATTTTGGTGGTCTACCTGGACCTCTCTTTGGTGGAGGTATAATATCATAACTCTCAGATTTAACCCATTTATGGAGGTAATCTAAAGAAGTTGGATCGTCATTTCTGTGCTCTGCAATCTTCAATAATTGGTAGAGACTCGCTCTATTAAATTGCTCTTTTCTCAATTTATTTACGATTGGCTCTGCGAGTACATCTTGAAAAGACGTTCTAATTCGCTGATAAATTACAGGCCAATCTATATTGTCGTCCATCTAACTTCTTGATCGATAGAGTACAAGATATGAACGCGAAATTTATTATAAAAATTTAGTATATACTATTAAATAGTAGCAATCAAACCTTTTCTATTATGTCTTATTCTAATGATCTCTTCTCATCTCTCATTTCTGAGAAGTTTGAAGTCGACGTATTGGATTTCTTTATAAAGGCACGTATTGTTGTGAGATTAAATATATATTACTAAATAGTTTATACTGTAAGTATTTATTAATTTAAGTTTGCTTTCAGGCCGGTCTCAAAACTGAATCAAGGCTAAGAAACTATATGCAGAACTAACGACGGGAGATGTCGATTATGTATATGAGCCTTTCATTTATATTCCTTGCAAATGCATACCAATCACAGCCAGCCTATTGTTCGGCAACATAATGCATTGAAGGCTGTCTAGACCCTGCAATGGGAACAGAGGGAGATTTTTATCAATGCACACAGTAATTACAACCATCTATGTGTGAAGTACTGACATATAGAGGCCGCTTTTATGCCTCATGCCATGCAGCAACCAATATCACAGGTCCACTGACATTTACTAGACCCGTATCTCACACAGGACAAATTTACACGCTGCAATCATCAGCCTAATTTCAATTAACGTAAGTTCCATGCATGACAACAAATTGACAGAGCTTAGAGCTTGGTGGACACCTTAGAGACATCTTGGCCAGCTGCCTTGGCGCGCTTGGTGAGCTTAGCAATAGACTTGCCACCTCTTTGAGCACCGGTCCAGGTCTTTCTGTGTTGTTCGTACTTCTCGACGAAGTTGGCGTTGCATGCCTTGACGAGAGCAGCGAGGTCTTGTTGGTCCTCGGCGCGGACGTCTTGGATAGCGACGACAGCAGCGGTCTTCTTGTGGACGACTGTACCAAGACGAGCCTTACCCTTGACGATGGCGTATGGGACACCCATCTTACGGCAGAGAGCTGGCAAGAAGACAACAAGTTCAATTGGGTCAACGTCATCAGCGATCAAGACGAGGTTGGCCTTCTTGGCTTCGATGAGTGCGGTAACGTGGTTGAGACCGTACTTGACGAAGAGTGGCTTCTCTGAAGCAGCAGCCTCCTTACCTTCAGCCTTAGCAGCTGCGGCTTGTTGGAGACGTGCCTTCTTCTCAACCTTTGACTCTGGACGGTACTTGTTCATGAGCTTGAAGGCTTGAGTAGCGGTGTTCTTGTCCAAGGTGTTGGAGAATTGACCGATTGCTGGTGGAACCTTGAGACGTTGGTTGAGGATGACCTTTTGACGTTGGAGGCGAACGTATTCTGGCCACTTAACGAATCTGGTCAAGTCGGTCTTTGGAAGAATGTCTTGACCAATGCCGAAGGACTTTGGCTGAGATTCGAAGAGTGGGTTGGTAACCTTCTTCGTAGCCTTAGCCTTGGAGTAAGGAGCTGGAGCTGGCTTCTTTCCTGTTCCTGCCTTTGGCTGTATGCGTGTTAGTAGGCTGTCATTGAGACGAGAGGCAACACAAAGGAAGAAGCCCTCGGAGCTCTAGCGGTGTGGGCACCCAGCCGGTGTATAAAATATATAAGCGCTGCTACTACAGGCTAATTCACTTTGTATTGCCATAGTGTACTGACCATTTTAGTTGATAGTTGTAGCCTAAGAAGTTCTGATTCGTCTTCTCTGAAGTGAGAAATTTGTAAAAATTAAAAATTAAAATTATTCAACCGATTCAATGAATATAATACAAGATAGTGATTCTAGGTATCTTTATTCTATTGTACGGCTCGTCTACACTCAGCTGTGTGGTGTTTTATATATTCGTACCTTAACTGGTTGAGTGATCAGCGAGAAGATTACTATGGTGATTAGCATATCTGCCGTCAAATGGAGCAAATGCTGTCATCACGCTGACCTGGGTGTAGAATTATACCACCTTCGATAGTCCAATAAAGCGCTACTACTATTATCAGCATCAGCGTCGACAACAGAACATACCACTATACAATCCATCTAAAGACATATTTTATCATCCGGTAAGATCTCTTCGTCGTATAAGAACTCATTTGAATGGCGTGAGCTCATAAAATCAATTTCATATCAATTGATTGTTTAGTCAATTTGATATCAGTTACATCTTCATTTGCCTCATAAAAGCGTATTAGCTGTGCCGCCATAGGTTGTAGAGCTCCACTCCATATGTAATTGAAGCTCATCTGTTCATCTTTTTGTGATAAATACAATACCATTGTACAGACAAACTGAATATCTCGCTTATCTACACCATCTGACATGATTTCTGGTATTTTACTAATACTTTAAACCCATTTTGATTCGTATATAGACGATTTGGAGTCGTAATTTGCATTATATACTCTATGAGCTACCCAATGATATCACTTACGCCTCAAGAGCTTCTAGTTGTATTGTCTGGTATCTGTTCTAATATAGTCAAGGTAGAACCTATAGAACAGTTATGATTTATCCGTAGATGTTGATTCATTTTGGCGATAGAACTGTAAACTAGCATGGTAGACCTTTAACACCTGGAGTATGAAGAGTACCATATAGTTACATTATACGCTGTTTCTTAGTTAAATCTCTAGTCTTATTAAATCTCAGGATGTTTGGCGGATGTCTGGCGGAGAAAGACAATTTCGCAGAGGAGATAAACTTCAACAAAAGCATATCTCAGAAGATGAATCAAGAACTAGAGTAAAGAGAAACACATATCTGCAAAAAAAACTTTCCAGTTGAATGGTCGATAATAGTGTACAACATACTGCTTATAGATAGCGTTGCTTGTATTGTCTAAAATACTGCGATAACGATAAAAGTTGAATTAGGCTGGTAGTGTTCTAGTAAGGGATTGTAGCTTTAGGAGTCCTGATCAAAGTGAGGAATTCTTCGCGTGTCTTAGCTGAAGTACGGAAGCAGCCCAGCATGGTTGAAGTGACGGTTGAAGCTGAAGCTTTCTGTACACCTCTCATAACCATACACATGTGGCTAGCTTCCATGACAACTGCGACACCCTGTGGCTGGATAGCTTCCTCTATAGCCAGGGCGATCTGTCTCGTCATACGTTCCTGTACTTGGAGACGACGACCGAATGTTTCTGCTAGTCTAGCGAGTTTGGATAAACCTAGAACCTTTCTGTTGGGTATGTAACCAATTGAGATCTAAGAAGTATTAGGAAAGTAAATTAGTGGATAGTAATAAACGGACTCTACCGTTGAACGGAACCAAATGGTGTTCACATAAGGAGAAGACGTCGATATCCCTAACGATGACCATCTCCTCGTGATCTTCTTCGAATACAGCCTCATTAAGGACATCACTTAACTTCTCTTCGTATCCCTTGGTCAAGAAAAGCAAAGCCTTTGCGTATCTTTCTGGTGTTTTAAGAAGACCCTCGCGCATTGGATCCTCACCGATGCACTCTAATAAGGTCTTTACTGCGCCAGTCAATTTTGCTGTTCTAACTTCCTTCTGTTCTGGAGACTCTTTGAGTCGTTGGAGAGTAGCTTTTGCTGATAGAGGTATGAGAAGGATAGACGTAGAAGATCTATTAACATACCAGGCCAGCCAAGACCATTAATATCTGCTACCGGCGTGCTGGTACGAGTATCGAGAGAAGAGGCTCTCGAGGGCTGTTTACTGAGGGGGTGAGGTCTAGATAATTTCTTGTTCTGCAATTCAATATTCATTTGTGATAATTCATGAGTTGTTTGCTGCATATCATTGTCAGAATCCATTTTAGATCTTCACCGTTAGGAAATAAGCCCCAACTCTTGTTCCTCTACCGCGATAAATGATATGTCTGAATACAGGCATTTACGGAGGCCACGCTATGTTTCTTCTACAACGACAGACTACCCACAATCGCAGCTTGAAGCAAAAATTGTAATCCTTGGTACACAGCGTGGGTGTTGTACGATCAACGAAGAAATAACTAAGTAAGAAATAGGAGTTGGAAAGACTTCGTTAGTTGAAAGATACACGAATGGCGTATTCAGTTCAAATTGTACTGCATCAACTATCGGTGCATCATTCTTAACAAAGTCAGTGCGTAATTTAGTCAGATAATATTCTAAAAGTGCTATTTTAGACGCATGTCCGTAGATAAAACAAGAGTTAGGTTGCAGATTTGGGATACTGCAGGACAGGAACGCTTTCGTAGTATGACACCGATTTACTACCGTGGCGCACATGCAGCTATCATCGTATACGACATCACAAACTACGACAGCTTTCTACAAGTACAAAGCTGGTTGAAAGAGTTAATTGAGAATCTAAACCAAAACATTTTAATAGCAGTCGTAGGATCTAAGTCAGATTTATCCCCCTCTTATCGTAAAGTTGACTTCAGTCACGCCAAGGAAAAGATAAAGGAATGGACCTGTGATTATTGCCAAAATTTCGTTGAATTCATTAAAGACGACTTAACTCAACAGTCCCAACCAGCCCAATCTCCGCAATCACCCCCGAATGTACAACGTTCACGCTCGAGAAGCACGTCATCATCCATAATCAGATCATTCTCAGACAATAGCAACACATTCGACACAACGGACAATTCAGATTTTCAGGGTGCGTCCCTTATCGATGAGGTCACTCTGGTGGAAGTCAGCGCCAAGGATGACAGCGGTGAGTACATTTAAGTTTAGGAATAAACCTGAGACATAATTATTGAATAGGTATCAACGACTTGTTTTTATATATCACTCGCAAATTACTCGAGTCTAAGGTGCGTATCACGAAAGAGCAAGCAACGAGACATCGAGAGTCAATCTTTTTAACTTCGTCAATGGGTGATGGGAGCGTAATGTCAGACAGCAATCTCGGACAATCTTCCACATCTATGTCAAGAGCACCTTCAAGCAACAACAGCTGGTCATGTTGTTAGATATCCTTATGAATATACCCCTACTCTTGTATCTAAACAATAACTTGTATGATTTCTACACCATATTTACAATATTTCACTCTTCTTCTTATCAATAAGCTTCTTCCGAGCCTCCAATATCATTTTCGCTTTGCGGTCTTTGAATGCTTTCTCTCTTTCTGTTGTAGTGTTACCCCAACTAGCGGATGGATTTATAGCGGTGCTTTCTTTATCCTTAAGGTGGTACTTTTCTATTAAATTGCTAGCATCCTTACCTGTTGCAGCACGTGAAGCCGTTAATGTTTCTGTAAGTGGTTCTACATCTAAATGTGAAGGAAGTGTGAATCCACTTGGTGGCTAATACATTTATTAGCATAATAATCAGTGTATATGATATTATGCCCACCTGTGCTAATCTACCCCTCCGCAATACATTCTCAGCTGTGCGCTCTATTGACCTAGTTTGTACGAGATCGTATACAAGCGATGCATTGTCAATTTGAGGGAATAAAGTTCTTAGTGCTTGGACATCAGCTTGTCTGACTATAGATTGATTAGCTTATACAAACTATCGTCATCTAAACTTACTATTCGATAATCCATTCGAATTGCTAGGTAAGCTATAGCTAGAAGCTGAGCTGAACCACCTATAAAAGCCATAGATCGCTCCAACGGCTATCAAAATACTGAAAAGATCTTCCATCCTGGTTGTTAGGGTTTAAGAATATATTACATTCATGAATTACAAAAGATTTAATCAACTCTCCATAGTTTGAATATACCACCTCTATCGCCACTTATCAGTGCTCTGAATGGTACCTCGATTGCAGCTAATGCTTCAACGCTCTGGTTGTGGCTGCTAAGTAATCTGTCATTTTGTTCGTTCACAAGTAAGCTTCGGTTCGTTCTTTTATTCTCTTGCGTCACTCTCTCTTCACAGTGCAGCTCTCTTCCGTCGTCATCGACCCTCATTACGTATCGGACATCTTTATGTCCACCGCTGAGTATCTTCGATTTATGCCAATCGGAGTCTAGATTCCAGCACTTAATTTGTTGTGAGTTTGTGCCAATGATTAGGAATTTCTTCCTCTCCTTTCTTGCGTTTTTATTTTTCGAATCCTCCAAAACCCAAGCACTAGTATTGAGTTGAGCAGCCGCGTGTGCCTGTGCAGTTGCATAGCTATACCACATACCGCCGCTTTTCTTTGATGCTGGACCTATGAGGAACGACCGTGCTGATTCACTTTCTAGTGGAACAGTATTTTGGGTTTCTTTTCCTACTTTAATAATATCATCTATGGCCTTCACAGTACTGTCATTCTGTCTCTCCTTCCCTCTTTTACATTCACCTAGAGGCTGCGATTCATAAACATCCACAACTTGCTTCGTAGCGACGTTGTGTACTTCAATCACGGTATTGGACATGGCAGTGTCACTAACAGATACCAAAATGAGCTCTTCACTCGATGGCTCAATTTCAATTTGATTGATACTGCCTTCCCTTCTGCTCATCCAAGTGTGAACAATCATTCCAAACCTTATATCCCATAAGCAGAGATGTCCAAATAACGAACCAGTGACAACCCATGAGCGTGTGCTATCAATACAGGCGCTAAGTATTGGACCGTGTGAGACTGGGGCTTCTAACTCTAGCATGTCTTGATTGTTGCGCAAATCAACTATACATAAGCGTGAGAAGGAAGTAGTATAAACCAAGTTACTAGATAAATCTAGAATTTTGTCAGAATTTCTACATCTAAGATAATATAGCCTACCATTACTGTAATGGAACATCCACGTAATGTATTCACCATCACTTGCAAATTTGACGTTAAATTCCCTAACAATGCATAATTCCGATGCATATTTCGGCAAGTTCGTTCCAACCGAAACGTCAACTCTAAAGATAGCAATAGTACCATCTTTGCAAGCGACAGCAATGCAATGAGTATCCTGAATAACGCATAACGCCTTTACCGCCTCACTACGTTTAAGTGTATGTCTAGATTTAGAGGTAACATTCTTCTCTAAGCGAGTTGTATCCCATACTTTGACGGTATGATCACTCGATCCCGTCACAAAGAATAAATGATCGGGCGAAACAACTATAGAGGTAATTGCAGATGTGTGTTCCTTAAATTGGCCTACCATCCTCATTGAAAATCCATCGTCGTCGTTTAAAACCGCGCTCTTTTTTCTTTTGAGTAGAGGTGGTGTGACTTTATTGCCAAACTCTGATAAGGGCTCTTTAAGCGATTCTTTGCATACATTATCTAACATCATCAGTATGGCTGGATCTTTGCCTTCGTATGTGTGATGATATTGTGTTTGGTTCGAAGGTAGTTTTGCTTTAGAAATTATACCGCCAGCACTGATAGGCGTTGCGCCTCCACTATTCATACCACCATCATCGTAATTATCACGTCTAGGTATTTCTAGCATACCGAGCGCATTCGTACTGATTGAACCAATAGCTGGAGCAGCTTTCTGACCGTCACTCGGCAAAGGACCTCTTCTCGGTGGTCGAATGTATGATATTAAAGGAGAACCTGCGTGTGATCCTGGTTCAGGTGGGCTTGCACCATCAAATCCAGGTAAATCAGCCATCTTGGGTGATGTTGAATGCATAGTTTCAAGTGTAGTCGTCGATTCTCTCCTACTAACATCCATAGCTTTTGTTGGCTCAGCAAGTGCCTGCACCGATGCCGGTGGCTGGGCTAGCCGTTTGCGTAAGTCCATAACGTCACCTCTGTTCGGAATCTGTACAGGTGGTTTGGCGTACTCACTCACAGGCGTACTGCGCTGTGAGAGCGTTGATATTTGCCTCGACCAACTCTCTATACTCCTCTGCTTGGAGAGATTACTCCTACTCTTGAAGTTGGCCTCGAGGGTACCTGATACGAGGTTGGAGTTCCTCAAACCGATGAAAACTGTTTGTGGTGCTACTTTCAAATCGGACAACGCGATTACATTGTTGATATCAGGTTGTGGCATTCTTTGCACTTCGCTTAGTTTACTAGTGGATTATTAAAGATGCTTCACCACGGGTGAATGAACCTACCTCTCTTGAGCTTTTGCTAGCATCATGATATGTGAACGTAAGTATCTCAATTTTACTTCATCTTCCTTTGTGAAGCCATTGAGAGTCATGCGATCGATGAATGGCTTGTCCTCATCACAGATGTGCGTGTCTACTTTTGGAGATACCTGAGATCCAGATTGATAGAGGCTCGCACGAAGACTACGCAAACCCTCTTTTACACCAATCGGTGATGTACTAGTTCCAGTCTTCCAGAAGGGCGACTTGGGAACCTTGAGCGACCATTCTTGAGCAATAACGAACAGCTTCCTTGAAAGCTGTTATACTTGTTAGTTAAGAGACCACCGGAAATAATATACACACAGGAGGAAGAACAGCCTCAGATAGTGAGTCAACGTCAACACGACTGATCTGGCCACTAAGTAAGGTAGTCAACTGGGGGTATATGATACACCACGTATCTGTTTCAGGTAATCGCGAAACAGCAGCACTTATAAACTCAATAACATCTATAACGTTACGTCAGGAAGCTCATGCCGTCTATATCATTACCTACTCTGCCGTATGCACACATTGGGATGGACGAGGAGCGCAAAAGTCATACCAATGAGCTCCCAAATGTGCACCTTTTTGAACAAGCCTAATTCAGCGAGTTTGCGAATAGAATTGAGTACATTTACGATAACGTTCTCCTCAGGATCAGCTAATGCTTGTATAACCAGCGGAAGGATGTACTCTTCAACACACTTGCCTCCAACGCATGTAGCTATTCCAACGACACTGTCAAAAAATGCCGAACGCAACTCCCAATCTCTGTCATTAAGATAGGTATTAATGTGCGTCAGTAGAAGATCGTTGGATTTCGCAGGTCCAAAGAACAAGCAGAGCGGTATTATATCTTGCAATAAGGACCTTTTCACCATCGATGATTTGTCTGTTAGCAATGTGGCTACAGCGTCCTGGATGAACATCTGCAAGTCTTGCGAAGAAGCTTCGTAAGAGTTCTTTATTGAAGAGTTAGGAATTAGCCACATACAAACAATTACGCACCTCAAAAGACTCGTTTCCATCCAAAAGCATCTTCTCAACACCTTCATTAGCTGTGTATGTGTTATTCGACTTCATCGACTCAGCCAAATCGAGGAACTTCTGCCCAGTCTCGGCGATTGGTGAAATGCACTGCGCAAACATCGACCTGACAAGCTCGGATTCATCAGTCACTAGTGGCATGATAAGCGGAAGTAAGTATTCGATAAACACAGTTGAGTTCGCAGGAGTGATTCCACCAACAATAAGGAGCTAGAGATAAGCTTAAGCATAAAATACCGTGTTTGATATATATCACTCACTATCTGAGTTATTGTACGCAGTGTTGCTGCTCGTACATTTGCATTCGTATCACTAAGGAGATCGACCATGTAGGGGATGATCCGATCCAACTTGGTCTCATCCTTGAGATAGCAGCTGACGGTCAATAGCAGCTCTAATGCCTTTATTTTGGAAGTTGGTTTAAGGCAGTCGCGTATGTTTGAGCAGAGAAGGGTTGATATGAGCAGTGCGGTGTCATCTTGGTTTCCTGTCAGCTACAGTGTTTAACACTAGAAAAGGTGTTTACCTTCATCACTGCTCGAATGAGCATCCGCCTTCCTCACCACATACGAAGGTTTGATATTCGGTATCGAAAGCTGCACTGGGAAAATAGCCTTCGATCATCAGCAACAAAGCTTTTTGAAAGCAACAACATACAGAATCAACATGATCTTCGTTGTCGACATCCTCCTTAATTTGAAGATAACGCTCGTCAAAATTACTGGAGATCTCCAACCAGTCATTCCACATCTTCTCGATCCTCTCCTCTGGCACATCTTTCATGTGATTGGGTATTGTAGTTGGAGCATTTGGTTGCGTGGTATCAAAAAGAGCCGCCGAGGTATTAGATGGTGCGACGACCGTAGGATTGGCTGGTTGCTGTACGGGTTCGAGTAATTTGGCACAATAGTCGTGCAAGAACGCGTAGAAAACATCTGGGAAGAGTTTCTGTCGGAAATCTACGAGGTAGCCTGAGAAAGATTGACGATTTCCTGGATCGATTTGAGTCATTGAGACGACTAACTCCCTCACGGCATCGTCGTCAATCTTTTCAATGACAGATGTCGGATCGTAGTTACCCTCTTTGTATCTCAATAGCTGTGAGAGGGTAAACAAGGGTGTACCCTCTAAGAAAAGCTCAGCGATAACGCATCCCGCCGAAAATACATCCATCGCTTCGGTAACTACTAGCTTATCCTGCGTGTCGACGTTGCTGGCGCCTTTCTCGAGTATGAGTTGACGAAGTTGGGCGATTTCGCTGTCACTATCGAAAAATCGCTCAGGTGCAAGGTAGCAAGTTCGTCTAGCGGAAGTGTCAAAATATAAACTGAAGTCTGTTGGATCATCTAGTGGTAAATGTGAAGGTTTAATGCTGGCAAAGTCCGTTAAATAGACCCAGTTTGAGGAAGTAACTAAGACATTTTCTGATTTGATGTCACCATGAGCTACCTGACAAGTGTGGCTATCTTGAAGAGCAACTAGTAGTTGAAATGCGACCCACTTTTTCTCTATGGGCGTCCAGAATGGTCGTGTGCTTACCCTATCGTATAGGTTTGTGCCTATGTATTGACGAATTTTGTATGCGGCTTTATCAGTTTCAAGGAAAGTCTGGAAAGTATAGACATTTGTTATTCCCACGAGCTGAGATTTCTCCTCTATTGAGAAAATTGAGATAAAGTCGAAAAACGTCATCGATACCCACTCTTCAAGCGCTGAATGAAGGACTGCAAGTTAACGGAAGGGTCGGCTTTTGTGAATACCTTCACTACAATCCGCCCGCTTCTGCTTTTACCTCTTATCGCCTTGAGAAAGCGCGAATTGCCGAGACTAACTATTAGAGCGGTAGGATGCTTGTATTATAACGCACCTCTTATCGTAGCTGACATCGTTTCCAATCTCAGTCACAAAAGAATCTAAACTAAATGAACGGGACTGTGATACTCCCATGAAAGTTCAAACTTGAGACGTTCACTCACTTCTTTCTACATTTCACCCAAGAAGTAAAAAATGCTGAGAACTGCAATAACTAGAGCAGGCGGTTTTCGCCAATACCACAGCGTACCAGCTTCTAGATTCAACATTGAAGCTGGTCTGGGTGGTTTTATGAGCCCAAAAACACTTCAAACGGTGTCACAGGACTGGCAAGAAGGTTTATTGAATAGATTAAACGATGTAGTCAGAGGTATGCACTCTCTTTTATCGATATTTCAAACTCTAATATGCCTTCTCTAGACACAGAACTCGAGAATCTTTCCGTAGTACAGACTGTGATAAACTCTGGAACTAACAGGCAGAATATCCTCGCATTCAACCTCGCGTCTGAAGCTCTCAACAACAGCTTCTTCTTATCAAATTTAACCCAGTCGAAAGAATCACAAGGACAAGAACCACAGGGCACGCTCGTCAGACAACTTGAAGAGAGCTACGGTAGCGTGGAAGCATTCAAGTCAGCCTTTGGCGCTACTGCAGAAGGCCTCACTGGATCTGGTTACGTCTGGCTCGTCAGCGACACATCGAGAAGACTCGGAATTGTCTCTACATATGGCGCAGGTACTATATTAGTACGCAGCAGGCAACAGCGCGGTCTGTGGAACAATTTCAGCCTCGAGAAGACTGACAGTGGAAGATCAACTATAGAAAAGAGCGGAAACCCATTAAGTGCACCAACACACACGAGCCATGTTAGCCCAGCCCCAAAGTCACCAACACAATCTAGAGAGTACAGCACATTGAACCAAGAGACCAGAAATTTGGCTGAGACAGGCGATGTTCTCACACCACTTCTCTGCTTGAGCGTATCAGAAAGGTGCTATATGAACGACTTTGGTGTATGGGGTCGTGAGGACTACATCAAGCAGTTTTGGAAGGTTGTTGACTGGAGCAAGGTTGAAGAGGCCTACTCCAAATTGATTGCGAGAAGAGTAGCTATCTAAGCAGCTATTTAGGTAATAGAACATGCATTTCATTCTTTCTTTAGGTTTTTTTCTCTCTCTTGTGCAGCTTCAGCTTTCTTCTCCATTACCCAGCGTCGGATCTGACCCTCGCTTGCGACGATGCCATGATTTGCACTGAGATCTTCCAACGCCCGCCGTCTGACTTCATTCTCGACTGATCCCTGCTGTCTTTCATGTGATAGCAAGTGTGTATCCGCCGAGACTACGAGGCTAGTATCAGTGAGCATAGGCACACTTTATAGCAAACATACGCACCCAAAAATACCGAACGAACTAACTACAAATGCTTTACCAGCTAGAGTCTGCCTCTGCACCCATGGGAAACGCAGATTAGCGAGATACATCAATATAGCGCCATAACAGCTGTATTTCAACATCCCCATTGAACCGTGCCATATTTGTAACTTATGGGCATAGTCTACTGCATCTGATCTTCTTCCTCTGTCGTAGTCGACGATATCACCCTTCATTCTCCACTATCAAGATGGTCGATGAGAAAAAACCACGGAGGAAGTTCGTAGGAACATCTAAACCAGCGAGTAGCCAACCAGTAGCAGCCCAGAGTGGCATCCCGGATGAAATACTCAATGACAGTCAGCTCAATATCGCTATGGCACTTCTACCAGATAACTACTCGTTTGAAATTCACAAAACAATACATTGGATACGTAAAGAGAGTGCAAGCATTGTCGGTTTGCAATTCCCTGAAGGATTGCAGATGTTCGCCTGTACAATTTCTGATATACTCGAACGGTATGTCTTCTCTTTTCGATATGAAAATAGCTCAATGAGTACAGTTTCACAGATGCACAGGTTGTAATTCTTGGTGATGTCACGTATGGTGCTTGTTGCGTTGATGACTACACTGCTAGGGCACTCGGGTGCGAAATGCTCGTACATTATGGCCACAGCTGTCTCGTACCAATAAATCAAACTTCTATCAAAACTCTCTACGTATTCGTTGAAATAAGTGTTGACTCAAGTCATTTGGCGAAGACGATAAGGAAAAATTTCCCAACAAACTCACAAGAGTTCGAGAATAAGCTTATACACTCTGAGAAGGATAATTACGAAAGTGTAGAACTGGAGAATGCCGAACCTAGAAAAACTAAATTAGCATTGGTTGGCACGGTTCAATTTGTCGGTGCATTACAGGGATTGGCAATTGAATTGAGAAATGAAGCACCGAAACCAGCTGGATTGATAGAAAGTGGTGGTAAATCAGTAGAGGCACCATCACAAGGAAATACAGGAGTTTACACAGACAGTTATGAAGTTATCATCCCTCAGATACGCCCTCTCTCACCAGGTGAAGTTCTCGGCTGTACGGCGCCAAAACTCGACAGTACTGATGCTTTGCTCTATATTGGAGATGGTCGCTTCCACCTCGAAAGTATTATGATCGCAAATCCAACTGTGCCTGCATTTAGGTATGACCCGTACAGCAAGAAGATAACGCGGGAGTACTATGATCACGCCGAGATGCGTATGTTGCGCAGTGACGCTGTATCATTAGCCAAGAGTGGCAGCGACGTACAAGGTGTCGAAGATGCAGCCACTTGGGGTGTCGTTCTTGGCACATTAGGTCGTCAAGGAAGCTTGAAAGTACTCGAGACGATTAGCAACCTCATAGAAACGCGTGGTGGAATTGACTACGTTCCAATACTCATCTCCGAGCTTTCGCCTCAGAAGGTATCACTTTTCGGTGAGCAGCTGTCGACATTCGTGCAAACATCATGCCCGCGTTTGTCGATAGACTGGGGATATGCTTTCCCTAAACCGCTTTTATCGCCATATGAAGCTGCTGTCACTCTGGAGAGGACGCAGGGCTGGGATAAGGACCTAGCCGGTGATCGCGACTACCCTATGGATTTCTATGCTAACGACAGCAGAGGTCCGTGGACACCACGTTATGGTCTCATGCCACCAAGGAGACCTCGGAGAGCGCAAGCGAATGCCAACGAGAGTGCTACGCCAACTCCTGAAAAACTAGCTAAAGCTGTCGCATCTATATAGACTGTAAAATAATAAATTATGCATCCATTTCACCGTTCTCTACTTCGAGTGCACTGTGTATCAGTTCCGTCTGGATTTCCTCATTACTAGTGAGATATCCAATTCCATTATCGCCTTCGAGATCAACAGCCACATCGTATGCTGTCGCTATAAGACTATCTGTGAGTGGTACGGTGTGACTAGCGAGGATATTGATAACGATTGCTGTACGATTTATAGATTCTCGAGTTTGTGAATCAATATCGTCATTTTCATTACTATACACTCCTTCACTGTCGAAACCTTCATTTTCTTCATTCAGATTGACTTCCTGTCCAACTTGCATGTGTTTACTAACCCATATCCGACCATTAAGGCCAATGATAAGATCTACATTAACTGGAAGTGTGTAAAAGTGAGATTTCAGCCGTCTCATAAGGTTTGGTTGAACAGTTGCGAGTGTTCCGTTGCGAAGTTTACCATATTTCAAACTACGGGTGTGGAGGGAGACGCTACCGTCGTGGAAGAATGACTGTACTTCAGCAACGCAGAGGTCGCCTTCTGTGAAGAAGTTGCGCATCTGAAGTTCATCACTCTCAAGTTTACGCCTCTGTACACCTCCTGGAAGGTTGATTGAAGACAGCATTAGTACTGCATCTGAAGCAGCGTTTATGTTGACTTTCCAACGCTTGGCTTGAACTTCTACGATACGACCTATGACCAAATCACCGACTTGTGGTAAATACTTATGCTTTAATGGTCGTACAGACACCAGCTTGTTGACTCTCTCTACGACACCAGACATTTGTGAGATGATATTACCGTCATTAACGTATGTACCGTGTCCACTGTATGAATCTAAGATGGTGCTCTGGAGTGTCTGCTAACTTACTGCATATATGCTGAAGAAGAAGCTATTATCTCACCTGGTGCAGTCAGCTTAGAAGAGGAGAAATCCTCGTCTTCGTCGTCGATATCTACACCATCCATGCTAATATCCTCATCAATATCGTCTATTTCTCTATCAATTTCGTTCTGAGCTTTCTCTACGAGAGTGAATGTCATAGTAGTTAAGAACAAAGGCCTGAATTATAACTAACAGCGTTCTCTATAGTGAACTAAAAAATGATTTATAAAACTTAGTTCTAGGAATATCACCCGTCAACTCCTTACACTCAATGTCTACACGCAGAGAGCGGATAAATGAGCAATTTGAGGAAATAAAAGCCAAGGTAGACGCTGATCAAGATAAACGCGAGCGTCTAATTAAATCTTCTCGGGATATCACTGCATTAAGCAAAAGGATGATCTTCTCTCTACACAGAGTGTACAAACTACCCCGTATTGAACAATTCAAGCAGTTCGATAAGATACGAAATGATCAATTCAAACAGATACAGGATATCTGGTTTAATAGGGTCGCTATCGAGTTTGACTATCAGGATGAACTTACGCGATTAAATGTCTCTCAGAACTTCTCTAAATTCGTCAGCGCCGGTTTAGAGGAATACATAGAAGCATTATCATTCATGGAGTTCCTTGAAAGTGATATGCTCATTACGATAGATAAAGTTCAGAATGTCTTAACGAAAGAGGGTAGCGAAAGAGCAGTGGTGGAGGTACAACCATCTGAGTATCTAGGTGGTATTGGTGATCTTACAGGTGAACTCATGCGTATGGCGATTCAAATACTCGGTTCAGCCGACATTTCCCTCATCGAGAGGATAGTTGAGCTCATCAAAAGCGTTAGAGGTATTTTGGAGGACAATCAAAATCACTTTAACCTTCAGCAGAAAATTAATACCCTTGAGAACAGTCTAAAGAAGATTGAAGACACCCGATACACGTATGAAGTCAGGAAGGCGGAATTCAAGGACAACCCAGAAGCTCTCAAGAGAATAGTAGAACAATGTAGAAATGAAAGTGGTTGAGCAATCAACAGAGCTATTAAAAACCTAATTTATTAAAACTACTTTAGTTATTGTACTGATGGATGGGTATACTTGTATATTCATGTGGATTTGATTTGATGACTTGCCATTCTAGTCTAAAGAAGCACCATAAGTACCTTCGGAAGATTTCCAATATCTCCAATGCGAATACTCCAGACTCTAACTCAACATAAGTGTGCAAATGTGATGAAAGTTTGAGTGACCAGGTGAATCTCAAGATGAAATCAATGAAGATGGCGATATAGTACTTGTAACTTTCTTTATATAGCTGCACATCTCTAAGCGAAGTTTTCGGTGTACTGCCATTTCTAAGCCACACGTCACTATCCAAGAAGTTCAACCCCCAGTCATTTCTTACATCCCACCAGAATGAAAAAAGAGAATTGACAATTACGCTAATGAGCCACCAATTATATGCCGTATTGTTGTACCTATGTAGAGCAGAGAAAGCAATGACGGGGAAAGAAGACGCGTATTTTAGAGCGTTTAGGAGTGACTTTTTCTGTGTGAAATTGCTAGCGACGTACTCAACAATACATTGCTTGAAACGAAGTATGTACGGTATTGCTGTAAAGACAGGTGCCATATAATTAGCTGAAGGGGGTGTGATAGCGAAATTACTCTCCGGGTCTAAGCATTGAACGAGCGATGTATAGAAATCTCCAAATACCTTTGCGTAGGATGTCAGAATATCCGCCAGTAAAACCTGATTAAATGTGACTTGAAATGGTGAATAAACGATTTCACCTAAAGTGCCGATGAATTGAAACCGCTGGTGTCTAAACAAAGCATTGAAGGGATAACATAATGTTAAAAGTAATGCGATGTATGTGAGTGTTGGTATAAATGCCTTGCTATCCAAGTCGTTCGCTGTGGAGGTGTATAACACCAGACTAGAAAGAACGACAAGGGTGTAGCTGATGATGATGAGCCAGACTGGTTTGAAATTTATGCTGAAAATATTTTTATATTTGTGTAAAACATTACTAAATAAATACAATCCGAGTGCTATCAACAAGAGGACGCGGAAGGGAAGGATGATCAACATATGTATCTAATCGAGGATAAACCTATCAATATACCGATGGATAGTGTCGTGAATGGGTTGTTGTAGATTTTCTCAAATTGGGTGCTAGTTGATGGTGGTTCAGGTCCAAGGGGTGCTGGCATATCCGGTTGATCTACAACCGTAGCGGGGGTTTTTAATGTCGAAATTTCCTCCCTTATGCTATCAATTTGGCTAAGTATCTTCACCTGATCTTTGTCTAGGTTTATTTCCAGCTCCCTCAGCATTCTATTTCTCTTGTATGGCTCTATAAAGACGATTGCCATGAGGAAAACCAAGACATTGACGGACAGGGCGATGAGGGTGTAGTTTGAGGACATAGATCGTATCTTATCGGACCATATCTGCTCTTCATGGTACCTCTCTAGGATGCTTTTCAAGAGCTTTTCGAAGCCTCTATCTACGAGCTTCTCATATTCTTCTACTTTTTGCATAAACTCCTTCTCTAGTTTCTCTATACTATGATCGCTCTTGACAAGCTGTGTGAACTTGTTTAACTCTGTGTCGCCCCAACTGGACTTATTCGAGAGTAAATCATTGACCTGTTTCTGCGACTGCCTGCGTAGTTCTGTATATTTGGTATACTCTCGCTTGCTATCTATTAACATCGTTCTCGACTGCTTGATGCTCTGCTCTGCTTTGATGACTACGGCTTTTAAATTCTCTATACGTTCATATCCCGTAAGTCTATTAAGCTGTCCAGATAAAAGTTGTATTCTTGCGTCTAAGTTGAGCTGATTTTTTATATCTAGTAAACGTCCTCTGATCATCACGGTATCTCTTCAACTTATACAGTGATGTGAGTAGATTCACTATAATGTTGATATACTAACAATTTAAAGGTCAGCGCCATACGATCCATACCCAGGTCCAAATAGCAACAACAACCCAGCTGGAAATGTTCGTAGACATTCTACAAACCTACTCAAACTAACACAGCACAATTTATAGCCAAAAACTGCAGCAATTCAAGCGCAGATTGATGACACAGTCGGTATTATGAGGGAGAATATTACAAAGGTATGATTCGGTTCCCCCTTGAGCTAACTTCTAACAACGGCCCCCTTAGGTCTCAGAACGTGGCGAAAGATTAGACCATCTGCAGGATAAAACAGATGATTTGGCCGTATCAGCACAGGGTTTCAGAAGAGGTGCTCATCGCGTCAGGAAGGCGATGTGGTGGAAAGACACACGCATGAAGATTATTTTGGCTTTAGTCGTTATAGTCATTATCATTATTATCGTAGTACCAATAGTGAAAACACAAAACAAGTAATCCAATGGGTAGAATCAACAGTTGCTGAATTTAACGCGAACAATACAATGTGTACATGATGTATTCTTTTTTTATGTGATTGCGAGAGAAGAAAAATGCTATTAATATAAAAAGTACACGTCTAATCACCAACAAAGAAGAAGTTTCCACTGGCTGTAATCGTTCGTCAGTCTTTCGTTTGATTATTATAGCTATATACTCACCCTTCTGCTCTTTGTCCTTAAGTGAATCTGTTTTGTTAACTCTTGGTCTATAATTGGTTGTATCTCTTCTGAAAGTAACTTGAAGTGAAGACAAGAATTTATTCATACCAGTGAGTAGACTTTGTGGTGCATTCGCAGTCGCTTCAATGGCTGGTTGACCGTCAAAGACGATAACTCTATCGGCAAGGTAAGTAGCCATAATGAAATCGTGTTCGACAATGAAAGCAGTCTTCTTGGCGTGCAATATGAATCTCTTTATGACTCTTGATGCACTGATTCTCTGTTCAGAATCTAAGAAAGATGATGGCTCATCGAGCAAGTAAACTGAAGCTGGTTTACCAAGTGCTAAAACGATAGCGACTCTTTGTAATTCACCACCAGAAAGTGTTTGTACATCTTGATCAATGATGTTATCCAATTGCATTGGCCTGACAACATCAGTTTGGAATTGTGGATGCATGAAAGCACCCTTAATTTGCTTCAAAAGGAGCATTCTAACAGTGCCTTGGAATTTAGGTGTAATCTTTTGTGGCTTCATTGAAACCTTTAATTCAGGTTGATCAGCTTCGTTGTCAGCCTTGGTTGCACCTGCCAACATTCTGACGAGGGTGGTTTTACCAGTACCATTTTCACCTAACATGACAATAACCTCAGAGTCTGTGAATTCACCTGCCTTGACGTTCAATTTGAAGCCACCCATAGTCTTGGTCATTGCTGGATATGGAACTGAAGATGTCTTGTCGAGGGTAAGGTCATCGGCTGCATCTGCAATCTTAAAGTTAAGCGACTCCTGTCTAAAGCGCATATTTTCAGTTGGCAAATAACCATCGAGATAGATGTTCAAACCTTCTCTGCTAGAGAAAGGCATGGTAACAACACCGTAAGCAGCTGGTTGACCGTACATACAACAAACGAAGTCAGAAAGGTAATCCAAAACAGACAAATCGTGCTCTACTGCGATGACATAAGTTGTTGCTGTTGCAAGACTTCTAATAACCTTTGCAGCATTCAAACGCTGCTTGATATCCAAGTAGGAAGATGGCTCATCAAACATGTAAACATCGGCTTTTTGAGCGCAAGACATGGCAATGGCGAATCTTTGAAGCTCACCACCAGAGAGTTGGTTGATTTCACGATCTTTTATGTTTTCCAATTGAAGGAGGTCCATCAAGAGTTGCTTGTTGTTGAGTTCCATTTTGTTGTCCAACATCTTCTCAACTGTGATAGGTACTTTGATGGCTCTTGGTATGTGGTCTACGTACTGTGGCTTGATGATGGCCTTCAAGTTATCTTCCAATATCTTCAAAAAGTAGTTTTGAAGTTCAGATCCACGGTAGTGCTTTAAAATCTCTGTCCACTCAGGTGGATCGTCGTATTTACCGAGGTTTGGCTTCTGCTTACCAGCCAAAATCTTCAAAGCGGTGGACTTTCCTGTACCGTTTTGACCGACCATACCCAAAACTTGACCAGCTCTAGGAGTTGGTAATCTATGCAATTTGAATGAGTTGGCTGTGTATCTGTGGCTGACTTGTGATTCCAAGTTTGTAGGCAAATTGACGATATTGATAGCCTCGAATGGGCACTTTTTGGCACATAACTGAGAGAGTCGTATGAGAATTGTGCTACCTGTGTCGTATGTCTACTTACACCGCAACCTGTCATACGTGAGTCGTAGGGATGGCGAAAATGAGAGATAACGTACCAATACAAAGCGTTTCAGAAATAAACGCTATCTAAGATCAGATGTGAGTATTATATCTCGCCTACAAAGCGCCCAAATACCTTGTCGGATGGGGCAACTTCGATACAAAGTTTACCTATCGAGAGATGGTGAGAGATGCAAGTTAAATAAGAGAGCTACTTACCCATTTTAACGACTGGACAAGCCCTCTTACATTCCTAATGCGTGCTGTTAGAATTTCGTTGTCTTCTCTCCTACTATACGCACTTGACGACATTTTCTATGAGAAGGTTAGTTAGAGAAGGATAGAGCTAGTTATAGGCTCACTTTGGCTTGCATTTGTCGTTATTCACAAGCGCAATTCTCGTCAGTTTATCTGACATTTTCTGACACTCTAATTGGTTATAAGCCAACAAACGATATATAAAATTTATAGATTTATGAATCAAAAAAATTTACGCTTCAATAAAGCTCTTAACGTTAGAGAGCCATTTGACGTACTCCTTTTGCTCTTTGTAGACCGCGTATTCTGGTACGAATGTGGCTAGTCTCTCGTCGATGCCCCTCTCAACGAGGAATTGCTGGAACTCAGACTGTACGTCTAAATCAAGGTGGTCAAATACTGGTCCGATGTAGAGTCCTCTTCTCTCAAAGTCTGCGTCTGCAGTGAGTTGGGTTGCTAACTTTGCGTCTTGATAGTAGGAGATATTGTCTATCAAAATGCTCTCGTTTTGTGACACGCAGTCGATAGTGAGAGCCCCACTGTTTGGCTTCGTGATGCTGACTGACATTCTGACGCTGTACGCTGGTACTTCGTCGACTGGCTCAGCTTGTACTTCTCCACTGCCGCCGTCGTCCTGCTCGAGATCTGAGATAGAGAAGAGTACTCTGACGTGCTCATTTCCAAACTGTCTAGAAAGCACGATCTCATCTGAACCACTTTTGTCTTCGATGGACCAGACCTTCTCATCTCTGAATACTCTCACCCATTCTGGCTCTTCTGGGGATGCGTTCTCAGTTTCGAAGGAGATCTCATTAGCGAGCTGTGCTGTGAGCGTGCTATCGGCTGTATATCCCGTCAGCGTTGTGTGATGGAAAGCATAAATCACCCACTGCTACCAGCACCGAAGCGTAATGGTGTGAAAGAGAATGAGCGTGCTGCTACTGGTGCTCTAGTAACAATTCTTGCATTTCTGGCTGCCGCTCTGACGATTTGTCTTGCAAACATGATGACTGTATATAACAAACGAGTTTCGTAACAAAAATAGTAGGAGAACATAATCCAGTTTATTATACATGCAATTCATGCCTCACTGTCTTTACCGTGTTGTCATTTCCCGTAATCTTGGATAAATCGTCACTCAGTTTGATCGTCGGGGTGTCTCCCACGGAGGCTATCTTGATGACTATATTCAGTGCTTTGCTCTTTTCCTCATGGTTTGATGCTTTCCGATAATCTGGGCTATGTCAGGGGTGCCATAAAGCTCTGGTGAAAATTCTTACCGTTTGTGAGGAATGTTCCAACGCCGAAAGAGGCTATAATATTGTTAACGAAGAACTGTCTGGAACACTACTACCTACATTTAAATCCATAGTCATCCGTGACCTTCTTTAACTTAATACATAATTCGTCATCCAGACTGTCGCTAAACACAATTGTCTTCTCGCTAGGTGAAATACCGAGTTTTTCATAAATACGCTTAGCGTCTTCACAGAATTTCACTGGGTCACCAGAATCTTGTCTAATACCCGCCCATTTCCTGGCTTTCTCAGGGTGTTCGAGGAACTCTCTCCAGAAAGCATCAGTTGTAAAGGTGTCAGTGAGCGCAATGAGGAGGCTGTTACCAAAAGTCTGCTCCCAGAGTTTGAGAGAGGTGAAGTTTGCAGTGGGGTAGCCTGTCATGGCTGCAATACCCATCGTCCACTCGTGAGCGACGGTACCGATAGGTGGTAAGTCATATTTGAATGCGAAATATACATTGCTTGTACCCGCAAGTTTACCTGTAATGGCTTTCTGCCCACTCAGGAGTTCACTCTCCTCTTTGAGAGCGCGTATGACAATATCATGTCCTTGCAAAGACCTTCTACGTCTGCTGCCGAATTCCGACAAAATTATGCCACCTTCTGCTAGCTTCCTCATTTTAGCTTTAGCGAGTTCAGCCTGTCCGTCGTATGTCCAGTCTGTGTCGACGTGAGCAAAATAAGCTTCTGAGACGATTGACATGAGGGGAACTTCATAGAGAATGGTCTCAACCCAGAGGCCACGTATATCAATCTCTAGATCCCCAAAGCCGCTCTCATCAACGTTTACCAGGCGTACTTCGATCTGTTCAGATGGCTTGAAGCGATAGTTCTCAAGGTAGTCGACGTAAGAAGGCTTGAACATCGGGGCCTTATCTGAGCGGAGGTAGCCGCTCTCTGAAGGCTGCAACGTGAGCTCACTCAGGACTGTAAATCTGTTAGATTGTCGATGATGTATGAGAGTACCCACAGTGAAGACCCTCGTTGATAGCGTCGAGGCACTTCCCATTGAAGCGCATTTGCATACTCCGGTTCGTGAAGCGGTAGCTAACCTAAGTCTGTCTTAGGGTGTGTGTGTAATCCACAATGACATACTCTTGTATCCGGGAAATGCTGGAGAACAGCTTGCTGCATAGTGAGCTAATAACTTTTGTAAGCAGAGTTGTTAATAAATTATAGTACCCACTTTATACAAATCTGTATCCAAAATCGATGCGATCGCCTTCACCATCTTGATAGCACTTTAAGAAGAACATCCATCATGTCTCCGCCTCGACCACCCCCTAAAGCGGCCGTAGAGCCTGGCACAGAGATTGGTACGCTTGTCGTAGTCGTAGACAGAGCTGTGAGTTTTACTACGCGTCGTTTCATTGTTGACGGATTTGTACAGCGCAATCTGGTGGATAAGCAGCGCATCGGAAAGCAGTCTCCATACGTTACACTACGCATTCCATCTTCTCCTGTCCCTACAAAGCGCACACAGACTATCAACCGCGGTGGACAGGCCCCAGAGTGGGATGCTGAGTTGCGCTTTCCTATTATGTCTGAGTTAGAGGACACCCTCGGCGTGAAAAGCAATAACGGTAAATCTATGACAGTTGTATGCTGGGCAGACGATAGCAGAGAACCTACCAAAGTCGGCGAAGCTTTTGTCGATCTCACACGTTCGCTCACCAAAGGCGAAGATGATTGTGAGTGAGACAGTGCATGGGAACATACCTGACATTCTTTAGTGTGGGTGCCACTTACCCTCGACTCCAAAGATGGTGGTAAATATCGCGGAGAAGTCCGTTTAGAGTTGACTTTCTTTTCTAATGTGAGCCGACTAGCAATATAAAGCGCGTATTTTGACAAGTATTAGGCTTCTCCTCCGCCAAAAAAATACCCGACAAAGCCACCAGTCCAGACAGTTGCTACGCCTACAAAACCACCTCAGAAGCGACACCCGAGGATGTCAGCGCCAGGTCCGGGCGCAGGAGCCAAGTTGGCCCACCCTGCTTCACTTAGGCCAGCACACCCACCACAGTCGTTGCGAGGTAGACAGTCTTTGTCAAATATGTCGCTCTACAGGCCAGACTACATGGATGGCGGCGTCGAAAGGATTCCAGGGAATGACATCCGCGTACCAGGAAATGAAATACGCATCCCATCACCGTTGCCGTCTCCTCAGCCACAGCATATGGCATATCAGCCTCCAGTAAGCCCTGGTCCTGGCGTGGCGGGCATAGACGCCGGAATGGGTAATGCCATGGGTCGTCAGCCATCACCTAATCCATACATGATGCAACAGCAAGCTGCATACCAGGAAGATCCAGTTGTTTACCAGGAGCAGCCACAGCAGCCAGTATATCAAGTTTCGCCGGGTCACTCCCCGATACCACAGGTTACGCCTGTCCCACCGCCACGCACGTCACCAATACCTCCGGTTGCGCAGGTACAAGTCGGTCAGCCAGTCGGCAACTCGCCGCCTGTGTATAATGCCTACACCCCCCAACAGGTGAGCCAACCGCCAGGACAATCGCCAGTGTATGCCCAATTTGGGGGTATGCAGGGCCCTCAGATGCCTATTGCCCAGACTGCTGCAGTACCAACGCCTCCTCATAATGGCTGGACGCAATGGCAGAATCCTGCTGACGTGCAATATGGTCAGCAAGGACCTCCTCAATATGGACAAACACCACCGCAAGGTCAACAATTTGGACAGACACCACAATTTGCTCAAACGCCATTAGGATTTGCACAACCTCCTCCACCAGCTCAGGCTCCTCAGCCAACACAATCACGCCCACTACCAAATGCCCCGGTCATTCAGTCGCCATTCCCGACTTACCCGCCACCACCACCTACAATGGCCTACCCTATGCATCCGCAATCAACAGCACAACAACCAATGCCACCACAGCAGCCGATGCCAAGTCAGCAACCTCCACATATGTACCCTAATTATCCACCGCCCCCAATTTCTAGCATTTACAACGGCTTCGGCAGCCCGCCGGCACCACCAATTCAAACGCATCCTAATCAGCATATACAGCAGTAGCTTGCATCGATGGAGTATCATATTGTCTTTTATATCTTGTGTAACATGAGCATAGCTCGAAAATAACTAGCTTAATATGGATCTAATTGAACTTGTATATTTTGAACTGTCTGAAATACTGATTAAGCAATTGATTGAGACATTGATCGGTAACGTTTATTATTTATTTGCTCATTTATTGTGTTTCAAATTTCATCCAAGTTGATAATTGCCAACTTTGACTACTACTATACTGGGTTGGTAGTATATGTTGTTATATATTTTTATCCGCACTATAGAAGGGTAAAACATGTATTACATGTATTTCAAAACCATTTAGACCCATTTCTTGGGTACTTGAGACAATCAAAATGTAATTTTTAAAGTATGTTTTATGTCTTTATACCGTTGGGGAAGGTCATGAAAATTTTCCAAAGTAGTAGGGTGGTCGTTGAAGTGATCTTTAAGTAAGAGATAAAAATAAGAAAGAAAAATAAGCGAAAAATACACATGGTATACTCGAACGCTTGTTTTGTTCTTCCTGACGGATTCACGCATTGACGGTGACGTTAACACTACGTCTAATTCCATAAATTATTTTCAGCAACGCTATAAATTCCATGGATTTCACAGTGTCAATCTGGACTTTCAGGATTTAATACACGCAGCTATGAACCTATGTCTCAATATATGCATAAATCGTTAAACTCGCTCATTTACATAGTCTTAGTAGGTATATGCGATGGAATCTGTCATCCTATAGAGAAATATAGTTATACAAGAGTTTCTGATATTATCTCCAGTTTTGTGTGTATATATAAGCTCATGTTTACTTGTACTAAACATATTAAACCTACAAATAGAAAAACTATTTAACAGGACTGCTACTAATACCATCTATCTCGATGAAACTCTCGCTTTTACTTACTCTCTTTACGTTCTCCCATTGCAATTCCCTGATGACAGCAAATCAGATGATAGAGGACAATTAATAATTTATTATAGACGGCCCACTAGCGTATACCCCTCTTATGAATTTATTTCCCCCTCCCTGTCATTTTTGAAAATAAAATTGTATGATGCTTCTCTCTTCGTAAATTTGTGAGTAGGGCTTCTTCAGCGACCTCGATGTGAGTAGAATAAATCGGGAGGAAATACACAAGAATGTGCCATATATCAGGAGCTATATACTCAGAACATCACTGCCTTTATTGCTGCGCTATCGCTTCTCTTATGGCTCACCTAGCACATCTTCCTCCCATTCTTCAAATCTTTTCTAACAGCTTATAGATGCCACGTGCGCCAGTTAACCACAGCAAGACTTACAAGGTCCCACGTCGTCCATTCGAATCAGCCCGTTTGGACGCTGAGTTGAAGCTCGCTGGTGAATACGGTCTCCGTAACAAGAGAGAAATCTGGCGTATCGCTTTCACCCTCTCAAAGATCCGTAGAGCGGCTCGTGAGCTCCTTAAGCTCGACGAGAAGGACCCAAAGCGTCTCTTCGAAGGTAACGCCTTGATCAGACGTCTCGTCCGTATTGGTGTCCTTGATGAATCAAGAATGTGAGTGGCCCCCGCAAGAGAAAGTCCACGTCACGAACACGTCTGACCTCCTGCAGGCGTCTTGATTACGTATTGGCCCTCAAGATTGAAGATTTCTTGGAGCGTCGTCTCCAAACCGTTGTCTTCAAGGCCGGTCTTGCTAAGTCTATCCACCACGCAAGAGTCTTGATTGTTCAACGTCACGTATCTGTTGCTAACGTAAGTCGTTGCGTCGTTTTTTCGCCTTCCATTCATCAAGTCTAACCCTATCAAAGCAAATCGTCAACGTTCCAAGCTTCACTGTCCGTTTGGATAGCCAAAGATACGTCGACTTCAGCGCTACTTCGTAAGTTCACTTTTGACCTCTTCTGCCATCGCTGACAATTTCTCAGGTGAGTTAGAAAATTTTTATATAGACTAGAAAACTAATATAATACAGACCATACGGTGGTGGCCGTGAAGGTCGTGTCAAGCGTAAGCGTGCTCGTGCTGCAGCTGCTGCTGAAGGTGGCGATGACGCTGCTGAAGAAGATGACGAGTAAACGCATTTATTCAGTCGCCCAAGCTATTGTAAAGAGATGCATTGGTAGTTCTATTACTACACAATAAGGAACAATTTAAATATGTGTGTAATATAAAATGTTTAGAGAAGTGAGATATCTGTCCATCTGGCTCAGCATAGCCGTGGTGAAAGTAGGCATTTATTGGCACTGCTTGACTAAAATCGTGATAATCTGTTCGAGCGTTCTACTCTCGAGTATCTATAGTTCTGCTTAACTGGTTAGGGATTAAATCAATTCAGAATTGAACACGCATAGCATATACAGTAACTGCTCCAAGAACCACAGAATGGTAAGGTGTGTGCCAAAAATTGTAATACAGCTTCCTCTTGAGAAGTCTTACTAATACCTGCTTGCTAATGGTGCGAGAAGCTTAAGAAAAACTTAAGTGCCGGTCATATGTTAGTGTATCCCACGGAACTGAGTGTTGTGTTTATTGTGCCGCAGTGTTTTACCTACGCGGCTATTTTCGTGGAAAGATAGTATACAAATGAGAGATCTACGCGAAAAGAGTTCTTCGAGTGTTTCAAGCGTAGAGTCTTTCGTTCGTCTGAAAAAATTATCGCTAATCATCTTACTGTAGGGGATATTTGAGGAAGTCTGAAAGTATCGATTTCATTACAATAAAAACCAAAGAGGAGATGAGCCTGTAGCATGATGTGAGCATATATGATTAAAGGGGGGGTCATATGCTGACATCTCTCTCACTTCAATTGTGGTAACAGCAGTATAGTGGTGAAAACAAAATCTTGCGTAGATACATCCATAAACATCCAAGTCACTTCCAGTAATAAAGTAAAATCGCGCAAAAAACATACAGTTGTGATATGCTTCCACCCTGTCTCGGTTTTAAAGTGGGACATTACGTTATTAATCTATCTAAATAGTAAGAAACGTGATAAAACAATGAATCAGATATAATACTTCAGATAAATATCAGCGAATTCAAGAAATGATTAGTATCGTCATACTTTTATGTGAAGCAATGCAGAGTGAAATGCCTGTACTAGTATACAGAACATCAAAAATGCTTGTAATACACCTGATAAGCCGTCAAGTTGGGAGTGGTACCAATGACGCATGAGATTTCATAATGTAGATATCAACGAACATTGCGCGATTAGACTAGCGTTTGTCCGCGGATACTCCTCACATCTGAACCGATTAACTTCTCACTTCTCCATTCGCTCTTCTACTTCAACTACGATGGCCGACTCCTCAGTATATGAGGAATGCGAGCATATAATCACGTCCTATAACTCCGAGAATAGCAACAATGAGCAGATGTGAGTACATCGTCTGGAAATATCCTTTTCGCTGACCTCTGCAGCGTCGACTTGGTACAGAACTTCCCGAATGAATTCTTCGCAACGCTATTGTCGCAAGAGCCACTCTTACAGTCTAGTTTAAGTTTATTGAAGGTTGTTATTCTCTCATTAGAAGGTGAATTCAAGCAATCAGCGCAATCAGCTTTCTGTGATACTTTCAGTGTCATAGATTTGCCATATGAGGATACAGCTGCTGGTATATGGGCAAAGTTGAGAACTGCACAAGGTGACACTCAGCTGAAGGAGCAGCTCGCTCTTGTAACTTCCCAACGGAGACCACTTTACGATTTAGCGAGGCAGTTGATAGTGAGTCCGTTTCTAGATAGCATCCAACAGCTAACAATGACAGGTTGAGGGCTATATCCCCGCCGACTTACTTTCTCAGCGAATTGGAGCAACTGGTTTGAACGTTTTAGGTGTTATTAACGATCCCAACGTACACCAGCGGAAGGAGGCTAGAGCGAATACATCTGCAATGTGGGTATAACGTTAGCGTACACTATTTTCTAACATCCTCCTTCCAGCTACCGTCAACACCGTTTCAACCTCCATAGAGAAGTTGCAGAGGGTTTCGCAAAGATGTCAACCCTCATAGTCAATCTAATGGGCGACGAAATGCAGGTCAATGTTATCAGGACACCAGAATACATCGAAGCAGAAAAGAAGCGTGCTCATCAGTGCTGGATTGGTATAGAGAAGCTTATCGGTTTCTTCGATTTGGATCCACTCAGAGCACTTTCAACTATTTTGGACCTTTTTGCTTCATCGGTTGCGACCCACTGGCGTTTCTTCTTAGCCCTCTTAGATTTCTCTCCATGGAGACGCAAAACAGTACCGCATTCGATGGACGTAGAACCTACGCCTGGAAAATACGAAGGCTGGGACTTCAGTAACATCATCAACGATGCAGAGCAGGGTAGGAGACAGCCACTGGATGTTCCACGTAAAGACAACACATCATCTATCGAGGGTAATCTTGTTATTGCCCAGGTGCTGGGTTTTCAGATGAAATACTACCAAAGAAAGCAATCTGAGAAGATATTAGACAATTGTTACCACCTTTGCGCTTTACTCATACGGGAAGATTATGTAGCTCTTCTTGATCTACTCCCTCATCTCTCTCCAGATGAAAAAAAGATGAATGAATTAAAGAGTACCTACAAAGATAGCCTACAAGACAAGCTTATGTCAGCTAAAACATCTAACAACAAACTGGCAATGGCTGCTCCACTGAGTGACGATATACCATCTGCCTCCAAAGGTGTAGCAAGCCAGGAGGAAAAAGTAGAGGAAGACAAGAAGAAGAAGAAAGAGGAAGTACCATTTGAACCACCACTTCAGAAAGTTTCGCTAGTGATCTCGTTACTCAGCGTTGGTGCACTCAAAGAGGCTTTCTTTATGCTTTCTTTATATCCACACTTGCCTTATCTCTTCCCGCGCATTTGTGACTTAATCCTTAGAATTGCAAACCACTCCATAGAGCCGATTTACGCACCAATCTCAACACGCTCGAAGCGCAATATCGAGAAGAAGGGCGGTAACAACAAGATCTTCAGCTGCGAAGCTCCAACGCCAGTAGCCAGTGAAACAAAGGAATTTGTGTTCTTTTATGAAAAGTGGATAGAGAATATCCCCCAAGCATACACAGTCAAGGAAGCACTAACAGTTATCGATGGATTCCTTAAATTTGTTGGTCCATGTTGCTCTCGCAGTGTTGTATTCTTCAACAAGCTTTTGCGATTTGGTGGTCACGAGATCAGTAAGTCGCAAGAGCCTGAAAATATGCAGCCATGGATCGACATGACGAGAAATTACTTCTTCCCGGGCCTGGCCTTATCGAAGCCAAGCAACACACTCTCTAGTGCCCTCTGGAATATCATGAAGCACTTCCCACTTCCTACGCGTTATCAGTTATACGGAGAAATGCGTGGCTCGACATTAAAGCGTCTTCCGGAAGTGCGCGTGAAGTACTTAGAGACTGAACGCGACTCAAAATCCATCTTGCGTCGTTTGAGTTCTAACAAAGCCATCGTTAAAGCACATGGTAGATCTATCGCTAAGATATCGCAAACAAACCCTGTTGCTTTGTTCACAACGGTTTTGCAGCAAGTCCAATCTTATGAAAATATAGCACAGCCAGTTATAGATGGATCTAGCTACCTTTCAGAGATGAGCTATGATGTATTTACGTACGCCTTATTGGATTTCTTCACCGATCCAGCCAAAGAGAGAACAAAATTGGATGGTACAAATGCATCCCTCTGGTTGCAAAGTTTGGCGACCTTCACTGGTGGTCTCTTCCGTCGTCAAGTCAACTACATGGACCCAACGCCGCTGATCACTTACATTGCACACGAGCTGAAAAGATCCCACGTAAAAGATCTCATCATATTTAGGGAGATTGTGAAAGAGATGTCGTCTGTTCACCCACTTGCTGACCTCAGTGACGCACAAATCGTCTCACTTAGTGCTGGTCCCGCACTAAAAAGCGAAGCGATCCCACAAGAAAGCGGTGATGCAGCACGTCTAATTAAGAAGTCATCACGTAAATTGAGACATGCGCTTCATTCATCACAGTTGACTGTTCCACTGTTGGTTTTGATCGCACAGCAATTACAAGTTTGCGTATATATGGTACCGGAGAATGAATCACATCCAAAGCATTTATCAACACTTTACGATGAGACACTTGGCGTAATGTTACAGTATATAGAATTCCTGAGAAGTACACCACCATTGCCGACAGATCCATGGTCGAAATATGAAGATTCATTGCCAACCTTTGAAGATTTGGTTTCCAAGTATGGATTAGAAGTTGGTGTTGCGTTCACTATCATCAGACCTCAAATCTCATCTGAAATTTACGCATACGAGAAGCAGAAGCGTGCTGAAGATGAAGCAGCAAAACAGCAAGCAAAAGAGAATGAAAAAGCAAATGAAAAGGCGAATGAGAAGCAAGATGAGAAACCACAAGCAGATGTCTCCGAGGTCGCCACCGAAGAGAAACCTCCAACAGAGGAAGTAGTTGACGTAAAAATGGAAACTGATCTTGCACCCCAAGCAGAGCAGGAGCCTCAAACGGTTACATCACAGCCACTGAATCCGCAAGCGAGCAAAGACAAGAAAGACATCTGGCATCCTCTTCTCCTCAACCTCATCCAGCAGATGAAGAATGTACTAGGAGATATGATCAAATCGTCATTATCACCTGCTTTCGTCACAACTTTTTGGCAGTTGAGTATGTATGATATTTCTGTACCGATTGAGAGGTACGCACAAGAGATAAGCAACCTCCAAAGTGCTGCCAAAACACGCGAGTGGATGCTCGTTGACAAGGAGACTGGTCTTAGCAAAGCTTTAACAGTCCCAGCCCGTGTGGATGCATTGAAAGCTGATATGACAGAACATATGAAGGTGTACGAATCAACCAAGAGACGCATAAGCTCGGAAAAGCAATTCTGGTTCAGCAACGAAATGACAATTGCTACTCGCAATGCTGCGACGAATTACTACATCCAATATTGCATTATGCCTCGTGTTGTCCTCAGCCCAGAAGATGCCCTTTATTGTGCCAGGTTCTCAAAGCTTATGCACGCTTCCGGTGTACCTTCATTCCCAACTTTGCTTTTTTACGATAAGGTAGGCGTGGATGAAATATGTAATCAGCACAACTGACAACCTATTGTAGGTATTCTGTGAAAGTCCTTCAGCTATTCTCTCATCCTCAACGGAAAACGAAGCAAGAAACTATGGTGTGTTCACTCGACAATTATAATGAACGTAACTAACAAAGCCCAGCCCGCTTCCTGACTGAGCTTCTCTCAGAAGTTGCAGGATGGCAGAAAGACGAAAAGACATACCTCGCCGGTGCAAGAGGCTCAGGCTCACAGCCACTTCCTGGATTCCGCAAGAGCTGGGATATGCACAACAACGATATTCTGACTTACGACGAATTTAAGAAAGCTTTCAGTAAATGGCGTATCAAGTTACTTAATGTGAGTGTTTCATGTACTAACAAAACAAAAAGGCTGACACTAGTAAGGCCTTCACAGCGTGTGTCAAGTCAGGAGAGTACATGCATGTCCGTAATGCGGTAATCGTCTATAACAGGATCAGCGAGCACTTCCCAGACTCACACAAGACGGGTGAAAGTATGTTTGTAATGGTTAAACAGCTTATCGCAGATGAGAAGCGTGATGATCTCAAAATTCTAGCCCAGGGATACCTCGCTCAGCTCACTAAGAGGAGACATACATGGGGAGGTTCTGATCAAGCTCCACCTAAGACATCTGAAGAGAAAACTGGAGCACCAGCTGAGAAATCACCTACGGTGGACGATAAAACCGCCACACAGCAAACAGAGAAAGCTGACATTCGTCAAGAAGCTCGTCTTAGAGATAGACTGGATGCGCGCAAGCAATCGCGTAGTGGACCTGTCAAAGAAATTAGTATCAAGCGCTCAAGCGAACAACGGGAGGTTCCTACTGCACCAGCAAGCGATCGTCATGATTCTCAACAACAAAAAGCAGATTCTGGTAGAAATAATAACTTACCGAATAAGCCTAGTGCAAGTACAGGAAGACAAATCCACAGCAATGGCGAAAAAACCGCCCAGCAGGCGCAACCAAGATCACGTTCACCAAGTACAAATGGAAAGAGGAGATCGCCTCCACCTAGCAGATCTGATAGTAGAGCTAATACTCCAAGGTACGTATGCGTTATGTGACTTTCCAACATAGTCTAATTTATCTTCAGTAACACAGCACCTGCTCTTCAAGGTATCAAAGGCAGGGCAGCTTCAGCTTCAGCTCCAGCTCCAGCGCCTGCTTCAGGCGGTGGTGCATCCTTGCTTAGTCGCTTCGAGCTAGACACCGATCGCGAGAGTCGAAGCAGTGGCGGCCGTAGCAGAAATAGATCGCCTTCACCCCAACGCAGTCAAGGTAGCCGCAAGTACGATCAACGTGATAGACGCGAGCAACGAGAGCGTGAACCACGAGAATCAAGAGAACCACGAGAACCACGGGAGCAACGTGAACGTCGTGACCATCGCGATCAACGTGATCAACGTGATTATCGCGAGAAGCAAGACAAACATGACGATGAAAGACACGAAAAGCGTCGCAGAATTGAAGATGATGGAAGACACGATAATCGCAAACGTTCAGCATACGATGACAGACAAGGATCTACGACGAGCAAACGTTCACGCAATGACCAGAGTAGGGCCTTTGAAAACGCGATGTCTGCTGCATCCTATAATGACGAAACCAGAAGAAAGCGCACCGATGATAGGAAGGACGAGAGGGAGAGAGAAGTGAGACGAGATGAAAAATATAGAAGAAAAAGAGATCGTTAATGTATTTAATTAATTAAAAATATATATTTAATTTTTATCTTTACGTGATTTGATCTTATCGAAGGCCTGACTTCTGAGAAGACGCGTGAACGCGAACAACGATGAGAGAGAATGACGCGAGTGAGAATGTAGGGGATGAAATAGAACTATCACCTAAGAGAAATGTCGTTAGAAAGTATGGAAGAGCGCGTCCTGAGGAAACAGACAGACAACCGAGTCCTACTATTGCAATAGAGAAGCCAACAGTCGAAGAGACCAACTTACTAAGTGATGATGGCACAAACGAAAAAGATGAAAAAGATGAACACGCGGAACTACGCAGAGAACTTGGTCTTGGAGGTTGGAATGATGAAGTTGACGCTATTGACACAATGCCAGAGGAACAGTTGCGGAGTCTACCAGCAAACCTTCTCGACGAGTTTGACAGCGATCCCGAAGAAAATACAGAGAGCCATTTCAGCCGATCTAAAGATGTGTGTGTTGTTATTTCAACAAGCAATATCTGATTAGATAACAGCAGGAGGAGGATTACAGCCTTTCGATGGCCGAGAAGCGCAAGATTGAAGAGAAGCAGCCAGCTGTTGAACTCGGTGAAGCGAACGATGATATCATCCTCATGGACGCTAATACCGTGCCATCCCACCAGCCGTTGCCATTCGAGGAAGACGATATGGACGAAATACCGACAAAAACCAAGAAACCAAAAGTCAGCGTGTTTTATCATATGTTCCACTTTTCTAATCTGTCGTTTAGGGTATGAATAAGAAAGATGTTGACGAGTTGCATCGCGAGACGGCCAGGATGGTTAGAGGTGAGATGAATTATCATAATATTTAGTAAACATCTCACACTTTTGACAGAGCAAAACATCCGACTTGAATCACGCAATACGAAGATGACATTAGCAGACTACTATGCGAAGTTGGCAATTAAAAGGGGGTGAGTGGGTAGGACATATTGTTTGCATATCCTTACAGCCTTACAGTCACGCTGAAAACAAGGCTGAGGAGATACTCCATGATGACAAAGAACAGCCTGCTGAAAGCACAATTCTTACGAATTCAAAGGAGGAACCAAAAGAGCATTCAAAGATGAACAAACCTGAGGAGACACCAGATAGTCTCACCCAGCAAGATCTCAACCAGAAGAAAAAAGAACAGTCGGAGAAGCTCAAATTGCTCAAACTTCGCGCTTTGAAAAATACAAGGAAACAGAAGAGTCCAGAAGTAGATGTAAATAAAGACGACGATGATATCGAGATCCTCGCCGACGAGAACCCGGCAGTGGGACCTCTCGCGCGTGCTGCCGGAGCCAGATTAGGTGCAGGCAAGGAAGATGCATCGTCCAAATTAGCAGCCAAGCGTCGTTGGGATAGCCGCGAAGCCCACAGAATCAGGAAATTTGTAGGTATATCTGAGCGTGGTAAATCAGGTGCGAAGAGACGCAGAAGCAGTGAAGGCACGCCTAACAAGAAAGGAAAACTTCTCACGAATGAAGAACTTATGGAGAATATAAGGCAAAAGGCTCTTAACCAGGAACTAGAATTTAAGAATGAAACTGAAGTACTTGGGCGCTCGCGAAAGAATAAATATCATATACCCAAACCTAAAACAGAGTTGGCAGAGCGCGTTGATCCAATTGAAGTAGCCTTGAAACGTGCAGCCAAACGAGCAGAAGATGACTACGACGCAGCAGATGATGAAGGAGATAGTGAAGATGACCCTGAAGATGGAAATTGGCTCGGTTCTGCTGAAGAGGACAACAACGAGAATGAAAACAATGAAAATGATGCAAACCACAACGACTCAGAAGCGGACTCGGAGGAACCTGATGAAAATGAGAAGGAAAAGGAAAATCATTCATCATTCTCATCGAATGCGACGAGTAGCAGACTCGGAAACACGCGTAAACCACTAGGTGAAGCTGCTGGACATGCTTACGACAATATGAGCGATAGCGATAGCGAACCGCGCGGATACAGACGGATAAGGAGGATTATCAACGACGTAAATGAAGATAATCAAGAAGATGATAGTCAAGTATCAAACAGACTCGAATCTCCATTTGCGGGAGATTTGCAACCTGAGTTCTACATGAACAAGGATGGACTGCTTACACAATCGAAGCCGCAAACAGAATTTAGTGATGAGGATATCATTATGGATGACGATGACGGTCCTAGACAAAATAACCTGCTAAAACGTAACTCTTACAATAGTGATAATGAAGTCGAGGCACGCCCTATACGTGAGAGAAGGCCGATTGATGGAACTCAACAAACTGAACAAACTGAACAGACGCAAAAACAGTCTACTCAAGCCACACAAGCAGCCACGCAGATTGAAACACAATTTGACAATCAAGCTCAACGTATGAGTCCAACGCAAGCTGAAACGATACCTAACATAAAGGAATCTACACAATCAGTCGAACGCAAGACGTTAACCCAACCAAAGAGTGCTTTTGATACACTCAAGGTGGGTATGAAGAAGCAAGAAGCTAAAATTCAACAGAAAAAATCAGGAGCACCAATCGATCCACGTTTCTTCGAAGCTCAAGCAGAAGAATCCGACGAAGAGAACCTAATGGGTCTGATAAGTGAAGATGAGGAAGAGGATGACGGTGTCGATCGACATCTGGAGGAACTCGTAAATGATGAAAGGGTTGCGAAAGAATTACGTGAAAAGCAAGACAAACTCGCAACCGAGAAATATCAAGAACAAAGGCAACAAGATGACGAATTGGACAAGAAGGTTGCCCAAAATGCAGTAGATGGTCGCTACAGATACAGGAGGAGACATCGTACAGAGGACGGTTTAGATATGAGTAGTGATGACGATGATATTGAATTCATGAAAGCCCAAGAGCAACTAGCCGCGCGGATGGAAAAGAAGAGGAGGAAGCACGCTGGAGAAGAGCCAATGGATGTTATAGGTGAGTTGATCCAACTAGAGTCTGGTAAACTGACAAACGGTAGCTCGCAACCCACGGACAGCGGCGTTTGCTGCAGCATTTGAAGCTCCAGCCAATGCTGATGATTTTGAAGCTGAATTTGACGTTGAACACACGGGAGGAGCGCTGATTGAACAACCTGAAGAAACTAACCAAGGTATTATCTCAGATGACGATGGAGAAGATAGTGATAATTCAGACACCAGTGCAGCAGCTCCTCAGAAGCACTCAACTCTGAAAGAAGAAACAGAAGCAATGCGCAGATTCATGGAAAAGAAGCATGCTTTCAATAACACTTATTCGAGTGACTCAGAAGATGAGAGTCAGGCTATGCAGTATGTCAGGAAAGGCGATCCTGGTAAGCAGAAGCGTAAGCCACAAGCCACATCGCATCATAATAATGATGATGACGAGGTTGTTACGTCATATACACAAGGACGGAAGCCATTATCACCTCGTTCCTTGAGCAAATTGAAGAAGTTCGCTCAGGATGAAGGAACCGGTGCTAATTTCAATCCAAACGGTGCGACGAAGAGTGGTGTTACGTCTTTCTTGGCGGATTCTAATAGAAGTCAGGGCAAGCAGGACAAAGGAGGCAAGAAAAAGTCAAAACCTTCTTCGCAAAATAGCTCTCAGAAGTCACAACAGCCATCATCACAGTCATCACAATCTAAACCAGCGTCCAAACTTAGTTCATTTGGTAAATGGGGTTAAACAAAGAATCAAACAGTGTAATATCCATGTAATTTTTTCTATACATAGTGAGGCTTTTGTAAAGTTTTCCTGAATATTCTAAGTATTTTCAATAATTTATGTCTAAGTATCCGGGGTGTTCGTGTTTCTTTATTCGTAGTCACTCTAGAGGTGTGCAGTGGCAGTTGTACGACGGTAGTAGTCTGCTTTGATTAAGTCGGAAGCTCTCTCCGCTACCATCTCAACACTAATCATTGGGTTGGCTGTTACCATAGTTGGGAAGACTGACGCATCGACAACTCTGATTCCTTTCAAACCTCTAACTCGCAAAAGAGGATCAAGTACAGCAGTTGGGTCATTAGCTGCACCCATCTTACAAGTACCAGCTGGGTGATAGACGGTGTGGTGGACTGCTCTACCATACGCACCAATATCTTCATCAGATTGGACAGCTGGGCCAGGAGCGACTTCCTCCTTCAACCACTTCGAGAATGGTTCTTGTTTGGCAATCTCCCTAGCAATCTTGATACCATCAATGATAGTCCTTTCATCTTCACGCTTAGGATCGGTGAAGTATCTAAAGTCGAGCGCCGGCTTAACCTTCGGATCTGAGGAGGTAAGGTAGAGTCTACCTGCGGACTTAGGTCTGCAGACGTTAGGTGTCATGCAGATAGCATTTTCTGGGCGAGGGTATCCCAAACGCTCAGTGTTGTCAGCAAAAGGAACGGAGTAGACGTGGAACATTAAATCTGGTCTGGTTTCACCCTCTTCTTTGACTCTTTGAATGAAGAGTGCAGCATCACTCTCCATGACAGTCTTATCTTCAAGTGGACCATGAAGACTCCACATGATGATGCTCTCTGGATGGTCAAGGAGGTTCTCACCGACTGGAAGATCGGCTACGAGGGGAATGTTAAGCTCCTTGAGCTGCTCAGCAGGTCCAATTCCATTAAGGAGTAATAAACGAGGAGAGTCAATCGCACCGGCTGACAAGATTACTTCGTGCTTGGCTCTAAGAGTAACTCTCTGACCATTTTCAGGTGTTGCTACGACACCACAAATCCTATCTCCCTCAATGATCAATTTTTCTACCCAAGTGTTCAACATGAGGTGAAGATTTGGCCTTTTGCCAATGATAGGGTGCATGTAGGCGACAGAGGCAGATGAACGATGACCGTCCTCAGGGGTGTAAGCGATGCTTAACCAACCGACACCCTCAGTCCAGACTTTTGTACCCTCTGTGTAGCGAGTTTTAGACCAACCGTCAAAATTTTCAATAATTGGCACCTGAGTTGTCTTTTGGCAACTTTCTATCCAGTCACCCATGATAGGGTTCCTGTCCTTCTCGTGGGCTGGCTGAATGTGGTTGAGGAGGCGGTCACCGTATGGTTGAATCGTCTCGGAATCCCATCCGACTGCGCCATGTTTGACCCACTCGTCGAGATCCTGTGGGAATGGTCTGAAGCATATGAGAGTGTCTGATGCCGTTAGAAAGTGTCTCTACCCTTAGATGAAACCCGAACTCACTATGGGAACTGCAACCGCCTATACATCGTTAAAAAGGATATATAAATAAGCGGAAACTCACCTAAGACCTTTGCTCTGGAGTGGAGAATGTGTGAGTTGCCCATCGGCTGCTCAGTTGTGGTGTACATCAAATCGAACTTTGGATCACCGAGCAAACTCATCCAAGACTTTAACTGGAGTACTTGTGGGTAGTCTCTATCATCTGGGCCACCTTCGATGACAAGTACTTTGATTTCTGGTACTTCTGTCAATCTGTTAGCCAAGACTAATCCAGCAGTGCCACCTCCACTGTAGAATATTAGGATATAATCTTTATTTTATAGAACTAGAGACATACACAATAATAAAATCAAAATCCATTTCACTTTTCAAATGAACGTATTCGCTAAGGAGATCGTCGCTAAGATCTTCCATGAGTTCATCAAAAATAGTGTCAAAATTGAGTGCACTCAAACAAACTATCGATATTCCAGTTGGATTGTTTATCGACGGTGAATTCAGGAAAGGTACTGGTTCTAGCTTGTTAGTTGTCTATTCAGCTTCCATTACACCCGCTCATTACCTCACCAGCTACTCTATCAATCCAGAAACAGAGAAACCAGTGATAAGTGAAGCAATACAAGGCGCTAGCAGGAATGATGTTGATGACGCCGTAAAAGCTGCCCGCGCTGCATTCGAAACAACCTGGGGTCAGAACGTCTCAGGTCCAGAAAGATCAGCTTTAATGAGGAGATTAGCAGATCTGATCGACAGGGACACTGAGAAATTGGCTATTGTCGAGGCTATCGACGGTGGTAAGACAATCAACTGGTGCGAGGGTGACATAGCAGACGCTGCAGCTTGTTTAAGATATTATGCTGGCTGGGCAGATAAGATTAGCGGACAGACTTTAGAAGTCAGCACTGCAAATAAGATGTCTATGACACTACATGAACCTATCGGTGTTGTTGGACAGATCGTCCCATTCAATTACCCTATTATGATGGCTGGATGGGCTATGGCACCTGCGTTAGCCGTAGGTTGTAGCATTGTCTTTAAGCCAGCAGAGGCTACACCACTCACGACACTCCTTCTCGCTCAGCTCGTCAAGGAGGCTGGTTTCCCTAACGGTGTTTTTAATGTCGTCAACGGCCTTGGTAGAGAGACGGGTGCTGCTTTATCTGAGCACCATGGTATCGATAAGATTTCATTCACTGGATCGACTGCTACAGGACGTAGTATCACTGTTGCTGCTGCACAATCCAACCTCAAGAAGGTCACGCTCGAATTAGGCGGTAAATCACCATCGCTGGTCTTTGATTCAGCAGATATCGACGAAGCTGTCAAATGGTCTGCTTTCGGTGTTTTCGAAAATGCAGGACAAAGCTGCTCAGCTGGAACTAGATTACTTGTACACGAGAACGTCTACGACGACTTCGTCAAAAAGCTCGCTCAAGCTGCAGACGAAATTAAGCTTGGTCACGTTTTAGACAGATCTACACAGCAAGGTCCACAAATCCACAAAGCTCAATTTGAGAAAGTATTGAGCTACATCGAAGCTGGTAAGAAAGAGGGCGCACGCTTAGTTACAGGCGGTAAAAGGCTTGGCGATAAAGGCTACTTCATCAGACCAACTGTATTCGCGGACGTAAACAATAGTGAGTTTATGGTTGAATATGTGTATGTTTGCTGAATAAAAGTCCATAGAGATGAAGATTGTAAGCTATCTCAGCTATCACTTATCACCGTGACTGACACGTAGACAGGCACAAGAAGAGATTTTTGGTCCAGTCGTTGTCGTTATACCGTTCAAGACTGAAGATGAGGCTGTCAAGATGGCCAACGACACCAGCTACGGTCTTGCTGCAGCTATCTATAGCAAGAATGCCGACCAAGTGGGTAGATTAATGCACAAGCTCAAGGCTGGTACAGTATGGGTTGTGAGTTACATTTTAATACCTATTATCTTGCTAACTTGTCCAATAGAACCAATACACTATGTTATCACAGTGAGTGATAAGTTACGCGGTTCCTGAGAAGAATACTAATGATTTTTATAGCAACACACCTTTCGGTGGTTATAAACAATCTGGATGGGGCCGTCAACTTGGTAGCTATGGTCTTGAGGCTTACATGAACGTAAAAGGTGTAAGTTGGAACTATGGACCTGAGCCAGCACCAAAATTGTAAATGAACACTTTGTAACCTGAACAAATAATATATTATATTAGCTCCAATTAGCAAATTTGTCACCGCTCGCCATGTTCCTGAAAATATTATCAGGTACGCACTCAAGGATAAGGTCCTAAAGTGGTGCTCTGGGCCTGACGGTCCTTAGAACTCAACGCTATTTTCTGCTCAACTCTGCACTACATAAAGTAAATTTTAAAACCTTCCCTGAGTGAGAGACCCTAAAGAATTCAAAAAGTCGTGAGTTACCGTCAGACGCTCATCATGTCACTAATGGGAGGAAACGCAGGTGGATCAGGAATGAGCAACGGAGGAAACCCCAGCACCAGTGGATCAGGCGGACCTTGCCAGATTTACCCACTCACTGTAGATAACATTGACTGTTTACCTGCACCCCCAAAATCGCAAATAGCATTGGCTGTCGTACTAGGCAGCGTAGGAATCGTCGGATATATTGCTATAGTCATTCTCGTATTACTCTTGAGGAAAAGCCCCGCAAAAGCACGAACTTCGTCACCCCTTCCGTTTAGTTTCACAGATCACTCGATGAGATAAACAAAAGGATTCTATGGGAATATTACAAGGATCATTCAGTAGCAACCTTCTTCGCTTCGAGGTTGTACTCTTTTAGGATGTCGTCAGTGGTGCCGCTAGGACTTTTGAATAAGCGGTCCATCCCATTGAGCGACTTCGGGAATGCAATTACATCCCTAATGGAGCTCGTGTTACACATTATAGCCACAAGTCTATCCAATCCTATACGTTGTCAGCGGATGCTATATTACAGACATCAAAATAGAATAAACCCACCTAAAGCGATACCGGCGTGTGGTGGGGCTCCACTCTTTAGAGCCACCAACAAGTGGTCGAAACGATCAACTTCATCGTCCGTTAACTCCAAAACGTCTTTGAATACTTTTAATTGTAGATTAGCATCATGGATTCTTACACTTCCACCACCAAGTTCGACACCATTGAGGACTAAATCGTAATGCTGTCCGCGTACGAGTGAGACATTTTCTTTTAGTAGGCTTATATCTTCAGCGTAGGGTGCTGTGAATGGGTGATGAGTGCTCGACCATCTCCCCTTCGACAAGAACTCTTTGTCTTCGTCAGCACGAGTGAAGAGAGGGAACTCTACTATCCAGACGAATGCGTAGGCGTCTGGGTTAGATAACAAGCCGAGCTGCTCGCCGAGCTTCAGTCGGAGCGCACCCAATCCTGTACCACCGCCTTCTGGGTTGGTTGGAAGCTCTTCAAGCCAGACTATGTCACCTTCTTGAACATCCAGGTTGCACTTCTGTTCCTCCGTTATCTGGCTACATCCCGGGTGGTTCTTTAGGAAGTCACCGTCGAGTCGGCCATCCCTAGATGGTCTGTAGACTAACCCCCGCGTTTGTGAATTTCCGTCGGCTGACATACTAGCCAGGGCTATCTCTAATCCGAATCTCAAGTCGGGTTTGTCTGAACCATACTGTTGTGGTGTAAGTCTTGCCTGTTGGACAAAAAGAACACACCTTGTTCATCGCGTCTCTATACTTCATTACTTTAAACGTAGATTCGAGCTCAGTGCGTTGGTATTCCCTCCAGAGTTGGCGGATGAGACCTTCGATGAGGTTTCTTACCTGCTCACCACCCATATTCCACCCACTGGTGGCCGCATCTTGAGAGGCAGCGCCGCTGACGAATCCTAACTTTCTGTTAGCTTGCTATATACCCTTAGTGTTGTAAAACCCACCTAATTCTATATCCAACTGTGTAAACTCTGGTTGTCTATCTTTTCTGCCATCCTCGTCGCGAAAGCATTTCGCAATCTGGAAGTAGGCGTCTGTAGCACCTGATGCAATGAGCAGCTGTTTTGGTTGCTGAGGCGATTGTGGAAGTGCGTAGAAAGTTGGTGCCTTTACGTGGTTACGCGTGGGGACGAGGAACTCACGCGCACCCTCTGGTGTAGATTTGAGGAGAATTGGTGTCTCAACCTCCGTAAAGTCTTCTTTATGTGAGACAGAGATAAACAAAGGAGAGAGGACACTCACGGCGATCATGTAGGTAGTTTCTGATGGTGTGCGTCACTGCTGATCTTTTGCGAAGATTATCTGTCAGAAATTTCCTCCTGAGATCTAAATATCTGTACTGCAATCTGAGGTCCTCTTTGATAGACTCATCGTGTGGATTGAATGGCAAGTTTGTTGCCTGATTGAGCAAGGTATAAGATTTAACATCGACTTCTATTTCACCGGTGTCTAAACTCTTATTTATTTGCTTATCGGAGCGTTTGTTCACTTGCCCCTCTATCAAGACGACGGATTGGCTGGGAAGCTTATCCAAACCTTCCAAAGCGCTTGAAGAACGTACTACGAGCTGGGTAGTACCAGTGAAATCTTTCAAAGGGACGAAAGAGAGTTTGTTTGATGCACGTCTATCATTTCGTCAGTTTACTCTCACAAAGGAAGGAATATCTACCGTGGAGTCTGCACCCATCCAGCGAGCGCAACTGATTCACCTGCATTGCTCACTCTCAGCTGGTTACAGTGGTGTGTTCTAGCTATCGCTCGAAAGGCCATAGTTGGAAGAGAGAAGACATTCTAAAAAAGTACAAAAATAAATTATTTCTTACGGTTACCGCCTTTTCTACCGTTGAATCCAGCGCCTATCAGTTCATTAGAGAGGTTGGCTAGTAATTCTAGTATACTCACCCCTTTTAGCCTGCTGACGCTTACGATGGCGTCCGAGGTCCCTACCAGATGTAGATACCTTCTTAGCGTCCTCCTCCATTGACTCCTCCTTTTCTTCTTTCTCGAAATCCTTCAAATCATCTGCAAACTCCGGTCTGTTGTCTTTCGTAGCCTCTTCTGCAGGTGCTGTGCTAGTCAAACGTGAATTCAATCTTGCTAATCTAGCTTGATCCTTTATGTGGTAGCTATCACGTCTTAGCTCACTCTCTTACTATCAGATACACTCACTCTGAGTCTTCTCTCGTACGCTTAGCAGATCTGTGTGCTTTCTTAACTCTTGATCCTATAGATTGTGAGCTAAATAGAAGTAAATTTCCTTCAAACTTACTCAACGATTTCGCCATTCCGGTGAAACTTTGTTGATCGTATCAGTCGAAGGAGCTTCTTTAGCATTTACATCCATTATGCCACAGGATAGCGGAGAGCAGCCACAGCAAGAGCAGCAATCTAATGGTATATGGCATTACGCCAAAAGAGTGAGTAGAGCCCCCTACTGATATCGATATGCTCACACAGATAGGCGTTACTTATATGGGTCGTTTCTAGAGCCGTACTCGGTCCAAATGGTTTGATTAGCAAATATACAGGAATGGATAAGTTATCTCCACAGCCACAAGGCCCTATGCCGGTATCTACCCCAGAAGATGCCACCAATTCGGTGGTTCCAGTGCAGGTAACGAACTTATGGGAGAAGGACACAGAAATGGACTTGTTTATTAAATTGTCTACTTCAAATAATCCTTACCTCGCCTTGGAAACAGATGATGGTCTGCCAGAAATACACTGGACTAATATCAACTACGGTGATTGGAACCTAGACAGGACAGCGTCATTTGATATAGAGTTACCAGAGAGCGTCAAAAACAATGGCACCCTCTGGGCTGACTTCTTCCTCAGCAAGAAAGACGCACCTATCAACCAACGCGATCCATCCTATGATCCACTTGCCGTAGCTCATTCTCGTAAGCTTCTCACGCGTTTCCACCCAAAGAAAAAAGCGCGCAAGGAGAAGAACTTATTGTCTGACGACTCGTCTGACGGTGAGGACGATGAGGAGGACAAGGAAACACCAGAGTTGATTGTCCCTTACTGGCACTCGAATCTCACAGTCTCCATTATACAGGACACCGGTATTAACATTCCGTACACTCAAACTCAACCAGCTGCTCGTAAATTCATCGCTTTGGACCCGCTCAATAGACGCAAAGAGGGTGTTAAGCCAGAGACCGGTTATCACTATCCTATTATCTATCCTAATGATTTCTGGCTTCTTCGCAACCAATTTGTAGAGCTCAACGAGACTACAGACGTAGTCCCACTCCATATTTCTTTATCATCACTCTCATTCTTTAAATTCAACATATATGCCAACATCCATGCGGGTATGGAAGAACAAGCTCAGACACAAGGTACTGGTGGTGAACTGGATGAGTTTAAGCGTATGCTGGTTGAAACAAATCCTTATTTCCTGGCACTCACTGCGCTTGTCACCCTCTTACACACCGTTTTCGAATTCCTTGCATTCAAGAACGACGTTAGTCACTGGAAGGGTGAAAACCACGATATGGTAGGAGTATCTCTTAGATCAATCATCGCAAATGTCATAGTACAAATTATTATATTGCTTTACTTGATCGACAACAATGAGAACGCCAGTTGGACAATCATCGGTGGACAGGCTATTGGATTAGTTATTGAAGCTTGGAAAATAACCAAGGCTATCAATTTCAAGATCCTTCCTCCAGCTCCAAACTCGTGGTTGCCATTTAATTTCCAATTCGAAGACAGGAAGGAATTGTCAGAAGATGAGAAGAAAACTAGAGAATACGACGCACTTGCTTTCAGATACGTTAGCTGGGTTATGGTGCCTGTCCTTATTGCTTACACTATCTACTCGCTCCTTTATGAGACTCACCGCGGATGGTACAGTTTCGTTATTTCTACACTCACTTCTTTCGTCTATGCTTTCGGATTCGTACAGCTTGTTCCTCAGCTTATTCTCAACTACAAATTGAAGAGTGTTGCACACATGCCTGGACGTGCGATGGTGTATAAAACATTATCAACTGTCATTGACGACCTTTTCTCCTTCATTATTAAGGTAAGTGTAGGTGTCCATAGAAGACAAATTCTAACGTATCTCTAGATGCCTCTTCTTCATCGCTTGAGTTGCTTCCGTGACGATGTTGTCTTCCTTATCTACTTATACCAAAGATGGATCTACTCTGTTGATCCAAACCGCTTGAATGAATATGGTCAAGCTACAGATGAAAAGATTGAACAATTTGAGAAAGAACAAGAGTCTAAGAAAGACAAATGATGTAATTATATTGAATTACTGTAATTTTCTATACTTACTGGTTAAATGGAGCGTAATGTATTACTTAAATACGAATAATAAATTGCCTATTTTTTGCTTTTTTTATCTTTCCATCAAAAGTAAAGTCAGCGACGCGTGCTTTATCTGAATCGACGACGAGCGCCTGCTTAATAAACTGCAGAGTTGAGTGTGTAGAGTTTATTTAATAGAAACTTTATCTCACAATTTACTAGAGTTTCAACTTTTATTGCTATTGCTATTGCACAAATCATTAAAATGCCCATGACGAGAACATCGCGTCGACTACAGAAGCTCTCACCGGAGAGGAAGAACACGGAGGCTGATTTGCTAGCTTTGAATGAAAAGCTTAATATACGTACTCCACGCAAAGCGCAAGCGACAGTCGTACATCATGACAATGAGAGTGACCTGACAGATAAGGAGGAAAGTGGTGAAACTTCACCTAAGCGTAAAAATGGCACTATGAGTGTACATAAGTCACCAACGAAGAAGCAAGTCACGCCAGAAAAAAGGCGTACACTTCGATCTAAGAAGTCTGTCACGCTCACTACTGAATCTGAAAATGATTCAACTGACAAAGAAGATGAAGAAGACGCGTTATCTAGACGCTCGACGCGTATTTCTAAGTTGCAACTCACACCAGAGAAAAAGCGTCCACTTCGCTCGAAGAAATCTGTAACACTCGCGCCGGAATCAACAAAGAAAGCCTTAGCGAGAGAATCCACATTTGGAGAGACTTCAAATACAGTATTCAAAACGCCATCCAAGAAGACGCCATCGAAGACACCGCGAAAGACGCCTTCGCGGAATGCACTCAAGAAGGAAGACACATTCGATGAGTTTGTACAGCCAAGAAAATCACTAGTTAGCACCTTCAACGGTGTGGCTGACTCCACTGTGAGTACACCGAAGAAGTCACTTAATAGGCAAGATAGCTTCGCCGTTGCTACCACACCGGCATCGACGAATGTGTATGCCTACGCGCGCAATAGAGTCCGGACTATGAATGCATCCTCTGATGAAGACCAGCTCATTGGACGTGAAAGTGAAATAGAGGCTATAAGATCATTCTTAGAGTCATCTCAGTCGAGCCTCTATGTATCTGGCCCACCAGGTGGTGGTAAAACAGCCGCGGTTAAGTTGGTAGTTAACGGCTATGATGGTCGTATGCATTGGACGAATTGTATGGCCCTGAGTGGTGTTGACAACCTTCTCGATGAGTTACGTTTGGTCAAATCCAAATCTAAGTCATTGTAGGTACATGAATACGTTATGCAATGTCTTACTAACAATTCAATAGACTAGTCATACTCGATGAGATAGACACACTGCCTCATGAAGATCTTCTCGAATTGTTTAAGATTGCGGCGGAAAATGATGAATTGAAGCTCATAGGGATTGCAAACGCGTTGGATTTGACGAGTAACCAATTGCAAAACTCTGATCATCCACCAGTTCACCTGCAAGTGCATCCTTATACAGCCCAACAATTGAGCAACATCATCAATGACAGACTTGGGGAGTACAAGCAGCTATTTATGCCTCAAGCACTCGAATTGCTGAGTAGGAAAGTGAGCGCAATGACAGGAGATATCAGACAAGTCGTATCAGTCGTTACGCTCTGTCTTGACACTGTAGAAAAAGAGCAAAAGAAACTCCGTGGTGCTGCTTTATGTGATGTTACTGTAGAGGAAGCTACTAAAGTCACGATGCCAACTATGTTGAAATCAATAACAGCCAGAGTGAAAGCATCCAATAAATCAGCTAATAACACAAAAATTGAATTGCTTAATTTACACTCAAAAATTGCACTCTTATGTGTTATGCTTACAATGCGAAGGAGAAGTCAACTGAAGTCATCGCTACCTTTATATGAAAGCTACTGCTATTTGCTTAACACTCATTCGACGATATCGCCAACGAGCAAATCAGATTTCATTGACTTGGTTAATGTCTTGACTAGTTCGAGTATTCTAATCGAACAGTATACACAATTCGACCAAAATGCTATGCTTGGTACGCCATCTAAAAGGGCAAGGATGAAGGCTGCTCTTATGGCGACAGAACCTGAATTCAAATTGCAATACAGCGAAGGTGAAGTAATCAAGCTGCTTGGTTTATCAAATGGAAATAGCGACGAAAACCCTCAAATAGAACAACTAAAGAGGGTTTACTTTAGTGAATTAAAAAGAATTGAGCAGGATGTAATGAAAAAGAGTTGGCAAGTGAAGACACCGCTGTCTGAATCAAACAATCCACCGGTTGATGTCTTCGTTTGACACAGTCTCATTATATTGAATATTAATCCTTTCATACTTATTTCATGCATTTACATTACCATACAAAATCATTCAAATCGTTTAAGCGACAGTCTCGCGTATTGCTTTGAGTAACTCTTCACCGAGCTTATGACCACTTGCTGGATTCTGACCAGTGATCAAAATACCATCTGAGTTCTTATCAACGACGACACGCTCGCCCCATGGTTCTGCAGCTTTGACGTAGCTACCTCCATGTCTCTTGATGTGATCCTCTGGCAACTCCTTAACGCTCTGGACTTTACCAACTTGCTCTTCCTCGAGGTTTGAGAAAGCAGTGGCAGTACGACCGTTATAAATTGAATTGCCATTTCTATCGACAACGCTGCCGAGGGTACCTGCTGCATGACAGATTGCAGCGACAGGCTTGCCTGCTTGGTAGACACCACTAAGAACACGTGCAAATGTATTGTCTGTGATGAGGTCTACACTTGGACCATGGCCACCAGGGACAAATACGGCGTCGTATTCGCTGAAACAAATAAGCGTCTATTATGATATCATGGAAGAAACTCACCGTGGGTTAATTTCAGAAAGAGGGACATTCTTCTGATATTTGTCAGCCCTGTCTTTCAAGAAGGACATGGATTCTATGTCTTCTTTGAACATTTCGACACTGGCTGGATCAACGACTGAGTGTCCTTTTGGTGAGGCGAAGGTGACATCTACGTGGGTGGCTATTTTGCTGAATGGATGGGCGATTTCAGAAATGAAGAAACCGGTTGGATGTCCATCGACTGTTTTATCAGCTGAAGTGAGAACAATTAGAACTTTTGGGAGAGTTGTTGAGCTTGACATGCTGCAAGATGTTAATAGAATGTTAACAGGACGTAGCAGACATACTTTAATTTGACGTTAGTTGTTCAATTAGAAGAGTACTTGAACGGTTTCAATGGATAAATAGGATGACGTCGAGAATCTCCACTTTATCAATGATTAATAAATGCGCTATTTCCATACGTGCATATTTAATGTGCTTTAATATTGATCCACTGCCTTAGCGACCGTGCTTTGTTACCTCTACAGTTCTTACAGCGTAGACAATACTACATGCTTCTGATAGAAATGTTAATTGTACCAGTATAATCGATTCTATAATGTAATAGAGATATACTCAAAGCCATTTCAAATTGTACAATAGAAACACCTTCGATACGACTGACAGCGAGAAACCAAAGCAGAGCAAAAAGAGAGTGATAAGAAAGACTATTAACTTCTAACACACCATGTAAGCTACCAAAGCAGTTAAAAATCACTCTCTTCCATCCTTGATCTCATACCATCAGTGTCCAAAAATGCCAGATCCGAATACAACACTATACCTGCGAAACTTACCTGACAAAATAAACAAGCAGGAGCTTAGATCGCAATTATACTTTCGTTTCCAATCATATGGTCGGATACTAGACGTTGTTGCCTTAAAGACTGACAAATTGCGAGGACAAGCCTGGATCGTTTTTGATGTACTTTCTTCAGCAACATCTGCTATGAGAGCTGAGAATGGTTCTAGATTCTACAACAAAGCTATCAATATTGACTACGCGAAGACCACATCCAAGGCTTACCAGCAGTACATAGGTAACTCAGAGAGTCTCTTTAGTGATGCACAAAAAGCTGCCCAAGGTGGTATACAGAGAATGGTCGTATCTAACGCTTCAGAGGCTAGTCTTGGTCTCAAGCGTGCACGTGAAGCAGAGGAATTGGCAAGGAGTAGCGAGAATGATAAAAGGATAAGAACTGAAGAGTAATCTTTTTTAGAAACAGAATCATTATAATTTATTGTACAATATATTACTTAAATCCATGTCTTTGACGTAAGCATAAGTCGAATTCATCTTGCAGTGTTTCGATCGTCTTGCTACAGTCTGGTCGTATCGTTCCTTCACCGTAAAGTGGCGCTGCACGAGCTTTACTATTTGATGTCATGATGTCTTGCTCGATTTCCTCTTGGTTCTCGATACCAACATTGGATGCTTGCAGTACACCCTTGTCAGCTCCGTGACGGACTGTCCCATGCATTGTTACAGGCGTTATAGGGTTCTTATCGATCATGTCCTGCCATACCGCTATGAATACACCTGGTCCAATATCTGGTTCTGGTCGGGTTTTGTCTAACAAATCTACCAATTTTTGTCTAGAAGATTCAGAAACATTTTCTTGATATTTGACATGCTCATCGAGCTCTTTGACTACTTCTTTTTGAGTATTTTCATCTAATTTGTCAAACAGTTCTTGAAGAACTGGTGAGAAATCTCCAGCTCCAGCGCAATCCTCTTGATTTTCTTCTTCTGACTCCGTACGATACTGTTTCAAACTATGGAGGTACCATTCAAGATACATTTCTTTCATCTCTGGTGCGTTCTTTACTAAATTGTGAAGGAATTTGTGTAAATTTTTCTGATGTTTATCAAACAATGCAATATAACTACGCGGACCGGCTTTATCTTGAGCGATTTTAACCAAATCATCAATGAAGATTTGTAAATCATCTAAAGTTTCTTTAAGATTGACAGATTTGTGAAGCTTGCGTATCAGTGGTTCGAACGCATTCATTGCTTCAGTGACGCATAAAGAAACTAGATCAGGTTTTGTATGTACTAAGGCGTCAATCAGTCGGTATCTGTCGCGAATCGCTAACTGTAAAGTCAACTGTGTGAGGAGTGTTGAATGAGCTTCCTCGGATATAGGTGCTTCTACGTCGTTTCTTTCTAATATCGTAATGATGATCGATTGGTTCTTCTCTATACTCTCGTTACGTATATCTATTCTATCTTCTCGTGATGCGTCGTCAACGTATTTCTGTATTGCTATCTTTTGCTGGTCAGTAGCCCCACTTTCGGCTTCCCTTTTTTCAACACTCTGCCATTGCTTCTGAAGGTTTGACTTATCTTTACCTAAAACCGATGTAATAATACTGTTTTGGGACGTTAATATTAATCAATATATACTTTCATACCCACGTTTGTAACAAATTGTTACCATTTCCAATACCTACATAACCCAATGGGTTACGTGATAAGAAGATCTTGAGAACACCTGATATCATAGTTGCAGCGTTAGCGACTTGAGTCGACACACCAACGAGAGAGTATGGTAATAAGTTGTGCACTCTAGATATAAGTAAAACCGTTGACTGAGCGCATGGCGAACGGGTGAACAAGTAATGTAAGAAACTGGCGAGAGTCGCGGAAGCAAAAGTGTGGGCGGCTTGGTATAATAGAGGTAAATCCTCCAAATTACTGGTCGTTTCGACGTAATTGACGACATCACGAACATAGTCCTTGTAAACTAGACCTTGTAAGAAGTCATTCCAACCATTTTGCACATCAATTGGATTTTCCAAGTCGTAATGACATTCACGCGCATCTTTAGGGTATGTTGATTGCTTTCTCTTTGGTAAACCGCCTAGGACACCTCTCAACGCGAATTCGGCCTGTGGGACTGTCAGTATGCGGCGGTGTTATGCCAAGATGGACGCACGATGACAATTATGCCCTGCCCGAGAATCTTACGCTTGCCTAACAATCCTTTGTCAAAACTATCTGACAAGTCCTGTGCAGCTAGTCTCTCTAGTAGACCCTGTGCACCCTCCTGCCATAACTCCGGCGAAATAGTGTTGAAGCCCGGTAAGGAGAGCGCTAGCTGGTTGAACAAGTAATTCAAAGCGGGTGATGGTGGTTGCTCTAGATTCTCTATCGGTTTGAAAGGATACCCTGAGCTAGAAACTCTACCAGGAATCTTAGTTGAAGTGAACTCATTGAAAGCTAAGAGTGAGTTAGTATAATAATATAATACATAATGACACGAACTAACACTGTAAATGGGTCAAAATATCGAATAAAGACTTCAGCTGTTGATTCGTCAATTTCATCATTGATTGTTTACAATTAAGAAGTTACAAGACTAAAATTAAAAGTAAGGAAACAAAAATTAAAGCGTAATTAATATTAGTTGTCTTGCTATTAGACGTCTCTTTCTCTTCATTAGTGTTAGTTGGTAATGGTAGTGCAGTGTTCTCTATCTGTTTCCACTCTGCCGAGTTTCCACTTGAAAAGTCTAGATAATACAGCTGATTGGCAGATGTAAGCTGAACTAGAGTTTGGTCATTAGAGGTGAATGCTGAATTTGCATCTTTGTTGGAAGGTCCTTCATATGTTTCAGTCGTGTTTTTATCTACGTCAATTAGATAACTGTTTTCCAAATTTTCAGGCAAAAACCAGAATTTAGTTTGCCACTCTTTTGATTCCTTGAATACAGATACGGCCTGTCCCTTCGATTGCTCAAAGTCACCGTATTTTTGCTCCTCCGGTTGGAAATAACTGTAGTGAATGACGAACAATTCAGCTTCACCTTTATCTAAACCGCCACCATTTATAAAATGCAAGTGATTTGAAGCCAATCCAATAACTACATTGTCGTCAATATCGAATGGTACTTCTTGGACTTTCTTCCAGGTCAAGGTGTCATCTGGCAGTAAATCTTCGCCCATCTCTAAACTATAGAGATTTTTATCAGATACACCATACCAGACATTTGTATCATGCTTAATATGCACTGTTAGTTGTATACTAATACGTGTTACGCGCATCTTACATCTAAGACTGCTTTCAACTTATCAAAATCAGGTAAATCACCCTCCATATCATACTTTTTCCACTCCTTGTTGCTGAAATCTAAGATATAAATACTATTTTTGTTCGAATTGTCGACATTTAAACAATATCCACCATTGTTGTATTGTGATAACCAACAATTTGGTGCTGTGGTATCGAAAGATGGCTTATCGCCTTTATTGAGCTTGCTAAATGACTTGCTCGAATTCCATTCTTTCTTAGTGCCTGCGCTGAAGTCTTTATCATTCACACCTAAGACATATAGATTATTATCATTATCAAACAAAACCTGGCTATTGGCTAAGACTTGGTATACTATCAGTAAAAATGCCGCCAATGTAGTCCTCATCGCTTTCCACAAAGGAGATCATTTATTTTAGTTTACATTCTTGAATAAATACAATTACATCATCATACTTTTTCATGCCCGTCCATACGCGTCTAATCTAATAATATGCAACACAATGTAATAAAGCATGTGGATGTTTTAACCTTTGGTTATCTAAGATACTTTCGATGTCTTGGTCAAGGTCTTTACTCTCTTCTATAGCCAAAGCTAGATCCAGGATCGCTTTACCAGCTATAGCGGCTTCCTCTTGATTATCTTTGATTTCTATGTTAATGATATGTACGCTCCTATTATAATAACCCTCTCTGTTTAATAGATCATCACATACTGCCTCCCAACATCTCTCTTCACATGTGATAACGACGTCCGATGTTGGAGGTGAATCGGCCCATCTTTCAGGCGCTAATTTTATTTGTCTATTCCTATTTAGCATCGCTAATAAACCATTATTGGTGTACATTCTTCTATCTTTACTTTCCAAATCTTGTAATATGTGATTGTATGGTGTACCAAATGAGTAAGTATTCGGTCTGTCTATTGAAGTACCTGGTAGTCTAACAGCTGTACCTGTACCAAACGACGTCACATTGAATTTATTCTGAGCTAAAACTTTATGAGCTTCCATTGATCTGTTCTGATTGGAAGAGCAGACGACACAAAACATTCTCTTCTTCTGTACTGTAGGAGGTGTCATACCGGTAGAGATCTGCTGGTTTGCTGCACCTGCGACTGCTCTCTGTCGCGGATCCCTGGCTTTCAATCTCGGATCCATAGTGACTATAACGCTATTAATATAGAGTTTTATTTATAATCAATTAAACTCACTTGGTTTTTATTAGAAGATGATAATAGCGGAACAAGATACTTCTGAACCCTTACCATCATGTCTAGACACAGATATGTTAGAAATATGGACTTAGATGGTATTTATAGGCTGTCATCTCTCAACATCCACTCACATCTCTCAAGACGAGCTCGACGACGGTGCATTCAGCGACGAGTATGACGACGATACCAGCGATCAGGTCGTATATGGTTAGTTTGCAATATTATATGATTATATATCTAATGCAATCATATAGACGGTATCACTGCTGATCAACTCGGTTCGTCATACAGAAATATAATCTCCTTCCTAATTGGCTACCCACAGATCAACTGTACAGCGGTTTAGCGGATATCCGTGAATCTATTCCAGATACAGTAGCGTCGGATAGAGAAATTAAAGACGCACTATGGTATTACTACTTCGATGTCGAAAAGTCCTTAAATTGGGTTTTGGGTGCGTGGAGTATGATGCTATCAACAAACTTAACCATTCAATAGAGGAATCAAACAAGCGAGCTCAAGCTGAACGCAAAAAGAAAGAGAAAGGTAAGCACTTTGTTTCGTTATCCCCACCGAATTCTCTCCAACACATCCTTTGTTCAAGATGAAGCACCTCTGTCAGCACTCAAGAAGTTAGCCATAGCACGTCAAAAGAAGGACAACCCGCAGCCACCTTCTCGTCAACGTATACTGTTTAAAGGCAGGGGTAGAGCTCGTGTACCCGTCCCTTTCGATGAGGTACAAAATGTTCATAAACCTGAACACATAGTAAACAAAGCAACACCAGATCCAGATCCACCTGTGGCATCAGCATCAACGCAGACACCTGCCCAACCTGCCAAACCTATGTCTAAGTTAGCAGCTATGGCTGCAGCCCGTCGACAACAGCAGCAACCACCTTCAACGTCTACAGCCACCCATACCAATGGAACACAACCACAGCCTTCGAGCGTAAACAGTGCTCCTGCAAAACCACTCTCAAAGCTCCAATCGAAAGTCCTACAAGCTCGTTCAGCTCCAAGTCAAGAACATGTCAAGCCACCACCACCGAGGGAGCTTACTGCATCTGAAAAGCTGTTTGTCGAACTCGATACCACCATTGAAAAGACGTCGCCATCAAATTTAGGTAATGTCGTTATCAAAGCGACGAGCAAACCCGTATACAATGATAAGGATATCGTAGATTCCTTGTGGACCTACTGTAAAGGTGCTTTCGATGGCCCAAGTCCTGATGACGTCGTATTGCAAGCTCGTAAAGGCACAGCGCTTGATGTCGCTGACAGAGGCTAGAATTGTCGACATTCTCTACCACCAATACCCCTTTCTATATACCTTAAAATAGACAAAAATATTAATAATTACTCTATAGAGCAACAAAATCAAGCTTCAAAATCCAGTTCGAAAGCACCATCAAAAGCGAACACACCAACGCCTGGTACGCCAATTTCGATGAATACTGCTCAATTAGGCAAGGATCTAACATCACAGTTAAAATTATCGGGTAGCACTCCCGCGTCATCACGACCAAGCACACCACAATTGCAAGAATCGAAAAAGTTAATACCTCGCAAAGAGCTTTTGGAGAAGGTACAACAAACTCAAAATGAAGACATCAGCTTGTGTGTAGTTGGACACGTTGATGCAGGCAAGTCGACAATTCTGGGAAGACTACTCGTTGATCTTGGTGAGATGACAAGCAAAGACCACGAAAAGAATGTCAGAAACTCAGACAAATCCGGTAAATCATCTTTCGCATATGCGTGGGCGATGGATGACTTAGTTGAAGAGCGTGAGAGGGGTGTTACGTTGGACTATGCAGTAACGTCTCTCCGGACTTCAAACGGCAAGGTATTGAATATAGTCGATACTCCAGGACATGCTCATCTCGTACACAATATGATTTCAGGTGCCCAACAAGCTGACGCGGCTTTACTCATTATTGATGCCCGCAAAGGCGAATTCGAAGCAGGATTCTCACCTAGAGGACAGACGAGAGAGCATGCTCTCCTTATTCGTAGTTTGGGTGTTCGAGATCTGGGTGTGGTCGTCAACAAAATCGACAGTGTGGGATATTCGAAGGAAAGGTTTGACGAAATTGTTGCGGCTCTCACACCATTTTTGCTCAAGAGTGGTTTCAACAAGGAGAGAATCTCTTTCGTACCATGTGCAGCGATGACTGGTGAGAATGTCACCAAGCGTTCTCATAAGGTACTTGAGAGTTGGTACAATGGCCAAACAGTTGCGCAAGTTCTAGGTTAGTGGTATGCTACATATATCTCAAACCGATTAACGCTTTTTAGATCAATTCGAAGCTCCCCGGAGACCTTTTGAGGCGGGCTTGCGTCTTCCCGTTCATAACATCTTTAAGGGCCAGACAGCTATCGCGAGTGGTGTTGGTGTTAGTGGACGACTCTGCGCTGGTGTCATTCAAGTCGGAGAGAAAGTGAGGTGTATGCCTGGTGACGAATTTGCCATCGTTAAAAGTAGGGTGACTATGTTATAACCATACTGATAGTTAACAATCGTAGTGATTGAAGTGGACAATGATAGTGTTCCATTTGCATCGGCCGGCACAAACGTCACGGTCTATTTGGCCAACATTGATCCAATAAACTTGAGGTAGGTAGTTGATATGATTCGAATACAAATGCTTATTATTATTATTAAAAGTATCGGTTCTGTCTTATGCTCGCCTACGGATCTCGTGCCTCTAGCATCAAAATTCATTGCACAAATTCTATTATTCGATATAAACATCCCAATCTTACCGGGTACAACTGTGAGTATTATATTTTTACCTTGCAAAAATATACTTAACTATATTAAGTTCGAGGCATTCATCCATTCTATAAACACTTCAGCAAGTGTATCAAAGCTGATCGAGACAGTCGATAGAAACACTGGTGCTGTTTTAAAATCTAAACCAAGGTGAGTGATCCATGTTATTAAATGTATTAAACTAAGACCACATTAGGGTCTTGACTGGTAACTCAGCTGCAAGAGTCGAAATGTCAATAGGATCACAGTCGCTGACATCACAATCTGGCAGCAATACACCATCAAATAACAGCATCCCAGTAGAGAAGTTCACGGACAACAAAGACATGGGACGCATTCTACTCAGACACGAAGGACAGACTGTCGCAGCTGGTATAATAGTTGACTACATGCGTTAAATCAGGAATCAAAAAGGAATCTAATTGTATAAATCAATATAATATTGGTCGTTGACTATACACTTGTATACGTCTTGATTGTTCTCACCATTGAAATAAGCTCTAAGGCGATCTTGAATGCAACCATCTGTATCTGGGATGACCCCGTTGGGGGTGGCTGTATGTCCGTAACCATTATCTATCTGGAGAAGCATAGCATTATCATCACCTAGAATCTTCACTGTTTCTTGAGCTTGCGCCAATGGGAGTATCGGATCGAAAGCATTCGAGAGGAATAAAATTTTATTTGACAAAGCTAAACCACTGAAATTAGTAATACGCTCCTCTGTAAATGTTGCTCTTGGATAAAGGTGACATGTGAATGCAGATTGATAGAGGAATTGATTGTAAAAACGACGACTAACATTATTATAGACACCTTTCATTGCGTTAATAGCATCATCAATTGAGAAATCCGTTATGAATGCATCAGCGCAATTGATAGCAGCAACAGCATTATTCATCTGCTCATTCGTTACAGCTCCCATTGTGTTCATTATTGCGGCTGTCTTGGATATCTCCCCAAAAGCCAAGTTCCAATTAGAAGGTGCGTACATCGTCAAATAGATAGTATTGATGACCTTGCTACGTGTAGGATAAAGTTGTAAGATAGCCTCATTAGTGGTATTGTAGACACTATCAGTGAGTTTGTCCACTAATTCTTTCGTGATATCCTTGAAATTACATGACGAACTTTGTTGACAGCTACTAACAAATTTATCAAAAACTTTATCAGTAGATGTTAGATAATCAGGTATAGATTCAAGAGCTGGTTTTAACGAGCGTGTCTTTGGTGACATAATACCACTGAGAACGAATTTACCAACGCGGTTAGGATATTTAGCAGCAAGAACCTGACCGAGAAATGAACCATAACTCTCACCAAAGAGATTAATAAGTGATTGTCGACCGACCAGCATGTCTTGGATGTGTTTATAGTCGTCAGCGACGAAGTAAGTGCCCAGGCGGGAAAGATAAGGAGACGAAGCAGTGCAATTAGCGAAATAAGATGTCTCTGATGCAAAATACTCCCCAAGCTGTTGGCGGAATAACACTTCCTTAGCTCCTGATATTTGAGGGGGTGTGTCTGGTAAAATAGAACTGTGATCATTCCCACAATCCACCTTGAGATCAGACAAACCAGTCCCGCGAGCATCTATCCCAACCAGTGCATAATCTTTACCAGTGAAAGTATAGAGCATGTCACTGAATGCTTCCACGCCAGAGTCCGGGTCGCTACCCGATGGTATACCTGGGCCACCTGGATTCCAAAACAAGTGGGGGAGACCATCAACGGTGAGATTCTTTTGCCAGACTCTCTTAACGAACAATTTGAACGTTCCTTGGCTAGTGTCTTCATGAACCATAGCTGTGCTATGTTGTTTTAGTTTTGTAAAAGCAAAAGCAAAAAGCACAAAGACTCACTCTATATAGCTGCATTGGGCATTATACTTATCACTATCTGCGCAATTATACCAGTCAATTCCGTCGTGTGCCTTGTACTTTTAATCAGCCCCTATGTGTTCACATATTATTGCGTTAACATACCAGCACGACCAACAGCAATGAAATAATTGAAAGTAATTGCAACCAATATTTCATTCGATAAAGTGGAATGAAACAAAGTCTATTTCAGAACCAAATTCTCTTTTAATGCATGAATTTCAAATTCGAAAATTTTGATTAAGTGTAAGGATTTCAAAGGAGACATTGCCAACAAATACATAGTTAGAAAAGAAAAGCTATTTCATTATATACACTTCCAAAAATTTTAGAGAAACAAATCAAGTGAAGAGCAATACAAACGATCCAATTCGTGATGATATTACCGCGCCTGTCAGTAGCTCTACTTTTGTGGTATGTAGGAGAGTGTTAATCGAGTATAAACTAAACGTTTGAGAAGAAAAAAGAGCGACTAGATTATTCGACGTTCTGATTGTTGATTGCTTGTTATATATGCAAATATAAATTGAGGAAAATGCAAAGAAAATTAAAATTCGAGGTATATATATCCGATTTTTTTAAGTGATAGTGATCGTGTTTTGTTATCTCCATTTCATCATTTCCCATATCACTTGCCTTCATTCAGTGGTCCGAGATCGACCCAACTTACCCTAGGTGCTCCTGAATGGTTTGGTCCCAAGGTTTGGCCTCCCGACCTTTGTCTCATATGCCTTGATTGACCATTTGCTGTTTCAAATGCCGATGAATGTGCAAGTGGTTCAAATGACTCTGATGGTGTAAATGGTGACGCCACAGAGTAAGTTGAACTATCTGGTGTTTCTGTGCTTGGTGAATCTATTATAGTAGATTTGAACTTAGACAATCGAGCGTTTTTTTCTTGCTCGTGAATGAATGCGGGTATGGCATTACCTGCAATTGATTGTCTAGATGGTAAGAACCAAACTGACTGTGGTCTGTTCTCATCAAATCCTTCATTAAGTAATTCTTCCATAGCGTTTTCATCATATTCTCTACCACCACCCTTAAGCAATAAATCATGAGCAGGTGTGAGTGCAGAAGCAGGTGGTGGATTACCAGAACTGTTAAACTCATTATAGTTACCAATATCTTCACCCCATTTGTCTTCTTCACCGTATGAACTGAGTGATGTGTTATCGCTTTCTGCATAGTCTGTGGAATCTGGACGTAATCCTGCATCTGGTGCACTGAGATCGTTGTAGAATCCTCTTTGTCCGAAGGCCTTTTCAAACTCTTTACGTGTCTTTTCTTCACGTTTGGCTTTACGTAAACGAGAACGTTCCCAATCTTCCCATCTACGTAATGGAACATTGACAGTAAATAATTCAGCTTTATGCTCATGTGCCACACTCTTCTTTTCACCTTCAACTTTACGAGTTTCACCCCAAGAGAAGTCATCAAAGTGCCAGAACGAGTAAACCGGTAAGACTAAATTCCAAATTGGTAAAGCGATAATGTAGATAACCATCCAACCAATATAGACGATCTTGCGAGTCGTGACTAGGATGAGGATTGCAGGTAAACCGAGGACAGCGCAAAGCATCATTAGTGGAATTGCATCAGCGAATTTATTTGGTGGAGTGATAATTGAGTTGATAATCAATGCCAATGAAAGCAAAATAGCAATTGGAAGAACGACAGTACCAATGAGATCCATAAGGATAACGAATTGCATAGAGAAACAGAATGTACCACAACTAAAGTAACTTTAGATAACTACCCTACTATCTAAACAATAAACCTACAGATTTCTAACCAAAACAAGTTCCATTAAGTTATGAACAGTAGAGTTAATCCAACGACGACGTTGTGATAAAAGAACCTTGAACTCTTCCGGAGCAATAGTTCTACAACGTGCAGCAGGACAGAACATCATTTTACGGTTAGGGAATGTTCTCAGCATCAATGTAGACAAGAATCTATCTTCACCAAGTAAGAGTAGATTCTTTTGATGCAGGGTTTGGACATCAGTTTGACTATATTGTTCGACTACTTCAGGCTTAACGATGAGTGGTACCCAATCGTCTTCTTGATCTCTTCTAGCCTTGATACGATACATAGAGAAACAACCTGGTAAACAGGTAACACCACCAAATACACTTTCGAACGCCTTAAAGTGTTAAAGTTAGCTTAATCAATTCAAAAGAATTGCTACCTACTTTAACCATATGGTGAGAAATGTAGTACTCGAATACCTGTATCCAAGTAACCCATGTAGCGCGTTTATTTTCTAACCTAGTTTCACCACAGACACCCATAATGAAATTATCATGTTGCATACACAAAACCAGTTTTGTAAGTGCATTCGGGAAAATCTTGGTGTCAGCATCAATCATGAAAATAGTTTCAAAGTAATCAGGTGTAACGCCCATTAAAGTGTGAATCTTTCTGAATAAATCATAATCCAATGGTGTCATACGATCATTGTAGGTAACTCTTGAGAAGAAGTTCATAAGAACGATTTGTGAATCTCTTTTACCTCTGTTACCAGGTTTTGGATCATTGGCAGCTTCATCCTCTGTACCACACTTTACCAAAATGATTGTAGGAGTTCTATGACCATTCTTTGATTTGTAATGACCAGCATAAACCATTGCTCTGTTTTCTTGCTTTCTACCATTACCAACTGCCAAGTAAGCCATTGGCATTGGGTTACCAAAACGTGGATCAGGTTCAATCATACTGACACAAATATCTGGTGTAGACATCTTTTCACCATGACCAGTAATCATACCATCGGCAACTATGAAAATAAGTTTACGTTGGTCTGAGTAATCACTAGCTGAAATAGATTCAACGGTTGTTGCGATACTATCAAAACCTTCAGAGTAACAAGTGATTAAACAGCAGGTGAATAATTCTGTACCAACTTGAGCAGCTGAGATGACAGGATCATCTGGTACTAATGAGCGGTATTTTGCCATTTTAGCAGCCTTTTTACTTGATTTTGGTTCAGCACCATCTGAAGCCCATGGTGCAGTACCTTGCTTATTATTAACGCTGATGTTAGCACCAGAAGGCATAACGGATGGAGAAACGACAGCTCTTGACATATTCTTCGGAGGTTCCGTGAATTTCTTTGCCAAATACCAATTGAAAAGACAAGCCATGATAAAGCGTGCGAAGACGACACCAAGGATGACGATTAATGCAGCGTAAAGGAATAATTGAGAAGCGAAACAACCAGGGGACATGTGATCTATGTAACCAGCAAGGTAACGTTCAGTGAGACATGGAACGGCGTCTTTGAGAGCTTTGGTACTGTAAAACAGCTTTGTTGCATCTTTACCACCGCTTGTGTCATCTGAAAATAAAACTCTACGAATTGCTTTATCGACGGGATCATCATCTAGCTTGTGAACCTGTCTAACGATGTATGGAGTTAAATTGAGTACTTTGCCATCGATTACCATCATATTACGCCTTGCAGTTGCGTTCGACCATGAGTAACCAGCGAGTGTGTGATCGTCTGACAAACCGAGACTAGAGATGACAGAATCAGTAGGTGCGTCGTATTTACAATCGGCACCTTTGGCGCATGTGTCAACCGTGGCATATGCAGATTCAATATTGCTGCATTTATCAGGGGAAGGACGACGGAAGTAATTAGTGAGGTCAATACCAGGAGAGCCCTCACCAAGGGCTTTAAAATCGACATCTGATGCATCTGCTTGATTGGTAACGTAATTCTTGCCAGCAATAGAAACGGTACCAGATTTCATACCAACACGCTCGAACTGAGTATCCATAGTACCTTGGGAGGATGGACAGAGGACTCTATCGACACCCATACAGATGAAACCGACGATACCAGCTAAGAATGCGCATATCAGACAAAGTGAAACCTTCTCACGCCAGGCTTGTCTCTTAGCTGGGGTGTCTACGAAAAGCTTCAATAGTGGTTCTGGTACGAAGAAAGTCAAAACGAGTGCTGTATAGTGCCAAGGGCCTTTATTCATCTCTAGAGGGGGAGTTAATAGAGATATGGGGAGATAGAAAACGCACCAATAGATGGGCCACCTGGCTTGACTAGTGGTGTAACTGGAGGTGCTCTCTCATTCTTGGTAAGCGTACGTGATCTCCCGATCGTAGTATTCGACCTCTGGTTGAGAGTACCGAGTTTTGGTGGTTGCAGTGCCGTAGATCTCGGTCTTGGAGTATCTAACATCGTATAAAGGAGTGTCTGAGACGTTCTATTTCTCCGTCTGTTGGCTGTTGGGTTCTTAGAAGCCGTTAGCACGGTCGCAGTAAAATTAAAAAATCGTTTATTAAATATTTCTACAAATTTAATAGAAATCTAATTCTAAATTCCTAATAATGGCTGCTATATCTTCTCCCTATTTCCTAGCTTAGTGGTGTTCGTCGTGGTCGCCGTGCTCGAATGGTAAGTGCCAGCCCTAGAGTGTGATTAGAACTGTTCTTAGTATTCTGCATCGCATCGTCTTACAAGCATATGTGGTAGATCTTGGCTGTATCGCAATCTTAGTATATCTCAGCCAGCATAGCACTATGCACTCACCGTGCCTTGTAGAATATCCAAAACCACATGGATGCACCCAATGCTGTACTAGCAAACCTGTGGAATCTTGGTGGTGCGTGGAAACCTGACATTTCGTGTGAGCTGATTGGTTGATCTATATACGCCTATAATACCTCTTGGACCGCCTGCCATTTCTAATATGCGCTTAGTATTCTATTTCTAGCCATCTACTCTCTCGACTCACTAGTCGTCGTCGTCGTTATCAAAGAAGGTAAAATAAAATCTTAATTTACTAAAATACATTATTACACTTATTATTTCTCATTCTCAATCTCATTCATCACACCGGCTATCACCGCTGAGTGGACGTAGACGTATTGACGTAGTGTCGAAACCATAGACATCCTTTGTTCGCGCAGGTCTTCGATTACATCACACACAGGTTCGTGTAATCCTTCGACTATCTGACAGTTGTTATGCTCCTCTCGCTTGCCTTCCAAATTTGACCATTTTAGCTTCTGTCCGACGTCTTCACCATCACTTATTCCAGACGCTTGTGATGACATGCTCGAAAGCTTCCTCCGGAGGTTCTCCGGTGGTGATGGTGGTCCAAATGGGAAGTCATCCTTCTGTCCAATATCTTTGCTAGTCGTCTGCCTCTCAACTTCCATATTGACATCATCGTGCTCATCCATAGTCACGCTATCCTTAGTATCCTTGCGCATGCCTGGATCAGTTTCTGTCATATCTGACCGCATAGTAGTATCCACTTGCATTTCATCCGATTCACTGTCACCTGATTTCGGTTTCCTTCTTTCCTCTCGTAAGAGGTCAAGCATGGTGTCCAAAGCTACGTAAGATCCTGTACGACCTACACCCGCACTGCAATGTACTACTATAGGCCCCCTATTCCAATCGTAGAGCTTATTAACGGTCGATATTAAAGGTAATAAAGCATCAGGTTGCGAAGGTATGTCAAAATCTGGCCATCCGAGATATTGGAATTGAGAAATAGTTTTTTCTTGATTGAGTTTAAGATTCCTTAATCGCAGGTCACGTCTTACGAACGACGTTTCAAACTTTTCTTTACTCGCTGTTTCAGTTGAACTGTCTTCACCGACGTAGGAGTTTTTGGAAGGTCCTTTGACCTTTTCATCTCCTTCATCCCCTTCCATCTTAATCAAGCTGATTTCAATATCACCGACTTTTCTATCTGACCAGTAACGACAACATTTGTCTAATCCACCTTCGCGTTGCTTTGTAAGCCTGCATATGATCATCAGCTGCTAGAATTTCTACTATTATTAATACCTACATTATAATTATATTCACATCCTGCTCCCAACATACTTGCCAGAAATCATTAAGTGTGGATTCCATAGGTCCTTGTGTAGCAATATAGCGTTTCGTATGATGCATTAGATCTTTACGAGCGTTTCTAGTTTTGTTTGAGATATCGCTCTTCCCAGCAGCGGCTGGTGGAGCTGGATTAGCGTAAAGTGGAGTTGGTGCAAGACCGTCATTTCCATAATAGCCTATACCAGGAAGCACGTGACTAGCATTAACATAATCATTTCCATCAATCTCAGGAGACTTAAGCTTTACGCGTGTATGTTCAAAGGGATAGATATTCCTATACCTGTTCTTATGACCGAGTTCAACTCCCGCACCAATACTGTATCTATCAATCTTCCTCTCTTTGCCATGAACGAAAGTATTATCGCGCTCTTTACTTCCAAGTGAAGCGGACTGGTTGCCTTTATTATCAAGTGTTTGTGAGTTATTAGAAAGCCATTCAAAAACCTCCATCATTCTCTTTTGTTCTGATACTTCTAGTCTATAGAATTGATGTGCAAGCTCATCGCTAGCATCTTTTTCAGACATGTCGACAATCCTTTTAAGGAATTGGGGCAACTTGTAAGAATTAGTCTTCACGTCGTCTGAGATATTCATAGGGATACGCTCTTGAGACATCCCATTAGCAAGTTCTCTATTCTGCCTGACACTGTCGACTTGAAGTATTTATAAGCGAAACAATCTTTTCAGAAAAAGTGCGCTTACAGAATGGGTTGGCTGCAAATTTGCTTGTGTTGATCTGACCGTGCCGTGGACTGCTCTTATTTGTGGTTGTGGAGATACCCTGAAAGGCAGTAATTGGGAGATGGCGAGGTTGAACGAAAGTATTTTCAGTTTTGCCATCTGATGGACCATTTCCAGTCGACTTTGGAGTATCTTCAATTGGAGCACCTTCTGCACGACTGTATGCCACAAAACCGCCTTGGATATACTCAAGACTAGCTGTTGCTCCTGCATCTCTGAATTTCTTGAAAACACCAAGCAGAGCTGCCGAATTACCTGATATACCTTCACCGACGTAGCTCGTGTCATTATCATAAGCAACGATAGTCTTTGCCCGTTCGTAGCCCTCCAATTTGGCTTTATCGCTAGGATCTGAAATCATGTTGATAATTTTGTCTAAAGTGAACACAGGTCTTCTGAGTAAGGTAGAAGGTAAGCAAACGCTAACAGCTCCTGGAACACGTGTTTGGCAGTAAGATCCATATGATCTAAGGTCTATAACTAATATTTCTTTTTTGACAATCTCCGGATCTTGCCTAATCGCCTCTATTAGCTTGTGGAGTTCAGCGTGACGTATGTCGACGGTGCCTTGACTAGTCGATGGTGCTGAAAAGGTAGCCTGGCGGGGCATCGGAGGAGCTTTTAAATTGAATGGTGGTGGTCTGCCAAGTTGGGCAGGCGATGGACTTGGTGAGGCTTTCTTGAAGGCAGGGCCTTTGTCTGTAAGTCCAGCAGTATGAGCGTCTCTGGATAAGCTAGTCCTTCTTTTCAGCTTATCTGAACTTCCAATGGCTTTCTCAAATTCGTTCAGATCATTGTCTTTTGACGGCGAACCCGTATAAAGAGCTTGATCACCGCGATTTGGCGAAACATAATTCGATTTACCCAAATTCTGAAATTGTGGTGTTAAAGATGTTCTATTAGATTTCATAGGACTCGCTTGTGTCTGCGATCTGTTAAAAACTGGCGGACTGAATGGGTCAGGCTTCTCCAAATCCAGCGTTGGTTGTGTTACAACGCTGGTATGATTGGGTCCGAACCTCTCCGCCAGCGCTCGTTGAAAATCCTCAGACATAAAGTTGGTTGTTTAAGATCAGGTCCTAAATAAAGGTTATGTGGCTACATACGTCACCAACAAGATTTGAACAAAGTTTTACTCCTCACGTGACCTATTCTTTTATATCACAAGACTTTCCGCGTTTTATTCAATCTGTAAATTTTAGGTTGTGTAAGTTCTTCCATTACGTCATTTGATCGTAGCCATAAGTTCCAAGTTACGATTTTTGACGAGATATTTCTAAGGAATGTTCTCACAAAGCATATTACATACGTGTTTAACCTTCTTTCGTATATCATCAGAATCGATTTTTTGGTTTCAAAATTTATATGCTAGTGTATTACAAGATATTGAGAGTAAATGCATAAATTAATTTAATTAAGTGAGCCTCTACACCCTTCGACACCACAAAGACAAGGAATTTTTTCATCTTCAATAGGGAAGTGATAGTCGTATGTGATTTCATCTCCGGGAGATATCTCTGTTTTCGCGTAAATAATGATTTTCTTCTCACCGAGAATAGTGATGATTTTCTAATGTATGCGTTAGAAGAATGGTGTAATATGATTGAACTACCTACAGCCGTGCAATTTGGTTGACAACAATGATTGATGAGTCTAGCTACACTGCCTTTCATTGTAGCATCAACACTACGTAATGTAAGCCACGTCAAAGATCAAGATCATAACCCACATGTTGTCATCATCAATTTTGAAAAGGTAGGAACTACCAATACCCTGCTTCTCATAGGCCTTCTCTCTCCTATCCGCAACCTGCTGTCTGACGACTTCTCCAACATACTCAATAACCATCTCTCCTTTGGGTATAACCTGACAACTATATAGACCCCAACTGTGTATACTAGATTTAGCAAATCTGAGTTCCTTTTTACGAGTGCGTAATTGATTGAATTTCAGAATTTCACTATCGGTTGCACCACCAGTTAAACCGTGAGCGAGAGAACGAGCATTTGATCTGTTAGCGCGAGAACTGACTTTATTGTCATCTTGATGTTTCGTCGAAGAAACTTTCGCAGCTTTGTTTCTTTGTGGGAGGTAAAACGCCTTCTCAGTCTCAGGTATTGGATACACGCCTTCAGATCGTGCACTACCAGTGGCATGTACAGAGGGCCTCCACGGTGCGTTACCGCTAGCTTTTTCGGGACTGTTGTAGATCGAGAACTTCAAATCATCCTTCCAATCTGGAGGCGTGTAGGCGTGAATTTGTAGAAGTGTTTCAATGTTACTGGGTAATTTTCTCTCATGCCTATCCAAAACTGTCTTCAGATAGTATTTATCTTCTTCGGAAACTATCAAATCGGTATCGAGTGGATTACCTTCAGTGTATGGTCTGCTTGGCTCAGAAAGAGGTTCAATATCCGGTGAAAATGCGGTTCTAGTAACTGTGGTTGCAACTGTATGAGAAGCTGTCGTGGTGGACTGTGTAGAAGTTGTTGAAACAGCCGGCGATTGTGACCTTTTTCCGGCTATGCTATTTTTGCTTGGTTTGCGCGTTTTCTTTGTAGTTGTTGCACCCTTCAATTTACTCAACTTCTTGTTGACTTTCTCTTTGCTTTCACCGAAGATATTTTCAAACTCAACGAGTGTGTCATCTTCTTCTTCGCTACTCGTAAAGTCAACGTTGCGTCTAACCGATTTAACGATACGACCGCGCTTTGTCTTCGATAGAGCTTCTTCTTTCGTCACATGAGGTTCGTCAATTGGCTCTTCAGATAAGACACGCTTATCTGATAGCTTAACGTTGTCCTTCCTAATTTCATTATGCGATTCAAGTTCTTGAGCTTGTGGATCACGTAGTTGTAGATGCATAGTAAATCCAGAGCATTGCCTGCCATCCGAAGTGGTGGTAGCACGTCCAGCAACGCCGGGCTTGGCGAACAGGACGTACCATCCTTCATCATTTTTGAGAACCTATGATTAATGAGTTCAGATTGTCATCAGCGATGAAAATGCCAAACTTACATCCGCTACTTTGAATTGACCGAAGAAGGCGCGAACATCGACAACATCCACCGATTGGACAGGTAGACTAGATTTATCGATAAAGATATGGGCATTGCCATTCTTCTTGATCTTATCATCAATCGAAAGCTCAACCTCTTTTTTACCTTCATCCATAGTGGTTACATCTTGTTGAGACTTCTTAACTGGTGATTCTCTCTTCCTTGTGAGCATGTTGTCCGATCTTCCCTTGTAAATTTCATCTTCGTCATGCTCATCTTCGTCTTCATCTTCAGTATCCTCACTACCGGCTTTTGGCATCTGGATAGGTTTTGGATGTGAAGGTGTATGCGACAACGACGAAGGCCTACTTGCACTACCAAGCCATGACGTCCTGACACCAGGTCTGCTGGGCGTCTGTTGATTAGGATTAAATCCAATCTTTGTTGATGGCGTTGGTAAAACTTTTGGTGTTTGAGTTGGTTGAGGAAGTGGTGGTTTTTTTGACATTTGACTTTCCCGCTTCTTCTTCTCTTCCTCTTTCCTCTTCGCGACTCGGTTCTTTTCTTCTTCTTCGCGACGTTTGTATATATCTTCAACTACAGTTTTGAAAAGTTTACCATCATCATCAGCTTTTACTTGAATAGGTGGAGTTGAACCAATGTATGCTTTACCAAGGTTAAAATCCTTGTGTCCATTCAACTCCTTGATACAATTCTCAGTAGCAAAACCATCAGAGAACTTTATCCAAACTACACCCAGTGAGACTCCAGATCTTCTATCGTAGTGTAACGTCAACTTTTTCAGTACAGATTTATATAGTCCTTTGAAGTAGTTGTTTAGTTCGCCCTCCGTCAAGGCAGGTGATAAACCTTTAATGCATACACCAGTTGGTAATTGTGGGACTATTGAATAGTTGTCGTGAGGGTAGTCCTTTATTAAGAGTAATTCATGGACACATAATCGCCTTGTATCGAGACGTCTCTTATATCTTTCGATATTTTTACGTGGATCACTTACACCATTGAGTCCTTCTCCATTTATTCGCTTCTTAGTTATCTTTTTTATCCTCTTACCCTCTTTATCAACTTCACAATCCGTTACGACCCAGTTCTCATCTGTTTCTTTTTTGAATGGCGGTTTAGTGGGATCGGGTATCTTGCGTGGAGGTGAAGATGAGCTGGGTGTTTGCGTAGGTGAGAAGGTCGTAACCCGTTTAGCTTGTGAATCTTGTGGGGGGTATTGAGAAGTTCTGGTAGTTTCGTATTCTCGGGAAGGTCGAGTGGCTTTTTCGTATGTTAATGAGTTACATTTTGCAGAAGGAACACCTACAGATATCATCTGGGTGACTAGGACGTGGTCTACGCTTCTCATGATAATTCGGATCGAAATTTCTTCCTTGATAGTTACCTGTATAACCAGACGGTGGTCGTCTAGGTCTATGATCACCGCTGTATCTTCTTGAATAATAATCGTCACTGTAGTTGTCAAAATCACGACTTCTACTTCTGAAATCATCATTAAAACCTGAATCGCGACTGGTTGATGCGCTCATGGTATCGAAATAGGTCTCATTATCGTTTCTTGCAGAATCATATTTGTCAGATCTCGTCTTCGCGAAAGAACTACCGCTTTGTCTATACCAACTGTCATGTCTTTCTGCATTGGACGAATACCTATGTTCGTCAGGTGAACGGCTGTTGTCATAGTTGGCGGAAGACATTCTAACGGAAGATGGTCTATTTGATTGTGTATAATAACCCGAGTTACTCTTATCTCTATAGACTGGCTGAGGATCTCGTTCCGCGAAACCGTTACGGGGATGGTGGGATTGCCTCTGTGAGCGACTATCTAGGCTTCTATAGTCAGTATCTCTACTGTGTTTCTTTTCATAAGCTTCAAAGATCGATGATCTGTCGTTGCTATCAATGATCTGCTCTTTCAAATCTCTAGAGCTAGTTGACGCGTTATTTAAGCTATTTGATATATCTAGCTTGAATTTATGCTGTTTATCTCTACTATAGCCCTCTTCGAACTCGTCCACCATGATGAGTCGAGATGAAGAAGCAATTGAAGAGCGTAAATATGATAAATTTTACAAAGACGAACTAGTACAGCAATCTAAGCAATTTGACGTTAATAGTACACCAACTTGTCTCTCTCTATTCGACGCTTACCTCAGTTGTTACAGTTGAGTTGCCTAGAACCAGTGTGTGCTATTTATTAAACGCTACTACAGCCCTTAGACCACAACTACTATCAATCTATAGATATGCTGAATACAAAAAGTGTGATCGTCCATGGGATGACTTCAAATGGTGCTTCTTTAATAATAAACTAGACGATGAACAGAAACTTAAAGCCTGGATTGAACGTAGAGCTGACTGGTGGGCTCGTCGAAGACTCAACCGTAGCTCAGAGGATGTTTGGGATGCACGAGAAGACACAGAGCAGCCGAAAACATGGCCAACGAGTAATTTAGATCCAAACGCACCACTTTATAATTGAGAACGGAAATGTATAAATATATTTAATTCTATTAATGACTGTAGAAGTTTACGACACCATCAGCTCCTGCACTGAAGAGGAATGGCTGAGTTGGATGCCAATGAAGATCTAAAACACCTAATCCTGATGAGAGTGTGTGATATTTGAGCACCTTAAGCGGTACGATAAGAGCATTTGTTGATAAATCATCGTACACTCTACCATGGAAGACTTGTACGCTACCGTCGTCAGAGCTAGATGCGAATAATGGCAATGTTGGGTGGTACTTGACAGCTCTGACAGCTCTGTTGTGATAACGAATAGTCTTGTATGGTTTGTCACCTAAATCTAAATCGAACCAACAGACTTTCCTGTCGTAACTACCAATGATAAGGTTATCACCAGACGGATGCACGTCAATTGAAGACAACCATCTTAAACCAGGTAAGAGCGTCTTGAGAAGTGTTTGTTGAACTAGATCATACAACTTAACGTATCTTTGTGTGACGAGGAAGAATTGCGGCCTTGTTGGATGGAATTGTACTTTTTGAACACTACCTTTGCTGCGCTTAAATGGTGCTTGTGATTGATGCTTGGAAAGTTGATGTATCAAAACCGACTTGCTACCAGCATCTGAAGCAACTGTTGCAAAGTAGTCACCTTTTCTATGCCATACCGTTTGCTTTGGTGTTCCTGGAACTTCGATCTTGATAAGGATACCCTTCTCACGTTGTGACTCGTTTGGACGAGTGTACTTGATCTCAGGTATTTTGGTAGTACCTGCTTGTGGGTTGGCGAAAGCGAAGTCGGCACGCTTCGATGAATTCTTAGCGATAGTTGGGGTAACAATAGCAAGTGGTGACAAGACTGCGACTTGTTTCTCGCTTTAAAGGTGTCAGTATGGCCTTTAATGTTGATAACAAACGTACCTTGTCGCTACTAATAAAGATACTTCCTTGTCAGGACACCATTCAAGAGAGTGAACAGGTTCACCTTCACCGATATCCCAGCTGTATGCGCACCTACCGACAGACAACTCCCATACTCTTACATATCCATCATCAGCAGCACTAGCTAACCAAGTACCAGTAGGATCTACAGATATTGACCTTACACGTGAGTTGTGCGTATAACTGATAGCATTGTAAATTGGGAATGGCTTGAGTTCCCTTGGCGATGGTAACTTAGGTACCAATGATTCAGGATCGATGTTGAGCTTAGTTCTACGAACACGTGGAGCTAAGTAAAGATCTAAACATCTTTCGAATCTCTCTTTCAAAAGGTTGGCATAAGCAGGTACCAGACGTAAATTTGAGTATTTTTGAGGCATGAACTTGAGTTTTCTGTCTTGCTCTTCGGTCTCTTCCCATTCTTTACGCTCTTGGTCGTTGAATAGATACTCTGGTGGTGGGTTGAATGACTCAATAGTCTTTGGAGGTGCTTCTTGAGGTGCAGGAGCTTCCATAACGTGCGGAGTGTGTTCATCGGTGTTTGACCAGATAGCATAGAATGAAGGCTTTGGTTGTGGTTTTGGCTTGTTTGGTACGATTCTACCAGCTCTGATAGCTCTAGCGATTTTCATGATCTATGATAAGTCAGCGGAAATCCCATATGAGGACATTGACAAACCTTCTCGTGTTCCCATTTAGATGGTAAGAAACGACGCTTTGGTTCAGGAGCACCAGAGATTGGCATGATCATTTCTTTACCCTTTCCAGTGAAGAACTCGACTTGGTCGGCATATGGATCGAAAGCGTCATCCGGAAGTTGACCCTGTTCGAGTCTTCTAATCAGACGCAATTCATCTTGTGTAAGTTTGACATCCTGTTGCATATTCTTTGAAGGGACAGTGTCAGCTTCACCTTCAGTATGCTCCAAGAATCTCTCGAGCTCATCTTTGGTAGCAGGTTTGAGAATCTTTTTACCATTGATATCGTAACCAATATGAGGCATATCTTCATACCATTCTGCAGGAACTTCACCGGTAGCATTCTGATTGTCTTCAGTCGAGCTGTCACTGCCGTAACCAGGATCGATTTCCCTATAGACTGTTCTGTCTTCGCCTGTCGCATCTGACTTGATGGTTCTCGCCGTTGCTTCAAAGCCAAGCTTTTGTTTTGCTGGTTGAGCGTAGTAATCCGTTTCGTCAGGTTTTTTTGTAGCTTTTTCAATGAAATCAGAAACGTTTGAGGAAGTCGATGGGACGGAAGAGAATGAAGCGAGTGAAGTATCATCGTCACTGTCGTAATCGTCTAATGAATCAGCGTCATCGTCGTCGCTAGCCTCGCTATCTGCGTTTATCTCTGGGAATTCTGCAGGTTCATCACCATCAGATTCTACGAGCGACTGGTCATCCTCGCTGATCTCCTCGGCTGGCGTATTTATCTCTAATTTTGATTTGAAATCATTCGTAACATTTTGCTGATCTCTGCTACGTTTTTTAGTTGTGCTCATATCTCAGTAATAATGGTGCAGACGGAAGAGAGAAGACAAGGAAAATAAATATTTAATACACGACTTCAATTCCCATATTCTTAGCTGTAGATATAACACTCCTGGCTACATTCTCAAGCCCTTTGGCTTCTAAATCCTTGTCCATAGATTTTATCCTTGCAACTTCATAGATGTGCTTCACGGATATTGTAGCTATAGTCTCGTGTCCAGGCTGTCCAGTGCCTTTCTCTATATCTCCGGCTACTTTCTTAAGCAAGTGCGTCGTTGGTGGGGAGCGTATCGTAAATGAGAATGTTCTATCTGGGTTTATAGTGATTTGGGTAGGGGTTGGTACACCAGCGATAAGATGTCCAGTTTTAGCGTTGAATTCTTTACAAAAGTCCATTGATTTCACACCTCTAGCACCCAATAGTGGACCTACTGGGGGTGTAGGTGCAGCCTTCTGTGCTGGTATTAGACAGCGCTGTCGTTAGGTATTAATATATTTACATTATAAGATATCATATCACACTCACCAAGGTCGTAGCCACTGTTTGTGCACCTTTACTCATTACGATCCTCGCTGTTTATTTCAACGATGGCATTAGTATTCGGCAGCATCAACGTCGACGAATTCTTTAGCGTACCACATATAGTCAGACCAGGCGAGACATTAGCCTCTACTAAAATAACAAAGAAAGCAGGCGGCAAGGGTGCGAACCAGGCTGTCGCATTAGCCAAGGCATCAGCTGCTGTATCCCTCGCTGGACAAATAGGTGAAGACGGCGAGTGGATAAGAACTCTCCTACAATCTTTCAATGTTGATACTTCCCTTCTCAAAACCAACAATAGTCTACCATCCGGTAGAGCAACGATACAGATCAGCAGCGAAGGTGAAAACTCTATTGTGTTGTTTGGCGGTACAAATATGCTGTCTTATTCTGATGCACTCCCACTATCAAAATACCAGTTTTTGCTACTTCAAGAGGAAATTGTACATAGTGAGACAACATCAACACTGATTGACGCACATTCACAGGGCTTGAAAACCATATACAACCCATCACCAATGCCAAATGCTACTCAATTGCGAAATTTCCCTTGGTCGAGTTTGTCTTACCTTATCATCAATGCAGGTGAAGCAGCTGACCTACTGAAGGCATTCGGTGAAGATCCTACATCGCTCAGCTCGGCGGAGCTATTGGATAAACTCATGAGCAACCCATCAACTGGTTCTTTAGAGGGTTTGATAATCACTCTCGGTGAAAATGGTCTAATTGCACGCATAAAAATAGAGGGTATTCCAACGAATTACGAACTTCCAACTATCAAAGTGAATGCTATCGATAGCACTGGCGCAGGCGACACTTTTGCTGGTTACTTTACGGCATGTCGTATGAAAATGCAAACTGTCGATACATCAACGATGGAATTAGCATTGAGAAATGCTATGGGGGTTAGTGAATGTTACTATATTGTTTATTCTGACAAAACACAGGCAGCCGCACTCGCAGTAACGAAATCAGGTGCAATGGAGGCCATACCAGAAGTAAATGAAGTACGTGACTTCCTTGCTCATAATGACATAAATTGTATATTATAAAAAAAAATACTAATCATTCCTCCCAATGATCAACTTGAGTGTCTTCGGCCACCCTTTCATCTTCATTATCGGCAGTAACTGGTGAAGTGCTCATCTGGGGTGATCTCAGACCGCCATTCTCATCTCCATTTACACGTTCACGTTCTCTTCTTTCACGCTCAGTTGCTTTTATATTTTTGAATGCGTTGTAGCGCCATTTGAGCGCTCGAGATCTTCTCCTCTCGATCTCTGGAACGAGAGTGAGTATGCAAATAGAAACTGGTATGACGATTCTCGTATACCACAATGGCTGTCTTTGAGGACGTGACCCATGACCAGATCTCGTTTGAGGTAAGGGTGGTAATGGCTGCGAGGATGCGACTGGTCCAGGTATTCTCAATCGTCTAGCTTCATATTCTAGATTCATATGAGCTAAGTAATCCAGAAGCCTTTCAAAAGGATTGAGGGAAATAGTTTGTATATGATTTGATGGATTGTTAAGTGCCATCTGAGCTGCCCGGTTGAGCGCATCGTAGGCGTTTTCATTATTTGCTTGATTTGCTTGATTTTCTTGGTTTACTCCATTATTGTTATTATTATTATTCTCTTGTCGTTGAGCCTGAGGGCTAATAGTGTGTCTACGTATATGCACAAACCTTGTGGCTTCCCATATTGAATAACCGATAGTCAATGTAGCAAGGATCAACTTCCTTGGCCAAGTTCCATGTCTACAAAATATATACCTAAAGAGAGGTGAGATTTCTGTATCAACGAACTCGTCACTTACAGCATAAGGAAGCATTTCAATACGAGAAACAGGAGTGGGAGTATCAAAGGAATAATTGTACTGAGGTTAATAACGACATAGCTATCGTTACGCTGCTGTTGAGCTGTTTGCGCTGCTTGTGATGCGCTGTTAGAGTTGTTTGTCGTACTCGTACGATTGTTAGTCGTGCCGGTAGAACTGCCAGTGGTGTTGCCATTCGAGCGTGTACGGTTGAATGCAGGTATACTGACGCTATGAATGTTGCTATAATTGTCTACGAGTATCTGTATCTCATCCAAGAGTTCCAAATGAGCATTTAGAGACTTAGAGGTATATTTCTTATCACTGAAGTTAAAATCGACTGCTGGGATACCGACACTGAGCTCCCAATGTCTGACTGTCGTTATCGCATCCTCGAGTGTGCTGTAATCTACATCATCTAATAAATAGAGATAAAAAGAGCGTAGACGGAGGAGAGATATTTTGAGATGATTTATGTGAGTCCTTGGTAGAGATTGTAGATTGTTATTGAATTTATAAAGCTCGTGCTTCTGATCTAGCTGGAATACGTTCATAGATCGTGGACGTCGATTAAGAAGGAATTTTGAGAGATGAGGAGGAGATGAACGGGATATAAATGACAAAGATACAAAAGAAAGATCACTAGAGTTGTATTTTGGATACACGGTCTTTGACCATGTCGAAAGCACGCATCTGTAGCTACGTCAGCAGAGTAAATGACTGTAAGAAGACGTACGATAGTCTGCTCATTAATTTGTATTTCGTTGGTATCTGCTTTAGGTCTAGATACCCTGCTGGCTATCGCGTTAGAATCTGTCTCTAGGATGATACCGTCATCGATTGATTCATCGAGGGCTAAAAGAACCATGTCCAAGTTCTCGATAACGGACGTCTTCTCTAGCTGGTGTCTAAGTAGGAGGCTTATACCGTCGATGAAACCGTTGAGTGCACTAGACAGCATAAGCTCATTCTCCTCTGATGGCGCTATCAAATAGACTATCAAGTCCATCATTGATTTGTATAATATCAGTTTGTCGTTGTAGAGTATTATATCGCCTGTTGATAGAGATACACATCAGTGACTACGGCTACACGTAGCAACGGAGGACGCACCATTCCCTTTACTCGTCTTATCGAATAACCCCTTCTCAAATGTTCGTTGCTCTTTGAGATTCGTTTGTTGGTTCTTGTCGTAGTACTTAGCCATCACTCTGTTTCCTTCACTGTCTAGTATCACCAAACCATGCACAGAATACAAGCTGTAGTTTGTCTAATATTAGTTAGCCGGTATTCTTCTCTTTCTTTCTTTCTCCCACCATCTTCTCTTTTGCTTCACGAGTTGAACGTAATGAACAGAGAACAAATATATAATATGTACACGAATAAATTAATTAGATTGGTAGTCTTTATCTGTATTAAATATCTCATCAAATACTGTGTATCTCGTTAGTATCGCTCTTATTTTCAAGACAAACACACCATGCTCGTCATTGACGTATAAGTCACCCAAAAGATCCTCATCTGGTGCAAGTATTCCTTGTTCAGCTAACATAAACATTCTCTCTCTTTCTGCATCCCATATCTCCCTGAACGACTTGCAGAGATTCAACAATCCTATTAAATATCCATAATCAGGTTCAGTCGGATGCTTTGGTGGATAACGCGCATAGAGCATACCAGTATCTAGGTCAACTTTGGCATTATACCCTCCTTCTTTTATTCTAGGAAGGTCATTGCCAACTCCTTGCGGTAACGGCGGAAGAAAGTCCTTTCCAGTCGTACAATGAGCAAAATCAATAATCTTTATATTAATTTCACCCTTCCTTCTACGATTCTTTGATGATTTTGGAATACTACGTTGTCTACTAAATGATTCACTTAATCTTCTCTGAATTTTTGCATCACCATCATACAAAAATAATAGTGAACTAGCGTAAAATCTATAACCATCCAATCTAGAAATTATTCTCGCTAATTTGTATAACTTTGCTAAGATATCTGGTATATGATGAACAAGTATTCTTTCACCATTGTATAAAAACGCTGATAAAGATTCTGTGAAATTGTTCGCTTGTACATTCCTACCAAAGTATTTATCTTGGAACGTATACTCGTTTTTGCGGACGTTATATACTTGTGTACCGCATAATCTTAGTCCAAGTGAATGTGAAGTAGTCTTTTTTGCTTTCTTCCTCTGCGATGCTTTCTTATCTTCTGTTGCATCAACTCCATACTGCCTAGTACCCATCTTTAGATCGAGTACGCAGGGTGCTTTTAATCTGCCTGTTAAATCTTCCATAAGTAGGAATTGTTCAAGTCTACTACTAGTACGACAATTATTTGTCTGAACTTGGCTATCATCGGGCGAGCTTTTAGGTTCACCATCAATTCCATTACTCTTCTCTCTTATTGAAGCTGTCATAGCTGATGATGTTGTACTACCTCTAACATCTATACCACTTCCTGAGGTCGATCCCGACGAATTACTTGCTTTGGGTAAAATTTCAGCTGAGTGGTAAATAGGTGATGACTGTGTGTTCATTTGGTCAATTCCTGGACGTAAATTACGCTGTTGGGGTTGTTGAGGTGAACCATGCTTGGCTTCTGCAATACCAACACTAAAGACATTCGACGATTCAAGTGATCTTTCACCACCATTGAGAGATCTCGATCTCGATCTATGTAATTGATCACGTCTGTTTTTTGTTGGCGTTGTAGTAATTTTGAAAGACGTCGTAGGACATAAGTTATTCCTATCACTATCAACTTCCTCCATAGCAAATACGTCTCCACTATCGACGTTGCCCTTACGAGCAGTATCTTCGTCAACAGATAATAAGAAATGCGAACGACGTTTCCTGATTGACCTGCCGGACGGTACGTCAGTGTGGTCAGATATTGAGGTGCTTGAGTTACGATCTGAACTGCTATCGCTATTATCTTCACTTTCATCATCATCATCATTGTCCACTCTATTTGTCAAGAAAGATTTGGCTTTGAGGGCACATTCCTCGGCGCATTCGCTTCTCAGTCGCAATAAAACTTGCTGTTCCATTTCGCTCCCTACGCTTACTCTCCTATGTGCCTGTGGGGGTGGTTCTTGCGAACGTGACCGTAATCTCATTCTCTCCTCGCGATAACTTGAAGGCTGTGAACCAACATGGCGTCTTGGGTAATCATCATCCTCATCATCATCATCGCCATCATCAACTGAATGAGGCTTCCGCGAGCGTCGTTTGTACCCTCTCTTTTTGCTTATGATTCTAGGTGAAGATGAAAAGACCTCCCTGAGAACTTGCTCTTGGAGACGCCTATTGACTGTCGTAGCTCCTCTTCCACCAAAGAAGTTTGATGGGTAAATATCAGATTGAGACTTTGGTAGACCGTAATCTGGTTTATCTGACTTATGCGATGGTGTGTTTATAGGTGTGATAGTGATTGACGAAGATGAAGGAGATGGACTATGCTCATCTCTCAATTTCCTTGAATGTGTTGAAGGCAAACTGTTCTTCCTATGCAGAGAGAGTTTATGGCTCGACGTATGCGGTGATGTCTCATCTTCCGACATTACTGACATAGAACTTGTGCGGTCCTTCCCATTGTGGCCGTTATTCAACCCAGATCTTCTGAGCATCCAATTGGGAATTAGGTGTGTGTTACGCTCGAACTTAACCTGAGGTATTTCCTCCTCAGATCCGGTTCTGTAATGTTCAAGCGAGCGACTAAATGCCCTTTGGCCAGACTTGCGATCAGATACGTAAGGTACTTCCGAACTCTCCGATCGACCAAGTATAGGCTTGTACTGATCTATGTCTAGATTGTCGAGCTTATCAACAGTCTCGAGTGTAGGCGACGAACACTGCTTGACGAAAGTAACATTGAGGACACCAAGATACTGTGGTATATACTGTAACAATAGGGGATGATCACGCTCTATCGATTCATAAAACTGATTCTCCCTTCTCACAAGTGGCTTGCAGACCGCTCTGCGTGAGAAGCGGAAAATAGGATGGTGGCCACCAACTTGATTCTTGAATGGCTTTAAAGGGACGGAAGGTAAACCACTATCGTCATCCTCCTGTACGTTTAACTGATAGTTGTCAACACTCGAGCTGTCATAAAATGGTGTTACCCACATCGTAATCGTAATCACTGGATTCTGACTGATCGAGATCAGAATCGGATTGCGTGAGTGAATCTTCACTGCTTGGATGATCGAAGTAGTCGTCGGTTTCGTAACTTGCTTGTGAGTGTCTAGATGATTGGGGCGAGTAAGATCTACGCTCAGACGGTGATCTATTCTGGAATCTGCTCGATTTGGCATTCAACTTGAAAGATTTACGCCGTATAGGTAAAGTTGGAGGTGCTGTAGTGTGGATTTGTGGTAAATTCGTCGAGGTGGACGATGAAGAGCTAGAAATGTATTCTAATTGCTTATCGTCTATACCTGATTCCTTAAATAGTTTTATATTTAGGCTCTGCTTCCTGCCTGAGTTTGTTCCATTTCCAGTCATGGAAGATAGATAGCAAGAATGATAACTAAATGTATAATCTACAAAACTAATTGATTTATTAATTGAAGCTGGATCCTGGTCTGTATAGTCTGTCAGCTTTTGTATACAGCGCTCTATTATACTCACAGCCCAACGTTTATTGGTGCGTAATGTGTCGCATTATGGAACGTTGCATTATGTGGATGTATTGGATGACTTGTATTAGTACTGTTTATATGATTCTTCCCTAGTCCAACTGGTACGAACGCCTTGTATTGTATTGGACTTGCTGTAGCCACTGCTACAGCAGCGATTAATATACACAGAGCTTTCATGTCGCACAAAGAATGTATCAATACAGGATATCAAACTAATTGACTCACATTCCTGAAGATAGCGAACTATGAAGATTCATTCGCGATGATTAAGACATATTCCGTCTTGAGATAAAATAAGCTTTCGGCTGTCTTAGATTTTACATTCTGAGCATTGTTATCATTTAATTGATATTACCCGTTATAGTTTACTATGATACGCGTTTCTTAATGCGATATCTTTGATAAATCATATACAAATAAACATACCTTCACGCATTTTCAATATAACTACTAACAACATTGAACGTTCGTCTCTTAAAATTCCTCGACTCTATGGCTAAACATGAGATTATTGTCGCATTCACAATTTAGGCAATACGTAATATAATGCATCTATTATAACTAAACGGTGATTAATTAAAAATACAGAACAATTAGAACAATTATGATACACAAACTATTAACTGTCATCATCGACAACCTTACTCAACTTCTTATGTAGTTGTCCAGGAAGCATCACTTTATCGCCATTGTTACGCTCTCTAACGGTCTTAGCATCGTATGGTATAGGTGTTGCACTTCCTGAACGTTGTTTTGGTGTCGCCTCTCCAGATGTGGATCCCTCCAGGTCGAGAAGATCGTCTGGTTTATGGCCCTTATTGAACCTTAATGTATCGCCTTTCTCCACACGTGCAATTGGTGCATGTGCATCAAGCGTGAATGATACTTTCTTTGTTGCTTGTTGTGGTGCCTTTACGTTCTTAATCCAACCATGGTTGAGAGCCTCTTCTACTGTCATCCTATCTACTGGGTTTGGTGTGAGCAACTTTCTGATGAAATCCTTAGCTGATAAAAGTTGTCAGATATAACACACGTTGGTAGATCATTTACGAACCTAGATCTGAGACATCATGCCAGAATGTATCATTAAATTTCACATCAGTGAATCTTTTAGTCTCATCTTCGATAATGTGTGGATTCGCAGACGAATAAAGCGATCTGCCAGAGAGCAAGTTGAATGCGATAGTTCCAATTGCCCACATGTCGGCAGGAAATGAGTATCCCCTATAGTTGTAGATTTCTGGTGCTACGTATGTTGGGCTACCGCAGGGTTCGAGTAATTGTACGTCATTGGAGGGGAGCAGGACAGCTTGACCGAAATCGATTAGAATAACCTCGCTAGCTGGAGCTTCTTTCGATTTGTATAGATAATTATCCAGTTTGATGTCTCTGTGTAGTACATTTCGCTCATGCAAGTACTGAGTCGCTTGGAGAATGGAAGTAATAGTCTGACGTGCTTCATCCTCATAGAGATGTCCACCTGTCCGGTTATTAGCATATATTTGTACGTCATATGACAATCTCACCAGCTGAATTAATCCTATCGATGAGGTCACCGCCCGAAGCGAGTTCAAAGACGAGGTAGTAGGAACTTGAGCTGCTGAACCATTCGATAAGGTGTATAGTGTTAGGATGCTTCATGTCGTCCCTCATAAAGTTCAACAAGCGCCTATATGCTTCTCTGTCTAGAAATTGTTAGTGTGTGATTCGAGTGGAAATGATAAAGACGCACTCTTTATTGACTTTTTAGGAACTTTCTTAATGGCAACATCCTTATTTGCTTCTTTATCGTGTGCTTTGCTAACGACGCCAAAGCCACCTTGTCCAAGTACCTGTATAATGTCTGAGAAAAGTTGATAAGCAGGCCAAGCACTCACTTGTCCGAAATCGTAGGACTGTTTATGAGAGTGGGAGTCTTTATGGAAAATATTTCCTAGCAAGTTCATTCTGACACTTGAATGTCCTAAAACAAGTTCCAACTTATGAGTAGATTCTCGAAGTACAGGCTCCGAGAATACCAAGAAATTCTCGGAATTACACGGGTGATTATAGCTAGACAAAGAGGTATAATACACTTTATTTATTTTAACATCACACCTTTGAATATAATTTATTCGTGCTTAAGCGTCATCTTCAAAGAAGATTTAGTCTCGGCGAGCTAAAATAAGCTTGACGGATAACCATGACCGAGCAGTCGCCTACGCTCTCAAACAAGATGGCCAATGTAGATGAAGAATCACAGACACCTACACCTTCTCCTCGTCCAGAGAAGCGCTCACTATCAGATTTGTGAGTCATATAATCACACATATAAATCTATGTATTTATAATTTACAGCCTGAATGAAGAAGTAGAACACAACAACTCCACTATACCATTGGCGTGGCAATCGTTTCTCACGGGTTTTATTGATCTGATTCTCTATTCTAGAAGTCAGGTCTGGGTTGGTTTTCAGACTGGTAATATGGTTCAGTTCTCCGGTAATATCGCTCAATATATGCTCCCTGATTATATAAGGGAACCGTTACTCACACTCGAGAGGGTCATATCAATATGCGCTTTCTTTCTAGGATCATTTATGAGCGCGAGGTTGGCAAATTACTTTGGCGGTCGTACGAGAAAGTCTTTATTCATTAGTTCCGTCATACAGAGTTGTTTCCTCTGGGGTGCCTCGGCAATTTTACTCACGAGACCGGAGGATGAACTGCCTACGTTTCGGTATTTCCCAGCTGTATTGGCTTTAGCAGCCTGGTCTATGGGTATGCAAAGTGGTGCTTCACAGAAGCTAACTTCGCCTGCATTTGCTACAACTGTTGCGTTCACAGCAACATTGAGTCAAATTGCAAGCGATCCAAACATTTTTAAGTTGCGGTCAGCAGCAAGAGATACCAGAATGATTGGTATTGTTTCACTGTGCATTGGTGCAGGTGTGGGTGAGATGTTCCTCTACGCTAAAACGAATTTAAGAGGAGGGTTGGCCGTAGTGGCAGGATTCAAATTATTACAAGCATTCATGTGGTTTTTACCAAAGGCATCGCAGCCAAAATAAATTAGATTAATACATAATTTTTTCATCGGATTGTTTAACCCAAACTGCTATGATAATGCAACTGATGACGGCGTATGATAATTTTGCTTGGACGACGGTATAAACCCATAACATGCCAATAGATGGTGCTCTCTTTATGATTTGATAGCTTGGTGCGTCATTTATGAGTTTTATGAGACTAATACCCAAAGCTATTGAAGATAATAAATATATAATTTGCATCCAAAATTTGTTGGCATATCTATTGGCTTTATGGATCAGTTAGTTGCTGATTGTCTCAGTGTTTATTTTATTCGGACTTACAGTAGAAGATGATTAGAGAGATCACTTGTAGAACTTAATTAGTGTTGTAAGGAATAAATGCGCTAGACTAACAAGGAATTGCTTTTGCCATCTGAATCGCCTCTTCCTTGAATGATGGCCACTGGTTGTACTGAGCTGAGACGAGGAGGTCCATGAGAAGATATAGGAAGCTGATGTTTGTTAGATATACACACGCGACGCTAATATACGGACCTAAAGGGTATAATATAGAGAATGGCGGCAAAGACTTCACCTATTTCGAGATCATCATCGGGGTGGCTATCTAATTTATCTTTTATATTAGACTTTTGAATAATTTCGTCGATATTCTCAATTTTATCGTCAGATATTTCTTCGATTTTCGCCATTTTTAGATTTTTGTGGGTAGACTGGTCAGAGCTAGTTGGTCTCTACCACGAAGGAGAAATGAACGTCAGCAGAGTATCACGCCAGGCAGTCGTGAGTTAGATATCAGGCTCTCATGAATAGTTTTTTAATTTAACTAGGACTTTACTCGTCTCACCAGCCAAATCGGACTTGGAAAGGGTGAGTTGTGATTTCACTTTCGGCTGTCTACTAAAACCAGCTAGACACCGTCGCCCAAATCAACGCTTTCAGAAAGCGTGCAGATGAGGCTAAGCGTCAGTTAACTAACCTCTCAGAGCAAAAAGTAGACGTCGACTTCGCCCACTACCGTGCAACCCTCAAGAACAGCGCAGTTGTCGATGAGCTCGAAGGCAAGGTAAAGAACTTCAAGCCAGCAACCTACGACGTCGCTGCCGTCAACAAGGCTATCGACGCATTCGAAGCCAAGGCCCTCGAATCTGCTCAGCAAACCGAGAAGAAGATCGCAGAGGAATTGAAGGATTTGGAAGCCACTCTCGACAACATCCAATCTGCTCGCCCATTCGACCAGCTCACCCTCGACGACGTCGCTGCTGCTCGTCCAGAGATCACCAAGACCGTCGACACCATGGTACAAAAGGGCAAATGGTCAGTTCCTGGCTACAAGGAGAAGTGTGAGTCTCGCCTGCCTTTTCAATGTCTGTCTAACGCCCCGCTAGTTGGAGATCTCAACATCAGTGAGCTTATCCGAACTACGCTAACTAATCTAACAAATTGTAGTGTAAAACTAATAAATATAAAGAGATACAATCACATAAATCATTTTTTATCCATTCTTTTTTGTCTTCATCCGCTGATCTCATCCATCTCTCTCTGGGACCGTCATAATGGAAAACCAACACGACGAGCCAGAACAGCCCGTAGATGAAGGCTATAGGCCATTGAACGTACGCGATGCACTGAGTTACCTAGACCAGGTCAAGCTGCGCTTCCAAGATAGTCCAGAAGTCTACAATCACTTTTTAGACACGATGAAGGACTTCAAAAGCCAGTCAATTGATACCCCAGGTGTTATTGACAGGGTATCCTCCCTTTTCCGTGGTCATCCCGCCCTTATTCAAGGTTTCAACACTTTCCTCCCACCTGGCTACAGGATAGAATGCAGCGACTTATCCGGTACAAATCCAACCGGTGGTACTATCACCGTTACTACTCCTATGGGTGTTACCACCTTACAAGCCTCTGCAAGTTTCCTCCCTGCATGGCAAGCCCAACATCAACCACAGCTCAGCCAGCAAGAAACACTCCCGCCGCCTAGTCCAACGACACAGTATGTACAAGCACAACAATCAGGCGCTAATACTCCAACTGCCGCCTCCACACTCGCCAATCAAAAACCACCGGTTGAATTCAATCACGCTATCAGCTATGTTAATAAAATAAAGAACAGGTTCAATCAAGATCCAGAAACTTACAAAATGTTCTTGGAAGTTTTACAGACTTACCAAAAAGAGCAGCGCACTATACACGAAGTTTATGCTCAAGTCAACCACCTATTTCATGGTGCTCCCGATTTATTAGATGAATTCAAACAATTTCTGCCTGACACTACCGGTAATGCTCCCCAATCTGGCGGTCTCTTTCAAATGGTCGGTCAGATGGCTCCGCAAACTGCTCCTAGTTCGGTTGATCTCACGCAGAGTTCAAGTCGCGGGATCGGCAGAAAAGGTACTCCAAAGATTGATGACAAGGTTAAAAAGAAGAGAGCACCAACTAGTGAGACCTCACAGAAACAGCAATCAAAGGTTAGTATTTCCGTTTTCCTATATGGCCCTTTACTAACATCTAATAGACAAAGAAGCCAAAATATGTTCACAGAGAACCTTCTCCTCAATCTCAAATGTCCCACTCTATGCCTCTGCAACAACCATCGTATTCGACTGCAAGAATGGAAGAACCACAGCCATATCTCTATGAATCACCTTCTATGAGATCAGCTACGATTGTACCACCATCCATCCCAATTGATAAGACTCTCGCAACTATCGAAGAAATGGCTTTCTTTGATAGAGTCAAAAAATTCATCGACGACAAGACAACTTACCACGAGTTCTTGAAACTTTTAAACCTTTTTACACAAGATATTATCGATGCTCGTACACTCATCGATCGCTCACAATTATTCATTGGTGAGAGCAAGGAATTGTGGGACTTTTTCAAGGCGATGGTCGGCATCGTACCGGGTCCTGGTTCAGGTGGACCTGGTGGTACTTTCCAAATTGAAAACATCCCTGCTATCGAGCGTCCAAAAATTGAGTTAGAAGAGTGCAAAAAGTATGGTGCAAGCTATCGTAAATTACCACAATCGGTAAGTGACTGGTCCTTGAATAAGGTGAATGCTCAACTTTAATAGGAAGTCAGCCTTAGTTGCTCTGGTCGTGATGCTATGTGCTGGGAAGTCCTAAATGACGAATGGGTCAGTCACCCAACATGGGCCTCTGAAGACTCCGGTTTCGTTGCACACCGTAAGAACCATTTCGAGGAGGCACTTCACAAATCTGAGGAAGAGCGTCATGAATATGACTATCACATTGAGGCTAACCTTCGTACGATCACCCTTCTTGAGCCTATCGCCGCTAGAATTGCAGCCATGGATAGCGAAGAACGTGCCTCATTCAGATTGAAGCCTGGTTTGGGTGGTCAGTCTAAGTCTATCTACCAGCGTATCATCAAGAAGGTCTATGGTCAGGAGCATGGTCTTGAAATTATCAATGCCCTGCATGAAAATCCATCAGTTGCTGTTCCAGTTGTATTAAACAGACTAAAAGCCAAAGACGAAGAATGGAAGAGAGCTCAAAGAGAGTGGAACAAAGTCTGGAGAGAGCTAGACGCACGTAATTATTATAAGTCATTAGACCATCAAGGTATTGTCTGGAAGCAAAACGAGAAAAAGAACTTGACTTCCAAACAATTGATCCTCGAGATTGAAACTCTCCGTAAAGAGCAAATCCAGAAGCGTAAATCAACATTGTTCCCAATGAGCTCGTCCACAGGTCCTATCAGATCAAGATATCAAATGGGTTTCATCATTGAAGATCAAGGTGTACTTTTTGATGCCGTCAAACTTATACTCGCATTTGTTGATAGACCGGTCCCGCCATCATCTAGCAATGGCAACAGCATTTCAGCATCTTATTACAACTCAAACAACCAATCTGTGTATTCAGCAGCAGAAAAGGACAGATTTGAGACTGTTTTGAGAGATCTCATTCAATCATTCTTTAGAATTGATGAAGAAAAGTTCAACCAGTATATTAGTCCGGCTGGAGGTAGAACCAACACCAGCAAAGATGGTGATGAAGAGATGCAACTAAACGGTGTGCAGGAACGCGCAGATAGTCCAGCCACCAGAGATGCAGACAAGCCATGGACTAACATCACTGCCGAACAAGCTTCAGTTGTGCATACTCAAGTTACCAATGACGCCACACCAAAGCGCAAACACCTTAACTTCTTCTGTAATTCTACCTACTACATTGCCTTCAGGTTGTTGTATGTAAGTAAAAGAAGGTGGCTTTCAAAGTGAAATACTAACTATTATTTAGATACTTTATAATCGACTGTATTCGTTCAAATTAACGGCTCAAAAGCTCACTACGACTAATTACAAACCGATGAACCCATTAGCAAAAGATTTAGGATTGAATGATACATCAGTACCACAAGCTGTCGGTATATCATTACTCGAAAATACTTCAGTGAACGGTCAAGAAACGCCAGCAAGTGCGCATTATTATGACTACTTGCTTGAACTTTGCGAGAGATTGTTCGAAGGCGAAATAGATCAAAACTTATTTGAGGAGAGTTTGAGATGGATGTTTGGCACAAGTGCATACCCAATGTTTACAGTCGATAAGTTGATATCACAAATACTGAAGCAATTGGGCAGCATAGCAGTCGACACGAAATGTCAAGAACTACTTAATGTATTACAGATTGAAAGGAAGGAACCATCTAGTTCGAACTCGCGTCAATTCATCTACCGTAATAAAGCTCAACGGATTATAGGAACAGATGAGCCACTTTATCGAATTGAATGGATTGCATCTACGAAAGAATTGAGAATGCAACTATTAGCGAGGGAAGATTTGACTATTGATATTGATGAACGCAAGCAAACTAAAGATCAAAGGTGGACTTACTACATCCAATCTTACTTACTTCAGACACCAACTGAAGGTCTATTGACAGATTTGACATCACCATTCTTATATCGCAATATTCCAACATCTAATACTCAAATAAATGAAGAAGAAGAGAGTAATCATGAAGAACCTGAAGAGATACTTGATAAATCTGAATATTCTAATGGTTTAGAAATGCGTATTTGCATGAGAACATATAGAATGTTCTTCGTACCAAAAACAGAAGATAGTTTCGTAATCAGAAAGTTTGGTAATAATGTGCAAGGACCAGGAATGAGATTTGCTAATGGAAGGAAATATAATCATAATTTGAAGACGACAAATGAGAATAGATTAAAAAGACTCAATCATTGGCTTCATAAATCAGGTCATGGAGTCGATCAAGAAGACGAAAAGATGACAACGAATGATGCAAATGCAGAACAGCAACAAAATGAAGTTATGAATGCAGAAGTAAGTCAGCCGAACAATGACATTCAAATGAATGAGTAATTTTTCCTCTTTTTTTCTTTTTCCGAACTTTGTACAAATTATTTTATTTATAATACGTCATCAATCTTCTTGTTTTGTTAAGTACACCATGAGTTTAGAGAAAGGTGAACATAATAATATTGACGTATCATTATTAATTCAACAGTAAAGATATAATCACTCTGGGGATGTTCATCGTTGATGAATTTGAATATCGTCATTTGAACGGAGAACTAGATACTAGCAAGCAAACAAGCTCACAAATAGGTGGTGGCGGTTAGTTGTGGTGTTTATGAAAGGATATTCTCACTATTGATAGGGACTTACGCTATAATTGGTAGTAGAATGTGGACAGAACCAACAAAACTTGGTCAGATTGTAGACACGGGGAGTGATTTCGACAAAGAAACTGAAAATACATTAGAGAGTTATGAACATGATAAATCAAATAGAATGTTCATCCTTCGTGCAGATCCTAAGAAAGCTACAACCAGAGCAGTAAACAAATACACAGGTCAAAGAAGAGAATTCGAATATTTAACACCTCGTAATAGATTGAATTTGAGTGATTATCATCAAATGAAATTACACAAATCACCTAAATACATTCATAGTGTTTGTTCACCAGTACGCCAAACTGATATAATAAAGGAAGCAAAAACTTTGAATTGGAATGTAAAATACATTTATGAGCCACTTCCAGAAGCTATGATACCGACTAATAGTCAAAAACTTAGAGAAACAATAGAGGAAGCTGATGAAAATTTGTTCTTATCTCCCAATCACACTGAAGCTGCAGAAATGTTTGGCTTAGATGAACCTAATACACTAGAAAAATGCGAAGAGCTAACAAAGAAGATACACAATGAAATACATGCTAAGAATGTCATCTTAAGATGTGGAAAGCTAGGTTCATACATTAGTATACCAGGAATGGCTTTCTGGGTTGAAGCGCTTCATATACACAATCAAGAGAAAGTCGTTGACGTCACTGGTGCCGGTAATGCTTTCCTAGGTGGATTCACAGGTGGTTTGAATAAGTATAATGGTGATATTAGAAAAGCTGCTATATGCGGTACAATATCTGCTGGTTATACTATTGAAAAAGACGGACTACCAACAGTTAAACTAGTAAATGGTCAGGAATGTTGGAATGGACGTGACCACACTCCTGAAGAAGAGTTAGCAAATTTCGTGAACAAACAGAAGTAAAAGTTATAGTTTTGTAAAATGTGGATATATTTCAAAGTATATGCTAGCTAAATTATATAAAAAGATCCTAAATAGAAAACAATTCTAGAGCTTTTCTAAAACGAGAGCAGTTGCTGCACCACCACCGTTACAGATAGCAGCTGCACCTTTCTCACCTGCGGCTAATTGGTGGATCAAGCTGACGACAATTCTAGAACCTGAGTTACCAATTGGGTGACCTAAGCTTACTGCACCACCATTGACGTTAACCTTTGATGGGTCAAGGTTGAGTGCCTTCTCTGCGACCTTGGCGACAGCTGAGAAAGCCTCGTTGATTTCAAATTTGGCGATATCTTTAACCTCAACGTTAGCTCTTTGAAGTGCAATTGGAAGAGCCTTAGTTGGTGCAATTGGGAAATCAATTGGTGCCATTGCAGCATCAGCTTGTGAGATCAACTTTGCGATTGGCTTGATGCCCAATTCTTCAGCCTTCTCTTTGCTGATCAAAACTAAAGCTGATGCACCATCGTTTAATGTTGATGCGTTTGCTGGTGTGACGGTACCACCTTCCTTCTGGAATGCTGGACGGAGAGTTGGAACTTTGTCTAAAAGAATCTTCTTGTATTCCTCGTCTTCCTTAACGATTACATCTCCTTTACGGGTCTTTACGACAACTTCGGCAATTTCCTCTTCGAAGCGACCGTTCTTCCAAGCGTCAGCTGAGCGTCTTAAGGGAGTGGCGTTAGTAAAATCATAAATAGTCTAAGTTACCCACCTGTATGATTCAATAGCATAGTTATCTTGATCTTCTCTAGTAACATCAAACTTCTTAGCAGCTGATTCAGCACAGTTACCCATGTGGACATTGTTGTAAACATCCCAGAGACCATCACCAACGATAGCGTCAATAGTTTGGAAGTGTCCAACAGGTGCTTTTTGACGTGGAAGGAGGTATGGTGCATTTGACATAGATTCCATACCACCTGCGATGACGACATCCCTTTCACCGAGTCTGATTGATTGTGCACCCAAGTTGATAGCTTTCATACCTGATGCACATACTTTGTTGATAGTTGTAGCATCAACTGAATCAGGCAAACCTGAACCGATGACGACTTGACGTGCAGGTGATTGACCGCAGCCAGCTTGAAGTACTTGACCGAAGTATAATTCTTCTACAGCGTCTGCTGGTACACCAGAGTTCTCAAGTGCCTTCTTAACTGCTACAACACCCAATTGTGGTGCGGTTACAGTTGCTAATGCACCATTGATAGAAGCTATTGGTGTACGTTGAGCAGCTGCGATATAAACTTCACGTCCTGTTGACATTCTTCTAAATATTGTTGTGAACGAAGAGGGCTTCAGCTTATTTTGAATTGCGTTTACGAACATCGTATGATTTAGAGAATAAAAATAAAAAATCACTTATTATTTACAGTTCTATTAAAGTTATTTTATTATCCTCTGAGCAACTTAATAATCTATTTTGCTTTATTGAGACTCTATTAATGAATCCAATATGTTCTTTTATAATGTGTGTCTTAGTCCAATTGTCAAAATTTTCTTCTCCTTTTGTATAGACTTCAATCAGACCACTTTCTAACCCTATAACTAAATTATTTCTTGACATTGATACAGCTGTAGCAGGCTCATCAAATTTAAGAGTAGATATCGTTTTCCAGTTTTTATTATCAAATCCTGTTCTTGACCAAACTCTAACAGTTTTATCACGTGATGCTGTAGCAAATACTCTACCACAATCACTGAAACAACAATCCCAAATAATACGCCCATGAGATTTATCAGCAGCAACAGGTAAATATTCCTCAGTTTCCGATGACTTTTCAAATAGTCTCCACGTTCTATCTCTACTAACGCTCAGAATTAGTTGATCATCAGGTGAGAATTGTATCCTTGTTACTGTCAAAGCGTGTCCTTCAAGTGGGTTACCATAGTGAACACCTTTGATTGCATCTGTTATTCTAACTACTGCATGTTTAGCAGATTGTGATTTACAAGCTGTAGCTAAGAGACTTGAGTGATGAGCAGCAGCGATACTGAACAACTCGTAACCATGCCCGAACAACTTGTTAGATTCTGGCCAAAGACTAGTTACCAATTGTTCCTCAACTGGTGGCTTTTCCATTTGGTTTCCGTAAGTGTGACTTAAACTCCAATCTTTATCTTGTTCTTCAGGATGCTCATCGTTTTTGACAAGTCTGTTAGAAAGCGATTGAGGTGGGAGGGATGCACCAAGTGGTCTAGACTCTTCATCAATATCATTTGAAAGAACACCAAGCTTTTTAGCACTTCTTATCCATCCTTTAGGAGCGTCGAACGTTCTAACAATTTTCTCATCAGCAGCTGTAGCAAGCTTAGTTGAGTCACCATCAATGAAGGCAATTGCTTGGATATCGTAACCATGTGATTGAGGTCTGTTGAGTTCATGCCATGTTTCAACTTCGTTACGCTTCCAGGCACCGTGTAATCTCGTCGTTTGGTCAGTTGAAGCTGACATAAAGAATTGATTATCTGGATCCCATTGAACATCTTTCACGGGACTTGCATGTCCAGTAATTGCTAGTTTTGGTTGCCAAAGTCCATCTTGGGGTGAATGTGCCCACCTGTGGAAACTACCATTTAAACCATGTGCGAAGACCTCTTTACCATCTTTAGAGAATAATCCACCAAAAAATCCTAAACCACCTGTACCAAATTCACCGAAACGTCTCTCATTCATCCAAAGACCATCGGATTGTGGTGACCACAAGATCATAGATTTATCGGCAGATGCACTCAAGAGGTATTGTGGTTGAGTGTACTTGTTCTCTGATTCCCATTGTATTGGATGCCAGTGAAGACCAGTAATCCAACTGTCGTGGCCAAGTAACAAAGCCTCGAAATTGAGCTTATATCTGTTGAGAGTTGTTAACATAATTCAGATCCTATGATATACGTACTGTTTGTTGTCATTATGATCAGTGAATACATGGGATTTAGTCGATAGACTAGAAGAATTGGCGTCAGCCTCTTCCATCTTTCTTTCAAAGTCATCGAGGAGGGCGCTGTTGAGAGTAGTCTTATCAATATGTACATTCTCCTTGTTCTCCCTGTTTTGAGTGGAATGGGTGCTTATATTCCAAAGACGAATGTATCCATCTTGAGAACCACTAGCGAGGACGAGGTTATCACCATGTTCTGTCGAGAAAGTACCAAAAGTGAGCGCTCTAACCCAATCTTCGTGACCTTCCAAACTTAATGACTTTACGAAAGAGTCATTATGCATTGTCCAAATCTCTATTCTGTTATTGGTCAAAGATAAAGCCATAACAGGTGTTTTTGAATGAGGAAGTAATGATAAGGTAATATCCAAGACGAATTTACCATTAAGGTCGATAGATTGTAATAGGTTTGCTTCTTTGTCGACGATATTCCAGATCTTGAGTGAAGATTCAGATCCAGCAGAAGCGACGAGGTAGCCGGTTCTATCGACAATTGGTGCTCTTAACGTACCTACAGCAGAGATAGACTTCTCGTGTGCGTCTACAGTTACAACGTTCTCATATTCTTCATTGTTGTTCTTCCATAAAATCAATTGACCAGAAGTACATCCAGATATGATATCCTTCGATTCTCTACCTGATTGCAAGTATTTGACAATTCTAACGTCGCCTTTATGTCCACTATAGGTTTGCTTTACACCGTTTGACAATTTATCATTAGGATTCCAGATAGAGAGGTAAGAACCTGCACCGAATGCGATTAAACCTTGGCTATCAACATCAGCTGCGTTAGAAGAACGATTGCAACCAATTGAAGTGTAAATTTTCCTATAACTCATGGCAGATATCGTTAAAGAGTGACTATCAAGATCTAAATAAATGTGAGTTAAATTATAATTTAAAATACACTATCTAATTCAACACTAAAAGGTATAACGGTATTGGTTTACCTTCAGCTCGTGGAAGTGGTACGAACGGTTATATACAACGTAATCTAGCCTACATCAAACCCCGTGAACAGCAATCTACCTACAAAGAAGAAATATCTGCTAGATCTAGATCTCCAGATAGATCTATTCTTGAACATGAACAGAAGCGTAAAGTTGAAATCGCGGTTTTAGAGTTAAAGGATGATTTAGAAGAGAAGGGTGTACCAGAGGGTGAAATTGAAGACAAAGCAGATGCTCTACGTCAACAGTTGCTAGCAAAACCAGTTTCAGCCACTTCGAATAAGCAATTCAAAGGCCATGAAAGACACGCAATAGCAGCTGCAAAAGCATTAGAAATGCAACGTATAAACCACGCATTCGGTACAAGAGGTAATTACAAAGAAGGTGATGCCTTTGATAGAGAATTACAAGAACGTAAAAGGATTGAGAGAATCGAAAGGAGAGAACACCACGAAGTTGAGAAAATTCAGAGAGAGCGAGACGCTAGAGAGAGATCAAGGAGACAGGTCGAAAGGGAACTCGACGAAAGAGAGAGATATAGGAGAAGATCACCTAGCTACGAAGATGGCAGACGCAGATCACCTTCATACGATTCTAGAGACAGGTCGAGATCGCCACCGAGAAGAAGGTCAGATTCACCATACTACAACGATAGAAGATCGTATTCACCACGTCCTCGCTCACGTTCACCATCATATTCACGCTCACCATCACCAAGAAGAGAGTCAGATCTATCTCCCGTACCAAAATAGGTTGTAATATTAGTATACATGACTAATTTATATATAATTTCTTTAAGGAGTACACGTATAATATTAAAAAAGAAAAAGACCTTTAGGGAAAAACTAAGAGAAACTGTCGTGAATACATAGTGGAAATGACTGATTTCAGTAATAACCTAATAAATAGCTCTTTGAGCAGCAGCATGTTGAGCTTGAGCTTGAGCTTGATGTGGATGTAACTGCTGATGTTGAGCTTGAATTGGAAGTGGTGAGAGCATACTACTTGAAGGTTGACTTTGATGTTGTGATTGTGCGCTTTGAGCTCCAGACGACTGTCCCGTTTGTTGAGCTTGTGCAACGTTACATCCAGAGTGTTGCGACAATACGTTCCTCAAGACGCCAATTTCCTCTCTAAGTGCTACAACTGTTTGCTGTAATGCTTCATTATCAGTTTGAAGGAATTCGACTTTTTGTTGCAATTGTTGCAACCATGCTTTTTTCCTTTGACGACATTTAAGTGCTGCCTGACGATTCCTTTCAAGGAAGTTTTTGCGTTTTTCATCGTCTGTCATTTCAGCCTTGTTAGGATCTGCTGGGAATGTCAAAATTTTAACACCGGATGCAAAAAAAAAACTCACTACCACGAGTAACACTGCCAGCTCTAGTTGATGGAGGAAGCATTGCATCATCATCGTCCTCGAATGCGTCATCATCATCATCGTCATAATCGTCTTCCCTCTTGGCAGCATTCGATCTTCTACCCCTACCTCTAGTAGCGCCAGGACCTCTCTTCCTGTTTACTGGTGGGGAAGGAGCAGATAAAGATTCAGCTTTCCTCTTCTGACCTACATCGACCTCAGGACTTTCAACCGAGCTTTGTTCGTGTCTACTTGCTTGTGACAATAAGAAAAGACCATTGGCGGCATTGGCGGCGGCATCTCCTGAGTTTCTTTCATAACGTTGCTGATGATGTGGAGGCTCAAGAGCTTCTTTGTTTTCTTGTGACTGGAATGCTCTGTAATTTTGGAAAGCATCAGAATTTTCGCCGTTATTTGGACGATCGTTCCCATCGAAAGAGGCGACAACACCGTTAATAGCGCTGACAGTGTTAGGTGTTAAAGCAGGTGGCTGTACCATATTCATTTGGAAAAAGGCAGTGTTTGGTGATTGTGGTTGATATTGTCCACCTGGGAGAGGGGTCAAACCAGTTTTAAGATGTTGGTTCTGTGCAAAAGAAGCTTCGAATGGGTTATTCTGCTGTGCTGGACCTTGCAACATTGCCGGACTGAGTGGACCTGAGCGCAAACTTGTTGGTACAGCGGAAGCAGCCTGGGCTTGGGCTTGAGCTTGAGCTTGGAGCTGTGCTTGTGAAGGTCCCAATTGATTTTGTTGTGGTGGTGCATTTTGTTGTTGCTGTTGCTGTTGTTGTTGTTGTTGTTGTTGTTGTGTAAGTGAAGAAATTGACGGCAGCTTTGGGTCTTTATCATCTGAAGCACCAAATGACTGATCGAATGGATTCGGTTCTAAATCTAATTGAGTTTTGTCTTCGATTTGTGACATTCTTCTTGAGGTAATAATCTGTGAGGTAATGAAAAACGTATCAAAACTGACTGCGTGTCGTCATCAAATTTTGTCATAGAAAAAATCAGGGAGAAAAAAAAATGAAAATAAAAATTAATTTATTCCTCGAAGTAATGACAATGGGTTATTAGCAGCAACACCAATTTGGTATACTTCGCTTTTATTCTGATGTAACATTATTGCTGGCGTGACCTTCATTGATTAGTAAAGGGGGAAAAATTTATCCAGAAAACTCACATATTGATTTAAATGACCATCCTTGACACCTGTCCAATCATATGTGCCCACTTTGCTTTTACATTTAGAATTAGGGCAATATAGCTTTCCAGATACTTCTCCTCCAATCAGGTCCATCCATTCAAGCTCATGACTAATTTAACTAAATTGTGTCATAGAAGAAGATAACTCACAGCTTCAACATAGAAAGGCGATGAAGGGATATACATAACGATATCCTCATATCCAGCGAGTTTCATCCTATTTAGTTGAGCTAAACTCCTGTGTATGGATATAAACTACACATACCTGCATTGTTTACACCTTATCGCCGTTGATTTGCTTATACTCCGCCTTTGTTGATATAGCTGCAGGAGACTACTACCATCATCATCCTGTTGATATCCAGAAATCGTACGAGCTTTACGAAGCAGTTTATAACGTCGTACGAGTGGGTTCTCAGTTGAAGTAGAATATCCAGCCAACTCGAAAATCTTCAACTGATGTCTGAAATTCTGATTTGGACTGTATTTGATATTAGCTGTATTGATGAAAGAGTTTGTAAACATACTCAGCAGATGGACTGACCGATTGCAGATAGCTGAGTGCGTCTTCCACTGATAAGGTTTTCTTGCGCATAAGATATGCAGTTACTATGGCCGCTGAGCGACTTACACCAGCCTGACAAAGGACTAAAGTTGGAATACTTTGCTGTAAACCCTCATCGATCCAATTTATAACGTTTGGAATGTGTTCTAAGATGTCTTCCTCGTCGTCGTCATCGACAGCCACTTGGTAAACCTCTATATTCGACTTATACTAGTTAATTGAATAGATTGTATAAATAAATACACACGGAATATCCTGGTAAATCACCTTTGAAAGCAGCAACAATCCTTTCTATATTTAGATCTTTTAGAATACTATGGCCATTCCCTGATAAGAGAATATCAGATAAATATAAATTCTCTATTATTTCCTTCATATTTTCTACCTGACTTGTTGATAGCTAACAATCAAGATGCCGGAGGGAACGAGACCATTAATCGTTGGACCAGAGCCGATAGCAGCGCCATTTCCGCTTAAAATGCAGGGTTTAGTACAAAAAGGTTTCGGAAGAGGTAGCAAAGAACTCGGTATTCCGACAGCCAACTTACCTGAAGAAAGTTATTGCGAGAGCTTCAAATTATTAGACGCAGCATCCAATACCGGAGTCTATTACGGCTGGGCTAAAGTAGACGGTGTAGATAACGACGAAGTTCACCCTATGGCGATGTCTGTAGGATGGAATCCTTACTACAAGAACGAGAAATTAACAGCAGTGCGTTGATTTGATAGAGTATTGTTATATCCACTGACCTAGAACCAAGGAAGTTCACATTATGCATCCTTACAACCAAGATTTCTATGGTAAAAACATGAGGGTGATAGTAACTGGCTACGTCAGACCTGAATTCGACTACTCGACCTTAGAAGCTCTCATAGAGGATATAGAGTTTGATAAAAAGGTAGCAATACATTCATTAGACAGAGATTCATACAAGGAACTTAAACAAGATGCCTTCTTCAAATAATTTACGTCAATCATCCAAGTAAATCCTGCATTTGTTCAATTTCACTAGATGTTATTCCCAAATTTTCCAAGCTTCCTTGACTGGCTTGTTCAGTTTTGTCTATTTCCGCGAAACATTCTCTCAATTTGGATTTCACATTTTGAGTCATATATCCTTTTTCATTAGATTTTCTCTTGCTAGTTTGTTGGGTGAGCGTTATAACAACTCTGAGTGCCTTCTCCTGTAGATCCAAATCTGATTCATTTGGTGGTAGGGTATTAAGAAGGTAGTCTAATATGCCATGATCATAAAGTGCCTGACTAACGGTGCCTTCCGTACTTGCTGTACGTGGCTCTCTGTCACCTGGGAACTGTGTTTCTTGACGAATGGCAACTCCTGTTGCTGTACTCGTTGGACCATCTACAGGTCTCATTGTTATATCATCAGATAAGAGAAGACTATTCAAGAGGAATGTAACTTTGCGTTGTAGATTGATGTTATTCGTGTCTTCCAACGCCCTCCTTAATGCTGACCAGCCGTCTACTACACCGAATCTGTGAATCGCTACTGGGTTGTGCTTGAGTAAACCAGAGATATTCAAGACGGCTGTTGCAGTTTGTCAGTAAAAGAACAGACCTATTTGCTGACGAACAAACCTTTATTTTGTAATGATTTGTTAGATGAATTGAGGTAGCTAATAAACAAGGGCAAAGGATCAAGCTCCATAAACTGTTTAGAAGGTTATGATAAAATACTATAGTCAAGAAACTAACTTACTGTATCTTGCGTATCGTAATCATTGTTTATTGCGCTACCAGTGCAAGCAGCAGCAGCAATCTTAATATCATCTTCATCGTGCTTTAATAAAGTATAAATTGGATCCCATAAGCCGATCTTCTTCATATTTTTTGCGTTATCAACTTGCTCTACTAACATTTCAAAATTGTCTAATGCGATTAATCTATTGTCTAGTGTAGCTTGATCATTTACAGCTACATACATAGCTTCTTTCATCATTTCAGCATCAGATTTTCCTAATATTTTATCAAGTACAGCTGGATCGTACTTCTGTCCAGGTCCAGATTGAGCTTTAGCTTCTTCTGTCATACGTTTGAGTTCATCTGCATCACCATCTTCTTTAACAGAGTTAGTTAATCCCCATTGCAATAATTGTTCCATCTTGATGGTAAATTGGTGAGCGAGAATATGATATCATTTTTGAGTCTATACCACGGAATGTTCATGAAGTGTGTAGAATTTTTAAACCAGAGTTAGAGTTATAGAAATCATACTAATCAAACAATATAAAATAAATACTAAAGTTAATGTAAAATCATGCAACATTTTCTAAAAAGCAGGTAAAAATGTAAAAATTTTATTAAAACAATACTTCTTAAGAGTATTGATCAATGATAGTATCTCTAAGATCGTTAACGACGGCTGTTGATTCTTGTCCTTGTAATTTGAATATAGCTTCAATAACAGAAATTTCTGTAGATGTAGTGTCTTGACCAGTGAAGGCAATCCAATCATTAACGACTAAACCAGCGCCTAAAACGTCGCTACCTCTGTTTATAGTACCTGCTGCTAGAGGGACTTGCAAAAGTGAAGACAATTCATCTTGATCTTGTATAGAAGTCTTTGGATGAACTAAACCACCTTGATTTGATAAAGAGCAATAACTACCAACCAAAACGTTCTCCGCTACAGTTTGTCTAAAAACTTCAACACCCAAAACGTCAGCGATAATTTCTTCAGTTTCAGAGTCGATATCCGGATGAACGAGTGCGACGTAGTCATTACATGTGATAACATTACCTAAAGCTGATAGTCTCTCTTCAACTCTTTGTATCTTAACGCTATCTGGGAGTGAGTTTCTCAAGTGTTGCAACTCTTGATCTGTAGTTGTAGAAGGTACGAGTAAACCGTTCTTATTTCCAGCTGTCAATCTACCAATGATTCTTGTACCTGCTATTGAAGTGTGTATGACTGGGATGACATCCGCTAATTCAGCTTCGAAGGAAGAGTAGAAGTTGGTAGAACCGAGTGCAGTAAGGCAGTAACTATTCGTTAACTTTGAGAAAACACCAATATCTGAACTATTTTCGAATGCTGTTCTGACGGCCATAATTTTTATTCAGATGTGGGATGGAAGTAGAGGTAGAAGATGTTTTGATAGAAACGATAAAGAAAGATGGATTTCAGCAGGTTTAATGGGTGAGTGGCGTTATTTATTTACTTTATTTCTTATTAAATATACACAGCTCAGAAAGAATGGCGCTGAATGTGAGAAGATAGCGTATAGATATACATCTAGTTATACTAACAACAACACCAGCAATACATTCAGAAGAAGGAAATGAAAGATTTTATGAAACTATACTCAAATTTAGTATTCAACTGCTTTAACGACTGTTCAGAAGATTTTACTAGCAGGACGTTATCTACAAATGAGAGAACATGCTCAGAGAATTGCGTAGGAAAGTTCTTGAAGCATTCAGAGAGGATAGGTGCACGGTTTAGTGAATACAACGCAGAAATGATGAATAATAAATGAATAGAATGTTAGCAACGTATCTGTATTGATTTACAGTTTGTCTTTAGAAATCAATTCCATTTAATTGCTTTTTTATTTTGTTTACTTTTGTCAGTAATACACCCTCAGTAGTTTAGCTCAGAGTGCCTCTTGATAGTAAACCACAGATGATCACAAAAATACTAGGACTGATTTCTATACCATTGATAGTACTGCCAAAGAGTAGATACTCTATAAAAATGAAACTGGTTATACACACACTCCTATATACAACTGGATTGGCTGTAAACTCCATCATCGGTTTGCTATGCGGTTTGATTGCATACCCATTAGGAACTCAATATAGACAACAACTCAGTCATTTCGTAGCAAGATCATTCTATTACACATTTACTCCGGTCCTCGGTTGGAATTTTGTTGTAAAGGACGAGGAAAAGTTATTAGAGTACTCAAACAACAAGAAGTCTTCTATTATTATATCAAATCATCAAACAATGTTAGACATTCTCTTCTTATCTAGGATTTTCCCAAATTACACAACAATGATGGCTAAACAAGAATTGAAAAAGATTCCTTTGCTAGGATGGTGGATGTCTTTATCCAAGTCCGTCTTCATCAACAGAAGCGACAGAACAGGTGCAATTAGCTCTTTCAATCGTATCGCAAACGAGATCAAAGATAACGGTATAAACGTCTGGATTTTCCCTGAGGGTACAAGAAGTTCAACGAAAGAACCTTCATTATTGCCGTTCAAGAAAGGCGCTTTCCACTTAGCTATACAAGCTCAAATACCATTAGTACCTGTTTTATGTGAAAACTACTATCATCTTGCAAACTTTGATAAAAAAGACATGAAATTTGAAAGAGGTACTGTTCAAATAAAGGTTCTTGATCCTATTCCAACCAAAGGTTTGACTTCACAAGATGTTCAACAATTGATCGATTATACACACTCTTATATGTTATATCACCTCAAGTTACTATCAGCAGAATCATCAAACTCGGAGCCACCTGCACCATTCACACTCCAACCACCATCAAGGTCTGATGATGATGATCTAGTTGTAGTCGAAAAGTAGATTTACATTTTTTTATTGCTTACAAAGAGACTGAAACACCACAACCACATCCACTACCTTGTGCTTGAGGATTATTTAGTATTTTAAAAGATGAGCCTATCAGTTCTGTAGAGAAATCCAATGTTGATCCTTTTAAAAGTTGAAATGATACTGCGTCAACTAATACACTTGGACCATTGTCTTTATCTGTGACACTAAATCTATAATCATCTTTCTCTATACTGTCGTCAAAGTTATCTAACAAGTCGAGCTTGTATTGATATCCATGACAACCACCACTTTCAATCGCCACTCGTAAGGCTAATTGAGTATTTCCTTCTTTGTTTGATATTCTTTCTAATTGCTATAGTTTCTAATAAGATAGTGTAACTAGTTTGAATACTGCCACTCACATTACTCGCAGAATCCGTTATCGTCAATTTCATCAATTCGGTTGGTAATACTTCGACATCTAAACCCTCTGATCTTTCCTTTTCTAGATAACTAGGCTCTGGGTATCTAATTAACTTCGATAATGGTCTCGTTTGTCTATAATTTCTAGCTAAAGCTGCTAAACTCCTCAATCTAAATTGACCAATCATCATCGTTCTTATCTAAAGAGTGCATTATGTGATTTATTTTAAAATTATTTTATAAACAACATAGCTTTTTATTAGGTTTTGATTTGGTTGGGTTTTTCATACTTTCACCTAAGCGTAATAAAGCTAGAAAACTTTCATCTTGTTTACCGAACGCAAAGGTTAATTGGTAATTAGAAAGATTTAATCCTTCTTTTCACCAGTTTCTTCAGTTGGTTGTTCGGTAGCTTCTTCTTGCTTTTCTGCGGCTTCAAGACGCTCCTTTGCAACCTTAACGGTGATAGTTCTTCTACCAACGACAGTACCGTTCAATTCATTGATAGCCTTCTCTTGATCAGTGCTGTTCTTTAATTGAACGAAACCTAAACCTCTTGAACGCTTTGTAACTGGATTTGACTTGTTGACAACTCTAACTTGCTCAACTTGGATACCTTTACTCTCGAATAACTCCCTCAGTTGTTGGTCTTTGTATGGAATCTTTGGCTTGTCTTCACCTTGATAATGTCTGAATGGGAGGTTGTTTACGAAAACGGAGTCGTTGAGTGGTTCACCAAGTGCCTTTGGAGGTTGGCGTTGCTGTTGCTGTTGTTGTTGTTGTTGCTTCTTTTGCTTCTTTTTGTTCTTTTGGTTGTTTGATTTTGTTTGTGTTTGTTCGTTAGATTCCTCCTTTGGGGTTGATTCAACTGCTGATGCGTCAGTTTGAGTTGACTCTTCTTTGTTGGAATCTGAGGACTTGTTTTGTGATTTCTTCTTTTGTTGCTTTCTTGGCTTTCTAGTTTTTGGTTTTGGTGCAGCAGTTTCTTGCTCAGGTGTGGAGTCATCAATTCTTTGCTCCTTTGGCTCCTTTGGTTCTTTTGGTCTAGCAATTTCAACAACGAGTGTTCTACCTTGGTAGTCTTGTCCATTTAAAGCTTTTACAGCGGTTTCAGCTTGCTCTTTTGTAGCGTAATCAACGAAACCGAAACCTTTTGAACGTGAACCGAAACGAATGATTTGAGCATCTGTGCTATTGTGATAGTTTAACTATCATTCACGTATATTTATTGTAGCTTTTACTCACATTTCACCGTGATCCTTACACAAATCCTTCAAACCATCATCTTTAACGCTAAAAGGTAAATTTCCAACGAAAACTTTTAAGTTTTGTGAAACTGTTGGTTCTGCGTTTGATTCGACGTTTTGAGTTGTTTGCTTCTCTACTTCTGACATTTTTTAATTTGACGTGGACTGGTTGAAGAATTCTGTAATGGCGAGCGTCGACAGGCTTCAAAATTATTCTCATACGTCATCTTTCATGAACACAGACCAGCTAGAATCAATAAAATTAAAGTTAACGCAATCCCTCGAGAGTTTACAAGCTTTTCAATTAGTTTTGTTAAACACTCAGATGCCAAATTGGTGAGTAATTTAGTTTTTCTTTCTGAAATACTTTAATTTATCACTATAGGGTTGAAATATTAAATAAATATAACAATCTACTTAGTCATATCCACATTTTAAACTCATTCTTAATCGCTTCACAAACTAATGAAATGAACCCGAACAATTCTTTATTAAAATCCGCTGTTTTTCCTAAGCAACCAATAAATCAATCAGTTGAACACATCTTACACGTACTTTTACGTACTAAACCATACCCTCACATTGAACAACATGAGAATGATCTCATTGATACTTTAGAGTTAAATAATCAAGACGTCACTTCAACTATAGAAGCTCACGATGAGCGTAGCAAAAGAGCAAACTCTTTGACACAGCGTATAAAGAATCAATATGATTGGAAATTGAGAGTTCAATTAGAGCAAGAGACTAGTTCCACACAACTAAACGATCAATTAGTTTCTAATTTAGCTAATTACATGTCAACTGGTACTCTAGTTGACTAAATTTAATATGCCTTCCTTTGTATTACTACTGTACTTTTATTATTATATAGCGAGAAATGTTGTGTATATGAAAAAAAGAAAACGAAAACTATAAATTCAAAAAATCAGCTTACTTGTTAATTGCCATATCTTGAACACCAGTTGAGACATCCGCCAATTCACCAGTTTCAGTCTTCTCAATAAGTTTTGTTATTTTACCAATGGCAACTGTTTTACCCTCATCTCTTAATGTGAATCTACCTAATTGTGGGTAATCATTGAATCTCTCAACACAAACTGGACCTGTAGATTCTAATAATGCAACGATCTTCTGACCCTTCTTAGCGAATTGTGGTGCTTTCTTTGATTTTCTACCTGTCTTCTTATCATAATAGTGTAATAATGCTGCAAGGTTTACTTCCTCTGCGAGTGTGTGACAGTGCATCATTGCACCATAACCAGCGCAAATAATGTTCTTGTGATCTAAAATAGCTAATTGAGCTTCAAATTGTCTAACTGTTTTAACTGGTTTTTTAGGATCAGTTAAGACGAAACCAACTTGAACGTTTTCATCATCGACACCTCTCAGCTTCAGTCTAACGTTATCACCACATAAAGCTATTGGAACTGGTTCGTCAACTTCATTTTCAATTGACATAACTTCAACTTGATCTCTATTTGGCATTAATGTTAACTTGTCATTAACCTTAAGGGTACCAGATTCAATCTTACCAACGACCATTGTACCCATATCCTTGTACTTTTCGGAGATTGGCATCATTAATGGTGCGCTGAAATTTCTATCAACCAATGGCATTGAATCTAAGAATGGAATTAAAGCTGGACCTTCAACCCAGTCAACCTTAGATTTGGAAACTGGCTCTTTAATGTTATCACCAGAGTATGCAGAAACTGGAATGTAAGTGACATCAGTTTTGAGGTTAAATCCAGAACCCTTTAAGAATGGGTTCAATTTTGTGACAATTTCATCAAATCTTGATTTGTCCCATTGTACAGTTGGTTCATCCATCTTGTTAACGACGACGATCATTTTTTGAACACCTGCGGTCTTTGCAAGAACGACGTGTTCTCTAGTTTGACCACCCTTTTCGAAACCAGTTTCAAATTCACCCTTTCTAGCAGAAATAACCAAAACTGCAACATCTGCTTGTGCAGCACCTGAAATCATTGATGGTACGTAACCTTTGTGTCCTGGTGCGTCAAGGATTGTGTATCTTCTTTGTTCGGTTTCGAAGAAAGCTCTACCAACTTCGACGGTTTTACCCTTTTCTCTTTCTTGTGGTGTAGAGTCTAATGCCCAAGATAAATACCAAGATTCTCTACCTGCTTCTTTAGCGTCCTTCTCGTACTTTTCGAGAGTACGTTTGTCAACCATACCAGTTAAATGTAAAAGCTGACCACCCATTGTTGATTTACCAGCGTCAACGTGACCACAGAAGACAACGTTAAGATGCTGTTTTGGTTGAACACCGTCTGCACCGAAAAGATCCTTAAGAGTTTCAGCATCTGCAGCAGCTCTTGATTCTTTGATGATTGTGTCTGTCTTTCCTTGAGCTGCTAATATAGCGGATTTTGAGACAGGAGTGCTAGTGCCTGAAGTGTCGTTTGATTTTGATGGTGCAGGTGAAGCTGATTTTGGTTGTGGAGTGGCAGCCTTTGGGGGCGCAGCAGCTGACGCAGGTGCAGCTTTTGGTGCTGGTGCGGCCTTTGGTGCTTCTTTTGGTGCTTCCTTGGTTGCTGCTGCTGGTTTTTCAGCTGGTTTTGGTTTAGCACCACCTAAACTGATAGACATAGACTTTGCAGGTGTGTCTGATTTACGCTCTAATAATTCCTTCGCTGATGGTTTGGCTGGTGCACCTCCGAGTGAAAGCGAAACTGGCTGGCTAGCACCGCCACCGCCGCTGCCAGACATCATTTCCATTTGCTCTTTAGCTGAGAGCCTCTGTGGTTGCTGTGGTTGCTCTGGCATTTGTGGCTGCATAGCTGGTGGTGCATATCCTGCATATCCTTGCTGAGGATTGTATGGTTGATCGTATGGGTATCCACCATAGCCACCCTGTTGAGCATATGGATATCCTTGAGTGTATTGTTGCTCCTGTTGTTGTTGTTGTTGAGCTTGAGGTGGTGTAGCCCAGGATGGGACGAAGCCACTAGAAAGATAGGTGAGATAAGCTTCAATTTACTAACAAAGTATGCCTACGATGCTGATGGATTAAAATTGAAAGATCTTGCGTTTGGGTTCATGACTGCACTCGTCAAGGAAGAATTCCCAAATTTGATATGACAAGATAATAGTGTATATAATAAATAAATGCAAATTTAATACAATATTCATATTCAACTTCATTCGCTTCTAACATCCTGACTAATTGAGAAGACGGTCTAATATCTAGGCTCCTTCTTTACCTTCTTATTCTCCTTTTCAGGACTCTGACTGATAGTTTTCCTTCTTTTTGACGATTTAAGGGGTGAATTTGACCGTGATTTTGTTACAGCGAGCTGTGAACTGGAATTGACGAATGATGGCGAAGTATTTGATGCTGTTAATGGCGACTTAACAGACATACTAGGGAATACGCAACCATTTAATGCATCGGGTGGTATATTAATTGACCAGCCTTTCGTTTCAACCAGTTGAACAAATTTGCACAGCTTGTCTGAGTTACTGATCGTTGTTGCTGACCCAACAACTATAAGCTTAGATCTCGCTCTAGTTAAAGAAACGTTTATTCTTCTCCAATCATTCAGGAGCTCTCCTATTTGGCCAGTCGTATTTGAACGACACAATGATACGATTATACAATCTTTATCTCTGCCTTGAGATTTATCAGCTGTTAGAAGTTCAACCTGATTGTATTTCTTAAGTCTCGTAGATAATTGTCGATTTTGCTGACGATAGAAGCTAATTACACCAATTTGATTTTCCAATACACCGTGATTTATCAATTGCTCGGTGATACTCGTGACCAACGCAGCTTCACCAAAATTCTCAATTAAATCACCATGTATAGTTTCCCTTGCTGGTATCTCATCAGTGTTGAGGAATGTTACACGATTACTGAATCTTATGTTAGTTTTTGTCTCATTTATGAAAAACAAAACCTACTCAGGATGAAGCACTCTCGTTAACCACGTTTCATCTTCGGATTTTTCAGACTTGATTGCATTCGGCAATTCAAGCTTTTGTTTAGCAACAGCATCATTACCACATATCAACTTGTGATCATAAACAAGCTGATTTGATAACAGCATTATATCCTCAGCCATTCTATATTGATGTGCTAAACTAACAACAGATTCAGGATGATGATCGCATAATCTCTTAAACAAGCTGACATCTAGACCGTTTTTCCTAGCATAATCATTCCGTACTAATGGAGGCAATTGATAATGATCACCGACTAGAATGAATTTTTCGGAGAACCTTATCGGTCCTAAGCAGACTGGTAGTGTTATTTGTGAAGCCTCGTCAACAATGCAGTAATCGAATTTCCTTTTTGTGAACAACGGGTGGTTCACACCTAAACAGGTCGTAGCAACTACTGGCGGATTCATGAAAAGACTGTCAAGATCGTCGATTGACTGGACTTTCTCGTCAGCAGTTAATGCAAACTTCAAAACGTCCGTATGGATTTTGCTTTTCTGACCTAATCTTAGAATATTGAAACTAGTATCTTCTAGCTTTCTAACAATGGTATCAACAGCTGAGTGGGTATAGCTAGCCAGCAGAACGCTTTTACCACGTTTAACGAGCTCGATGATTGCGGTTGCAATTGTGGTTGTCTTACCTGTACCAGGCATACCAAGTATGAGAGCATAGTCTTTGGTATTTATCACCCTATTTACTGCACTCTTCTGATCTTCATTTAGACCATTGTAAGCTTTTTCGTCGTTATCCGACATGATATCTTCGTTGTTATACTCTGGAGTTTCCAAATCCACAATCAGTTTCCTCGCGCGTTCGTTACTCTTGGTATAGAATAGACTAGCCAGTGAATCACGAACAGCTGCCATTCCAGAACCCAATTCATCCTTGTCGAGTCTGTAACAACCATGAGCTGGTGATCCATCAAGATCACTGCGACGTTCGAAGATAGCTCTATTAAACGGCGTATTCAACCCAATTGTTATATTCCTTTGATCCATAGACAAGACAAAACCTCTACCCATTGCGACAAGATCTGGTTCGATTGAAATCAAGATTGCATCTCCAACTACAATTTGAGTAGATGGAAGTGGTGAAAGATCACCCTTAGAGAAAACATAAACGAAATCAGTCTTGTACGTTGTTGTCGGTGCAATAACTACTTGGGAATCGGGTGCAGTTGACTGCCTGATTGACATGTTGCTAAAACACATCCCTTTCGCTTCACGCTCATGTCCGTCTAAAGTCCATACATGTTTTCTATATTTGTTTGCATCATCTTCTTCAATGCTAATAAGCTCTTCCCAAGCTCTGAAGAAATCCAATTGACGTGTGTTGAGATGACCGGTTTTTTCGTTGACTAATTGATGTATATCGCACTCCCTCTCATTTGGAGGTCCTTCAATTGCTTTTTTATAAAGCATACATGCGTCTACAACGAAGCAACGGGGACATCCATGCGTATTGTCAATTGTAGGTGGAAGGATGCTATCTTCGATATCTGGAACATCTTGGCTAATATCGTGGCCATTGAACTTTCTCAAAAACTTTGATGGCTCCTTACGTGTCATGTGATAGGCAAGAGTATTTCTTTTCAAGATTAAACTTCTCAATTCGTTCCTTAGAGGTGTGACTCTCGTGATTGAGTTGTCGGTAGTATACCATAACAAACCAGAGGGTAAAGTGGAGTCATAACGTTCAGCAATCATCATACTATAAAGCATAGTCTGTGCACGGTGCTCAATACCTACAGTCGTTTTACCTGTTTTGATTTCAAGCGGCATGATAACATCATTTACCACTCCCTGTGACTTAAGATTTAATGATCCTTGTACAGTAGCGTCAACTTTGCCTTTAAGTCCATATTTTGGTGACCAGATGTCCTCTTCCATTGCACAAACTTTGTTGATGGCCAGTGTTGGCGGGTCGTTATACGAACGAGGATCGTAGATCTCGGCGTTAACTTTCGGCATATCTCCAAAGTAAGTATCACCAAAATTATATACTCTCACGAGCTTTTGGATACATTCTGCAAATGACGCATCAAAATCTAGGTCACTTTCCCAGAGATCAGCAAGATAGATTCTCAAAGTTGTTCCGAGATGCTTCTTCACGTTCTTCTCACTGAAGTCACCATCATCATTGAGACAATTCTGAACAACCTCGTGAATGATATTGCCATATACGAGTGCTTTGCTTTTTTGTTCACCAACTGTACGGATTCTTTCAGATATTAATGCTTTGCGGGAGCAAAAAGCTGTGTCTGCAACTTTAGTAACTGAGATTAAGATATCTGGATGAAGAATGATCAAATTGTTCATAGCAGTAACTCTAATGGTGCGGTCATTAGATATAGGTTCCTGACTGCTAGAGGTATTGATATCGAACTCTCCTGTCACGTGTATCTTGTCATCTTGTTTGGTTGTCAGTATGTGAGAGCGTTTGATGTATCGACGAACCTATTTTGACGGGACACTCAAGCCAGTCATCGGAAAGAATGACCATGAGTAAGTCGTCTGACTTTGTACGTTTACATTTCAACCGCTGTATGTTCTTTGAGATAGATTCGAAAAAATACGGGAGACCCACCTTCTCGTACTTGTTATCAAAGTAACCATCATTAATCTCAATAACTCGTAGTCTTTCATAACCAGGGCGTGATCTACGCGTAATAAGACGTGTTGTTTTCGAATAATCTGCTTCCTCGTCGCTGAATTCCCAATTTTCTGCGTCATGTAACAAGTCAGCAATAGCAGCATCTGGTTTATCAACCTGCTGTGCAGCGTTATCAATATTATCCAGATCTTGCTGGTCAAATTCTAAATCTGAATAATTCGACGATTCTTTCCTTATCATTAGTTGTACATAGAAGTATCAAGTTAAGGTGCTGCACACTGGATTCAGAGAAAAAGAATTCTAAATCATTTTTATAGTCGTACAAATTATTGGCGCTGTGCCACCTTTGGTTGCCATGGATACAACTTTGGTGCTGTTGTGTTGTAGGTAGTGAACGCACCCCTAGTTCCAGTGAGATTTTCAACGTGTGTTTCAGCCTGTAGAGTAGTTTATTAGCACTTTATTCTATTCTATAGGCCAGACTCACTGGTCTCCAATGTTGGGTTTGGGCGGTGATCTTCTTTACAACTTCGTCCTCGTGTGGTGCGTTCAATCTTGTGTGGTGGAGCCAAGCGTGCCATTCAGAAGGCACCTGGGAGGCGTTCTCTAATGGTGCTTCCTGGGCGTAGCGAACCCAGCGTTGACGCCCTATAATTTCTATAAGCAAATGCGGCAAATAGGTAAGAATGGCTAGACGACGCACATGGAACTTCTGGCATTTCCTCCTCTAAATTCTCGTAGTATCTGTTACCAAACCTGTACAATATTAGAGTCTATAGTCCTACTAGCAAATCTACGCACTTATCCGTACCAGCGAGTCTACCAGCTTTGACGTCGACCCACTCGTTCAATTGGGCCCAACCGTCTCTCAATCCAACTCTGTACCAGTTACGCAAGTGTCTGTATAGTGACTGTCCTGACATCTTGGTTGTTCTGAACAAGATCCAATCATAATTCAGATAATAGATAATTCATAGATAATTCATAGAAAATACATAAAACTAGGCCCAATCATTTAAACTACTGTTTCCAGCCTCCGAGACTCTATTTCCTCTACCTGCGCCCCAAACATCATTCGTCAGTCGACGCTCAATTTCCTCAGCGATAGCCATGCAGGCAGTTAATCCTGGGCTTTCTATACCATAGCAGCTTATCATTCCAGGTGTATTCTCGGTGTCATGTACGATCTCAAAGTCTGAAAATTGGTTGCTCGACGGTTGATTTCTTTTAACCCTCAGGCCGGCTTGATCTGGTGAGAATCCATCTGGGTTTACGCCTGGAAGGTACTTCTGTACTGCTTCTATAACCTTTGGTAAGTTCTTCTCAGATGGTTTCAAGTGTTCTTTCCAATAGTCAATAGCATCTGATTCGGGAAGATGCTCTACGTCAGGTCCAAATTTGACGCTTCCGTCAAGGCTAAGTGTAAGGTGAGTACCTAATCCAGCCAAAGATGGTTCAGGACAAGGGTACAGCAAATGTGAGACATTTTCAACGCCCGGTCCCTTATATTGGAACCAGTTTCCTTTAGCATACCATATTTTGCGTTGCTCGTTTTCAGGTAAAACCATATTTAGCATAGTATGTGCATTTAATCCCGCACAATTGATAACACTTCTAGCCAATAACGCATCTGTCGTATCCGATCCCTCGGTTAGCATTTGTACGACATAACCGCGATCATCTCCTTCACCCTTCCTACTTACATTATCGATATTATACGGGTCTATTCTAACTACATTTGTACCATAGACGAGTTCAGATGACTCCGCATCAGTTATATCTTGTTCAAATGAATCCATTAAGCTATTCTAGTTAGAATGCTTTTATAATTACTAGATTACGCACCCATGTGAGTCTATGATACCCGTCTCTGGGCTGTATAGAGCTGCTGTGACTGATTTTGACAAGTCAGGTTCATAGTCGAGTGCTTGGTCGGCTGATATCAACTGTGTAGGTACACTGACTTCTGGTAGCTGGGTATGCGCATGTAATTTACGAAGGTATGCATACTGTGATGCTGATGTACCAATAACAAGCTGTATCATGTTAGCAAAGCCCTACGTCATTACCAACACACACTTTTCCTGTCTTTTTGTGGTCAATATTGTGTGTTTTACAGCGTTCATATAGGAGTTTACGTCCCCTAACACATAATTGAGTTTTAAGTGAATTCTGAGGGTAGCTGTACAGATATTAGCCTGACTACCGAAAGCAAAGATCATCATACTAGATACCAGCATGTATAACCTCAGAGTTACGCGAGCTCGTCTCCTCACCTGCTCTCTGATGTCTTTCTATTAAATATCTGAACCAGACGAATGAGATAAATCAGTTTAAACGGACACAGACGCACGTCGATCTAGTCGGAAATCTCTGCGATAACTTCTGAGCTACAGCGAGACCGACAACACCACCGCCAATAATGATATGGTCTACAGCCATTTCAGGCGGTTTGTAAGGAAATATCCTCTTCAGCATGATAGTAATAGTGTAAGGAAATAAAGGAGAGAAATTAATCAAAATCTACAATTAGTTCTTCATGAGATAACCTTGTCCGCTTTGAGAGTGTCAATGACTTGTTTCTTTTCTTCAGCTGAGAACATAGGTGGCTAATAGGGTGTTATATTGCGATCTTATTACGTATACTCTTCTGTACTCACTGGTGCATTACGTTCACTACACATCTAGTTAGCAACTACACTCTATTCAAAATCAACAAACTTACACTTTTGTACCACCTGGCATCAATACAGCTATCAAATGGTTAATATTTCTGTAAAATATCGCTAATAAATCTAATTCTTACGGATGTATGGATCTGGGTGCTTGCGGTATGCCAACTTTTGCTCGAATTGCTCGAGAACTTTAGCCAATTGACGTGGATTAGTTATATTTCTATTAGCTTCAAATTTGGCTCTAATTTCAATAGCGTAGTCTCTCCAGAGATCGCGACGAATGTACCAATCCAATCCTTGCTTCAAATAACGCTTATAGAGTGACTATGAGTAGTTTATTAGATAATACACTATAATACTACTAATATTCCCCACTTTGACGTATATCCTGTGGCTCGCTGAGAATGACATGATGGTCGTCGCTGCTAAGAAGTTTACAAGTCGTTTATTTAACGAATTTGTTGTAAATTAATGTGCGCATCCTATTAGAATATATATTTCACACAATTCATCCAATCAGAAGACAGCCTTTCGTCAGCCCAGAGGTTTCAGCCCAGGGCGGGAAAGAAGTCAGCGTAATAGTCGTGTAACAGTACGACGAAAGTACTATCAACTAGAATGAACCGCTTTCTCTCAAATTTGGCCTTTAATTCACCAAATCCATACGATAGCGCGATAAAGAAGGTACTGAGAACAGTAGAAGTATGTAACGACATCTACCAGGATCCTTATTCTCAAACCATGAGCCGCTCGGGAGAGTTCCTACCTCGTCTTTGGTGGTAGGTTATTAAAACTGAACGGAAAGACCATCGTCTCACACGCATTTAGCATGCTAAACGAACCTAGACTAGCATCAATAATAACCTGGTCTGCTGATAGTACAACTGTCTGTTTATTAGACAAAGATCTTTTCGAGAAGTTTGTCTTGCCCTATGTCTATAAAGCGAAAAAGTTGAGCAGCTTCTACAGACAGCTTAGAGTGGGTCTTCTTTTATATTTATAGCATTAAAGCTCAAATCATTTATCAGATTTATGGCTTCAAGCGTACAACTTCTGTAAAGGATGATGTGCGTCACAGACAAGACACTTTTACTTGCCTCAGTTGACGAATCACAGGCGGTAAATTTCAAGCATAGAGAGTTGTAAGTGTTTTCAAGTCATTCATTGCTTTATTTAACACAACTCATGTCACTAAAGCTCGCGTAACACGTCTATCAACGTGCTTTATAACATAGAACGACACGAATACTCTGAAAGAAACAAATGCAAAAACGAGATCACAGCAATATCTGCACATGCACCTTCAGAAGCTAACATATCCAGCGCACCTCCTCACCTTCCTTATATGACTGCTCCAAGCACAACAACTTTCATCAGCAAAGTCAGTATTGGAGGCTATGCAACATCATACCAAACACCACTAGCAGGAACAGCGCCAACAACATTACATGCGCCTGTACCAATTAGCCCAACTGAATATTCACCTATCCTTAATGAAGATTTTGAAGTATATGATGATGTTACCATACACAGAGAAATCTAGAGGTTACAATATTGGTTAAAGTATTAACGCGATAAAGACAATATAAATACCAGCAGCGGTCTTCTTGATACCATTACCCTATAGCTTCCAAATCTTGAATATAACACATTTCTATAATAATAAAAAAGCAGATATATAGCAAAATTATTTAACAATTTCCATTCTGAATTAAAAAGGTAATGAGCGAATAATTTAAGTCCTGAACCTAAAAACGTAGGGCATTTTGTGCCAAAAATTTCGTCCTAATGAGAAAAATTTAAAATTGTCTATCGTGTTTTAACTTATATAGCATATTTATTCGTGAGGGTTAGGGAAAGTTTCTTGAGATACTAACCTCTGGTGATTAGCAATCCTGCCATCATCATTTTGAGTAAGATCACGAAGGCCCGGGTAGCTGGCATCAGAATCTAATCTAGAATGTGGTTTCATAGTCTCGACATGATCTTGGGCTGCATCATGGAAAGTGTCATCGGAAGGTCTCTGCTTGGCATTCCCGCCTGCGCTTCGATCTCCAAGACTGGCGTAAGTTGGTGGTAATTCTGATTGTTGATGTGCGTTATATTCATTAGATAATGGCCCTCCATCAGTGTGTTGCATGATTTCATCTTGATTGGTTACTGCGTACTGTGGTTGCCTTGACTTAAGTCCTGCTGCACCTGCACCTGCACCTGCACCTACATTTGAACCAGATGCATTACTATCTATGCCACCGTAAGCAACATCTGATCCACCGGAGGTGTGAGAGTAGTGAGAGTTTGAAGAAGGCGGTGGAACTCTCCTTGCGAAAGCACCTCCTGCTGCACCAATACCCGCATTGTTCCTCATACCGTTCTCTGATAATGGGTTAAGACCAGCTTCCCTAAACTTTGAGTTCGCAGCGGTGTTGTTTGAAGTAACATTAGAGTATTGCGATGATTGACCCATTGCAGCAGCTGGTACAATGAATGGACCGCCTGAGTTGCTGTCGAATGATTCAAATGCAGAGTGATTGTGTGAGGTAGCTTCCTCAGCTTGGTCCCTAGACATTGGAAGGATTGGACCACCTGGACGCTGTGACATGTTTGATGATCCACCGTAGAATGGTGTTGGCTGATCAGAGGAACCAGCAGCACTCTCTTCGTTGCCTCTGTCTGGAGAAAATATTGCGTCGTCCATATTTGGTTCCAACTGCGTTTGTTAGTTCTTTTGAAATTCTGTTTTAAAGAAAGACACTGACCTGCTTTTTCTTGTGACGTCTGATGAAGAAAATGGCCAAAGCAAGCAAAGCTAGGGCGATCGCACCTCCAACCTATGGAATGTCAAAAACATTTTGTGTAATATAAGAAAAACTCACTGCACCACCAACTGCACCACCAATTGTCGCACCGTTGTCGCTTCCACCGTTATCATTTGATTCTCCTGGGACAGGCGACATGCTGACAGTTAAAGTACTGACAGAACCGTTTGAATCTGTGGTAGAGGAGAGGATCTAAAGTTGTTAGATAATGACATAATAATTGAAAACTGCTACTCACTGGTGTAGAAGAGGAAGCAGATGAATCGGTTGAGGAAGAAGAGGAAGAGGTCGATGATGAATCGGTGGAACTGGATGTGGTCGTGTCAGTGGAACTGGTCGATGAAGAAGTGGAGGTTTCTGACGTCGAGCTAGAGCTGGTACTGGTGCTAGAACTAGAGCTGGTACTAGAACTTGTGCTCGTCGGTGAGCTCGTATCGGATGTACGGGAACTCGATGTAGACGACGCACTAGAGCCCGTGCTCGTGTCAGATTGGGTGGGAGAGGAAGAACTGGAGACTGACGTTTCTGAGCTAGAAGTAGAGCTAGAGGAGCTACTAGAAGTGCTGCTAGATGTATCACTAGAGCTTGAACTTGAAGTGTTGGATGATGAGCTGCTGGTTGGACTGGATGAGCTGCTGGATGATGAACTGCTCGTTGGAGTGGAGGAGCTGCTGGACGATGAACTAGAGGATGAGCTGCTGGTTGGTGAGCTACTAGAACTGCTTGAATTGCTGCTAGTAGGGCTCGAAGATGCCGAGGAGCTCCCGGTGTTGCTGGATGATTCACTTGAGCTCATTGTTGGGCTTGAAGAAGCTGTGTTAGTATTTGAGCCCGTGGCTGTAGAGGACATCCTTCAGTTTCTATGCGCCTTTTATTCGATTCTGATGATGGACGTAGATCACGAAGGGCTGTGTAACGTATACGCGGACAGAAAATTTCAGACCGTCCCTACGGATAGCTCTAAATGGAGGGGTATCTTTTAAAGATACACGCCTTCCAGTTTGACAGGCACCCGGGATCTAGAACATTTTTTCCCACTCGTTCTAATCACATTTTGTGTACAATATAAATAACATTCATTTTAGTTTCTACCATACTTCTTTGCAATGAAAGCTACAATACCAATGAGTGCACCCAGTTTGACACCCTTCTTTGTTAATCTGCCCAAAGCATTGATAACCGATTCTTGACCGGGCTTCTCAAAGTCTATAGGCGCGCGAACAGCTTTACGTAAAAACGTCAGCTTACTTTCAGAGTATGGCGGGTATCTCTTAGTGAATAGGAACTCCAACCACGTCTTGCTTCTCAAAATAGATCTCTCATACGTAAACAAGTCGAAGGTACGCTTGTCGTGGTAACTACCGTGCCCTGATTCACCGACACCTCCAAATGGAAGCTCAGTCACGCTTACTTGCATAATGGCCTCATTCTGTACCGCCGAACCCGAGAGTGTTCCTGAGAAGACCTTTTCGCGGACCTGGTCACTTTCAGTGTAAACATAAAGCGCAAGTGGATGATCACGGTTCCTTATGAACTCGACCGCCGCATCTAATGATGGTACGGTAACTATAGGCAAGATTGGACCGAAGAGTTCACCCTCCATTAAAACGTCATCAGCCTTGACATTTTTGACGATCGTCAGAGCGATGAAATTATCTGATGCGTCCTTGTCGCCTCCAATTACGATATCACCCTTCGTCTTGTCAAGAAGTCCTGTCAGACGACCAAAGTGACGACTGTTGATGATACGACCAAATGAATCTGAGTTGCGGATACCTTCTGGATAGAATTGTTTGTAGACCTGAATTAACATTAGCTTCGTATTTCTTCCAATTATGTTATATTTGGCCTACCTTTTCAAATGCAGTAATCAACTTGTCTTGCATTTCAGGCGTACAGAGAACGTAATCAGGTGAAACACAAGTTTGTCCAGCATTTGTATGCTTGCCCCATAATAAACGCTTAGCGATAACGTCCAAGTTAGCATCGTCTGCAACGACGGCTGGAGACTTGCCACCGAGTTCTAGTGTGGTTGGTGTGAGATGTTCAGCAGCTGCGTGCTGTACAATTCTACCGACTGTACCGTTACCAGTGTAGAGGATATGGCCAAATTTCTGTTTCAAGACTGCAGTGGTCTCAGGCACAGCGCCATTGACGACACGAACAACTTTTGGATCAAGGTAAGTGTGAATAAGCGAGGAAATGGTTGCTGAGAAGTTTTCTGACAATTCTGATGTCTTGATCATTACAGGCGAACCACTAGCAATAGCACCAACCAATGGCTCAATAGTGAGTACTAATGGGTAGTTCCAAGGTGATATAATCAATGCTATACCTTTCGGCTCGCGTCTGACCTGTGGACCGAGGAAGCTGGCAGGGAATTTGGCTGAAACACTGTGAGGTGCTGCCCATCCTCGAACTTTGTGTACAGCATTTATAGCGCTATTAATACAACTAAATATCTCAGTGACATATGCTTCTTGTCTACGCTTGCCGAGATCTGCTTCAAGCGCTGACTGTATTAAGTCAGAGTTTTCATGAAGCATATACGTCAAATTCTTCAAAGTCTCTACGCGTTTTTCAATGTTAACTGAATAGCCCTCTCTGAATGATCTTTCGAGATCATCGTGAATCTGTAGAAGAGTTAGAAAATGCTTCAACCTCCACCGAACACATTCAGTCGCCACGAAACAGGGTCGCATGGGAATGGGCTCTGCGAAAAGCAAAACCTACCCTAATTATCTCTGGAATAGGTGTGTATTCTAATTTTGTCATGACCGTTATAGTAGAAGATAATAATTTGGCGGAGCTTTTCAATACGTCATTCACCGTCTCGGCAAACCAAAGTTTCATGGCGGACATTAATTTATTTGTAAAACAATCCTGCGCTCTCGTATGTGCGAGACGTACCTCTAGATGATATTTTTAAAGTTCTCCCGAAACATACAAGACATTAATATAAAAACAAAATGTGACAGGCAACTCCTAATTCACGCTCGGCAATTTTGACATGTTCTGATCGAAAGTGAAATTTTCGCAATATAATAATTGCTGTGTCACGGATTCACCGGAATGTAGTACCTTTGAATTCATTCCAAAGCTACATATAATTACAATTCTGCAGACCAAATACGCTTAGACGATCGCTCAGCAGGACACAAGAGAGGTGTACAATAATGATACATAGTAGATTAAAAATGCTTATTTAGTTTTCGCCCTACTTCTTTTTGCACCTCTTGTCACTGGCGCTTAGTAGCTTCGCCTATATTCTTGGGTACCTCTTTATCCTTTTTGGTGGTTCTTCACTTTCATTCCAGCTACCCTGATAACTCCAACAGATCTCACCTTGACCTCGTCTTTCTTAATGTTCTTGTTAATGTATTTTCCGTCAAGCCTAACGTCTTCTATGTGCTTCTTTTTATGGTCTTTACTGTACTTTTTGATTTTCGTAACCTTTCCGTTCAATTTCTTCACTCGTTCACCATATTCCTTTGCTTCATCACTGTCTTTCTTTTTCTCGTTCCCGCCATTACGGGAGGTGCTTTATTTGGATGGTGAATGTCGTTTTCTTTCTTAATTCCAACATACTCCTTTGCATTTCTAAGACATGCTTCGAGCATCTTCTCATGCTTCGCGATGTCTTCTCGGTGGGATATACTGTCGCCTTCGCACGGAGGAATTGATATAATATTATAATTGTGTGGACTTTAGCAAGTGTAAAAGTGTGCAAGTTATACAGATTCATATTGTAATCTACCACGGAGGATGCGACCGACGTTCGATTATGGCATTCAAGCAGCGACTGAAACAATGAAGACGACGACAATCAATCTTACTTTAGAGAGATCGAGATACATTTCTATAAATTGTAGAGGACTAAAATGGTACAACTACTCTTCTTTATATCTTAATTGGCTGTTGCTTTCCTCATTTAACTGACATAGAGCAGTCATTGGTTATAGGAGCGATCTTGGAAAATTATCCACATTCACTAAATTTTCAATTTATCGCAGTTTGGTTGCGCTTATTATCAGAGGTAACTTGGCTAATAAGAAAAAATATGAACAAAAAGAAACTCTCCGAGGTGGGCTCGAACCACCAACCTCTCGATTAACAGTCGAACGCGCTAGCCAATTGCGCCATCGGAGATCTGAACTGCACAAAATTATCGTTAAATATAAAGTTCATCCAGCTATAACGTCATTTATTTATGATAAAAAATTTGCATCTTCTATTATGAAATATTTATATGAGTATATTCTTTGATTAATAAATAGATCAGTACACTGAGAATAATTATCTACGACAGACAATAAATGCTTGCAGTCCAAAAGAGATAGAGTCAACGAGTTACTTGCGGGGCAGATTATCTTGTGGAATTAGGAAAAAAAGTGTCTGAGCTATATAAGCTTGGCTTATTCGTTTCTTCAAATATAATGAATACGATAATCTATATCTCTTCAGTATACATCCCTTCCCTTACCGCTAGAATCTCATTGTAAACGCAATACTTAAAGGTACATTTGCCATGAACCAATCCAATTGATTCCTTAGATCAGAAGTCGCTGCTCTTTCGATGTCTTCCTTTGGATGATATTCCCAATTTGACGCTTTAGCACATACTTGTCTTTTTAGTATCCTGTCATTATGGCCAATAAAGCATCGACTCTATACCGTTTTGAGGTAACATATCATATTTGACCCTGAGCCACTATGGTACTATCTATTTTTGATGACAACATCACATTTGATAAACTCGTTGAGGCCATACTTGTAAAAGATATAATTCGTGTGTTTATGCAAAAAACTCCCTTTTCTGATTTACTGTCTCCATTAAATTAAGGCGGACACATGTGGCTGTAATTGAATGGCCTAGTCTCGTGGAGAACATCTTCATTTATCTCGATAGAGTCAAAGCGTACTTTAGATATTAGATATGGCGAGTCTGAGGATGTGATATAATATACAAGGCACGTTTAATATAGAAGGTTTCGTCTCTTATGTGATGACGCTATGATCATAAAAATGTTTCATGAAGCCTGTTGGACAGGTTTACGTCGCTTAAAGTCTCTACGATAACATTAGTTGTTCGCATATGATTCCATAACTAAGAGTATGAAAGGAAAAAAGACACAAATAATGGATTTAGGTCCGTACTATCAATTTTAAGTTTCAATAAAAGTTAAGAACGATTATAGATTATGATGCAAACATTCTGATAAATAATGCAGAGTTCTATACCCCAAAGTAAAGAATTGCTTAAGATAAATGGTAACCACATCAATGAACTTACGAAAACGACGTATACTTGATGGTAAGGACGGCCATGCAATGTTAAGACGCATCACACAGCCATAGTCTACATTAAATACACCAAAATTTACCCAAACATCGCACTAATTGTTCAAGAGGCATTTCATGTGTAATTGCAGAAGAGACCTCACCTATGTGAAACATCTCAACAAGTCGGAGTACTCACAACCAGCTGACCGCTTGGTAGAAATAATACACTGGGCACAAGTAAGCACAAGTCAAAAACCAGAATGATACAATAAACTAGGTTGATATTGAAGTCTTCGATGCCCTAAGGTCCCCTCAATAGTAACCGCGGCGAGGTTACTCGTGAAATACAATCCAGAACTAGAATACAAACAGGTCATAATAGAACATTCTATGGCATCTAGAGTAAAACCGCTGTCGTACATATGGTTTCATGTAAAAATGGAAAACTAATTTTCAAATTCTATGTAAACAATTGATAAGCTTTCCAACTAAAGAATAAAAATACGAGATAGAAAGGATTTTTCTATAAATCTTTTTAGATAGGGTACATCAGTAGGAGTCCTTTGATAGGTACTATTATATTACAGTTCTAAAATAATCTCCAAAAATCATTTCTTTAAAAAATTATGAAGACCCATATTATGAATGCACTATGTATGTCTTAAATGTCTACAATCCTATTACAAGTGGTGTTTGGACTATCCCTCTCTGGAGCTCACCGTACTCTATCGATGAAAGTAAACAGAAAGGCCTTAGAAAATAGAGGAGAAGATGGTAGTGAGGAAATGATTCCTGTTTGGTCCTCAACAGATCACGTAACACAAAGGTGCATGGGGAGAGCTCTTTCTGGTGTCGGAGCTACTCTTGCTCTTCTCCTAGTAAAGGTATAACCGAAGTAGCTCATAGGAGTGCTACTTGGATCGTTCAAAAGCTGTATTTGGTTATGACAGAGTTATGGAACCTACAGAAGTGGGGACAATACCATGATTGTGTATGAGAATGGTAGAGAAGTGAAAATGTACGACGTTAGATATGACAGATCTGAATGCAGCTCTACAAGCCGATTTATTTAGTAAGGTTTTTGTTACAATTAGCATTTACTACGAAGATACATGATGGAGGTGGCGGGTAGTGTTGCCAATCTCACAATGTCGTTTGCTGCTTCAAATCAACTTTATTATAATAAGCATCAACATATAATGGAGATTCACATTAGTTACATTAGTTACTTCAACCAAGCGGGTACTACTCATGTTGAGCTCGATCAACTACGTATGGCTGAAATAGTAACTAATACGCTTGCATATATCACTTCTAATCTTGCTTCGTCTACTGAATGTAGGACAAAACAATGGTAGTAAATGTAATAGGTATATCGCTGAGAAGAAGAGGTCTCCGATGACTGCTAGGAGATGGACACAAGACCGTCGAGCTCGTACAGCTAAATTCAAACATGCAAAATTATAATTGAAAACAATGGAACGCTTCACTTGCACCTCTCTAATACCGAACTGTTCAAGAAAGGGGGCATGTAAGATTCAGGAGTAACATTCTTATCCATCCTCATCAATCAACCGTTTCATTTTTTATATAATTCTGAAAACTATAATGTGGATTTGTAAGATTGCGTAGTTACTTCTGCATATAATTGATGTATACCATGAAAATTTTTCTGCAACTTTTGGACGAGAGTCTGGACAAGCCAGAATATATATTGGTAGACGCAAAGTTTGCGTAGATCTCCGATGGCGCAATTGGCTAGCGCGTTCGACTGTTAATCGAGAGGTTGGTGGTTCGAGCCCACCTCGGAGAGTTTCTTTTTCCTCAGTTATTTGGGACATGTTTTTGTCCCAGTAGAATTCAACTTGTATTATAAATTCATGAGTGAAGTATTTCACTGATTGATTTTTAACGGACGAGCTGCTTGCACCATCAGGTCAACTCTTAGTAAGTGAATATGACAAAGACTCCAGCATTTACGCTACTCATAAGCTGGAAACAAGCATGGCCTTGTTGGCCCAAGTACTTTTTACATGTATAATCCATATATCATTCGTATAATTATTTAGAATGGCCACTATAACTTCATTAAGCCACGCTAATATCGCAATCATAGGAAATTTGGTCTTAAAGCAAATCATGAAGATTCTGCTGCTCGGCATCTGAAATATTTCAGTGACCAATTAGACCCATGAACAAGTGCTACTGGAAATGCTAAACATTGTGTTTCGAAATCATTAGAAGAATCTATGTTTAAGAACATATGAAGAGATACATAATCTAGTTGATGAGGAAAAGACTATAGGAAAGTCATTCAGACGAATTATTCGAATGAATCCACACCATGAACGTGTCGCTAATAAAATAGGTGTACTTGTTCCATGACAAAAGTGTTATTGCATCGCATTGCAAGTAAAAAGTAATATTATTCAAGGTCCATGGTTCTCCAGCTAAGAAGCATCATCTCGGCAATATTACTGCCAACGAAACATTCAAAAAGAAACAATACGACAATTGTTATTACTATGGCGGCTTAAGTATTTGCAAAGATGTCTCATTTCTATAAAAAAAAGTCAAGTAACTCTGATAGACAGATTGAGAAAGCAAAAGCAATCACCATCGTACTCTTGGAGGGGCTTTCAGAAGTTAGGTAGCTTAACACACAAGCAGCATTAGATGTACTATGATAGGCTCAAGATGAAACCTGAGCTTTTTGTATTGCTAAAGTCAAACCACGAAAGAATTAAGCAATTTGAATATTCCTTGAGTCTTATTTAAATCAGCAAACCTAAAATGTGTTTTATTGTTCTCCAGGCTTGGTGCTTTATCAGGCCGCGTCACTCATCTCCTTGATTAGCTACATTCATCATGAGTGATTCCTATAGTTTCTCACTTACGACATTCTCTCCATCAGGTTAGTTTGTATATTATTACGGCTGTCATCTTCCATTTGAAGCTCTACACATCTTCATTTCTTGATGACAGCAGTATTAGTAGATGATACTAACAATTTCTATAGGACAACTCAAGCAGGTTGATCATGCCTTAGCTGCTGTAGCTCAAGGTACTACTAGTTTGGGAGTAAAGGGTGAGAATACCAGTTTATACTCTTTACAATAACTCATCCTGTACAGCTTCAAATGGAGTAGTAATCGCAACAGAGAAGAAGCAACCAAGCCCATTAGTTGATGATAGTATGCTTGAGAAGGTAGCACTCATTTGTCCAACTATTGGCTGCGTTTACTCCGGAATGGGACCAGATTACCGTCAACTCGTAACTGCTGCAAGGAAATCCGCCCAAGCATACTGGAAAATGTACAATGAATACCCACCAACGCGAGTAATGGTATCAGAAATAGCAACTATTATGCAAGGTGCAACACAAAAGGGTGGTATGAGACCGTACGGTTGTTCACTTTTAGTAGCGGGATATGATAAGACGAGAGGTTCAACACTCTATCAAGTAGACCCATCGGGATCATATTGGGCATGGAAAGCATCTGCAATGGGAAAAAATATGGTAAACGCAAAGACATTCTTAGAGAAGAGATATAATGATGAAATATCACTTGAAGACGCAATTCACACTTCATTATTAACTTTAAAGGAAGGATTTGAAGGACAAATGACTGAGAAGACAGTTGATATTGGTATCATACAAATACCTAACGAGTGGGATACAAAGAATCCACCAGATGCATTAGCTGGTGACAAAGCAGGACACTTGCCTGGTATGCCTGTATTCAGAAAATTAACAGAAGAAGAAATAAAAGACCATTTGACGTTGTAAATAATTAAATATGCATTCTAAATATCTTGTTAGTTGTACATCATCATGAATAGTATACAGTCCCAGAAGAAGCTGCTGGATGGTATTAACAAAGGACAGAGCGATATAATAACCCTTATTGATGATGTACAAGACAGAAACTGGTTGAAATCCCTAGCATTAAGCGCCGTTAGTTACTCTATTGATATTCAGAAGACACTTATTGAAGGCGCTATCAAATATAATGAAGGAAATGTTGAACTGGTGGATAGAAAAACTAAACTAGAATTATACGATATACTCAGCATCTCTATCAACCCAGTACAAGAAGATGATGACGATGACGATCCTTGGAATAATGACGAAGAAGAGAAGGAACCTGGCGAACAGCAACAGGTGATAGAGCTGCCAAGGTTTCTTATTATGCCACCTGAGAGACTGGCTCTTGAATTCGCTGCAAAGGGCGAAATAAACAGACTAAACGTGCTACTCGATAAATACCCAGATACGACCAACAAATATCAATTTGCTATACTCGATGCAATACCAATCAGTGTACCACCAACGGCTTACTTGAATATATTACCTTCTGATGAGCAAGTCACTGATTGGTATATTAACAGAGCAACAAGGATGGACGCCGTTGGTAGGCAACTCGATAATGCTCTATCACTTATTCAACATGGAGCTGCGCGCGGTGTACTAGGACTAGATAAGATTGGTGAAGATCTTATCTTACTTTTAAGGATGGCAGAGTACAATCATGCTGTTGGATTAAAAGATCTTCAAAGTATGTCCTATGACGATTCCATTGAAGCTTATATGATCGGATCTACCCCTCAGGATTTTTCAACAAGGATAAAGAAAGCAATTCTACCATATTTGTATGTCCTTGAATCACAAAACGAAAGAGATACTGGAATAGTTGACAATGAGTTTCACGAACGTTTACTCACCGACATTCTTCTTAATGCAGGCGTTACAAATGTTCTCAGTATTTTGGAAGCCAGTAGACCTGATTTAAGTTTAAGTGAGAGAGTACTCAAGGACGACAAATATGTCGTAGCTTTAGCCCTAGCTGCTATTTACACAAACGATCGCTCTGATATATTGGATATAATTCAACGCGTATTCGAATGTATGCCAGCATGGGAGGGTGGATCTCCAACCAGACTTCGAAATGTCGTGGACTTAAAGAAAGGAAGTGCTTCAGCTATTGTGCAACATTTGAAGAATCTAGAAATAGCAGATTTAGGCTCACTCCTGGATCATTTGGATATACACATAGAATCATTAGAAATATTAGCGAGGTGGTCAATAAATATATCTCTCCTACAGCTAGAACTGTCAGATTACAATCAACAACTCAACTGGGCAAAGACATTGACACGAAGGAGTGTTGGTGTGTTAGGGGAGAATATTGAGAGCGGATCAGAATGGGAAGCCCTCTTAGATGACATGGTGAAGCTATCTGACAACGAGGATGGCCGAGCTCTTGGCTTGCTAGAGAATAATGTCGTCGTGAAGACTTTCTTCAGTGGATTGCTTAACTCTGGTAGTGAGTCTAGCGAACTTGATTGTATCAATCAATCTAACAAGCTTACAGAATTCGAGTTAGCGAAAGAGTTACTATCATCTTCAGACTCGGCACTCAGTTCATTGGATAAGAAGGTAGTGACAGATATTGTTTTGGAGACTTCGCAAGAGTTCTTCGATAATGCAACAGATGGGGATTTGAGTTACGGCTACATGAAATTGTCAAACGATGTTTTGGATGTGGATCAGGCGAAGTCGCAGACGATAACATCACATAAGGAATTTATCTGGGCAACCTCAAAATTATGCTCGTACAACCTGAAAAATATCGAAGGAATGCAAATTACACCACTGGAAGTCAGATTGGAAAGCAACAAAATGGTATTCATCGATAAATTACTCAATACTCGCAGAGATGGATACCAACATCCAGACAGAATAATATCGCTAGCTGTAGGACTGGATGATGCATTGAGATGCAATAGTAAAGGACAAGTAGACGTTTTGTCAAGAATTATAGATGCTGCTATAAGGTATCAAGATTATAAAGAAGCATACAGAATAACTCAAAGTGAGGACTTCCAGCAGAAGCTGACGTTAGCTCAAGATGAGGAGGATGCACGTTGGATCTCTTATTATAAACTTGGCATTGAGGAGAAATGGAAGTCACACAATGAGAGACTAAATTGTTTAGCTCAAGCCATGACACTGTGTCCAGATACCAAGATAGACATGATCTTAAGCGAATGGAAGAAGCTAGATAGTAACCTATCGACAATGACCGTCAACATACCCGAAAAGAAGAAAGAGAAGGACGCCAGTGACGCTTTAGCCAGTATACTTTCACCGATTACAGTTGAATCACAAACGCGTAATTTGTTATCTGGTGGATTGCGAGCTTTAAAGAGTGTTGGCAGCGTTGCGAGTGCGTCAACAATGTCAAATTCATCGTCACAGGTGCCCTCCTCTAGTGGACTAGCTCAGCAAAGATCGTTCAATCTAGGACTAGAGGAGAAGCTAACTAGAGGTGTCGGATGGCTGATAGGTGCAGATGAATAAAACGTAAATGAAAAAGATAATATGTATTTTTAACTTGTTCGATTAAGCTGCGATACTGAATTGAGAGTGAATGAGTGAGTATTGTATATATATAAGTGTTTTCCTTAGTAATTCTATACCCTCTCTTCTTGTTAAGTATCCGGCTACTGGCTGTCACTTCCTTAAACTGACCACTCATGTCATCGTTCATTAGACAACAATTATTAGCTAATAATATCACGAAATATACCAGAATAAGAAGCTTAAACTCAACACGTCGGCGACTGACAGAGAATGAGATTATTGCCTCTACGCAGCCGCCGCAACCGCCAGCGATGGCAACACCTTCCTTGGAATTCAATAGAGACATCGGCAAGACAGACAGAGTGTACCACCCATTCGATACTTACAAGTTCGTTACTACTTTACAAGGATACGGTTATTCTCGACGTATATCAGAGATAATAATGGTTGCGACTAGGTGAGTCTCCTTTATTACTAATAGTTTAGGTTGATAATCCTTTCAGAACGTTACTCGTACAGCACGCTTTAATAGCTAGAAGTTCGCTAATGACGAGGGAAGATATGGAGAATGTAGGTATATACGCAATATCTTGATAGATACTTACAACAGTAATAGTCAAGCTACCTTTTCAAAGCTGCTCTAACAGAGCTTCGCGTGGAATTGAGCATAAGAGGGCGTGCAGACGCCAGTGCTTTGAGGAGCCTGACCACAGCTCTCACACGCGAAGTCGACGGTTTAGAACAGAAAATGAAAGAAGATGTAGGAAGTCTCAAAGACGACATAGAATTAGATATGAACAATCGCAAAGATGAGACACAATCTGATGGCAAAGCCTTTGAAATAAACGTACAATCACTTAACAATAGGATAACAGTAGCGACAGGTGAATTGAGAACCGAAGTGGAGAGAGATAAATGGGATACGACTATTCGTGTAGTCGGTGTAATCTTCTTTGAGGCAGTCTGTATCGTCGCAGCTGTACTCCTCTCGGATCCTGAAGATGTAGCTAAACAAAAGCAAGTACAAACACGTTTACCAACTGCTGAAGAATTGGGTATTAGGCCGACTGATGATGATATACAAGAACGCGTTATATGAGGATAGTTTTGGCTTATTGTTACAATTTATCATGGTTTACGTCCCCGAGTACCCCTTGGCCGACCTCTCGATCGTCCCCTGCCACGTCCACGATGTACTTGTGGTTGCTCTTCTACCCGTTCATTTGGATCTGCTGTCGCGTAGACTGACGCCATTGATCCGAGTTGCATATCCGCCAGTTTGGAAGTGAGTTCGTCTTCCTCCTTTGTGGTGTCCTGTTTGTCTTTTTGTGCGATAATATCTGTATCAGCAGGTTGTTGGAGAATAGCATCATCTTTCTTCTCCGTCTTCTTCTCAGTCTTCTTCTCTGGTTTGTTCTCAGAAATAAGTGATTCTAATCCCTGAATGATGGTTTTTTTGTCTGTTTCTTGCTGCCCTGCTATAGTGTTCTTATCAAGTTGCCGAGGTGAGGATGGTAGTGACCCAGGACTTCTATAGCGACTTTGAGGTGGTTTATATCTTTGTATATCTTCTACAGGTTGAAATCCTGGTCTAACTTTTCTCTCCTTCCTCACACTTGAGTGTATCAGCTAGAAGTACACTCTAGTTGCTATACCCACCTCCCGTCAGCTCTCACACTTTGTGGAATAGCACGTTCACCATCTTCCCTATCGACGATCCCAGCAGCGCTCACTACTGGTGTTGATCGCGGTGTTGTCGTCATGGTTGCAGCAGTAGAAGTGATACCATATCATTTTGGAAGAATAGTAGTGAGTTGTTATTGCAGTAGTTTAAAATACAATCTGACATGAAAGATCTTAATAGGTGGTACTTATAGATAAGAATACATATTGCTAATGTGATAATACATTTCTATTCTAATTTATTATCACTCTTTGATAAAGCATCCGCTATTACATCTTCATTAAGCGTGCTTCTGTATTCTCCATCTGGGGCACCTGTTAGCAAGCTATAATGGTTTCAACGACACTCACAGAAAGCTCTCCTGTAATTCCTATACCAGCCAAGATCATAAACCTTGAGGTCAACTTTAAACACTCTGTCTTCTACTTTGAAATACTCATTTGGTTCGAGTGTCTTAAGGGATCGCAAGAGTGACGAATTTTCTGGATCCTTTTTGAGTTTCTCGGAAATCTTGTTTATGTTAGTTAGTAATCCCTAAAACACGGCTAACTTCCACACCTTCTTATGCGATTTCTGCCTTTCTATGTCAATACTTGAATGAGCGGATAAAACACCCTTCAAAACCGTCCTGAATAAAGCGATTGCGACTATACTAACAATAACAGCGAGGAATGCGACAAGTGTGACATCGAATCTCACATCTAATATACGTCTATTCGATCCTGAGCTACCATACTTCCAATAACCTAGCACGTAACGTATAAAACGCGAACCTATTGGACCAGGAGGGTAGGAATACCATCTATCCCAGAATACATTTCCTATCCATTCGTCAGATCTGGAGAATAATCTTACATGTTTGAAATTCGCAATTAATTGTCGAAGAATTGGTATTGATCCGCATAAAGTGGTGAGTGGCATGAATATACATGCTCTAAGGAAAGATAGTATCGTGCTGCTTGATACACAGCTATCAAACCAGGGACACTACAAGTGATCAGAATGTCAGAAAGAAAGACAAACAATACACACGTGATGGTCGAAATCAATTCTGTCAACTTGGCAATCGCCGCAGTGACGTGATCTAGCTGTGAGTTTTTCTTAGATAATTTCATTAAATAGAAGACACCCACGCTGTTTGAGTTTACCATTGCAGTTGTCCCGATAGCAGCGGCGTATTGTTCCATCAGATTGACAAGCTCTGTACTTCCCATTGAATAGTATTTCCTCAGGTGGTGGTGCTGAATGGTCTTTGTTCGTGAATACCGTCTTATAGTAGGATTGCATTAGAGTTCCGAATAAGACATTGAAAGTACCAGCATAAATCAAGTTATACGGTGATTGTAATATTGGAGTTATTTCGAATATACATATGTGATAACCCTTTCTTTCGTCTACTTTGAGTGATACAGTAGTCTAAAATAATAAACTCACGCAGCTAAGAGAGACAAAAGGATGACCGAGCATTTACCAAGTATGTTATTGAATCTATACGTCATTTATCGTCTAATAACACTTTGAACCGCAACTATCACAGGACATGGAGGAAGCTCAACAAGAGAATGAAACGATAAACGCGAGAGAAAAGTAAGTGAATTTGTCTAATATACGATACTCTTAACGTATATTCAAGGTTCGACGTCGAGAAGCTACGCCCAATCATGCGTAGAGTACTCAACGCAGAGCTCACGAACGCAAGTTATGAAGATCTCGATAAGGAGAGTACAACGAGAATAGCACACAAGATAAAGCAAGCGATGTTAGAGATATCACCAAGCGACTACAAGTACATTGTTTTGGTGAACGCATCAAAGAACAACAACCAAGGTGGAAGAGTTGACGCGTCTATGCATTGGGAGATGGATGCCGATACATTTGTACAAGATATTTATCAAAGTGTAAGTAATTTCGTCATCATTTGACTTAATTGACGTAAGAATAAAGGATTTATTGATCTGTAGCTCAATAGCATTCGCAATTAGACTCTAATATACCATCTAAAGCTCTCCGTTGAGAATCGCCTCGGTTTTATCGTCATGCGGCCACCACGATGGGATAGATGCGTTGACTTTATAGCGACCACCGTTTTCCGTTGTTACAAACATATCCTCTGATGCTCTCACTAGCATTTCTAATCTAAATAAACCAATACCGTCATAGCTGCCATCTGTGTTTGCAATGCCTGTACATAACTTTCCTGCTTGTTTTGGTTTCTTGATAGTAGGTAACTGCGCGTAGATATTTGTCATTGGCGCTGGAATCCCGCTGTTCAGTAATTAGCAGGAGAGCGCTATTTGCAAAAACACTCACTCTGGATTTCCATCAAGTGGAGTCAATTTCATAGGCAAAACACGCTTTCTAACAACACCTGTGTGATGAGTGCGTATCGTAAGTTCTTGTCCTACGTAGCAACCTTTACGGAAGTTTACACCGTTCATGTAATCCAAATTACACTCTAAAGGCAATGATTTATCGGGCCATATGTCATCTATACCCTCTGGTATACCCAATTTATATCGATCGCGAGTGTATTCCTCCAAAGAATTACTTTGTGTGTGCTCACAAGTCGAAATGATACGATTAGCGAGCGAATTAAACGGTGATGGAATGCGTGGATCTTGCATACTGGCTATTGAATCATTTGGTATATCATTACTAGCATAGACTGTGGCATTATCCATCTTATGTAATCTAACTTTCGATCGAAGTTGGTACTTCTTACAAAGCGCTAAAACGCTATCGGATACCCGATTGTCTACTTCTAAATAATAAGAATTGTTGTCGTATGGGTAGATGAATGTATCATAAAGCATTCTACCTTGAGGTGTTAAGAAAGCAGCGTATCTACCACCGTCGGACGGAGTTGGTATAGTTTGTGTACAAATACCATTAAGGAATTTAATGCTATCTAATCCAGTTAAATTTAATACTGAACGTGGTAACGGTATTTTCATTCTGGCTGCTTTGATAGTAAACTACCAAGAGTGATGGGCGCATGTGGGAAGCTTCGTGATTTGTTAGCCGATTGTCTGAGTAAATCTGAATGCTTAGCTTCAGGAAAGACTGCACAAGAGTGTTTAAGAGAAGGTCAAGTACCAGAGGAGTGTCAACAGCTCAGACTGGCATATATGGAATGCAAACACGATCTAGTTGAGTATTATAGTAAAACAATGAATAATTTATGTTAATGAAAACAGTTGGATGCAAAAAAGAGGTTTAGAGGTGTTTCTGGTGGCGGAAATTAAAACTCCTCATCGAAATCTCCATCATCAAGGTCCTAGTTGGTTTATTAGTGTTATTCGATTATAGAAATATCTTCCACTCACCGCTGGCTCATTTGGCTCCTCATCTTCACCATATTGTATTGAATTATCTATATGTGACAATAAATTTTCTACCGTATCCTCATTTGTAATATCTAAAGGTATAAATTGAATTAGATTATGATCAGCTATTAAGTCTACTATTGATTTGTTTAATCTATGAAATTTTTCATTTGTTGTTGTATTTATCTGATCAATGAGGTCTGGATCAGGTTCTAAGAACCTTTCAAGGTCTTTCTTCTTTCTACCTCTAGTGACTACATTATCGTCACCAATGAGGTCCATTTTTGTCATAACATTTATGTGAGGAACTTCCAAGTTAATCATTGCAGATGTAGCAGATAAGACACCAGCGAAGTATTTTGATATATCATCCATAAATTGCGACTCTAATAAATAAGCAGCAGCAACCTTTATATTCAATTTCGTTAAATTTTCTATCAAAATTTGCATCAATGGAAAGTGAGTGTATAGCTCAATTTGGCCTGGACAATCGATGATGAGGTAATCATCCTCGTATTCACCTAATTGCTCTTCCAACCAATCTAAGTTATTCATTAGATATTCAAAGCAATAGATTAATCCACCATTTGGACCCAAATTGAGTTCATCCATGACATCCTCCAAACTTATGAGGTCTCTAACGTCAATTTCAGGTTCAATATCAAAGTTCTCAGCAGCAGGATCTAAATTGAATAAATGTATATTCCTATTCTTCGCGCTAGCGTGCTGTATTAAAGTTGAACATAACGTAGATTTACCTGCACCTGCAGGACCAGAGACTAATAAAGCGTATTTACCCCTAATGAGTAATTATTAAAATGATATAATAAATTAGATTTTTTATTTACATTCTCACACACTTGAGCTGAGATGACGGTATTGGATAAGAAACAACTTCTTAGTAAACAATCAAGATAAAAAAATGCAGACACCAGGAATAAGAATAGATGGAAATGATCCTGTGAACACATTCCAGCCAGCTGAATTGGACGCACTCAACCCAGAGACATTTCAAGCGCCTGTTGGTGAATACCCTATCATCAAGATAGAGTACTGCGATAGGTGTAGATGGCAGCCTCGAGCACAGTGGTTGACGACTGAGTTATTGTTGACGTTCCCACCACCAACAGTACAATCCGTCAGTCTCGTCCCACGTAATTTAGAATCTACGGCTGGTAGATTCAGAGTTTGGTTGTTTGATAGCGACAACAACCCACCAAAGCTACTCTGGGATAGGAAGATCAAGGGTGGATTCCCAGAAGCTAAGGAGCTGAAACAGATCGTTAGGGACAGCATAGCCCCTGGAATGTCGCTTGGACACTCAGATAAGAAGTGAATAATTGTATAATTGTATTCAAAAGGAATTTATGACTATTTTATGACTACCAACTGGCTTTATGTACACCTTCTAATTCATCCCTCAGTGCTTGTAATCTAAATTGGAATCTGGTTAATCCTTGCTGGAGACCAGCGCCTCTACCAGTAACTTTGCATCTGTTGCGTATCATCGTTGGCCTGGAAGCTGATTCCATGGCGTTCAAAGAGAGCTGCGCTTGGTGGCGTACTTGGAAAGGTAACTCTGTGTTTCTAGCGACGTATAGATAGGCTCTCCTGTGTTATAATGAGATATACACTGATAGAAGACTGCTAAGCGCACCTCTGTACCTCTTTCCTAGCGACGGTCTCTCTTCTGTAGATATCCCTTAATACCCTACTACTTGGACCAGTTGGCATATTTTATTTTATTTTCTAGTCGTTGTAGCGAATCAAGTGGACGTTATCTTGGATCTTCTCTAGAACGCTGATAGCGGGAAAATGAAAAATTATCTACCATCGCCACGCTCAACGACTACATCAACAATATTCTGCCTAACATTCTCAGCTGCGCTAATAACGACGCTAGTTGGGAGCAGCTCAGATTCTTCATTACCGCGATGCCCAGCGAAGGAAGCCCGAGAGAGGCGTGAAATTGAACTCTCTAATTCAGGAGACAGATACGCTTTATCTAATAGTACTTTTAGTTTGACTCAGCACCTATCGTCGCTATTGGGTTTTAGCACAACAAAGAAACACGAATTTATACCAGAAGTCTAACGAAGTCTAACGGATTAGTTTACCTTATATTACAGCCACTTTTGAGTTCTAAGGCGCACTACAAAGCTCACTCAGATAAGCCAATGCATAGAGAAATAATCAAATTTATCAAAAACGACACTTAGCATCCTCATAGAGTAAAATAATTGTAATATTTAACCAATTTTATGTAATTTATACGTTTTATTCCTTCTTCTATCATCACAATGACCACTGTATCAAAGTCCAACTACAAGATACACAGATCGACAGACTTCCCAAGTTTACGCAATGATTTGATATTACAAGCTGCAGCTGGTTAGTCTATAGTCTTATATAGTCCTCTTATTAACGAGAAGACAGGAAAGAAGACAGTGAGAGCACCTACATGGATAATGAGACAAGCTGGGAGGTACCTGCCAGGTTAGTATTTAACTGTACGCTATAAGCACTCACCAATACCCCCTTAGAGTTCAGAAAACTCAGAGAGTCACACTCGTTCTTCGAAATCTGTCAAACACCTGAATTAGCGTGTGAGATTACTATGCAACCTATATTACGTTATGAAGGTTTATTAGACGCTTCTATAATCTTCTCAGATATCCTCGTCGTCCCACAAGCAATGGGATTGGAAGTTCAAATGTTACCAGCCCAAGGACCACATTTCCCCGCACCTTTGGATACTCCAGACGATATAAAGCGTCTGCATGAACACGTAGATATCGACAAAGAGCTCGGATATGTATTTGAAGCTATCAGCCTCACGAGGAAGACACTTGACGGACGCGTACCGTTAATCGGATTCGCAGGTGCTCCATGGACACTTTTCGCATACATGGTCGAAGGCGGCGGCAGCAAGACATTCTCAAAAGCTAAGAAATGGTTGTTCGACTACCCAGAAGCTAGTTTGGATGTCCTTAACCGTACGACTGACGTTATCGTCAAATACCTCGTCGGACAGGTTAGAGCGGGTGCCCAATTATTACAGGTGTTTGATAGCTGGGCTAGTGAGCTTAGTCATTATCATTATGAGCAATTCTCATTGCCATTTTTAAGGAAAATTAGCAAAGAAGTACGTCAAGAGTGCGAAGAACAAGGCCTTGAGAGTGTACCACTTATCGTATTTGCAAAGGGAGTCACGCATACTGTATTACCTCTCTTGGAAGATAGTGGATACAACGTTATCGGTCTCGATTGGACGACTTCACCGTTGAATTTAAGCGAGAATGTTAATGCAGTACAGGGTAACTTTGATCCAAACATTTTGTACGCAAACGACCAAGCTATTGATGAGCAAGTAAAGGTCGTTGTTGAAGAATTTAAGAAGAGGAAGACACCAGGCTGGATATCAAACCTTGGACATGGTATCACACCAGGCGTGAAGCCAGAATCATTGAGAGTTTTCTTGGAAGCTGTTCAAAAGTATACGAAGGACTAATTTGTGTTTTATTTATTTACTTGTTTCATTGATAACAACCATTATGGTCGTGCATTCTTTTTATATTTTCAACAAGTGGGCGTCATTAGTAGATATAAGTAGCTGCTAATATGCGATCTACAGAAGCTGCCAGTGTATACATAGCCAAAGATGGCAGCACTATCAGCAGCCAGCGAAGGATTTATCTGAGGAGGAAGAGCAGAAGTTGATATTTGGTGTTGTATTCTCTTTGAGAGGTCTAGTGAGAAAGATAGCAGGAAAGTGAGTGTTCTTTCCCCTCTAAAATGTGTGATTTACTCTGGACAGCGATGACGAGCACTTCCAAACGTTCAAAACGAGTCAATATAAGCTGCATATACACGAAACAGCTAGTAATCTAAAGTTCATCTTAATAACTGACAGAGATAGTCCAAATCTGACGAAATACCTCGAGTTAATCTACGCTGGACCATACAACAGTGCGGTTGTTAGGAATCCACTGGTTAATATGACGGATGAACGTGTCACTAATGAGAATTTAAGGAAAGGTGTAGAATATATCGTTAAAAGTATAAAATAGTTTACATTATCTTCTTTACAACTTGATCTTACGTTCCATCTGGTGGTGGATGTCTAGAGTAGGAGCAGAAGGTTTCTCCATTACTATAACGCGTTAGAATTGTCTATTTTGACAGAATGAACATACCTCTGTGTACGTCAGCAAACGTGATCTGATCATCGACGCCATCTAAGACCTCCTTTTGAATGTTACGTGGATCCTCTATAGCCGGCATTGAAACATCACTAGAAGCTAACTTTCTCTCCATCATTTTACGCATTGGTGTACCTAAACCGTATGTATTTCTCTCCAATTTGAGTTTCATGAGCTGTTGATGATCAAACCAACCATCTAGACGCTGTTGAAGAGGATGCTGAGGTGCTTGATGTACTTGTGACCATTCTAAACCATTTCTGAGACTATCTGGTACGTTGTACTCTGAGTGTAGGTTATTGACGTTTGTAGTGTTCTTTGAGTGACTTGGAAGCAATTGAACGTTATTAGACTTGATAGTTATTAGAATATATCCAAATTTATTATATTTTACTCACCATTTAATATTTTCTACTTTGTGGTGACGACGTAAGCAGTTCAGAAAAACGATCAACTCTAAAATGGATAAATCTGAATTAAAAAAGATAGAAAAGAAAAGGAAGAGGGATCTCAAAGCGACTGAGAAAGCTCCAGCAGAAGAGACCGCAATCAGCGAAAAAGAAGACACTCAATTACCTGAATTACCTGAAACTAACACTGATTATCAAGATTTAACACCTGAACAATGCTCTTTTAGTAATTTAGATCTCACAGATGGTACAAGAAGTGCTATTGAAGAAATGGGCTTCTCACAAATGACTGAAGTACAAGCAAAGACTATCCCGCCACTCATGGCTGGTAGGGATGTTTTGGGTGCTGCTCACACAGGTTCAGGTAAAACTTTAGCTTTCCTTATCCCTGCTATTGAAATGCTATCAAGGTTGCACTTCAAACCGAGAAATGGTGAGCATTTTTTTGCATAATTAGACATTCACTCAACTTCTACTACAGGTACTGGTGCTATCGTTATTTCACCTACCAGAGAATTAGCTTTGCAGATCTTTGGTGTTGCAAAAGATATCATGAAAAACCATAATCAAACATTCGGTATCATCATGGGAGGTGCTAACAGAAAAGCTGAAGCTGATAAGCTCCAAAAAGGTGTTAACCTCATCATCGCAACACCAGGTAGACTTCTCGATCATTTACAAAATACAAAAGGTTTCGTCTTCTCAAATATGAAGTCACTCATTATCGACGAAGCTGATAGAATTCTTGAAATCGGTTTCGAAGAGGAAATGAGACAAATTGTTAAGATTCTCCCAACCGAGAACAGACAGACAATGTTGTTCAGTGCAACACAAACCACAAAAGTTACAGATCTCGCTAGAGTTTCTTTAAGACAAGGTCCACTTTATATTAACGTACACGAAGAAAGATCTGCTGCCACAAATGAGCAACTTGAACAAGGTTACGTCGTTTGTGAATCAGATATGAGATTTCTCTTGTTGTTCACTTTCTTGAAGAAAAACCTCAAAAAGAAGGTCATTGTTTTCTTCAGTTCCTGCAATAGTGTTAAATATCACGGTGAATTACTTAACTATATTGATATTCCTGTATTGGATCTTCACGGTAAGCAGAAGCAACAGAAGCGTACAAACACTTTCTTCGAATTCTGCAACGCTCCTAATGGTATCTTGTTATGCACAGATGTTGCAGCAAGAGGTTTGGATATACCTGCCGTTGATTGGATTATTCAATTTGATCCACCAGATGATCCAAGAGATTACATTCACAGAGTCGGTAGAACCGCAAGAGCTGGTAAAGCTGGTAAATCACTCTTATTCCTCTTACCAACTGAACTTGGTTTCTTGAGGTTCTTGAAAACTGCAAAGGTACCATTAAACGAGTACAATTTCCCTAAGGAGAAGATCGCGAATGTTCAAACTCAATTAGAGAAGTTGATTAATAAGAATTACTACTTACATCAATCAGCCAAGGACGGTTATAGAAGTTACTTACAATCATACGCATCATACTCATTGAAGAAGATCTTCGATGTTAACAGACTTGACTTGAAGAAGGTTGCAAAAGCATTCGGATTTTCAGTTCCTCCAAAGGTGAACATCTCATTAGGCAATAGTCTTAAGACATCGAAGGATACCGCGGGCAAGAAAGGTAAAGGTATGGATAGACTCGATGATGAAGAGTTAGCTGCGATTGAAGATGCAGCTGAACAATCCGACGATCAAGATGAACAAGACAAGCCAAAGAAGAGAAGATCAAACAAGACTGGACAATACAACAAACAAGGAGTTGATAAAGGAGCATATAGACAACAAAATAACAAGAATGGTACACAATGGAGTCGCTAGTGGTCTATAAAATTACAATGCAAATGAAACTTTCTTCTTCGTCTTAGGTTTATCATCCGGTTTGTTATCATTATTAGAATTATTTATATCTTTATTTATCTTTTTCAAACGCTTCTTTGTTTTGCGTAATTTTGCTCGTTGTTCCAACTCCAAAGTTTTATCCTCTACTGCACGAGAATGAGAGTTCTGATTTGTAGTCGATGATTTCAATTTCTTCTGCTGTTGCTTTTGTAGCTTTTCATTTGATTTATTTTTCTAGTTGACTGTTAATTCTACCCGAGAAGACAGCGAGTACTTACAGCTTTTGCGAACTTGTCTGACGATGATTTATCCACTTGTGAAGCTATAGAGAGTGCTAAATCGTTATACGCTGTCGTGTCCTTAATAAATTTCTTCTTCCCCATGATAGTCTTCTCTCAACGACGTTATCAAAAAATATTAAAATGTCACGCTCTATACCACTCACATGTTCTGGACAGTGGGTATTTTTGCCTATTAAAGTAATATTACTTACATATTACTTCAAGTACGCGTCCAGTTGTACAACTACAATTCTCTGTTCTACAGGCAGACAGCACGTTCTGTTTAATAAGTTCTTGTAAAGAGTGAGTATAGCTTTGCTGATACGTAAATCTAAACAAAAACTCTAGTGGTAATCCTATGCTCCGTGATTGGACCGGCGATTGGATTGGTACATTCCTAGGACACAAAGGTGCTGTATGGTCATCTAAACTAAGCCATGATACGACTTTAGCGGTAACAGCTAGTGCGGATTTCACAGCCAAAGTATGGGATACATACAACGGTACATGTATCCACACACTCCCTCATCAACATATAGTAAGATCTGCAGCTATATCACCAGATGGCAGCCACATTTTGACGGGTGGACACGAGCGTTTGTTGCGCTTATTCGATTTAAGCGCACCTGAACAATCAACATTCTTACAAACTTCTGATCAGGATTCATCCGCGCATAGTAGCACGATAAAGAGCGTCTTGTGGCAGGATGCAGCAATGGCAGTCTCTGGATCTGAAGATGGTACTTTAAAATGGTGGGATCTTAGATCTAAGCGCTCATTCCAGGTTTATCAATTAGATTCACCTCTCGTATATCTCGAATGGTCGGCTGGTGCCCATATGATGGTTGCAGTTGCGGGTAATACCGTCTACTTCTTCAACGCCAAACAGCCTGGCCAAGTTATCAAGCAATTCAATCTTAAACATAAACCAAGTTGCGCATCTTTACACCCAATTGTTATGGATAAGTTCGTAGTCGGATCTGCTGATGATACCTGGGTAAGAATCTATGACTTCAACAGCGGAAATGAACTCGATTGCTTCAAGGGACATCACGGCCCTGTTCACGCTGTAGAGTATAGTCCAGATGGAGAATACTTCGCTAGTGGATCGGAAGATGGAACTATTCGTCTATGGCAAACCAACCCTGGTCGTGCATATGGTTTATGGCGCGCTAATTAGTTATTAGTTAGAGAAAATTTTCGCCTGTTGATTGGGTGTTCTAAGTGAAAAGGAAATATCTATTAACTTATACTGTATATATCATTACATATTATTATTTAAAGCGTCTGCTTTTGTGGGAAGTTAGTGGATTAGCTGAGTGTACAAATTGGAGGACATATACAGGAATCGAATGCCTATTAATATAAGTTATGGATATATCAAAATTCTATAACAACCTTTTATGAACTCGTAACACTCTTGGATTTCTACGACGATGATGTTACGACGGTTACCGATGCGTGTAAACGCACAAGCGCTCACTAGAACTACGAGTATTGCATTGAGGAGTCCTTTGTTGACTCCTTATCCATCCAGTTTGATCAGAGAGCCACTCGCGCTGTCAAAGCCGACAACTCCAGTATCACTCAGATTCTATTCAGCAAATAACGGCAAAAACGAGAAAGAAGAGAAAGAATCTAAGGCACTAACAACTGAGCCATTATCCACTAGAGTTTGGGGTAAAGTTAAGCACGAAGCTCAACACTATTGGCATGGATCGAAGTTGCTAGCAAAAGAAATTAGAATTTCAGCAAGATTACAGGCAAGATTATTAAGAGGAAAAACTCTCACACGTAGAGAGAGACGTCAACTTAAGCGTACAACATCCGATATCCTCAGATTAATCCCATTCGTACCATTCGTTTTGATTCCATTCATGGAACTTCTCTTACCAGTAGCACTCAAGCTTTTCCCTAACATGTTGCCATCCACATTCGAAGACAAGTTCGCTGCTGATGAGAAGAAGAGAAAGTTACTTAGAGTTAGATTGGAAATGGCCAAATTCTTGCAAGAGACAATTAAGGAATCTGGTATTAGAGCATCGGAATCTGTCACCGGCAGCGATGAATTCAAGGAATTTTTCAGAAAGGTTAGTTACACATTGTCCATTTTCGTCATATCTAATTACATCTTCAGATAAGAACAACAGGCGAACACCCATCCCATAGCGATATTGTCAAGGTCGCTAGATTGTTTAACAATGATCTTACTTTGGACAACCTCAGCCGCCCACAGCTCGTTTCAATGTGTCGTTACATGAACATCAATGCTTTCGGTACAGACAACTACTTGAGAGGCCATATTAGAAGAAGATTAGAACACCTTAAGAGAGATGACGTTTTGATACAAGCGGAAGGCGTTGAATCACTTTCTACTTCAGAATTACAACACGCTTGTCAATCTAGAGGTATTAGAGTAGCTACTCACTCTAATGCAAGATTACGCGATGATCTTAGCCAATGGGTTGAATTACACACTACACAAGAAATTTCTGGTGTCTTATTGGTCCTCTCAAAGGCTTTCAACTTTGCACATCTCGGTGATTCAGTTATGGCAAGCCTTGAAGCAACCTTATGTAGTCTTCCTGATGTTCTTCTCAATGAGGCTGAATTAGAAGTAAGTGATGAAGCAACTTACAAACAAAAATTGGATGTCTTGCAAGAACAAGAAGAGCTTATTGAAGATGAAGCCGAACAAGAGCAAAAGGAAGTTGAAGCAAGACAAGCTCAAAGAGAAGTTGAGAAAGCTAGAAAGGAAGAAGAATTGGAGAAAGCTAAGAACTTGTTACCAGATTCTGCCATTAAGCAAGAGGATGATGTACGTATGACACCAGAACAATTGGGTGAATTGGGTCAAGCTTTGTCTATTCTTTCTGCCAAATCATCAGTTCTTAAAGAAAGAGAAGAATTGCAAACACTCATAGAGCAAACTCGTGAAGCTGAAAAACAAGCAGAGGAGGCTCAAGCTGGTTTACCTGAAGAAGAGAAGAAGATTGACAAGACTAACGAGAACGTTAAGAAGCAAGTTAAATCTATGATTCAAAAGATTGATACGCAATTATCGGATTACGATGAAAAAGTTGGTACACAACTTAACCTCATTCAGGTCAACCATCTTGGTCAAATTTCAATCCACGATCTCAAACAAGCTTTAAGAGTTATTAAACACTCACCAGATGAGGAAGTCATTGACACCATCGTCCACAAATTAGACGTAGATAAAGATGGTTTAGTTATGCTCGACGACGTAGTTGAATTGGCTCAAGAGGAAGGTCTTGGTATTGTTTTAGATGATTCAGCTGAGAAGATCGTCGACCAAGGTAACGAAATTAGAAATGAAAAGCATGACAAAATCAAGAAGGAAGAAATAGTTCATTAAGTTTATTAGAAGGAACACGCTCATTTATAGTTTATTTATATGCTCATAAAATACATATCCATCACTCTGATTTAATCATTATGATTGTCTTACGGGTCATTACAACATTCGTTTGTTTGCTAATTGCGATGGGCTTGGTAGTCAGGAATTAACGTCGTTGTCTAGAACTGTGAAGGCGTTAGCGTTCTTTAAGCCACCACTGGTGCTTCCGCTGCCACCATTACTGCTCATTCTTTTCATCATCTTTGATGGTGTTCTGCTAACTTTTCTAACAATTTCTTTAGCTTTTTGTGATCTCTGAGATCTTTGCGATTTGTTGCTATCTGGTAAGGTGGTCTCATTTTGCTTCGTAGGTGTCTCCATAGCTGGTGCCTCTTCAGTTTCTAATTTCGTGAATAGGTTTTCATGTTCGAAATCCTGACTCTGAGTGCTGTAACTTGAAATCCTTTTGTAAGTATCTTCTGGCTCTTGCCATTTTTGACTTTCTAATGTACTTGATGAATGAATAGAAGCACTGTCGTCTATATCTACAGCATTTACTTCTTTATCTTCTGACACATTATCCGATTCTATATTCTCATTTGGCAAGAAAATTTGAGGTGTTTGATATACATCCTCTTGGACAAACGAAGGCTCAGCAAGCTCAGATTTTGTAATAGTTGATTGCACAGGTCTATATAAATAGAATTAAGAAATCGCAGTATTAAATTAAGTATGTCTTACAATTCACTCTTATCAATATCCAATCCTAATGCATTATCTTGCGCTTCAGCATTTGATTTCGCACTTGTGTTATCAGGAACTAGTAGATTTGAGTATTCAGTCTAATGATGATGTCGTTAGATATTGTTTGAGAAGGAAATGAAGTTACACACTTTTTTATTATCCAAATGCCATTCTGAAGGGTTTTCTGTAGGCTTATCCGATGATTTTGGCTCTTCATTGCTGTTGATAACGCATGAGAAGAAAGTGATAGCTGTAACCAACCATACACCAGCAAGAACCATAAGCAATTGCCATAGAGTAATTTGATTGACAAATTCAGCGAGCTTATCATATTTATGCTCATATAACGCGCTCACTATTCTGAACTTTTGTAATCTCGCGTGTGAATAACCAATTCGAACTAAATCTATAAGGAAAGTCGCGCTATTTACTTCTCTTATTGGTGTACTGGAAGGTGCTTCAATTATCGGAATGTTAGATTCAGATATCGTCTTTCTCAATCCATCAAAGGAACTTCCTAAGTTGAATTTGAACCTATCGTCGAGGACCTGCATAAGTGGAATTGTCTGGGGAAGACGTTGAACAAATGTCTAATAAATACGCGTTAAACTCACGCCAAACCCTAAGAGAATCGCAATTAGCGAGACTGCAATACCGGTAACAATCATTGATGGACGTGCACTAGTAAGGAAGTTATGATAGAAAATGTTACAATTATAATACCCTTTAGCTTGTATTATTGTTCTTTCATTCTATACTAAAATAGTCTGTCTTCTCTCTTCGGAGTTATCTTCTCATTGCCTGGTAAGCGTGTAATAGAAGTAGAGAGAGTTAAGAGACTATCGAATAGTCTACATCATCTCAGATTATACGCAGATCCTTCGACAACATTCGACAACATTCTCTTAGATGATAAACCAGATGACGCATTCTCTTTCTAACCACCATTATGCTGACTCGACGAATCAATATACGCGCTACAGCCACACGTAGTTTAGCTACTAGCGTACTAGCTAGACCTGCACTCAAATCTATCAATGTGAATCCCCCTCAGATTTCATTAACGAAGCGTTACCAAAGTATGAAAATGAATATGGGTGGCGCACCATCCAAAGGTGATACTCTCAAGCAGTACAGCGTAGATCTCACTGAACTAGCAAAATCCGGAAAGTTGGATCCTGTATTAGGCCGTGATGACGAGATAAGGAGAACAATTCAGATTCTGTCACGCAGAACTAAAAGCAATCCAGTTCTTCTCGGTAATCCAGGTGTCGGTAAAACAGCGATCCTTGAAGGTTTAGCACAACGTATCGTTAACAATGAGGTACCTGAATCATTACAAGGACGTAGAGTTCTCAGTTTAGATCTTGCTGGCATTATTGCGGGTGCATCATTTAGGGGTTCATTTGAGGAACGTTTCAAAGCTTTATTAGCTGATATTGAAGCAGAGCAAGGAAAAATCGTCGTTTTTATCGACGAATTACACACTCTACTCAATCTAGGCAAAGCAGAAGGTAGTATTGACGGTGGAAATCTCATTAAACCACAGTTAGCACGTGGTTTGCAACTTGTCGGTGCAACTACCCTAGATGAATACCGTAAAACGATAGAGAAAGATGGCGCACTCGCCAGAAGATTCCAACCAGTACAAGTTGAAGAACCAAGTTTGGGCGCTACAATCTCTATCCTCAGGGGTCTAAAATCGAGATATGAAACACACCATGGTGTCATTATAGGAGATGATGCACTCGTGGCTGCTGCAAAACATAGTGATAGATACATAAGTGATCGATTCCTCCCTGATAAGGCGATAGATCTCGTTGATGAGGCTGCCTCTACTCTTCGTTTAGCTCAGGAGAGTAAGCCAGAATCATTAGCTAAACTTGATAGGGATATACTGGAAATTCAGGTACGGATGTGTATTTTTACTAAATGCATTTAACTAACATCATTCCTAGATCGAATTGCAGTCATTACAGAACGACGACAACGCATTATCAGTTGAACGTAAAGAAACTTTGGAGAAGCAACTCAAGGAATACGAAGAGGAGTCAAGAAATTTGACAAAGATATGGAATGATGAGAGATCCAAAATCTCCGATGCTAAAGTAGCCAAAGAAGAGCTCGAAAGGGCATTCATCGATCTTGAGATTTCTCAGAGGCACGGTGATCTTGAGCGAGCATCGAGATTACGTTACGAGTCCATACCTCAATTACAAAGAGACATCGAGATCGCAGAAAAGCAAGCCGAAGAAGGTACAACTATGTTATTGGTAAAGGATAGAGTTGCCAGTGACGACATCGCTAGAGTCATTTCCCGTATGACTGGTATACCAATAAGCAATCTCCTTCAGGGCGAAATTGAGAAACTACTTCACGTATGTTCTAAAACTGAGATTACTACTTACTAACAAAGAACACAGTTGGAAGATAAATTAGCTGAGAGAGTCGTCGGTCAAGATCATATTATTAAGGCAGTAGCTGATGCTGTTAGACTCTCAAGAGCAGGTCTTCAGTCAAGCAGCAGACCAATCGCTTCTTTCCTCTTTTTGGGACCAACTGGTACAGGCAAAACTGAATTATCGAAGGCCCTTTCAGGTGCATTGTTCAACGACGAAAAGCGCTCATTGATTAATATCAATATGTCAGAATACCAAGAAAAGCATACAGTATCTAGATTAGTTGGTGCCCCTCCAGGATATGTAGGATATGAGGAATCAGGTCAACTCACGGAAGCTGTAAGACGTAGACCATATTCTGTCGTCTTACTCGATGAATTTGAGAAGGCCCACCCGGATGTCTCCAATATTATGCTGCAATTGCTCGACGAAGGTAGTCTGACTGATAGCCAAGGTCGAAAGGTTGACTTTAGAAATACAATAATTATCGCAACATCAAATCTTGGTTCAGACATACTCACAAGACCTGAATCGACTGGTCCAGACGAGAATGTCACAGAAGAGGCAGCTAAGGAGGTCATTGAAAGGGTAGAGAAGGTCTACCCTCCAGAATTACTCAACAGACTAGATCATATATTAGTCTTCAACAAGTTGAACCACAAATCGATTAAGGATATTGCCAAACTTCGCATCCAAGAAGTTAACTCTATGTTAGGGGAGAAGCACATGTCGTTGGACGTTAGCGAAGATGTCATTAATCATCTTGCAGAAGTTGGATATTCATCGACCTATGGCGCTAGAGCTATACAGAGGACTGTAAGATCAACTATAGCCAATCCACTTGCAAAGAAGATAATTCAAGGATCTATTCGTGATTCTGAAACTGCAAAGATTGTCATGCGTGATGGACAGGTGGAAATCATTGATAACCATCTACCAAAGCCATTAGATGAGGCACTTCCGAAGCACGTTAAAGCTGAAGACGAAGAATCTCTAAGAGCTGATGATCATGATGATCCTGATCAACACAAATATTAGAAGGACTTTTATTCTTTTCCACCACTTAGTTAATTACTCATTGTCATAAGTTATAAATGCATTAATATTTTACAACATCATATTATACAGTAACTTTAGTACGATTTGTTGAAATAATTTTCGATTGATGATTCAGATCTTACACGAGGTTTCTTGGTTGCTTTTGAGGCAGTTGATATGCCACTAGATTTTCTTCTCATTGATCTCGTCTTGGGTATATCTATGTTCAATTCAGACGGCGTACGCGTCCTACCAATATCGGGTGGTGGCATCGACATGTCCCTCCTGAGTATTTCGTTGGTCTTTGCTGTAAGTGGCTGCTCTGAAATTGACCTATGCATTATGGTCTTCTGATTGACGTTTTGATCTGATTTCGAACGTCTCATGCGAACAATTGATGGTAAAAGTGAGTCTTTTGAGTCGCTTTTACTCTTTTGGAATTTCTTTGTGACTATTTGGTCCTTTTCGTCTTGTACATTTGATGCTACTACATGACAAACATCCACTTCACATTCAGTCGAAAGAAGTACATCATTCCAGACCTATTACTCAGGTTAGACTATATTATCTAGTTAGGGATGTTTTACTTTTTGTGTTTCTGAGAGTGTATCACCTGGTCCTTTGACTTCAGCGAACTTCACAGTGTGGCTGTCCATTCTCCATAGACTGTATTTGTTTTAGTTGAGGGAATTAATATAAAGGTTCATCTCTTACATAAGGTCTGGCATCCCACCTGTGCGATTATCCCAATCCTGGCACAAAACACGGAATATCTGAGCCAGACAGCGACCTTCGAAGCACTAACAGAGTTAGACAAAACACCGTGGTGTTAATACGTACCTCTGTAAGATTTACCAAATCCTCTCTCTCGTAATCCCAATTAACAGCAACTGCCCAAGTACGTTTCTCAATTTCAGCATCATACCTCTCACTGACGAGGTCTTTTGCACCAATCTCTTGTATTTCTTCAAGTCGCTTCTCGATAGACTCCCTCCTGTGTTGGTAGAAGTCGCCATCGCTGAGATCCAAAGGAGCGGTTTGGAATGGTGTTTCAAAAGCCCCTTCAATGGGTTCAAATATGATATCCCATAATGCCAAAACAAAGATTGTACGAATTATTCGGCCTTCCGTATGTAAACCTTTCCAACCTTCGATATTGTACGCTTGAAGTGCGATATCTTCAACTCGTAGTGTATCCACTGGATCTTCACCATCTTGTACCACGACTGGAAAGAAAGGTTTCCAAAAAGAATGTGTTGTCATCGTAGAGTAGTCTCTATCAGCATATACGAATTTTTTGTTTGGATTGCGTAGCTTCAAAACTGGTGTTCTGTCTTCCTGTGAAAGATTAAATACTTTCGATTTCTCGAGTCTGGTTATACGTCTATAGAGATCTGGTTTGTATATCTCGTGGGTATCCTGATCCATCAGTGCTTCAGCGCATACATTGAGTGCTTCGTTCAAGTAGTATGAGAGCTTTTCTGTGTTCTTGAAATGCGTCATTAGGACGAGTGCTAGTCGAGAGTACCAAGCCCCTCTTCTTGATGATCGCCAGACTCGCTGAGCGAGTAGCTCACGCAATAGGCCGACTTCCTCTTCATAGCGTTTGTTACGCGAGTAAATTCCTGACAATTTGTGAACCAAACGGGTGTATACATGTCCAGCTGAATATCGAGCGCGCCAATTTTTGATTATTATGTTAGAATGTATCATATCACGCCATCTATCGAGAATTGATTCAGCTACACGCTGTGCTTCTTCATAGTCTTTCTCTTCGAGTGCTTGATCAAATTCAGCTTCTAAGTTTAGAGCATGAATAAATTCTATAAGAGTTGCTCGGCTGGCAAATGCGATCGTGCGTTTATGCTCTGGTTGTGGATAGTATCTTTTGTTGAATGTTGACAGTAGGTGATGCGGGGGTGAAAAGAGAGTCGATTGACGGGAATACACAAACGCAAGCCTGTTGAATAAGTTATGGATTGGTGGATTTATGCGAATAACTTTATCCATCTGCTTTATTATTGATTGCTTTAGTGATAACGATTGGTTTAGAAGATTACCAGAGGTATTGAAGGACAATTTTCCATTACTAGTCAATGTAGATTGTGTTGTTGAAGTATTCAGTATCGCGTCTGTCATGTTTTTACGTGTCTGTTGTTTAGGAAGACAGTTGAACTTTCTAGATATCGTGATAAGGTCTTGATTGTTACATATACTTAGTACATATTCAACTGATGTAGTGGGAAGTTCAAGGTATTCGTTTGACTGTACAAAATTGAGATCCTTCCAGGCATCCTGATCGCCTTCTATACGTGCTAAATCGAGCGACTGAATGATAGCCAGGGCCAAATCGTTATCTAATGAGTTATCGTATTGATGTATAACTAAGTCATTTATAATTTCCTCGACATCGAAGCCAAAATCGAATTTAGATAACTTGTGCCAATTCTGTGGCTGCCTATTGAGCAACCTACTCAGAAAGAGTTTGTGGTTATAATAAAGTGAAGTGTACAGCTTGAAGTATTCCAACTCTTGTTCTGTGAATAAATAACTCTCATTGTGCAGAACTGTAGAAATAGAAGTGTCGATCAACTCAACGTAACGATCCATGTTGGTCGTCAGAGGGGTAAATGAAATTAATAAAGAAACTACAAACAAAGCGTCTATAACGAGATTTTTTTATTAAAAATTTCTTATCAGTCTAAAAAACCGTTTCCGTCATTTATCATTTGACGCGTCCCAGAAAGGAGCCTTCTCCAGGACGATCAACAATATGAGACAGCTGCTCTGTAACGATAAAGAGGGCTACTCATTATTTAGCAAATCGCGTGAATTTGATAGTACAATTTGCTATGAGAATCTAAACTTCATTAGTTTACCATCCATAGCATTCATATTACTAAGCATACGTGACATAATCATCAGCTCAAAACATCCAGTAAGGAATCAACCTAACTCTAAACTCAAGTATGGCTTGAAGCTTATCTCCTACCTCTCCTTGAATTTGCTACTCATCTTGCAATTGTTTGATACGTTAGATTATAGTATAGAGAGCGTTAGTCAGATTTTAGAATTCCTTTCTATCACTTTGGCCACTCTCATATCTATTATACATCACAATAGATTTAATAAACCATCAACCCTTCTATTGATTTATTACCCAGTCATCATTTTATCCAATTTACTCAAACTGAGAACGTCTATCATTAGCAACTACGACAACATCAGTATTGATTTACATATTGCAACTCTCGCAATCACTACTTTCATTTGGATCGTCGAATCCCTAGGTCCTGGTTATCCACCATCAGCTGACCCGCTCCAAGATGCATCTATTTACTCAATGTGAGTGTGATTCACTTTCCTTTGTAATAGACTAACTCTCCCTACAGATGCTCCTTCTCTTGGCTTACCCCACTTCTCAAATTAGGCAAAGAGCGTTACATCAATGAGGAAGATCTCTGGGAGTTACCTGATGATGAACACTCAGAGCGCGTTGGACGCAATTTAAAACAAAAGTGGGTTCATGAAACTTCAAAATCAAGCGGAAAACCATCGTTATGGTTTGCCCTTTGTAAGGCATACGGAAAAGACTATCTCGTTTACGCTACATTCTTTAAAATGTTACAAGATATCCTTACATTCGTTCAACCTCAATTACTCAAAAGTCTCTTGCGCTTTGTCAACTCTCAACGCTCAGACGAACCAGAACCTCTCATCAAAGGTTATTGTTTAGCTGCTGTTATGTTCCTCTCAGCAGTTTCCCAATCTACCTTCTTACATCAATACTTCCAATTGGTTTTCATGACTGGCTTGAGAGTCAGAGCAGGTTTAGTCAACTTGTTGTACGACAAGTCCCTTCATCTCTCAAACAACGAGAGATCTCAAAGACCAACCGGTGATGTTGTCAACCTCATGTCTGTAGATACCAACAGGTTAACCGATCTTTGCACTTATGGACACATTCTCTGGTCTGGTCCATTCCAAATCGTACTTGCCTTCTTCTCGCTGTATGATCTTTTGGGTTGGCAATCATTCGTTGGTGTCGGTGTCATGATTATATCAATTCCAGTTACTACTGTTATCGCGAGATATGTCAAAAAATTGTCTCTTGAGCAGATGAAAATTAAGGACAAGCGTACCCACGTTATGAATGAACTTCTCACCAACATTAAGTCGATCAAGTTATTCGCATGGGAAGATTCATTCATTCAAAGACTTCTTCAAATCCGTAACAATGAGGAGTTGAAACTCTTGAAAAAGATTGGTATTGTTAATGGTTTGAGCAACTTCGTCTGGATGGTCACTCCATTTTTGGTTTCGTTCACAACTTTCTGGATTTATTCTATTACATCACCAACACCACTCACATCTGACAAGATTTTCCCTGGTTTGGCTATCTTCCAGTTACTTTCATTCCCATTGTTCATGATTTCCAACATTTTAACATCGACAATTGAGTCAGCAGTATCTGTTGATCGTCTCAAAGACTTCTTATTAGCCGGTGAATTGGATCCTGATGCAAAGATGCAAATAATTCCACAAGATATCAATTCTGGTGAGGAAGTTGTCAGAATTAGTCATGGAGACTTCGCATGGAATTCCGATTCAACTATGCCAACATTGCAGGATATCAATCTTAGCGTTAAAATGGGAGAGCTTATTGCTTTAGTTGGTAGAGTAGGTGATGGTAAATCATCACTCGTTCAAGCAATTCTTGGTGAAATGCACAAGTTTGAAGGTTCAGTTAATATCAAAGGTACTATCGCATACTACTCACAATCACCTTGGATTATGGGAGCAACTGTCAAAGAAAACATTCTCTTCGGTCATAAATTTGATGAAGAGTTCTACAACCTTGTTATAGAGTCCTGTGCATTAGTACACGATTTGGAACTCTTACCTCAAGGTGATATGACAGAAGTTGGTGAAAAAGGTATAACTCTATCTGGTGGTCAAAAAGCCAGAGTAGCATTGGCTAGAGCTGTGTATTCACGTGCGGATATTTACCTTCTTGATGATCCATTATGCGCTGTAGATGCACATGTCGCTAGACATCTCTGGAACAACGTTATTGGTCACACTGGTATACTCAAAAATAAGACTAGAATTATTTCCACCAACAATGCTGGATACTTTGATCAAGTTGACTCTCTCGTTATGCTTAGAAGAGGTGTTATACTCGAACAAGACTCCTATTTGTCTGCAATTCAACGTCAAGGACAATTATGGCAGCTCATGATTAAATTAGGTAAGTTGAAATTGTAGAAGTTAACATGTAGGTTAACGTTTTGTAGGCAAAGGCGGTACCTCATCTTCAACGACTTCTTCATCTGGCACATCACTCAATGAAATGAATGATGCGAATGGTAACGGCACCCCTCAAACTGATGGTGAAACTACACTCGTCAATGGTGAAATTGATGAAGAATCACATACTTTATTCGTTGATGAACAAAACGAAGGTCCAAAGGTAGATGTTGTAAATGGTGTTTGCGCTGAAGAGACTGGTCCTAAGGAGAAAAGAATGTCGCTTAGCATGCGTCGTGCATCTGTTGTATCGATTGATAAGGCTAAAGGAATTGCTTTAGAAGCTATGCGTAATTCTTCACAACCTAAGGAACAAATGGGCAGAGGTAACATCAAGTCAGAGGTTTACAAAAGTGAGTTGGATAATCCTTTTAACAAATCTGTTAACAAATCTGTAGACTACATCGAATCAAGTTCCTTCTGGGGTGTCATGGCTTTCTTGGTTTGCGCTTGTCTCATTCAAGTATTCTCGGTTGCTGGTTCTATTGTTCTTAGATCATGGGGTGAAGCCAACAACAATGGTGAGGCTCATGATTTCAAGTGTAAGTATATAAAGATTACAAACATCCTTTTACTAACATCTTAATAGATCTCCTCGAATATTTCACTTGTGGTATACTCTCATCCATCTTCATGTTCATCACTGCATACCTACTGTAAGTTGATCGTAGTGTATATCTACTTTGCTGACATGTCTTCTAGCTGGGCGGTATGCTCAATTAAGACATCTAAGCACTTACATGACAATATGTTCCACGCAGTCATGAGAGCACCATTGGGTTACTTTGAAAGAACCCCAGTTGGTGTCATTCTTAATAGGTTCTCTCGTGATGTTCAAGTTATTGATGAAGTACTTGTGAGAGTGATTTCAGGATTCTTCAGAACCCTCATTGTTGTCATTTCAATCGTTATCGTTATCGGAGGTGCATTACCACCATTTTTATTAATGATCATTCCATTATCAATCTTCTATCAATGGATTATGAAACTTTATCTCGCAACATCAAGAGAAATCAAACGTTTAGATGCAGTTTCAAGATCACCAATTTTCAGTTGGTTCCAAGAATCTTTGGGCGGTTTACCAACTATTAGAGCATTTAGACAACAATCAAGATTTATTGCCTCAGAGACACTCAGAATGGATAGAAATTTGATGGCATCTTTACCTGCTATGTCTATCAATAGATGGTTAGCTATGCGTTTAGAAGTACTTGGATCATCTGTTATTTTTGCAACTGCTTTATTTGCAGTAACCAGCGTAAAGAGATTTAACTTAGATGCTGGTTTGGTTGGTTTATGTATTAGTTACGCATTGCAAATCACAGGTGGATTAAATTGGTTCGTTAGATGCGCTGGTGAAGTTGAACAAAATATCGTATCAGTTGAAAGAGTTTACGAATTGGCACAACTTGAACCTGAAGCATTACCAGTTATTGAAGACAACAGACCATCAAGTGAATGGCCAGAAAAGGGTGCAGTTGAGTTCAACAACTTTTCAGCAAAGTATAGACCAGATTTAAATCCAGTTTTGAGAGATATAAATCTTAAGATTAACCCATCAGAAAAGATTGGTGTCGTTGGTAGAACAGGTGCAGGAAAATCATCATTAACACTCTGTTTGTTCAGAATCCTTGAAGCATTCTCAGGTGAAATTAAAATTGATGGTATAGATATTTCAACAATCGGTTTGAAAGATCTCAGATCAAGATTAGCAATTATACCACAAGATGCTCAATTATTTGATGCGACCGTTAGAGAGAATCTAGACCCTGAAGCTGCTCATTCAGATGATGATATTTGGAGAGCATTAGAGTCAACAGATTTAGCACAACATATTACAGAATTAGGTGGATTAGAGGCTCAAATTGCTGAAGGTGGTAGTAACTTATCAAATGGTCAAAGACAATTAATAGCCATCGCTAGAGCTTTATTAACAAATTCAAGAATTCTAATCCTAGATGAAGCTACATCTGCGATTGATTCAATGACAGATAATTATATTCAAGATACAATCCGTAGACAATTCAAGGATATGACGATTATAACGATTGCTCATAGACTCCGTACAATTATTGATTATGACAAGATTTTAGTTCTAGAGAGAGGTCTTATAAGTGAATTTGACACACCACAAAATCTTCTATTGAAGCCAGATGGGATTTTCTCTTCAATGGTTAAGCAATCAGGTGAAGAGGATGAACTGAAGTCAATAGTAGGTCTTTAATCAGTAATTAATTTATATTTATTTCTTTTATCTGCATCTCTCTTACCAATTTATCATTGATAGTCATATTTAATTGCACAATATTATTGTTATTTAGAAAAGTTATACATGTTTATCGTCAAAACTTAAAATTAAAACAAGTTTCTGAATGTTCTGTAGATTGCTGCTAATAAAAGACTACTTTGCGTGTGTCAAAATAATAATAGTTAGATGAATTTATATAGCTTCACATCATTCCGATGATTTAAGTGGTTGAATTCTTATTGGTGGTAATTGGAAAAAAGGAGCAAATGACTGTGATGTTGTAGTTTCACCATTCTTACGTTTCTTTATTGGGATTGGATCTGATACAGGCATGGATTGATACCTCTCAACGTCTGGATCTTTAGCTGGACTAGACGCCACTCGATGGATTCTTTCAAATTGTGGTATTGATGGCAGTTGTGGAGGTGTAGCACTTTGATTCTGATAATTAGAAACCTTATATTGATGTGATTGTTGTTGTTGGGCTTCATGTTGATTCAGATCATGCAACTGAGATCTAGCTTGTTGCAATGATATGGTGATAGAATTTAAGTGTCCTTCAATACTTTGTCTTTGTTGTTCTAAATTAGCACAATGCTGTTCTAATTGACTTCTATCCATTGTTGGTGGTTGTACGGTGTTAGGATTTTTGAAACTTCCGATAATTTCATCAGAGGATGCAGAAGATGTTGATTTACGTTTAGCTGGTGTAGAAACCAAACCACCCTCCTGGATACCCATCAAAGTAACAGCTGCGTCATGTTCGTTTTGCTGCAACGCCTGCGTTGCTGGTATACCATGTGGAGTCGATTGCATGAAAGGAACCTGATTAGGTACAGATGACGGCACCCTTTTCCTTCTCTTGATTATCGTCTTTTTCATGTGTACTGGTCTTGGTGCATTGTGTAACTTCTGATAAAGACCACAGGCGTTACACTGCGGTTTACCATCGTCGGTTCTTCGCCAAAGGGGGGTGGTAGTTGTGCCACAGTTAGCACATTGTAATGCTCCGAGTTGTTGCTGCGATTGGAAGTATTGCTGTTCACTTTCTTTTTGTGAAGGTGCTGGGAGAGTTACTGAAGATGAAGGAGGGGCAGAATCAATGCTTTGGTTGTTAGCTAGTGATTGCATTTCTTGTGCTTTATTAAGCTGATGTCTTTGAGCGTTGTTGAACGCTGGACAACCAGTACAGGAGCTAGTACCACCTGTACCGTTGCAGTAACCGCCGCCTGGACAGCTACCAGAAGTCTTGTTGATGTCTGATTGATTAATTGTGGTTGATTGTAAAGTTGTCGGTCTCGGCGTATTTCTGTTCTTTTCATAAAGACCTTATCATATCGTTATCAGTGCATGTTTTTAGATAAGGTAAGAGAAGACTCACCGCAAGCGTTACACAAGGTCTGATCGTTAAGACCACGCCTCCATAGCGGTGTATTCGATGTACCACAGTTCGAACAGGTCGTCTTATTGCTGACATCTGTCACGATAGGCGGGCTATCAGATTTTGTTATCAGATTAAGATTGCTGCTGCTCGCTGTGTCTATCTGCGTCGATCCAGGCGATTGCATTATTTTCTGAGATTATGGCAGTAAGGGACGAGATGAGAGAAGCTCGTGGGAATCGTTCTCGACAAATAAGAAATCAGATATTATAGTTATTTAAAAAATATTTCCCTTTTATAAGCCATATCTTTTACGATCTCTGCGATCTTTATATCGCTTCAAATCCGGCCCACTGATCTTTCTTGGTTGCCCGGATAAAATTTTATCGGCCGTTGCCCTGCGGTATTCTTCTTGAGAGCTGGCGTAGTAGTATACCATTGTGGCGAATTTACATACCCTACTATCTGATTCACTACCCATCGAGTTAGCCCTGATTGATAATCCAATCGGATTTCGGTCTGATAGATAAAACGTGCAGCTGATCTCGATCAAGATAATGCAGTAAACTGATCCGTAGTGGAGAGTCTTCGGGATAGAGAATATTGTGGAAAATCAGAAATACAAGAGGCTTTCTACCTTACAATGACTATCAAACTACTGATAGTAGACCATTATGATTCATATACTAACAATTTACTTAAATTATTAAACCCACACATAAAAGTAAATATTATAAACCACGATAAAATAATAGACTACTCGATTATAGACTCATTCGACGCTATCATTCTCAGTCCTGGCCCTGGCCGGTCAGATAACGATAAGGATTTCGGTGTAGCGAGCAAATTAATAAAGTATGCATTAGAAATGAACAAGCCACTACTTGGTATTTGTTTAGGTCATCAAGGTCTCGCTACAACGCTATGTCCAGATGCTAAACTCTCAACTGTGAAGAAGATCAAGCATGGACATAGAATACCCATACAATTCAGCGATAGTAGACTATTCAACGGTATTCACCGGTCTTTCAACGTCGTCACCTACAATTCTCTCACAATCAGTGACCCAAATGATGCGCTCAAAGAATCCAATCTGAAGGTAACAGCGACAGAATTACATGACAGCGAATCGATAATGGCTTTAGAACATATAAAAGCTCCTCTATTTGGTGTTCAGTTCCATCCTGAGTCAATTGAGTCTGAATTTGGTAGACAGATTATGCAGAATTTCTTAAATATATCACTTGAATACGCAAATGATGTTCAAGAAATACCGCAAAGTGTGATAGATAGTTCATCTATTGCGTTAGAGTCTCAAAAATCGATGCCCAAAACACAACCTGCGTTTAACGTTACCGAGGAAATTGTCGATTTGCCTGTCAATACAGATGAAGTTTTCGATACAAAAGTCCGCCAATTATCAGGATTAGGAAGTATATGGCTAGATTCAGCCAAGCTTGTTGAAGGTGTCGACAGTACGTCTTATCTTGCAAAGCCATCAATAGTGATATCTTATAAATTATCTGATAAGAGTTTAAACATAAAGACAAATACCTCATACCATCAATTTACAATAGATGGCTCATTTTGGGATTGGTTTGACAAATTACAAAGGTTAATAGAAAGTCTAACCAATATGAAAACACATGAGGGATTTACAGTTGGTTGGATCACGGCATTGGGATACGAACTTGGTAAGGAGTCATTGGAAGGATATAGTACATGCCAGACGAAACTTGACGATGTACAATTTAGTAGTGAACAGAATCAAGTTGATGCGCTCCTTCTATTCTGCAATGAGGTGCTAACATACGATCATATCAATAAAGTTTGGCGGCAGTTCGCATTGGAGCAGATTGACGGTATTAAATCCAATGATCTAGAGCTTGACGATGCTATGCGTTTCATTCTTGATAATCTAACCACTACATCAAAGTTGAAAGAGCATTATCCAAGAAAATCTAATCCACAAATCCAAACATTACCATATAAGTGCAAACACACTCCCCAGGCCTACATAAATGCAATTGAGGAAGCTCGAAGACAAATCGAATACGGAGAGAGCTACGAATTGTGTTTAACAACGAGATTCGTAGCTGACGCTAATCACTTAAACCAGGAGGGTTGCTGGGATGTCTACAAGCATTTGCGGTGCTCCAATCCAGCACCTTATGCTGCATTCATCGACATACCGTCCCTCAATCTAGCCATTCTGAGTAGCTCACCAGAGAGATTCATGAAAGTGGGCATTGACAGACTTGTCGAAATGAAACCTATAAAGGGCACAGTGGGAAGAAACAAAGAGGATAAAGAGAATGACTCCTTACTAGCTACCAAATTGCAAAATGATGAAAAGGAAAGGGCTGAAAATTTAATGATTGTCGACTTAATTAGATCAGATCTGCTATCGTTCTGTGAACCTGAAACAGTGCAAGTGCCACATTTGATGTGTATTGAAACGTTTGAGAAGGTACATCAATTGGTGAGCACTATAAGGGGCAGACGGAGGGCGAACGTGGGTGTAGTCGAAGGTATCAAGAGGTCTTTCCCGCCTGGTAGTATGACAGGAAGTCCGAAACTGCGATCTGTGAAGATACTAGAAAAGCTCGAAAGGTCAAATAGAGGGTTTTACTCTGGTTGTATCGGATATATCGGCGTGAATGGATGTACAGACCTATCAGTCGTAATAAGGACGATAGTATATGGTAATAAAGGTGAGTGTTGATGTATCAATTAGGATCTTCTGTATCTAACAGAATTCAAGAACTTAAAATTGGTGCGGGAGGCGCCATAACGTACCCTTCTATAGCTCAAAACGAGTGGGAAGAAGTATTAACAAAGGCTCGTTCAGTCGTTAGTAAATTGATAGAATATTAGACAACTTATTGTATTGATGTGGTATGAATCAAAAGTAATTTTAAACAAAAGAAGGCAATTTTTATCGCTATCCTGAATAAGGGAAAGTAGAATGAATGACTATTGATATCACCTGTTGCTATTCGAACAAAGTTCTGATTGATTGATTTTGACAAGCTTCTTGTCGAATTGACCAGATTTGTATTGTTTGAGTATTCTGGCTAAAAGATCAGAAGTTGAAATACCGTTTGTCCGCCTAGTTGGAATGAACCTTCCTTGAGCTTTAACAAAGGCATAGACGTCTTCATGACCTTGTGCGACGTATGGTTCATCGTCATGAGCGACGAAATCAATATTGTGTTTGTTTATGAACTCCTGGTCAATAACCCAGGGTGCGTCCTCAATAACTTGATCAACCCATCTGCAATTTCTCACCGATTCGGCTCTTTCGAAATCGCTCAAAACCGGTTTGGATTTGTGTTGTTGGCAGGTTGCGCTAGAGCATACGCCTACTATCAAATGAACGTTCTTAAAGGATAATTTGGCTTGTCTGAGTTGTAAAGTATGTCCAACGTGGAAGAGGTCATAAACACCGTCAGCGTAGATTCTAATTGGACGATCTGTTGGAATATCAATAGAAAGCGACTTGCTAACGAAGTCTTGGATTGACTCTGGTGTGAAATTTGAGGTTGATTCATCAGCGAATGTGCTTGTAGAAGCTTGCGGAGGTGGTGTCGAATTGGAATCGACATTCGCTGTAGCTGAGGATTCAACATCACCGTCATAAATTTGGCTATCTGTGAGTGTATGATTGCTCTTGCTAGTAAGCTTCTGCTGTTCGTCTTCTACCAAATTGTGCTGCTTGAGCTGTGGTTCAAAGTCAGAGCTCGAAGGAGTCACCATATCGTTGTCCTCTTCACTGCCGTCCCTAGAGCTAGAGACTAATAAATCTGCTTGATGACGCTTTCTGTTCATCGTTTCGAACAAGGAGCGAGCGTTTTGAATAAAACGATGAAGGGCGATTTACTTGAATTAAGTGAATCTAAGAGTATAATTGATAATTTTACAGCTAAATTCGGTTCTATAAATGGTGTTTTGTTACTAGACAAGTCACATTTCTGTATAGGATGTTAGTCCATTTAGATAACCCATAAAATGCTCACAGTGACGCATTAGCACAGGGTAACTTGAAGAAATCTGATGCATCAGCTATCGCTGAATTAATCGATAACGTCTGCACTATTCCGAATAACGTCTACAAAATTCAACTGTCTCCAAATCGCGGTTTTTTATACCTCCTCAATAACGAATCAATTACGATAGCCATACAAAGTTAAACTGTATTTTTAATGTATTTACGAATATCCGTTGAACTCAGCTTCAATTCAGCTGTATGATCAACCAGTTCTATCATGAACACATCTAACTCCTTTATCTTGTTTTCTTTCCTTTTTTTGTTAACTGTCGTGCGGTTATTTCATTATTCTATGACCTAGTGCAATACATACTAGCATCTGATCCACTTAGTGTCTCTCGAGACACAACAATGGCATCTATGTCTTCATCATCACCTGTTGGACCATATACATCGTTCAGTGTAAACACATAAGCTTCAACATCAGGTCTAAGACGCTTTAAAAATCCATCTACTGCTGCTTTACGTGTTTCTATTGATTCGAGTACATCTGCATCATTCTTACGTGTCAGTAAGTCAGGACCTGTCTTTGTTCTAGATTGAGATATTCATAACAAACAAAACCTCACCTGTTACACCAATGACTACTTTCTTTCTACTGATGTAGGCTGCTAAAGTCAACAAAACCTTATGTCCTGCATGCAAATGATCAAATGTACCACCAAGCGCAATCGTATCGTAAATTCCGCCGTTATCTGGCTTGTGTTTTCCTATTTTAACACCTTCAAGTCCTTCTATTGTCTGTTTGATTGGTATATCCTGCAATTTCGATCCACTGATTGTACTAAGAACTGAAATCGAATTAGATTAATCGTACATCAATAGCATAGATAACGCACCATCAGATGTAGTATACATGATATCCCAATCTGTTAATCTTGCCTTGTACATCCAATCTGATTGCCAAAATGACTCAAACCATACGTCAATGTTACCAGCCCACCAGTTAGATTTATCTTTCCTGTTAGCTATCAATGTACTGTATATTTCAATCAAGAACGCTTGGAATCGCGTAAAACTGCCATGACGTTCAGATTGTCTGGGAAGTTCTCCTGTGAATATCAATCCAACGTCTGTAGCTTTCTCAACTGATTTCTGTAATGCTGTCGTTAGCGATGAATTGAGGTTTAAGTTATCTGGTAATGGTGCTATAATCAGACTACGCATGTTGTTGATTGTAAAGTTGATAGATGATGCTATATCAATATGAGATATTCTACCAGTTTTATAGTCCTATCAACAGAAGTAGGATTTCAATCTATGATCATCAAGGTGTATGTTCGTCGGCTACCTTTCTGCCACGTAAAGTATCACCACTGGTTTAATGAAGTATCAGAAATATGTCTTCTTCTAACATCTAATTATGGATAGTTTGAAATTCTCCACTCACTTACCCAATTCTAATCTTATTTCTGAACGGCCACCACGAACGAAATTTTATCAAGCGTGTCTTAACAAAATGACGCGTTTATTAGTTTCACAAACATCCATTTGTTTATAATGTACCTCCATGAAGTTATCAGAGAAAACGAAACAATATGCATTAGGGACCACCTTGAACTATATTACAACAGTGAAAAAGCTGGAAAAGTTAATAAATCAAATGAGGTAGCTATATCATACACCCTAAGATACATTCTTCAGGTATATTAACCTTGTGTCGACCGGTGGTGGGAGAGTGCAAATTCTTGGGAAGACGTCAATTAGGCGAACTTCGTTAGTCGTACAAATTGAAGGTGGGATAGCATGTGGTATGTATCCGTATCCACTAATACCAACTACGTGTAATGGCACATCCGCGATATCACGATTGATTGTCTCTACTGGACTCATATCCTCGCTATCGCAAACAGACGTCCCGACTGAGATTGGCAGTGATGTTGGGGATTTCTGTGGATGGCAAGTTGTTCCCTCAACTGATGGTTCTTCTGCGCGCTTTTTCCCTTTGTTTGGACGTCTGTTTGACATATTTGTGGTCACTGATAGGGCTTCCATACGTTCACTGCATTCACTGGATTTCTCGCTTTTTGGGGTAGTAACATCCGACGGAACGACAGCCTTGGCGTTCTTCGGTGCTTTCTTCTCGGCGACGTTTTTGTTTGGGATAGCGAGGTAGCTGGCTACCTACGGTGTGTCAGCTCTGTCATAACACGTAGCAGTACCCACGTCGTCAACCTTAAATGGTGTTGGGAACTTGTAAAGTGTGTTGACGAATTCAAAGCCGTCCTTCATTGCACTCTTTCTCTTAGAGCATGCACCAGCTACACATTCATCGGTGGACTATTAATTATCCTTAATAGGACATCGAGTAAGTGCACTTCATACTCACGATGAAGTAGTTTTGGCAACTTTTCTGAAATGTAGGAACAAGCTTGCCGGTTTCCCTAGGCGTAAGTGGCCTCCCCCATTCAGCCTCCTTGATAATTCCGAGTGACACCTTCAACTATGACGGAACTTAGTCAATGTTTTGATAAAAAGCGTCTTACATACCATCTCGTTGAGGATCTTAAATCCACAGGCGTTTTTGCAACAGAACGCGACGCCACTATTCTCGGTATTGGCGAGTCTATAGTGTCATTAGATAGTACAGTTGATGGTATTCGACAAACTTTAAGATATCCTTCAAGAAAGTCCTTGGAGCCTAAAAAGTACTACGTTAATAGATGTTGGCGGTGTTTTCTAGCTACTCACTCCACATTTCTTCTTCTCACGAAGGAAATGTGTATTATTTCTAGTCTGTCTAATGCTAGACTCGATCTCTTTCTTTGCTTTTGACATTGACGAGACTCTTGCTAGTTTATGGCGAGGTGAATAGGATGTTTTAAAATTCAAACGCGTTTATTAGGTCATACACTGAGCGAGTTTTTTCTTTTTTAGGCGATATTTGCATCCTGAATATAAAAGTCAACGATCAAGTATTCCCAAAATCAGAAAATCCAGTTTTTCGTAACGTGTATTTACGGATTCCTGATCATACACACTAATCAGTTTTTCTCATTCAACGATTTCGATTGCATACTGCGTCATTTCGGTGGCATGTGGGATTTGATTTGCGGAATGCATTGAGGACTACGCATCGGATGTAGATCTACAAATAAGCACAATTAGTGCATTCAATCTTATGGGTCACGCTATGGACTCAATTCCGCTCGCTTATTGTTCAATTTCATCCTGGCACTGACTTCACAACTGCCGCATCTGGAATACAATACAACATATCAAGACACTACAATGGGTAGTATACATCCAATTGTACATAGTACTTACTGGATGAAGATTTAGTTTTTGCCCCTGTTCTTATTGGTAGCTTCCTTAGCAGCTGCTTTGTTATTCTTGATGGCCTCTGTCTGCTGCTTCTTTACTTCCTCCTCAGCTTTCTTGATATCATCGACAGATGGCGCCTTGGTGTCGTTCTTTTTGATGTCCTCTTTAACGTCTTTCTTGTCAGATTTGAAATCCTCGAGATACTTTTCCTTCTGACCTTTAATATTCTCTTCAAATTTCTTAACCTCGTCGTTATGTTTCTTTACTTGCTCGTCATGGTCCTTCTTTGCGTCATTAGTGTCTTTATCGTCGACCTTCTTATCATCATCACGAGTGGTGTGTTTCTTTGGCTGCTCATTTTTGCTCTCTTTGATATTCGCAATATATCCCTTTGTCTTCTTTAAGCCTGCTTCAAGCTCCTTTTCATACTTCGCGAGCTCTTCGTTGTAGGACTTATCATTGCCTTTGTATACAGGAATTGGGAGAATAGCGAAATCCTTTGAATTTTAGCTTATCAAAGTGGCTTTAAAATGTACAAACCCACATCGTATCCATCGCGGCGAGCGACATTGACATTCGACCATGGCATTGACCAAGCAGCGACTGAACCAGTAAGGGCGACAATTAATGTTGCTCTAGCGAGATTGAAGTACATTTCTATAGATTGAAAAGAACTAAAGTTGTTATTTAACTCTTCTTTTATATCCCATTGGGCTGTTCTTTTCTCTTTTGAACGCACATTGGGCGTTTATGACGAAATTTTAACTGAGTATTGACTCAAAGCCAGCAAATAACATTATTTTATCCATCCGTCATAAATATAGAGACTATGAAAATTTTTGGATTCACAATTTGTCTCAATATGAGGTAGCACACGTGAAGTCAAAAAATAGTAACGCTTCGGAAACCACCTCCGTTACCAGGGTTATAAATATATTCATTCTAAAAAAGTACTTGCCGTACGCGCAGTATAATCTAAGATAGTAACACATTTTACTAAAAATAAACAACACAGCAATCAATCGAAAACTAAAAATAATGCGTCAAAGAACAGTCCATGTATAGTATGAAAAGAGCTTGATTTGATGTTGTCTATAAATATATAATCAAGCAATTGTAAATTAATTCAAGAAAGATTCCGTATTGATATAAAAGTCGACGCAGATGAATGATTGAAATAAATAATAAAATTCCAATTATTTTAAACGCATGTATAGAATCGCCTCCCGACAACGTCTATACAAATGATATTCCACTTTAAAGAGCGACAAATAATGTTGCGACCATCAATGTAGAGATGGTTACAACTGGGTAGAAGCTTGCAAATGAGAATGCACCTGAGTCACCGTCACCAGTGACGTCTGAAGCAGCTGCACCTTCAACTGATGCAACAGTTGGGTTAGCAATTGTAGCTAATGGTCCTTGTGTACCAGTTACGGTAGGGTTTGGATGTGAGTTAGTGTTAGTGGTTGAAGCAGCTTCAACGTCATCTCCGTAGACATTCTTTACATATTCAGAGAATGTCTCACCTTGCTTAACATCATCGCCAGTTTCGACGTAGAGGTTTGTGGTGTTGGTGGCAGCGTAGAATGGAGCAACGTACTTGAAGGCATCTTTGATCTTAGGGTACATATCCATGAAGATGTCCATAGTTTCACCAGTGATTTCATGAGTCAACATGATAGTACCCTCTTCCTTGAAAGTACCATTCTTGGCTGCGTTGATGACATCCTCGTAGTTCTTCTCAACATCTTCCTTGGATACTGCACCAGTTGTGGCACCGACACGCCAGTCGTTTGAGTCGTAACGCCAAAGTGCAGTTCTCAAACCAAGACCTTCAGCAATGAGACGGATACGGTCATCTACATCACCAAATGGAGGTCTCCAGCAGGTTGGAGTGACACCTGTGACTTGCTTGACAGCCTAATCTTTGTTAGATAAACATTCCAGGTCAATATGTCTACCTACTTGGATGGAATAGTAGAGTTCAGCAAAGGCACCCTCATCATCGAAAGAAGTCATGTAGTGGTGGGACCAAGTGTGAACACAGAGTTGGTGGCCATCGTCCCTACCACGTTGAGCCTGATATGGCCAGTTCATAACGTTTGAACCAATGTAGAACATAGTAGCAGTTAAGTTGTTCTCTTGGAGGAAGTTATAGAACTTGTTGTGTGAGCAGTTTGGACCATCATCGAAACCAAGACCCCAGGTCTCTGGCTCTGGGAGATCAGCAAGATCGTCTGAGAGACCTTCGATCTTTGGCTTTGTACACTTGTTAAATGTGTACCAACAATCTGGGTCGGATTTGTCGTAGGTTGGGGTGACATCTGAGAAATCACCGCTCATTGTACCCTTTGGCTTAATGTTCGAAGGGAGGACTTGCTTGATCTCGTCAAACTTTGCCTGAGCCTCATCATCGCCATCTACGATAGTAGCTGGTTGCCAGATTGTAGGGAATTTGTCTTGGACATCCTTAACAATTGGTGCAGAGTAAGCCTTACATTCAGTTGCAGTGTCTATTAGAGGATCAGCGTCGTCAGGGTAGGGCTAGATAAGCCATACCTGTGCTCTTAGCAGCAGAGGCTTCATCAGTAACGCTGGATTGCGCAACAGCTAAACCGAGTATGCTCAGGTATGCAAGCTTTTTGAACATCTGGTTATGGTTGATGGATTAAAAGACGCCTATAATAACCAAGGCTCCAATAGCGTTCCTAGCGCGACTGCGACACAAATTTATGTGTTTGTCAGTTCGGCTGAGACAACTATATATAGTTTTTACGGTATATTATAGCATAAAATGACCGTACAGTCCTAAGGAACTTCAATCCGCTCAATTATTTCGCTTCGCTGTCGTTACTAAATTAGGAACAGAGAACGCACGGACCATTTGGGTGAAAACGAGGGGTAACCCATGGTAAATAGCCAGAAATTGGGATCTTGTATAGCATGCATTATATAGTACTACAATTTATATCGACGAAGGAATTGCTACCGTGACTCTGACATTCCTGGATAACTTGGCGTAGACGCAAAAGAACATTCTCAAAGTAAAAGAAAGCGTCACACTTTCAGCATCCCATTATCCCCCTTCGCTCACCTTTGCATCGGTTATTGTCACACATGCAGACAATTACAGCCAGAGAACGAGTCTGAAGAAGCAAGTAAAGCATAAAATATATGCTGAAACTTATACACACGCGCAGGAGCAATAAATTTAAAAATTGCCCGACGTCGTCATTTTGGTCATTTGCCCGGTTTTTTCTTCTAATCTCACCGTACAATGGAAGACAGCCTGAGTGACGCAAACGCAGATTTAGGACACAATCTTAGGCTTTCTAGATTGCTGCAGACGTCGCCATCTATTTCAACGTCCCCTGGCAGTTCAATCCGGTCATCGTCTGCAGCCTCTATATTTGAAAGGGGTGAGTATTAGTTTCTAGTGGGAATACGTATCTGACTATAAACAGACATAGAGCCTGGCCATCCAATACACTCTGGTTTCCTAGGCTCTAGGGAGGCTGCCGACTTATCGACTGCACCAGCTTTATCAGGCGCTGTCGAGGCTTTTGTGGGCGGTCACCCTAGTGACTCGATAGGCGTGGAAATGGCAGCATCCAATGATTGCAATGTCCTGAACAGCCCGTCGCAATCATTCATTCTTCCACCGCCTTCTCCGCCAAGTTTAGACACACAGATGGGCAAATTGCAGTCTACGCAATCAATACATTCGTCTATTTTGCCAGCGTCACCGCCAAATTCACCTCCACCAAGCCACCAGCCGCAGACACCGTCCCCGCTCAATCCGCATGCCCAACATTCACCTCGATTGGCGTCACAGAATCAATCATTAGTGGGAAGTAGCTCGACCTCACCAATGCCAGCGAACGTACACGATTCACCTGCTAGTCACAGGATCAGCTTGCTGAGTTACGGCGACGTCATTAGCGAACGTCCAACATCCGCTGTACCACTCCAGACAGCAATCAGCCATCAACATGCACCTCAGTCACAGTTATTGACTGATGAGAATGACAATCAGGCTTCACCTGCCTCAAATTATGTCGAAGAACGCAATAGGGAGCTTGAAAGAGCAGCTCTTAGTAAGGGATTAGAAGCACGTCTTGAAACGTTGTCTTTTCCTGAGAGCGCACAGATCTCGCCACTTCAGCAACCATCTTCACGCAATGCGTCGCCTGTTCCACATCTCCCAGAATCTACCGTTCCTGTCGTGCCATCCGAGGAGAGATTCATCGAGGAGAAAGAAACAGTTACAGAGCGTGGGGCTGAGAGGCTCTCACATCGTATTCAATCATTAGCCAATTAGTGAAACGAATCAGCTATTTCCTTTTAGGTTTCGTGTAAGACGTTTTATGTACATTAATATTTTAATAGAAATATGATTTCCTTAGGAATGTGAAATGATGCAATAGTTTTGATAAGAATTGATATTTACGAAATACTGAGTAATATATTTGAATGATGAATTGTGGATATATAAAAATTAATGACACTACGCATGCGTATATCCAATTGAGTAATCTAAAAAACAAAATGAAACTATGACGTAGTAGGTATCCATTATACCACAGGGAGCCTTCTTAAACTCCTACAATCAAGTAAATGTGAGTGGAAGTATAAGGTAAAGTCTAGAATTAACAATAGAATAGCAAGATGATCCACACACAATCACAAAGAAGACGCTCATCAATTGACCCATCAAAGCTCCAGCCGATGTTCAAGGTATGTACTACTAAAATGCATCGACAATCACTCAATATACCGTCAGGTTGAACACAAACCAGGACCTCAGTTCAACGTCATGTTCATCGGCGCAGGTAACATAAACTTTGGTTCTGACGAAGGTCCTTGGAACCACAGTGCAAGAATAGAGAACAAATGGGGCACCAGATTGAGAGTAACAGCCCTCATTGATCCATCAAAGGAAAGAGCTGATAAGGAATTAGAAAAGAAGAGAGCTTCTTTCGTCGCTGTCGCGTACAACGACACAAAGTGGTTCCCAAACCTGGCGGAAGCTCACGCTAATCTTAGCCCAGCAGAGCAACCGGACGCTGTTATTGTTGGTGCACCACCACAATTCAGAGGTGGTTTGAACCCACCTGCAAATTTGGAGCTTGACTTGTTGGAAAAGTTCCCAGATGCTGCATTATTCCTTGAAAAGCCTGTAACTACAGGTCCTTCAGCAGAAGCCGTAGAAGTTGGTAAGAAGATCGCTGCAGCTGGTAACGTTGTCTCAGTTGGATATATGCTTCGTTACTCTCGTGCGGTACAAACTATGATTAAGATTATCGAAGAGAACAATCTGACTGTTATGGGTACAGTCGCAAGGTGAGATAGCTTCTTCTGCGGAAGTTTTAAGTTGACAAAGAGATAGATACATTGCCGCTTACGAGAAGATCGCAAAGGATGACTGGTGGGACAAATCTCGTTCATGTGGTCCAATTGTCGAACAAGCAACTCACTTTTGTGATTTATCAAGATACTTTGGAGGTGACGTTTCCTTAGATACCGTACAAGCACATTCTGTTGAATGGAACGAAGAGCCAGGAAAGCTTTCAAAGATGCCAATTGACGAGGAGAAGATTAAGATCGAAGATCGTATTCCAAGATTCACAACCGCTAACTGGAAATACGACACCGGTGCTGTCGGTACACTCGTTCATGGTGTCGCACTTCACGATACTGATTACTACACTGAGCTCACCGTATACACGGATGGTCACCAATTGAGACTCGTCGATCCATACAACAACCCTGCACTCTATGTCAGAAAACCAGGTAGCAATGCAGAATCTCACATGAGTTTCGCTAACGATGATTGCTTCTACTCTGAGATTAGCAACTGGGGAGATGAAATTGAGAAGCATGAGGAACACAACCAAGGCGAAGATCTCGATACAAGAATTTTGTCCACTTATGAGGATGCTGTACAATCTTACGAACTTACATGGGCAATTCGTAATGCCGCTGAAGCAGGAAGGAAGTTCCCAGCTCAGAACTAAAGATAATTATGTACTATGAATGAATGATAGCTTATTTGCACAAAAATTTTCATTGTTTGCATTTCAAAGAAGACATAAGACATTTGAAACGTAAAATATCAAGTAATTGTGAAAATGTTTATAATTAAACGTCCTTGTGACTGGTATTGAGCTTCCGCTTATTATTAGAATATGACTTCATTAATTACCGGCAACATCGATTATGATCCAAGAGCGTAGAACGTTAGGGCAAACGGTCGTATTTGATGATATACCCTCCGAAAGAATAGAACAACGAGTGTCTCCTTTATCTGGTTATAGGAGTAAACGACACATTTATAACGCTGCATACCCGCGGACCCTAGACGGAAGCACAACGATCTATCCAAAGAGGAGCATACCGCATCCCAATGAGAGTAAGGCTGAAAAAGGCACTAGAATTTCGTCAGAATTGGACGAAATTGTCAGTGCGAGGGTCAAAGCAGGTGATAAGGAGTCAATGGAGGTAAACGGAGAGCGTATCTATTGCGTCATTGAGCGTCTAGTTCACGAGAAGGCTAGAGGTGATGGTCTCACTTTGATTTTGTGCCACTCAAATGGTTTCGTTAAGGAGACCTGGGACGCGACGCTAGAAGAGCTAATCAAACAACCCGGACATCCTATTGATGAGATTTACTTATTCGAATGCGTTAACCACGGGCAGAGTTTCCTCCTGAATGCCTCCAAACTTGGTTTGGTTTGTAAGTGAGAGTAACTTGGAATGCTATCTAACAACCAACCTAGTCGACTGGTCGGATTTCTCACGTGATATACTTACTTTTTTGACTTACTATTTACCACAAACTTTCACTTCTGAAGATTTACCAACAAAATTACCCTTACAACACACACGGACAGGTCCGTGGAAGAACTTTGAGAGTACCCGCAAGATTACCCCTATTGGACACTCTTTGGGTGGTACGTCACTGTAAGTTGATTCAACAACTTGATGCATTTACTGACAACATTAGCGCATTGGCGTATGCAGAAGCACCCAAGCTGTTTGGACCAGACGGATCACTCATACTTATTGATCCTATTATACGTATACCAGAACATCCGTTAGAATTTAAAGCAGGCGTGCAGCTAAAAACAGGATTGAAGACACAGATACCAGCACAACTCGCTCTTAAGAGGAGAGACAGATGGGCTACCAAGGAGGAGGCCTTCAAGACAATGACGAAATCAGCGCTCTTTTCACAATTTGATAAGAGAGCGTTGCAAGCGTACGTTGAATATGGTACTATGGAAGATGAAGATGGGAATGTTACATTAGTAACAGACAAACTCCAAGAAGCTGCAGTCTTTGCTGATGATTTGGCATTCTTCGAAGGTAGTTCCGCAATAGCAGAGCTGTCTACCAAGATAAAAGTGCTAGTTGTTTTAGCATCAAAACCAGGTCCTATCACAGCAGTACGAGATGAAAAAGAGAAGGAAGCTATCTTCAAAGGCACACAAGTCGAGGAGATAAATTCAGGACATTTGATAGTACAGGAAGTACCAAATAAACTTAGTAAAGTAATAAACAACTTTATAAATAACAAACTGAGTTGTAAACTTTAAAACATACCTTTATTATCAACAACCATTTTAAGAAGAATATCGAGGATGTCCAAATGTGCAGGAGTTGAGTGTCAGCAAGCGAATGCTAAAATGCAATGTCCAAAGTGCAAAGACCTTAATATTTCGTCCTTCTTTTGTGGACAAGATTGCTTCAGAAAGAGTTGGTCGGTTCATAAAGCAACCCACACACAGGCGAACGATGTGAATATGATGAAGTTAGCAGCTGCACTCAGGCAGTCTGGTTCTGCTATTGGCGCTGGTGAACCCTTAGAAGACGGAGCATACGACCCGTTCCCAAATCATCCATACACAGGCAAACTTAGACCACATTACCCACTTAGTCCAAAATCTATCGTACCAGATTCAATTACTAAGCCAGATTACGCTAAAGATGGTACGCTTAATTTTATCAAGTCGACCTACGGGTGAGTTTGCCCAGGATATTAACGAATAACTCACAGGAAACCCACGCGGTGAAATCAGATTGGCGAAGGGTTTAGCGACTATCAAAAGGTTATCTCCTGAAGAAATCGACACAATGAGAAGAGTTTGTCGCGTGAGTAGAGCTTTTGTTATCGGAAATTTTTCTCAATAGCATACGCAGCTCGGTAGATACATACTTGATAAAACTGCTCAACAAATCAAACCAGGTGTGACATCAGACGCACTTGACAAATACATGCATAAACTCGCTATCGAGAACGGTTCATATCCTTCCCCATTGAATTATCACGGCTTTCCAAAATCAGTATGTATCTCTGTAAACGAAGTTATCTGTCATGGTATACCCGACAAACGTAAATTTAAGGAAGGTGATATCGTCAATTTAGATATCAGTGTATACAAAGATGGTTTCCATACTGATTTGAATGCAACTTACCCAGTTGGTTCTGTTGACGATGCTAGTAAGAAACTTATTGAAGTTACTAGAAGATCGTTAGATAACGCTATCAAGATCTGTAAACCAGGTACACCATTTAGAAATATTGGTAGTCAAATACAACCAACCTGTGACAAGGAAGGTTTCTCAGTTGTTAAAACCTACACTGGACATGGAGTTGGTAGGGAATTCCACCAAGCACCAACTATTCTCCATCATGAGAACATGAGAAGCAAGGGTGAAATGAAGCCAGGTCAGATATTCACAATTGAACCGATGGTTAACGCAAGCAAGAGTTATCATGTGGATCATTGGAATGACAATTGGACTGCTGTTACAAGAGATGGTGTTAGAAGTGCACAATTCGAAGAAACTATTTTAATCACTGAAGATGGTTGTGAAGTCCTGACAGCTGCTGATGATTACGTACCACCAGCTGAGCATGTTAAAATCCCTACTATAAAATCTGATCAAGATGTTATATCCATCCAAGATATTTAGTAGACATATATGCATTAATTTATAGATTTTTCACTCTTTATTGAGCTACTTGAACTTGTTGGTTGTGATGCTGTATTGGTATCTATGAAACTGTGCTCTACCTTTTCGAAGTATGGTTTAGCAAGTCTGATATTCATCTGTATGGCTGATGGTGCTAATATAGTTTAGTTACTTATCTTAATAGTGTGAAAACTCACAAATGTTGGTATTATCGGTTATTACCAATATGTAAGTATTTACTGTGAGTGGTTCAAGGACTGCATTGTAATATTTTTCTGATATTTGCATAGAATTGAACTGATTGTTGAGTTTAGAGCACGAGTGCTTGAAAGATTTGATAAGCTGACTGATCTTTTCGAAACGGTGTCTCGATAATTTGATATTACGGTTCGTTACGTTGATGTATTCCTCGTCATTGTCATCCTCATCTTCAAGGTCGATCTCTTCTTCTCCGTATTTATTAAGTGTCGTTTGTCCAATAACAAGAAAAGTTGTCCTCTCGAATAAGACAACCTCGGTTGCATGAGCTTGTCTAGCGAAGTGTGTGAGCGCTCCAGTCATTTTACTAGAAGAAGGGAGTAACTTTGTCACAATTTTTGACCATGCCTTGTAAAGTGATTGATCCCATATACTTGTCATAAAGCACTCAACTTCGATATTATCATTGTATTTTATTATTTGATCAACAGATTGAAAAATTTCATTTCTGCGTCTATTGAAGACAGCATATATGTCCTGCTTGCTAACTAAATCCATTTTATTTACCAAGATAAAGACTTTAAGGCTATCATTGTCCTTTCTATATTCTTTTAAACCTTCTAAACATTGTGAGAACCAGCTTAATTCATCGCTTGATTGATTCGTTGGTGTCGTAACATCAAAAACGTAAATAAGGACGCCTACATCTTTGAACACGTCTGCGCGTTGATGCGATATATAACTTGATAAGAAATTCGTTTGTCCACCGCAATCCCAGATGTTTAGACTGAGTGAACTGAGGAGTTGTAGTGATTGTGCTTCTATTGAAAGTGTAGCTTGTACGGTAGAGGTTGAATCGCTTGATTGGCTGTTGCTAAGAAGCTCTTAGGAATTGTAAGAGAGTATCGTCTATGACTCACAATATAATACTTCGCATGGAAGTTTTACCAGATCCTTTGAATAATTAGGAAACAGTTCAACTTCCTAATGAAACTCACCTGATTTACCCATAAGCAAGACTTTCTTCTTCATCTTGATCGTCGATGGCAAACGAAGAGCAAAGGAATAATTTATGGAATTATCTAGGATTCTCCTCAGATTTGGGTATCGGTGGTAGTCGTAGTAATTATACTCTCACTTCAGAGCACACTGTAGGGACAGGACTACCCACTCTACAAGGAACTCAACAGCAGAACGTTATCGAACGGCATTATAACAACCATCAACCTCATTACCCAACCAGCCAACAAAACTCTTCCGATTCGGACGCTTCTGGAGAATTCGACGATAGCTTATACGACCAAGAATCGCGTAATCTACGCGAAAATAGAATAAAGAACGATTTTGGTGGCGCTATTAGCCCTGCTTATATAAATGATACACTTAATCAACGTACTAAACGCGATAAACAGGGTAGCAATCCAAAAGTAAATAGTAATGGTCATTCGCTACGCTGTGCATACTGTGCAGGTGATTACGATCTTAATTTTAAAACAAACAAACCAGAAACTATGATCACCTGTGGTCAGTGTCAGTCATCAGGTTAGTATATATCTTCTGAGAAGACACGCTCTGACATCACAAAACAGCCCATCCGACTTGCTTACATTTCACGCCCACACTTACGCAAAATACTCTGTCATACAACTGGTCATGTGTAGATTGTAAAGGCTGTGAAGTCTGCAAGAATAAAGGAAATGAGGATGATATCATCTTCTGTGATCTTTGCGATAGAGGCTGGCATATGCATTGCTTGAATCCACCAATGAATGAACCACCAGCGGGTGACTTCGCTTGTCCAATCTGTTTACATGCGGGTAAAACGCTCTCGATGCAACAACCAGCACAGGCGCTTCCACAACAACAGCAACAACACCAGCAACCACATGCATATTCACAACACCAGCAACATCAACCATACCCTAATGCTATACAGGCTAACAGTGGTGCAAATATACCATTACACTCACCACTGACATCTTATGATTTCCACCCACCCCCACCTTTAATCGGAAACCTGCCGACACCTCAGCAATCAGCTACAATCCTCAATGCAAGTAAGGCAATGCTTATGGGTAGACCTGCCCCACCTCTTTTTCCAAATTTTTCTCCAATCGCTCCTGCAGCTCCAAAACAATCCAAAGGTAGAGGACGACCACGTAAGATACTGCCTAATGGTCCATTGGGTGTTCCTATGACACTTGAAGAGAGAGAAAGGGAGAAAGCCATGATAAGGGAAGAGAAAGCTAAAGCGAGAGAGGAGAGAGCTAGGCTGAAAGAACTGGAAAGGGAGAGGGATAAAGATAAACCAAAGAATCCAGTCGGTAGACCGCCAGGTCCTCGTGCATCTCTGAGTGCACCTAAACGTGTCAGTACTTTTATTGTCATTGATAGCGACGAGGATAAGATGCTTGAAGACAGAGTTCAAAATGAGCAGCAGCAAGGAGTGAATCAATCAGATGACCGGCAGCAACAGTCAGTGGAAATGCATCAAGGAGAACAACCAATGGAAGGTGTTGAAAGTGCACCTGCCGCTGGAGTAAACACTTCTGCTTTACCAATAAATAAGTCAGAGAATCAGGAAAAGAAGGTTCCACAAGGTCAAGCTCAAGCTGAACCAGAAGAAAACGATAACGATGATCTCTTCGGCGGTGTGCTAGATCCATACGAAGCACAGGTTACCTATTCGACACCACAAAAAGACGACAAGGAGAGATTCGAAATCGCACGTCAGAAAGCAGACGTGAGTAATATTTATCTATAATTCCCTATCACTAATTAAACATCAGATGAAACTGCAAATAAAACCAAAGAAGCAACAGCAATTCTTATCAGCGAATCCATCTACGCCACAAGCCGAAGAGCATAAATCGAAATCACCACCAATCAAATTCCTTCGATTTGGTAATTATGAGATACAAACGTGGTATGCAGCACCATACCCAGAAGAGTATACGAATTTGCCAAGTGGTAGAATGTTCATATGTGAATGGTGTCTCAGTTATCGTAAATCTGAATTTCAGATGAGCAGACATACACTCAAATGTAAATATCGATACCCACCTGGTGATGAGATATACAGGAATGAAAATGTCAGTATATTTGAGGTTGATGGACGTAAGAACCGAATATATTGTCAAAACCTCTGTTTATTAGCGAAAATGTTCCTCGATCATAAAACCCTTTATTATGATGTTGAACCGTTCTTATTTTATATAATTACAGAACACACCGCCAATGGTGAAGAATTCGTTGGATATTTTAGTAAAGAGAAGCGTTCAGGCATGGGATACAATTTGAGTTGTATTATGACACTTCCAATTAGACAAAGAAAAGGATGGGGTATGTTTGCAATAGATTTCAGTTATTTGCTATCACGCAAAGAGGGCAAAATAGGTACACCTGAAAGACCGCTTTCAAAACTTGGCTTTTTGTCTTATAAAAGATACTGGACGACGGCAATCTACAAAGCACTCTTGAGTACCGAGCAACCACACACATTAGGTCAATTGAGTGAACTAACTGGTATGACTATTCCAGATGTGACTTTCACATTACGACAAAATCATCTCATACATTCTGTCATTGTTGGTGATGAAAAGGACTACGTGAATGAGAATAATACCTATAGGACTCGCACTAACAAACCACATCTCGAAGAACATCCAGAAAGAGCCAATAATGATGATCCTACTAGCGTACCAGTACCTGCTCCTAACACTTACAAGATTACTTATAATAAAAACACACTAGAAGCATACCTCGCTAAAGATGCGGCTAAAGATTACGTTAGACTTGCTCAAGATAAGCTTAGATGGCAACCATTTATTACACATCAATCTCAATTGCCACAATCTACTACAAATGAGAAAACAGAAGAGGATAAGGAGAATAAATCCATCGCAAAAGATGTAAATATGATTGAGAACGATCAAGGATCTGACAAACAAGACGAAAAGCTACATGAGAATGATGAGCAGAATGCAGGAATAATCAAGAATAACAATCAAGATACCCAAGTAGCAGTTTGAGTAAAATTAAAGAACAAAATATTCTTGTATTCTTGTAGAAGTACATGATTTTTTTAGAAAAAAAAACATAAAAGCTAATATCCAGTAAGCAAAAAGAAGAAATGGTAGTACATTGACACTTTGACTATAAGGAGGAGTTGTGTTGATGCAATGAAGAAAGAATTGTCGTTAATAAGTGTTCGAGTATGATTTTAATCTATGAGTTCTTCGAATCTCGTTTTCTTTTTATATTGTGAATCGATACTATCATCATCGATAGCTCTCTTGGCTGCAGCTGTTGCTATAGCGACGGGTGATGCTCGTCCTTGATAATTACTATTATTGTCCATTGCACCCGAAGCTAAAATTCCTTGTAGCATGTTAACATAATTTTCATCTGACATTCCCATGCTAGCTAATGGATTAACAGTTTCACCATCATCACTTGTCATCGCTTGAGCAGCTAATGTAGCTGGATTATAGTTTAGCTCTTGACCGTTCGGTACTGATGTAGGAGCAGTTGATTGAGCTTGTTGATCCTGTTGCCATACAGTATTCTTGCTATCTGAAGAACTTGATGAACCTGATGACTGATTTGGTATAACGGCCTGAGCTGTTGACTGCAAAGCTTCAGAAATTGACTGATCTTTGAGTGGTGGTAAGCCAAGTGCCCTTGGTACTTCACATAATTGTTGCATGGTTTTCAAATGCAAAAGATGTTTCTCAACCATACCAAATAATCCCTCCTTGGTGAATGGCTTTGGCAAAATATCATTCATACCATGACTAAAGTAATTAAGTATGTCGTTAGGATTACTATTACTTGTCATTGAAATAATTGGTGTCATTGGATCAAATTGTCTAATTAAATTGGTTGCAGCTACACCATCTAAATTTGGCATAACTATGTCCATCAAGACTAAATCATATTTTGTGAAGTTCATCTTGTTGACAGCTGAAACACCATCATCCGCGACATCAATTGTACATCCGAATATTTGAAGGAATTTACTTGATAATTTCCTACAAACTGCATCATCCTCAACAAGTAAAACTCTTGGTGGTACTGTCCAATGAGCTTGAGGCTTTTGTAAAGTAGTAGGTGGACCCTCAGGTTCAGTTTTGACTGTAGATGTAGATGCACCCAAATTTGAAACTTGAGGTGCTCCTTGAGCCATATAAGCATTATTGTCACCATCTCTTTGTCTCAATTGACCGAAAGTGAATACTTTCAAACCTTGAGCGGATGGTTGAGAAGCAGTTTGAGGATGAGGACCGTGTACAATCTGCGGCTGTGGTTGTGATTGAGGTTGTGGCTGAGCTGGTGGTGTTGCCACTGGAGTTGAAACTCTCTTACGTTGATTATATGAAGAAATTTTCCTATTCAAGTCACCCATCTGTGAGAAGGTACTTGAAGCTGCTTCCTTATATTTACCAATTAATCTATTAACTTTATCATTATCAACATAGTTATTTGTTTTCATGTCTTGTTCTATAAGATGTTGTAGAATATTTTGTATTTGTTGATCCTGATTAATGAGATTCCTTTGAAATGACATTATGCCATTGACGACTTCCAAATAATTAGATTGTAAATTGTCAAATTGTAGATTAGTTTCTTGTTGATTTCTATTCAAATTTTCAATTTGTTGTTGTATATTAGCAATTTCGTGGAAAGTGGATTGATTTTGTAACTCTTGTGCGGCATTTGTAGTCTGCTGTTGAACGGTAGGTTTACCCTTGCCTGTAGGAGCCTTCCTTTTAATATTTTCAAGTAAATGACGGCAATTTGCCTTAAATTCTGGATGCTTGAACTCCCAAGTTTGATCACCCCATGGTTTCTCCTCTCCCTCTTCCCTTTTCACTTTGTGAAAGTCGTATTTGTTCAATTGCCTGACAAACGAAGCAAAATTTGAATGTTTGAAGTGGCGTGGGAGAATTAATTTTGTGAAGTCATTCATTTCCTATAGTAGGTTAGTACAATAGCAGACAGGCTATATATAAACCTTACCTTAACAACGAATGTCTCCCCTGAAGGTGACCAGCTGACTACAGAGTTGTACTGAGAATCCTCTAGCATCCTATATAGACATTAGCTAGATGCTTATAAATAAGCTGTAGCTCTCACATAAATAACTTCCTAACGAAATCCGAGGGTCCCGATGAACTGTTATTGCCGGTGGCTTGTGAGCTCTCGTCTGGCTTTGGTTTCTTCTTCTGCTGTGGCTGAGATAGCTGATTAGGTTGCCACTGTTGTTGTTGCTGTTGCTGCTGCTGTTGCTGTGCCCCATTGTCCATATAACTCTGATTCCTATCAATTCGTTAGGATAACGCTAGATTAAAAGTCTAACGAACCAGCCAGTGGACCAATTAGGCGGTATATTACTAGCTGAATAATAACCCGTTACCGGGAAATTATTCTGATAATCCATATCGTCGTTCGTCGTTTCTGATAGGAGTACATTTACCTATTTCAAGGCGGTGCATGAATAGAAAATTTAAATAATTGGTATAAATTTACAAGATATAAAGCAATTACATTCTATCTGCTATTTATAATGGCAATTGACTGAGCACTGTCTTTTTTAGTAATCTATCAGCTCAGCTCAGCTCATGACTTACACCTCTTCTCAATCTCATAATATTCAGCATCTTTATCTAATTCAAGCGATTCCAGTTGCTCAGATAATCCTCTCTCATATGTATTCATTGGTAGATAGCTCCTCGCCCTATCGTCATTACCATTTCCAGCTATTTGAGCATATGACCGTGCTGAACCCTTACTATTAACGTTAGAAGTTGCAACTTTCTGTTGAGAACTTCCTGGAATTTGTGGTGGTGACTTTGTTGGACTAACTGAGAGGTTTATCTTAAGATCTGGGTATTGTTGCAAAGACGCTGCTGCTATCGCTTTCGCATTCGTATCATGAACATGAGCAACAGACTTTGAAGGCGGTTTAGGTGCTCTCCCTGATGATTTATCCCAACAGGATTCTCCAGAAACAACGAAAATAGGCATCTTAAGCGACATCGCTGTTTGTATTTCGTTGAAGCAAAGTGCTTTCATAGTTTCAACACGAGTAGGTGGGCGTGGACCGCCTCTAGTTAAGCATTTCGGGCCATTCTTACAAGTGTTACGTTCTGCCCAATTTGTAAGACCACATTGAGCACAGACCCAGTCTCCGAACTAGAATAATATTAGTAATAGAGTAAGTATAAACTAATAGACCCACCTTCCAGAAGTAATCAATAGTAATGTCGTTTCTTCCAATTTGAGCGAGATGTCTGATAAGTAATGGTGACGTTTGATGGGCCTTGCTACCAACTCCTGGTAATTTAAGCTGATTCGGTGTGAGATGTTGAGGAATATCGCAATAAATTGGCAAGTAAGCGATTGTAGATCTTTCTCTTCCAACGCCCTTGAGTTTTAAAAGATCATCGATCGCTTTAACTTCAAACGAACCAAGTGAGGGTCCTAGCCATTGAACCAATACTAATACGATCTTCCTGTCATTAGCTCTAGCAAATGGAGGTGCAGGTAATCCAGATACACTGAGTGGTGGACTCAGTGGCGGTGAGTTGAAGTTCTGTGAGACGTTGATATCGTCTAAGCTCGTCTTTGGATTCAATACGCGTTCTCTTATTTTATCGTAATAGTTATCCATTCTACAGCCGATAAAGCCCTGGTCGTACGAGGGAAAGTTATGATGGCTGTATGTCATAGTTGTCAGCCCACCGAAATCTAGAATTTCATGGATTTTTTAATTTATTGTTTGTCTTATAATATAAATGATATACGGCAATTAAACGATTATACCATATCTTTTATATCGTCGTGTGAATATTTTAATATCCGCCAAACCGCATTGAGTTGAGAGATGAATTGCATTTTCGTCTACCTCCCTTGTTTGTCATACTAGCAATATAACTATCTCTTCTATATCTTCACTTAACATCTTGATCTTCAACATTGATGAGCTAATTATGCTCAAAACGTTATTCACACAGCAGCAAGGATCAACAACGCGTTAGTTTCTTATTTAGTGGTTTGATTTATCATTGATTATATTTACTTAGCACCAAACACGCCGCCTGTACCACAACTCAAAAAGTCAATTCTGAAAGAGAACGGTACACCAGCGAAAGGGAATTCAGTTAGATTCTTCAGTAGAGACGCATCCTCAATTGATAAAACCAAAGAGAAGGAGAATAACTTTGCATCCTTAGATTTATTAGCAAACTCACCAAATCCGTTTTCTAGAGCAGTACCCGCGAACCCACCTAGTACCACAATAACAGAGGATTCTCTACAAATTGAAAATATCAAAGACATACCTAGATCTTCCCCAGCCAAGTTGAAGAAGGGTACAAATGGTGATATTGATATTGAGCGCGTAATATTGTTAGAGGAAGTTGTCAACGCACTCAAAAATGAGTTAGAAGTAGAGAAAGAACGCCATCATAGTTCTCAAGAAGAAGTACAAAGGTTATCAAATGTTTTAGACAATAATGACGTAGAAAATCAACTGAAATTAATGCAGAAGTCTTATCAAAGTTTGAAAGAGAAGATAACTTCGAAGATCCAACAACATGAAAGTGAAATTGAGAATTATAATGAAAAAATCCGTCAATTGGAGTTATCAAATCAGTCAGTTGAATCTACCAATCAAATGTTAAATACGACAAACTCAACTTTAGAATCTGAAAATATATCCTACAAAGAGAGTATAAGTCAATTGCAAGAAACTAAAAAGGATTTAGAAATAAGTTTAGACCAACTACGGAGCGAACATACTAACGCAGTAAACGCAAGGGATGAAGAAAGGGCGCATTCGGACAACTTGGCAGTTAAATTGCACGACTTGCAAACAAAACTAGAGGAATTACAAAACGTGATCGCTAGTAGATCGAATGAACAGATGTTAAATCAATTGAAACAATTGAAAGATAACTCTATGAAAGAGATTATCGAATTACAAACAGAATTGACTCGTCAAAGGGAAAAATCTGAAGCCCAGATATCCACATTACAGAACCAATTGAATGAATCATTGGATGAGCAGATAAAACATGAACACAAGAATAGTACACTCAACAATCAGTTGAACGAAATGGAAAATGAGCTCAGAAGTGCAGACGAAGCGATAGCTGAGGCATCCAATACCCACGAGGTCCAATTGAATACACTCAGAAACGAGTTGTTCAGCTTACAACAACAGCAACAACAACAACACAATCCAGATCCTGAATTATATGAAGAATTAGAATCACTGAGGATGCATTCAGTTAATTTAGAGAGGGAATTGCAAGATACTCATCAACAATTGTCACAAGAGAGATCACAATATGGGGGTCTCCCAGAAAAATTCGCACAATTGCAAGCAGAACGTGATAATTTAGAAGAGTTAAATGAGGGTCTCGAGAAAGCTCATATAAGGTTACAGAAGGAGCTTACAGGCTCAGGGAAATTTCATGATCAAGCACACATAATTGAGAAGCTTATGAAGGATCTAGAGAGGTATAAGCAAGCTCACAATAATGACCAAGTGGTTATATCGAAGCTGCAAGATGATAATACTAGATTGAATACCGACTTCGAAAATATCAAGATTGCTTTGCAGGCGAAGCAACAAGAAGTTCATTCTGTGAGTATATGTGGAAAGTAAACATTTCATCTAACATTTCCAAGGTGCGAAGGATATCTGGTGTTCAAAAGTTACTTACAGCAGACGACACGATAAATACCTCTCGACGGACATCGAGAAGATCATCAGGATTTGGACGTCCATCACGTCCATCATTATTAAGACAAGAGAGTACGCCATCGCAGGAAGACAGGCCGTCGGAAGTGCTACGACGTTCTGTCACAACTCCATCTACAACGGTCCCACCCAGACCACCTACATTGATGGGTGGCAGGAGAAGGCAATCTGAAAATATGCGTACATTCTTAGGTTCATCAACTTCCACAGTTAAGCCCTTAAATCATCGTGTAGAGATAATAGAACCAGATTCACCACCAGTGAATGATACGCATAGTTCAATCATGTCATACGGTCAAAATCAAGATATACGTTCACCTTCATTCGTTAATAACACTCAAGATGCACATTCAGAGCTAGAAAAGATGGCAACTTCTGAGTTGAGTTTTGATAGCTCGACGCCATCTTTGCCAGAACCATCAGAGCAACTTTCGTTTGATGTGGATATATAGGACATTAAGTTAATTATTCGTTTTGTTAGTTGTATTAATAAATAAACAAAGTTATATTTTACAGTAAAGTACAATACTGAAATCTCATAGTTCCAGATAAGAAAGTGGACGATTGATGTTTGACGCTAACAAATATGTACTCCAAATAGTTGCGGTTTCAGTCCAATTACACAGGGTGACTTGGATATGCCTCGACCTCCGATTCCACTTGTTCGATAAATCAAAAGATCTGGTTTTATATGATGTAACTATTTTGGTGAGTGAGAAGATCATAAACCTTACATGGTGAGCCTATCAACTCTTGATCTTACATTCGTGGTTTTCTAACAGCTCCAACATGGTAACTTACTTAGCATGATGCAGCTGCGATTGTTAAGGGTTCTAATAGGAATGACTTGCTCAACAACTAAATTTCGTAGAATAAGGATCGAAAACATGCTACCCGTCTTAATTCCCTCTTGAAAGCAGGATTACTTAAAATGACGTAGATTAACAAAGAGCTAATTAACATGTGGAATCTTAGAATGTTACATTAATCAAATCAGTTGTATTATTAAATTAAAACTTTTATTATTCTTTACCAAGCGCTTTTTTGTAACGTGATAGCGCTCTGTCACGAGCGAATTTGTGATCAACGATAGGCTTTGGATAGTTAAGCTTCTGGAACTCATTTTTTGAGAGATGCTTAGCTGGCTCGAATAGAGCAGGTGGTTGTATACTTCTCAATTCAGGCAGCCAATGGTGAATATATTCACCAGTAGGGTCAGCCTTATTAGATTGTGAAATTGGATTAAATATTCTAAAATACGGCTGAGCATCAGTGCCTGTACCTGCCGACCATTGCCATCCACCGTTGTTAGAACCGAGATCATGGTCGATAAGCTCCCTCGCAAAAACCCTTTCACCTTCTCTCCAGTCGATCATTAAGTCTTTGCAAAGATAAGATGCGACTGTCATTCTCATCCTGTTGTGCATCCATCCTGTTGATATGAGTTGACGCATTGCCGCGTCGACTATAGGCCAGCCTGTCTTGCCTTTATGCCAGGCCTCGAGATGATCATCGTTGTACTCCCATTCGATAAATCTATACTTCTTGAGGAATGGATGTCCCATAGATATACGTGGGTTTACACATAAGACCTTTAAGGAGTTAGTTTGGGTAGTTAGAAGATATAAAACACACATTCTGATAGAAGTCCTTCCAGACGATCTCTTCAGACCACATACCGACGCCGGTATCTCTCGTGAGATCGATTTTGTATCCGTTCTTGAATTTCTGCGCCCTATTGAAGCATTGTCGTGTGCTAATCTGTCCTGAGGCGAGGTACGGCGAGATTTTAGAAGTTGTCTCTCCGGTTGTAATGTTACGACCATTGGCGTATTCTTTTATACGACTATTTTCCACATCTTCTTCTGCACCTTCACCCAACGGATTTGCTTCTGTAGCATCCTTTCGATTCTTAGTGTGAAGGAATCTCTCCAAAATTTCATCAGCTGTTTTTGGACCAACAGGCCATAAGTCTTTCATTTTGACTTTATCGTGACATTCGAATCCTTCAATTTCGTTGGGAATTTCCTTACCGAATAGGACCTTATATTGTTCTCTAGCTGACTTGTCATTGGCTTCCACACGCCCAGTTTCATCGCGATATGATGGATCATCGAGGACCATTTTCTCCCATGACTTGAGATTCTGTTAACTAACATGGAACGAATTGTAGAGTTTCTACACTTACTTTAAGATAAGCAGTATAGGTCATTGGAGGTTTATTTGTGGTTTTCGTAAGCACTTTGAAGGGTGGAACAATCATATTATCATGCTCAAGACGAACTTCAATCGACTGCTCATTCGCGAGGTTGATTACCTGAAGATCCCTGAACAACTCATCAATTTCGTACTCAATATTACCAAAAAGATGTTTCGCATTGTTATTCTTGACGAAATCAAGTATAAGTTGGGGAATTTCTCTACGTTTTTCCGCTGTGAATGTGTAAAGCGGTATATTGAGTTCATCGAGTTCTTCCTGGAGACTATGAAGTTTCCTCAAAATCAAGTCAATTCTCCTAGCTGAGCGATCATGTGCTGCATAATCTTCAGGAGAGAATACATGAAGTATTATGACTGGTATGCCATATCTAGCTGCATAATCTGATGCGAAACTTAATCCGCGTGAATCAACAATACGTAAATCATGCATACGCATCCAAAACACCACACATTTCTCGTCTTCATCATGTTCAACTTCTCTACGATTTTCTAACGCGTGATTAAGACGCAAAACTGGTGGATTTTCATCCATTTCATCGGCTTTACGAATTGAGCAAGCTTTTATACGTCCATATGATGGATATACGCCAGGATTCTCTTGCTTTTTTATTTTCTCTTGTGTTTGTCTCTTACTCTCGTGTAAATGTGGACTAGGAGAACGACTTGCGGTACGTTTCGTACCAGCTGGAGTTGGTGATGAAGGTTCTCTTTTGATATTACCCATTTGATATTTCTTTCGACCTATAAGGCGTATAATTTTGGTCGTTTTGGTAGAAAAAATCTAATAAATATTTGGAGCGAAGCGGGAAGGTTTAGTGAAATGACGTCAAACAAATTGCTACCGAATTTGGCTATTTTAGTGAGATTCTCAAGTAGAGTTTCAATAACAAACCAATATCATGGGGTACTCTACAACCATTCAACCAATCAGTTTGATTAGAGAACAATTGACATGAATTGTTCAACATTCATATAAGAATAAAGTGAAGCTACAATAGAGAGCGACTACATGAACTATTAATTCTAATTCTTATTAGCACTATTGGCGACGGCATCTTTGTACTCTTGCGTATTATTGAGTTGTGCCTCTACGTCCTTTTGATGCTTATCGAGAGCATCTTGGTATGAGTTTTTGTTGGACTCTTTGCCATGATCCTTGGTGGTATCTTTACCAGAATCTTTGTCTTGGTATTTATTCTTGTAATCGCCCTTACCAGTCTCTTGTGGTGCATACCAGATCGTAGTGGATGTGTAGTTGTCCTTACCGCCATACTTCGCATTAGTTGGCTCTACCTTGTAGTAGACTACGGTACTTGAGTATTTTCCATCTTTGTAGTTATTGCCCTAAAAAGGTTATGTTGTTCAGTCTAGTGAGCAAAAGTACCCACTTTGTTATCATTATTTTTGATATCATTCTTGCCATCGTATTTGTTGTCTTGTGTCTCTCCACGTGTAAATACTGCAGCATGAGCTACAGCAACGATTGCAGCAATTGTGAAAGCAATTTTGATGATCAGCATTCTGAGACTTTTGAGATGAGAGGCAAGACCAAAAGATAGCTCACTTTTATATCCAGCATATCCAATAATTGGAGTTGTGTGAAGTCCGGTGATGTTCTATTTCTGGAAAGATTATCAAGAACGAAGGGGAAGTTGGGCTGAGGGTGAAAATTTTGGAAAAACACTGAAGAAAATCACAGCGATAATTACACATAAATCAAATTAAAAAGTTCCAATCATGCATCTTGTAAAAGACCATCAAGGAGGAGCTCCTTCTCGCGTTCCTTTAGTGAATCAATAATCCAATCGAGTCCTTCACCATTCTCGAAGAAAGACTGTATATCATTTAGACCTACGCCAACTCTATGGTCCGTTATACGATCCTGTGGGAAATTATACGTTCTAATCTTATCGCTCCTGTCCATATTACCTATTTGAGATTTACGACTAGTTTTACGCTCTTCAACTTCCTCGCGTATCTGTCTTTCAAGTAGACGTGAAGCAAGAACTTCGTAGGCCTTTGTACGATTTTGCTGTTGTGAGCGGGTATCCTGCATCGAGACTTGTATTCCGGTTGGTATGTGGGTCAAGCGAACTGCACTTTCGGTTTTGTTGACGTGCTGACCACCAGCTCCACGAGCGCGCATAACTTCCACACGTACATCTTTCTCATCATACACTTTCCGCTGATTATTCTCAGCGAGAGGCATAACTAGTATACCAATCGTAGAAGTATGTACCCTTCCTTGAGTTTCAGTGAGGGGTACTCTTTGCACTCTGTGAACACCCTTTTCATATTTGAGTGTTGACCACACGTTAGGACCTTTAATTTCTACGAGAGCTTCCTTGACGGCACCTGCACCACCAGATGATTCGTTGGCCATTATCGTAGCTATCACTTCACTCTTCCATCCTCGAGTCTCGCTGTATGCTTTATACATTTTAAGCATATCCTGAACAAATAGACCAGATTCTGAACCACCAACGCCAGCTTTTAGTTCAAGGATCAAACCTTTCGGTGTTATTTCAGCTGGTGTATTAGATCTTAACAGACCATTAACGAGTTCGTTGAGAGCATCTTCTTGCGATTTCTGACATGATTCGATCTCCATTGCAGCCATTTCCCTTAAAGTCGGATCCTGTTCGGTTGTTGCCATTGTTTTTGTGCTGTCTAACGTCTAATTTAGTTGTTAAGTTGTGTAAACTTATCAATCAACTACGTACTTCAACTGAGTTCTTATAGGCATTGTACAAATCTGGAAGGGTATCTAACTCTTTCAACCTCCTTGATCGTATTGCTAGTGTTTTACTGTCTAATTCCGCCTATACGTCGTATAAATCAACGTCTTCTCTCTTCAGATTTAATAGAAGACCTACAGAATTCTCAATTAAACTTGTACGTTCATTTACGAATTTATCAGCTAATCTAAGTATTTTTGCTTCGCGATTTATACCAACTGCAGTAGCAAATCGTCTAGCCAACAGTTTAGTGATCATTGTCAAATCGCAGGTTGGTTTAATATTACATTAAGGAATTAAAATTATAAGTTTAAATATTATCTTCAATTCATTTACCACTTTTGAGTTCTCTGCCTTCAGATATCTAGATCGGTTGTTAGCTCGGTTGTTACACTGACGTTATACACTCACTTTTGTGTCATTCTTCGATAGTTTTCCAAATAATATCTTCATATCACCCTTGAATCGTTGACTGAAGCTTCTCTTTGGTGTCACTTTGGGGTCTTGTGAGTTCTTGACTATGTTAGCGGAAGAATCCGGTGGTGACACCCCATGAGCTGTTTTATTAGTTGCAATAGTCTGTGTGTTGTCAGTTGTACTGCTTTCTGTGTTCTCAGCAACTTTGTCGGTTTTTGGAGTATATTTGTCGGCGATAACAGCTGAAGTTGCACCAGCACCGCCAACACCTGCAGTTACACCAGCCAGTGCTTTAGTTGCTTTATTTGACTCTTCTTGTTTATTCAGATCATCCTGTTTTGAAACCTTTATGAGACACTCACAATCCAGCAAACAATTACTCACCTTTTTCTCTTGAGATGCCTTTTCGACGCGTTCCTTTGATACGCCTGGGATATATGGAATGGATTCTGGGTCTTTAGCTAATGTTTCGAGTGTTGGGAATGTGCCAGCTGGGAAATCCATTGGATTTGAGAGAACTTGGGCATGTTAGTTATTTACCTAGATCATTCATATACTCACCATGGTCACCATAATTCTTTGGCTTCCATTCTCCTTTCTTAGATGCCGCGACGCCAGCGGCAGCCGCACCGGTGATACCAGCAGCACCAGCTACACCTGCAACGGCTGCAGCTGCTTTATGACCATACTCTCCTGCAACACCAGGTTCTGAGAATGTGATTAGAATAATAAGAACCTACGTCATAACTCACTAGTGGAATCTGCCAAGTTTTTAACGACATTTGAAGGATCCTTTTCGTCAACTTTAAGCTTCTCTGCGATCTCGTGTAGATTGTTCGGAGCGGAGTCGTTGGCTGATTTGGAAAAGCCATCTGTATAGTCTCCAACCTTCGTGGCGGCTGCTTCGTAAGCTCTTGTAGCTGCGTCTTTAGCCTGATTTGAAGTGTCTTTGAGAGAAACTATAGGGTTATTTAAATTGCTTCAGATAATTGTATATAGTTCTTACCGCCAGTACCAGCTGAAGCTATTCCGCCGACAAAGCCACCTGGCATTGCCGTATCGATGTCAGGCGTGCCAGCAGCACTACCGGCAGTATCATTTGATTTTGTAATTGGGTTTGAGAGATTTGCTGTCGTATTAGTGACAGGCTCTACGCTACTCTCAGCTTGCTTGTCTGCCTCCAAACCTAATGATTCTTTTTCTACAGTGAGAAGAATGGTGAAGTAATAGTAAAACACTCACTCTGAACTTCTTGAGCCCAATCGTCAGAGTTCGTTGGTGGCGTGTTTATTGATGGTTTACTCGTCATAATGATGGTTTCAGTTTAACGCGTCGACGTCACAAAAATAGATAATTAAAACAAAATAAGTAAGCGATTCATTTTACAACTTTCGCAATTCTTTTTCAATTACAAGTCTAACGTCCCTCAACGTCATCGCAGAACGGTTTCGAGATGGTGATTCAAACACAGTTCCGCTTAAGGGCGATTTTGGCGATTTTGGAGAACATGGCGGCGTAGCCTTTCTCGGTGATGTCTGAGAAGGAGTAGTAGCAGCCAAAAGTGGATGCTGGGCAGGTGATGGCGGTACAATCGGATTAGACGTACTCGTTGGCATTTCGAGATATTCGACTTTATCAACGACTCTCATGAATAAGTAGTCTGGGCAGAGGTTGCAGAGCATCTTCAATGAATCGACTGCTTCAGCTGAAGGTTGCTGTTAGTAAATCAGAAACACATGTAAAAGCAATATCCTCACCAGCAGACATCGCAACTTTGCTTGATTTGACAATCACAGAAGCAACTTCTTGTAACGGTCTCGCTCTTCTCTTACGTGATGTAGGTGTTGGTAGACTAGCAGAAGGAGAAGAAGCCACAGATGAAACGTTTGGCGCGAACAATCTAGGCTTGTTAGGTATGTCAATGTTTGAAAGAAAAGAAACCCACAAATAAACCGCCTCCGCTACTGCTGGCAACCTACTCAATCTACTACGGCGTTGAAATTCTTGAGACTTAATTGCATGTGATTCCTTATCGTTACCATATAGTTGATCACCTCTGGCTTTGAGTTTGAGATCTTGTTTGGCGCGTATACTAGCTTCTAAATTCTTTTTCCTTTCTGCCATTGTTAATGATTGTGGTGCTTCTTTAGTATGAGTTGGTTTGGAAGGAGTCTTGAAAACATCATCTTCATCATTCAATGTTTTAGCCCTCTTTATTGATTTCGGTGGTGGTGAAGGAGACTTAACTCGTGAGCGTTTAACTGGTGCAGTGCGTAATAAAGATTGTGAACTATTGTAAGAAGCCATCCTTTTCAAAGCATCTGAAGGTGTTTTTGGTCTTGACTTGCTTGGTAAGTTTGGTAACAACTTTGTTGGAGTGCTGGTGAGACTCTTCAAGAAGTCTTTCGGATAAGGAGATTGGGCAGTTGGTGAAGTTGGTGACATTGGTGCTTTCATCTTGGCTTTTGTGGCAGTTGAAGGTGGAGTGAGTAAACCAGAGGATTGAATTGAAGATGAAGGGATTGACTTATGAGTTGGAGTCTTTGTAACGTCGTCCAATTGCTGGTTCATCCACAATTCAAATTGTTCATTCACCCAAACTTGAGCTCGTTCTAAGACTTTTTGCTTCCTAAATTGAGTCTGATTGAGCCAGTGATTTTTAGCGTTTGTGAAATCTCTCATTACTGCAATTGCACCCTTTGCTGGTGATGTTGATGTTGATGGACTGTCTATTGCGACCTCCAAACCGATAGAATAATCATTGCTACGCGTTGTTGAGATGATAAAGCCGATATCATCATTCCAGAGGTATCCCAAGCGTGATAAGGATTGAGAGTTGAGATTCTTTTTACCTGAGCTTGCTACTAACTTTGATAAGGTTGATAAGTCAATTAAACTTGGGTATCTATATATAGCAGATTGACCTTTGTGTGTAATAGCAGGTTGTTCTATAGTTGAGCATGTAGATAAATGTATTCTGAACGCGTTTTCAACTGCGTTATGCAGGTCTAGCAAGCTGGAAACGGCAACTGGGAGGTTAGACGATTTCTGACGTGTTAATTGTCTAGGTGGAGGAGCTTTCAAAGTGTAACCAGATGGTGAGCTAGTTGTAGCAGTGTAAATATCCTCGTCTATGTCGTCGACAACGTCTTCCTCTATTAATAGAGATTTGTTTGTTGATTTAGCAAGTTTAAAGAATGGAGAGTTCTGTAATTCTTTTGAATTCGCAAGTAAATTAGCATTTTTTGGCATTTTTATTATTTATGACGACAAACGCGTCTTAGAAGTTAAAAGACGCGCTTCTTAGTTGTGTGACTAGAAATAACTTAATTACGACAATCGAAACGTTTTTCTTGATTTTTTATTTTTAAAATGGTAAATATAATAAAACTAAAAATTATTTACTTTGTCTCACAAACAAAAGACAGATAAAATCGATGACACAGAATTAGAAACATCTACAACACCAGGATACAACCCAGGCGAGAAGAAGACGGTCGACGAGTACGCTAAGTTAGATCAACATGACGAATCTTTGAATAAGTGGAAAGCTTCACTTGGTATAACTGGTGATGCTTCCGCACCAGCAGACAAACCAAAGGTGGAATTCTTGACTTTGTCATTAGAAGCTCCAACTTTAAATAATCCAATCAAGTTCAACTTATCAGACTTTATACCAAATCAATCAGCCGAATCCAAGCAACACTTGAAATCCAACCCTGTAAATATTAAGGAAAATTCTGATTATAACGTCAAGCTTGACTTCAAAGTCAATTATGATGTCATTTCAGGTTTGAAATACGTTCAAGTCGTCAAGAGATCAGGTATTACCGTTGATAAATTACAAGAAATGATCGGTAGTTACGGTCCTAAGGCTGAAGTTTACGAGAAGAGGTTCCCAACAGAAGAATCACCTTCTGGTATGTTAGCAAGATCAGGACAATACCAAGTCAGATCTAGGATCACAGATGACGATGGCAATCTTTATTTGGATTTCGAATGGTCGTTTAAGATAACGAAAGAATGGTAAAACAAAGAAACTAAGAAATACATTTATCCTCTATTTGATTGATCTATTGATCTATTGATAGTTCTGCTGATTGTAAGCATCCATTGCTGGCTGGTTCTTTATAGTACCACCAGTTTCTTGTGTTGAGCTTGAATCCGAGAGTTGTTGGATGTCAACCTGCAGATCATTTAGATAAGATCTTATTGTGTTACATTAGGACTCACTGGTACAGCACCTACAGCGCTTACAATGGCAACGATCATGGTGACTACGAAAAATCTCATTGTGGTCAAGGTTTAAGAGTGCGTCGGACTGCTCCAACCGCCCTCATCAAATTCTGCACCGATCAGTAATCAAACTGCGGGGTAAAACCAAACTCTAGACAGTTGTTTCATATAAAACCTCTACAAAAAAATATTTATTTAAACACTTTTAAATGCGCATTTGCTCTACTGGTCAGTCAGATTTGGTTAAATTGATTCCTTCCTTTTTCAGCTGTTGTGGTACACATCCTGTCTCTCCGATATGGCTATGTCGCAGATTGCACAACGAAAGTCAATTAACCTAGTTATTATTCTCATTATGCACTCTCATTTTATTTATTTACCGCCCTGTTTATTAGCCACCCTGCATATGGCCAACATCCGCAGTTAATATCACTTCAATCAATAATTCATCGTGAATCGTTACAAGATCATAGCATTTCGTTGTTAGACAGTAATAATAACATTCACTTCTGTGTCATATTATTATCGAGGTTCTGTCTGCCTAATTGACCCATGTGTGAGCTGGGACGTGAGTCCTCCAAAACGGCTGGATCATCAGTGAATACTCTGTCGTCCTATTTATTCATCAGATTATTATACCATTAGTGCAATAGAACTCACGACGTTCAGCGTATCTTCACCGCTGTCCTTAGTTGTTTCGTCGAGTTGACCCTCACTCTTACGGGTCTTGTTTAATTTGTCGTTGATGAAATCTCTTGCTGTATCCCTAATTATCGCTTATAAGATAATGTAAGTCCCTTCAACAAATACCCACATTGTTTGTGTTATAAGATGAAGTTCTGTCAGAAAGAAATCACACACAGTGGCCCCTATAGCCATGACCAATTACGTCAGAATACCTAATGTCTTGTAACTTCTGATCAATCGAAACATAAAGTCTCAGATAATTGTTTCGGAGATAGTTTCGTTGAGCGAACTTGACCTATATCACTTTGTTTAAAATAAAAAGCGAATGTAGAAATCATTATGTGCTCGGAAGTTCAAAATTACTAATTATTCGTGGAGAAAATATATGCTTAAATGAAGTAATTTGCCACAATGCATGATGACTTTTGAGCGCAAAAAATAGATGCGCAAAAAAAACTCTCCGAGGTGGGCTCGAACCACCAACCTCTCGATTAACAGTCGAACGCGCTAGCCAATTGCGCCATCGGAGATCTGTTTTTAATGTTCAAATAGACGTTCAGATAAAGAAATGACAAATCTCCGAAAATGGTTAAAATTTTCAACTTCTTTGCATAAGGCGCTGCCTCTGGGGTTGACGGTGAAGGCTCAAATCCCCAACCCACAATAGTGTAATAGTTAGAATCCAATACGATGCAAAATCATCACAAAGTTTACGAATCCACTCAATAAAAGCTTCCAATTGAATCCTGTAAACTCAAAAAGTAAAATTATCCTAATGCTATAACAAGCATCGATGGATGGAGTTATAATTTGTATGTCTTAACAATATATTCACGTTTTATCATCATCATTTGTGCACAAAAACGCACAAGTTATACCATCCCTTTACGGTTTTTCAACTACCGTTGCCCACATATCCTGATGGTTTGCCGAAATGAAAAGAAACGAAGGAACATGAATTAACAAAACGCATTACGACATTTGTCAAAGAACACTTCAGCTAATTTGATATTTCAGATAAATGCTCATACTATAAGAATTTTGCTGGTCTCGCTTAGATTTTTGTCTAAACAATGCATCTTAATTCCATCATCATTACCCATTTTTCTTCTCTACTAAAGACACCGTCCGCACATTTGTTGCTTGCTCCCATAAAACTCAAAACGCAAATCAGTAATAAGAAAAATGAGTCCAAAACCAGAATATATGTTGTTAGTTGCTTTCTCTCTATTTTTATATACTATAATTTTAGGAGCTACTTACGATAACAAAATGAGCTAAGTATGTTATGCTTTCGTTTTGTCACCATACTTATTAGTACTGTGCATTGCCTTACTAATGATGGTAAAATAAATAGAAGATCCGATGTCGATGTCTAAACACATTTCTGTTTGCCGAAGCATGTAACGGATATCGGCTCGCATCAACTTGGAGTTTCACTCATCGTTTTAACAATTATAGACTACCATATTCACAACCCAGACAATATCTGTAAGCATCTACACCCAAAGCTAAAGTAAACACCAAAATCTCATTAAAAATCTTCAAAAGCCACACACACTCTACGATCAAGAACAGCAATGAAACATTAAACTACATCGTATACACTTAACTTCCAAACAATAGAATCTAGCCTAAATTACAAACCTTAACACGGTGAGCATTCTAGGACATAGATAGTAAGACTATTATTATACATGAAACTTTCGAACAAATAGTGAATTTCCAAACAAATTGTATAAAATTGACAAAACTCTCCAAATAAGATAAGGAAAAAAATTTACTCTTTACTGTAGATTTCTGTGATTTCCCCCTTCTCTACTAAATCAATGCACTGGAGCATGTTAAGTTATTTTTGGATACTCATCTTAGAGTGTATTGCAGCCTATAATATAACATACAGTAACGCTAAATACGTGCAAGCTCTTTCCTTAGCTTTCAATTTATCGGTCTACTGCTATAACCTTTACTATGGTTTACGCATATATATCAGTGAAAAGGATACTAATGCAGTAGCTGAACGAGCTTCTTACGACTTGAAGTCATCTAAGCGTGAGGTGACTGAAGTCGATATACAAACATATGAGTCTTCATTAGCGTATGCTTTAAGTGGCATGGCAATAGCTTTAGGTTCATATCTTGCTTCAGAAAACATACTAACAAGTATAACTTATTTAGTTAGTACATTTACTCTTTACGGGCAAATATGTGCTGGTATGTGGTATGTTTTGTTCTAATGCAATGACCAGCGTGCATACGACACCACTGGTAACTTAGTACCCCGACTTAAAAACGGTGGGTCTGAGTAATTCTCAATCCTCAGAAGTTCGTCACAATCTATTGGAGGTGGTCATATTGCTGGACCTTTAGTTGACACAGTCAGTATAACTTATCAATTGGAAAGCCAATATAGTCAGCCTTATGCTTAGTCCTCGTCTACGCTGGGAAATTAGGAATGTCAAATTGCATCAGATAATTTTGCGCACACGAGGAGCGCTAGTCTACAAATGAACTATCTAAATGTTAAGAGGACGTTGACATTGAGATATACTGCCCTCAAGATTGTTTGAATTCAAATACAGGTGTTGAACATACAACGTCAATTACTTGTCACATGCGGAAGTAACAGCAACAGTAACATCGACGTATTAAAATAGGAAATTAGGACAAGGGAAAAGTGCATAGCAGATAAAATGTTGTAAAAGAATGTCGATGTACATGTTAATATTTTTAAAATGTCCACAAAAAGAAGTACAAATTAATACATTGTTCAAAGTGAATTACAAGCTGAGATGAAATTGTTATATGATAAATATTAGATAATAAAGTGAACTCGAATATATCTGAATGTAATTTTAGGTGTTGTTGCTAATGTTTTGATATAACAGCAAATTGGTATGGGAAGTATTGAATTAGTAATTTCACATAGGAAACATAGTCAAGCTATAATTTGTGACAACCGTAGTGAATAACCTAAACTCACCTTCAAAATCCTTCAAATAAACACGTTCTGTTCCGTCATCTACTTTATAATCGAACGATTTCGAATCAGGAATTTGCGGGTAATAACACATGACTAACTCATTGCATTTAAGATCACTAAAGGCCTGCCAATAGTCGTCATATAGCTCATCATCTTCGATTGTTCTACCAACATAGGTGAATGTCAATTTGTCAAGATTTGGCATCATCTCTCCCAATGTTTTGACGTTTAACTGTTCGACTGATGAAAGTTTGGATATATCTTGAAATATGCTACTAAAAGTCAAGAATTGTGAGCATTCTATGCTTAATTCTCCAATTGAAGACGACGTTGGTATTGATTGGAGGGTGTCTTCAGCCATCGTCTTGCGATTTAGCTTAAAGTAATCAGTATTTGTCAAGCCTACTCTATAACCTGGTGATATCTCCATACGCATATCTAATTTCAATGATATTAGATTTGGTAATTCTGAAACAGCTTTCGAAATATCCACCAAAGCGTCTATCTGGGCATTCACGAATGTATGGAAGCCTTTAGAGGGTATTTGTAGTCGTCCTCTACACCAATTGAGTGTTCTTGGATTATCGTTATTCGTTACAAAAGATCTTAGCTACAACATAACCTACCTTATATACTTCCTAGCTTTCTCAGATGTTAGAAACTTGAGCAGCCTATCGACTTCGACAATCCTGCGCGTCTTCTTATATACCTCTTGGTCATATCTAATGATTGGGATTGTGAAATTGTGCCAAATGATCGGATCGCAAAGACTATTGAGAAGTCTACTAGCTCTTGACAAAGGAAGTATATTCTTCTCATCAACATGTTTAATTACGCGTATGAGTATATGGGAAGGAAGCGACAGAAGGGGGAATTTACTAGCGCGTTCAGCGCACTATTGATAACATAAGTAATCTATAGCTAACTAAATCTTCCAACTCACCTTTTTACAACCCACTTGTGGTAAAGTCGTGGGTTGCTGTAAGTGCTGGAAATGCGATAAGCTATTACCTTGATTACCATAAATGAGGTGATAATCGACCGGCATTTTCTTAGCTTTTGTCAATCGTGGCCAGAGAATAGCAGTGTTTTTATGGAGAATTAAATGGAAACCATCTAATGTCTTCTCAGCTATGTAACCGAATGTCTTTACTTTGTCGAAGAGTTCAATTTCCAATGCTATGTCGTATTGGCTTTTCGTATGGGAGGTAACAAGAAGCCTGCTGAATGTCGTAGTATCGATTATATCTACTTCTGGGAGCACCCTCAGTTGATTGAATTTGAAAGTAAGAAGAATAAGGTTTCTGTGGCTGTATTATAAAATGCAACACGAGTAGCTAAGTACCCACTCATTTTTATTACTATTGGATATTTGCTGATCCCAGCGCACTTCTGGTTTTACTTTTGGCATATCTGTTGTTGACGATGACGGTCGAACGAAGAGTACCAGAGAGCATGATACACATCTATACATTACGTGGTGTAACTAGCTATTTATTTGTTTACATTTTGTCACACTGATTGGCTGCAGCTTTTATATGTATTTTTGATAACAAAGAACAGGGAACAATAAGAATTCTAAATCATAATATAATACAAAAGTGACATCAATTTAATTTAACTATTTGTTGATAAACAATAGACGGTAGACTAGTCTGAAGCTCCTCACTCAGTTCCGCGGCAGTTGCGTTAAGAGTGTGCAATTGAGACTTTTCTGAATCCGTTGATTGCTGTTTATCAGCTAAGCTAACAGCAGGTCTTAACAACTTCTGTACTTTTTGGTCGGTGTATTTTATCTGTTTGTTTAATTCGGAAACGTTAACTTCCGTCGTATTTTTGTAGTCAAATCTACCAAGCTGATCACTTGCATCGTCTATAACATAATTCAATTTCTCTAATATTGGATTCAGCTGCACAGCTTTTGGTTTGCTAGTTGATTGATGTATCTTTGTCAGGCTATCCAAAGCCATCGTAAAGTTTGGATTTGTATCTATATTTTTCACTATTTCTAATATTGTCGGTTTATAAACTGGTATTGTAGTGTTTGTTGTGCTCGTCGTGTTCGTTGTGTTTGTATTGTTAAGTTCAGTGGCATCACTATCCAGTTGGCTTTTCGAACTTTGTATAGAATCTACAATTTCCATATGCTGTCTATTCTGCTTATATTCTCTAGCTTCTATTGCTGCCTCTTCATTGGGTATTGATTGATTAGCAAGTCCAGTTGCTGGGATTACAATTAGATATCATTCAACATCTATCGATCAAACTTACCTAAAAAGGAAAAGACAAAGAATATATTTATTTTCATCTTGAAGGTTACTACAGAAGAAGAACAATGCGGAGCTACAAATGTGATCACATTGATAGACCCCCCTTGGCGATTCTATACGCAGTTTTGAGACGAAACAATATTATGAATAATTATTGTTAAAATATATCTAAATTACTTATTATATGCTTTTATACTGTCTCTTTATACTAATAAAATGCATTATTTTCTCGCTGGTAAACTTTGTGAAACATCCTGATTGCGGATTCTATCGACCAACCTGTAGAATTCGCGTTTAAACAGTTTTGTTACAGTTTATTAGTTTATGATATCAACATCACAACCTCACCCTCTTGTACCTCTATACTATATTTAGCACGCAGCCAAGAATTGGAAATACCAAACAAAAAAGTTACATAAATCTACAAATTAATCATCTAGCTTTATTTGTTTATTATCACGATTATTATCTGGTTGTACATCGGATTTACGCTTACCGAAGCTAATCTTCGCACCCAACTTGAGTCCACCTTGTTCATTTGACTGGGTGCCACCCGAACTTGTAGTACCATTACCAATTGGAGCAAATGATGACTTCGTCCGCTTTTCAGTCTCGCTCGTCAGCGTACCTGACGCAGTACCACTGATGGGGACGAATGAACTAGTCCCTTGCCTAACAGGAGGCGCTGGTCCTGCTGATGATTCAACACTAGCCACACCAGTAGATGAACCGCGTTGGTAATCCCCTCTGTCAGCGCTCTCGGCTCGCTTCTTGCCTTTAGACAGCCCAGCGTCAGGATCATAGAGCGTGTCAGCCTGCGGTGCAGCTCCTCTATTACCAACAGACAAAACCATATGAGCAGAGCCCGTCGCTTCTTGTCTAGCTTGGAATGAAGACATCATATTGAGTGGCGTTTCCCCAGATGTCATCGCGAGTTGCTTCCTCTCATTTTCTACCTTCCTTAGCGCCTTCTCTCTACCCTTAGTACCTTGTCCTTTACCGTGGAATTTATAGTTCAGGTATTTCCAGGCTTCTTTCGTACTTTGAGATCTACCTGTCTCATCGAAGTATTTGATATCTACCGAAGGCTTGTAATTCCTCTCGAACGCCTCTTTGTCTTCCTGTGCTGATTTTGCATCCCTTTGTCTATTCTCAAAGTCACGCTGTGCTTGTGTCTTCGTATGATCGTTACGTATTCTCAACTTTTCTTCTTCACGTATGATCTCTTTCATACGCTGCTCTGCTAAAAATTTGGTATTGTTTTGTTGTACTCTCTCCTTCTCGCGTTGCTCTGGAGTGAGTGTTTCAATCTGTCCTTGTTGTTTCAATGATGCGAGAATACCACCGAGACCTTTACCGGGTTGAGGTTGAGCCATTTCTGATGGAACACTTGGAGATTCACTCTTTGCCCTCTCTACAGTTTCTTCGTCTTGTTCTTGTTGCTGTCTAATGCCATCGACATCTTCCACTACGACGTCCATGTCTTCACCCACTTCAGCAGTCGGTGGTGCCAGATCAATTTCACTGAGCGGCTCAGACTTCACTTTACTCTCGAAAGCCTCTTGTTGTGGAGCCAATTGAACTGTTCTGATGAATTCAGACGTGTCATCGAATTCTAAACCCCCTTCTTTGGCTTTATCATCATGTTTGTCAAATTCCTCGAGGTTCTTAATCTCGGCTGCTATATCCTCTGGTTTTCTCTGTCGTGCTGACTTCTTCTTAAGCTTTTCTCGCCTTTGTTTGGCAAGTGCAATTTGTAAATCGTCGTCATCTATGAAGTTTGAATGTTCGAGATTGGCGCGTTCACGAGGTGGTGGCGGTTTAACGTCTACCTCCATATCTTGATCTTCTTCCTCTTTAATTTCAATCTTACGAGAACTTTTCTTCTTCTTCTTAGTTTTTGGTTTTTTGAAACCGACGTCACCTTCCTTGAGGAAATCACTAGCCTCTTGGTTTTCTGTGTAGATTGTTAGCTAGATCATAGTTAAAAAAGATAAAGACGTACTCAAGTAGTCCAAACTGAGCATGGTTTTGTTGACTTTCTCTTCACCTTGGGTGAGAGCATTATCCTCTTCTACTTTGGGCTTTGTGGGAGCAATAGCGTCACCCAATCTAAATCCAGATTCAGAAGAGCCATTGAGGTCATCATCATACTTGCTTAATAAGGATGGCTTTTTAGCATCACCATCTGTAGTAAACTCGTCATCATCTAATCCAGTGTATTGATGTGCTTTTACGCCTTTACGTAGTTCAGCTCTCTCCTTGCCTCTCTCGTCTTCTGCTAAATCAAGATTCTGAAGTTCGTCATCACCGTCATCTAATACACTTGTATCTTTGAGTGTCAAGACGTGCTCCTTGCCTTCAGCGAAATCTTCGATATCATGTGCTACCTTTAAACCAGATAAGTGAGATTCATTGTAATCCTGCTGATAATTGGTATCTAATTCAGCCTGTTGCTTAGCTATCCTATCAGCCGCCTCTTTCTGCTTTCTCTTTATTCGTTTTGCCCACTTCTTAGCATCATCCTCCCCAGTATCATCAGCTAAGGTTTTACCTTTTAGACGTTTATTAAGTTCTAACTTGTTACGTGCTCTGTAGAAGTTGTTATTAAAGATCTATATGATAGAGCATTTACTCACTTTGCGATCTTCTCTCGCTGAGATTCATCATCTCGTTGTTTCTGCTCATCTGCCTTCAAAGTGGCGTAGTTTGATTCAGCCGACTAGTAGGTGAGTTAGGTATTGTATTGTATAGTAATAGTATATCTCACCTTCTCCTTATCTTCAGCCGGTGGACCATCAGCTTGAATTGGCTACTAAATGTTAGATGTAGAGAGATATAAATTATATACTAACCTTCAAGCCGATCTTTATACGCATAGCATTTGTCTCCTCCAAGGAGAGCGATTCCGCCACTTCTGACATAATGATAGTTATAGTTCAAGAAATGGAGAGATGGCAGCCAAATAATAGGAGATAATAATAACTAGTTAGAGATAATAAGAAATATAATATAATGTCGTTAATACAAATATAAAATAATGAAAAATAATTAAACAACACCTGGTTTTGGTTCAGCCGTCGTTTCACCAGTGGAAACTGATTGGGATACATCAATTGAGCCTGTGAATGATGTGCCTCTCTCTTGTGCTTTGGATTTGTAGTTCCTTATAGCAGAGCGGATAGCATCTTCTGCTAACATGGAACAGTGCAACTTGACAGGTGGGAGGGATAACTCTCTAGCGATCTCAGTGTTCTTGATAGCACCTGCTTCATCTAAAGTCAATCCCTTAACTCTCTCCGTCATGAATGAGGAAGATGCGATGGCTGATCCACAACCGAAAGTTTTAAATTTTACGTCTGAGATTAATCCCTATAGGGTGCTTATTAGTATTGTAGTGTAAGCTATAGCCTACTTACGCTGTCATCTACCATTATTTGTAATTTCATAACGTCGCCACAGGCAGGTGCACCAACGATACCAGTACCAACGTCTTTGTCGTTTTTGTTTAATGAGCCGACCTGCATAACGTTAGAATATGTCCTCTTAACTCGCTAGTTCACTCACGTTACGTGGGTTCTGATAGTGATCCATAACACGTTCATGATATAAACGGCTAGTTGATGGCATAATAACTGAGCGTGGCGCAATAGCTGGTCTAGCAACGCCTCTGGTTACTACGTTTGTTGTGCTTCTTAAGATATTTCCAAGCATTATGATCGTCGTATATAAACAAGCGAAGATGATAGGTTGACATCACCAAAAAATGCTAAATTTTATAAAATCTTAATTCACCAATCATTATTAGTAAAATCTGTATACAAATCATATTGATTGAACCCTCCCACTATCGCTGTCAACACCATCCAAAGGTTCTTCTTATCTGATTCCTTATCGTTGTCTTGGATAATCCCTGCTACTGACCTGGCTATTACTCTTAGCTCACTCACAAGTTCACCACTATAATCCTCTTCTCTACTTGCTATCAAATAGATAATCCAACGTGTCTGCCTATCGGCTAAGATTCCGCCTTCTTTTGCATTCTCTAGCAAAAACGTCATCAATGTTAAAGCCGATATCTGGATATAAGTAAATAAATGATCGGTTTATAATCCAATCACTCACCATAGTTAGTGACTTCATTATTGACAACTTTGGCTCTCTATTGAGTTCATTTATGTAGTTTAGCCACCCTCCCTTGTCTTTCTTCCCCGGAAATGGCATATAACCTTCTGGTAACTCACTCAAAGGTGGTACATTCACGCTATTCAGTTGCTACTTTTGATTTAGTATGGTTCCTTGCTACTTATCTACTTACTTTACGTAGGTTCTTGAAATTAGCTGTAAAACTAATACGCCACTCCCTAGATGGCTCTTGTATGTCTGATGTATCCCTCTGCTTTCCCTTCTCGGTGGATGTATTACACACTACTTCATAGGGGTTATCAACGCGCTTGTGGTTGGGTATAGTAGAAGCTTCTCGTCTGATTTATTAATTAGATACGTACTCCATTTTATACACCGTTCCTCACCTCACAGTGAAGAGATACTGTGCACCATCTTCGACATCGCCAGAGAAATCACTAGGGAGGTTAGCTACAGGTAATACCTGTGCACCCAAATGATTATCATCCTCATATGACATTATCTACAAATGCGATCTTTTATCGTTTAGTTATTCGCTATTTCCGAAATTGACTGTCAGTGGAAAGACGTCTTCTTTTCAAACAATCATGTTCTCTATCAGAAATTTTAGACTGATAAACAACCGCAGGTCATTATCGACAGCTGTTAGTCTTTATTCTTTGGTATATCCCCTCCTAATCAACTCTAGGCGTCAGGATACATAAAGCCAACACATCCAGACAACCCGCAACCTAAGGAAGTAATCGATAAACTCAACAGATATGCAAACAGCGTTGTAAATACATACGCTCGTCCACCTGTTATATTCACTCACGGAAAGGGTTTGAAACTTTATGACTCACAGGATAGAGAATACCTTGATATGAGCGCAGGTATTGCTGTAAATGGCTTGGGTCATGCTGATGATGGTGTATCAAAAGTACTCGCAGATCAATCATCTAAGTTGGTTCATAATTCTAACCTCTATCACAATGAATGGTCAGGCGAACTTGCGCACTTGTTGACAACACTCACAAAGCAACATGGTGGTCTTGGATACGTGAAGGGTTCCTCCACAGAAGGTGCAGGTTTGAAAGCCTTCTTCGCCAATTCTGGTACAGAAGCTAATGAGGGTGCATTGAAATTTGCCAGAGTGAGCGGAAAGCAACACTCAGCAGACAAAGTTGAGCTTGTTTGCTTCAATAATGCTTTCCACGGAAGGAGTATGGGTGGTTTATCTGTCACTTCTAACCCAAAATATCAAGATCCATTTGCACCACTCATTCCAGGTGTTAAAGTCGGCAATGTTAATGATGTTCCAGCACTCACTGAGCTTGTCACTGAGAAGACCTGTGGTGTAATCATAGAACCTATTCAAGGTGAAGGTGGTATCCACAATGTCGATCTTGATTTCTTAATTGCATTAAGAAAGCGTTGTGATGAAGTTGGCGCTGTACTCATCTATGATGAAATTCAAGTGGGTTTCATTCGCTTTCATGAGCCTTTCTAACGTTATAAACCCAGTGTGGATTGTTTAGAAGTACCAACATGTGGGCACACTCAGATTTCCCTGTAGAGGCACACCCAGATTTGATAACCATGGCCAAACCACTTGCAAATGGTTTCCCAATTGGTGCAATCCTCATGCGTGACTCAGTTGCAAACAACGTTTCACCAGGTTTGTCTTGTCTTTTAATACAAACTTCTCTAATAGAATGATAGGTTCACATGGAACAACATTCGGTGGATCACCATTATCTACTGCAGTTGCACACCACGTTCTCACCCGTTTATCACAACTTCCTGATATGAAATCACGTGCAGAATTGCTCAAAGAGCGTTTGAATCAACTTGCCGCTGCATACCCAGATCTGATCAAATCTGAAGTACGCGGACGCGGTTTCCTCCTGGGTGTACCATTCAAAGATACCGCTCATCCAGGTAAAGCTCTCTCACTCGCCCGTGAACGCGGTTTGCTCATCTTGGTCGCTGGTTCAGACGCTGTTAGAATAGTACCAAGTTTGACGATCTCAGAGGAAGAAATCAACAAAGCTTGCGATATATTTGAAGCTGTTTTGGAAGTACTCAGGAAAGAGTAAATGTATAATATAGAAATTTTTTATTTTATAATTTCATTCGTTAGTTTCCCTGATAAGGAGATATAAAAAACGTTGAACGTTGAACGTCGAACGTTATCATGCGCGGACTTGATAGAGCATATTCAAACCACAATGATGAAAGATTGGCACCAGCTGAAGCTGTTGAGCCTAGTACACCAACTACAGGCATTTTGAACAAATGGGCGTTGATTAAGAACGCATACAGGGAAGAACTTGCCGAGTTTTTATCAACCTTTGTTCTTATTGTTATTGGTGCAGGCGTTAATTGTCAATACACACTCCAGGGTTCTGGCGTAGCACTCAGTGTACCACTGACGTGGGCATTCGGTGTCGCTGGTGCAGTATGGATAGCTGGTGGTATATCTGGTGGACATGTAAGTTTTATTCATTAGTGACTTATAAACTGACGAACGAAATTCCAGTTGAACCCTGTCGTCACTATCAGTTTAGCAATTTTCAGAGGATTCCCATGGAGAAAAGTACCTAGCTACACTATATCACAAGTATTAGGGTGTTTCGCAGGCGCTTGCGTCGCGTACGCTAATTATCACTACTCTATTGACCAATTCGAGGATGGTCTGCGTACTATACACGGTCCTACAGCAACTGGCGGATTGTTTTTCACTATGCCACAGCCTTATTTGCCAGCATTGAACTGTTTCTTTGATGAATTCCTTGGTACCGCAATTCTCGTTGGCTTGGTATTCGCCTTGTCAGACAAATCAAACCTCTCGCCTCCACACGGAACAATGCCATTTGCATTATTCTTGACTATATTTGGTTTGGGTGCTGCACTCGGTGGTAACACCGCAGGTGGTTTCAACCCAGCTAGAGATTTCGGTCCACGTCTTATGGCCTGGTTTATGGGATATGGAAATGAAGTTTGGTCATTCTTCGGTCAATACTGGTTCTGGTGTGGCTGGTTAGCACCAATAAGTGGTGGTATTGCCGGTGCTTTTGTTTATGATGTGCGTATTTGCTTTTAGTGACTTATCCTGAAATACTAACAACACGCAGGCTTTCATCTATTCAGGTGCAGACTCTCCAGTTAACACGTGAGTGTATGTGTTTACAATTCGTACACATTCTAAACAAACCACAGGAAAAAGACTCACGTCTATGAGTCAGGTGTAATTGCCTAACTTACTTTAGCGCTCAAGTAGAGCGCTCATGCCTTCTGATTATTTACGGATTACTGTTTTCTCGCTTATGCCTTCTTACGCTTCATTTGATTACCAAATTACGTAATTTTTAATGAATTTTGCATATATATATATAAAGAATAAGACAGAATTCGGCTACGATAAGGGTATTTCATTTGTTTGACTATTCCGCGGATACCAAGAAGTGTGAAAGTGAATAAAGTAAAACATTTGTCAAAGTTCGTCAACAGGTTAGTCGTTCTTGAGTGAGTTTAGTAAAGTAATAAGGGAATAGACTACCTACATTGATATTAATTATGCTAAAAAGCGCGTCATGACATTAACCAAAAGTATTCTCTCCCGAGTCTGTCATTGGTTTAGGTTTTCACCTGAGGGTAAGATAACACCTACAAGTAACGTATAAGAAACCATCTTCGTCTTTGTGTTCATTGTAGATTGCGCTCATTAGTGCTGCAGTTGGCGGTAACTCCTCGTTGACGAAAATGAAGATGGCCTAGGAGATGATAAGCTAGATGGCGAAAACTATAAGACCAACTAACCTTCTCTGGAGCCAATTTTATTCTCTTTCTAATAACGTATACGAACTGTCCAACGGTAAGATCCTAAAACTGGTAAGCTCAAAGCTGGGATATCTAGAATAAGACTGACGGATGGAACCAAGTACTTCTTCTTGTCGATCGTAGGAATATCAGTTTTATCGCCTTTCTCGCAAATTACCTATCGTCATTAAATTAGCATGGTGACCCCTGTCTCGAGGAATGTAGAGATAACTCACAGGAATTCTATCAGGATATTTCTGTCTAATCCTCTCTGCTTCTGCTTTGCGTTTTTCTAATCTCGTTAGCGTGGCCAATCTCTAATCTAAGTGATGAATAACCTACCAAATGGGTGCTCGTCCTATAGAAGATATTAGTAAAGTAGACTAGTATATCTATCTGCACACCTTAAATTTAGATCTAACCATTTCGACGATAGATGATGGCTGTTCAACTTCAACAGACGTCGTATATTATATTAGTTGATAAAATTACAAAATCAAGTGAAATTATTATGTAATCCCACTCTATTAATATAATAAGTCAGTATCCCTTTCTTACTCTCTGGTATTCTTGCCAAATCAAACAATTTGGTTTCGTCACGTAATATTGATTGAGCAGCGACGATAACCTTAACCGTCGATTGTCGTACTAAGCCATTCTCATAGTTTAGTCCCTTTCCCTTGTTAGCTTATCTCGCGTTTGGTTATTCTCACACACCTTCATTAATACATCTTGGACGCGTGGTATCTCCTCCTCGAGTACTTCGCTAGGTAATCTCAAGAATAGTCTTCCTAGTGCTTTCAAGGCTAATGAGAATGACATCGCTGTCTTCATTCCATCCGCACTCGTCGTATTGCTGTTGATTTCAATTGCGCTTTCGAGTGCTCCCACACCACAAATTGGGTCAATATTGTCTGTGAATAGCTCCATTAGGGCATCAGATGCGTCGTAATTCTTGTGCGATCGTTAGTTTATTCTTTTACTCATAGTTTCACCCACTTCTTTCCGACTAGACAAACGGAGCTTGATTAGACTATTGAACACACTCATTTCACTACCGATAAGCAAATCAGATTGCTTGTCAATCAGGTTTCTCAGTAATCTTAACGTAGCATCCTGTTGATCAGCGTTGAGCTTCGTGGACATGTCAGTAGTGATATATTAAATAGAACACACCCACATTCGTATCATCGAGCATCAATAGAGAACCCTCTAATATGCTAGTAAATATGTCACCTCCACTCCATATACTATTGTCATTCTCTTTATCCGATGTGACTGGGTACATCACACTAATCGTATTCAATTGGTCTAACTCCACTTGAGAGAGCGAGTCACCACCAACAAGCTTCTCCTTGAGTCTTTCTAGTATGTCCAAATGTTGCTCATACTTGGAATCCAGCAAGTTGCTGTTCTTATTATCATCTAAATGATTTAGTAATTTTCAAACTACTACCTGGATCACTCACAGCTATCAATTTTATTCAACCACCACTGATTAGTTCCACCAACTTTCTGTATGTCTTTCATAACTTTAGGTGTACCAGCTTTGTTCATCGGCGAATCGACAACCTGTTGAGCTTGCTGAAGGATCTTGCGCATCTTAGATGGTGGGGTTGCATGTGATTGTCTCATTGATGTGTTTAGAACCGCTGGTGCGATAGGTTTTACAGGTGTTGCCTCGTTATCATCTTCACCTGCACCTTCACCTGTATTAGATATCCTAGTCGAAGCGAGATCTTCCATTATATTATCGGCAGTATTCTCAACTTCTTTGTTAAACTGTTTTGGTGTACCCTCCGTCTGAGATGACCGTGTAGATGCAGACATTTTGAGTGGACGCTTGTTAGACGACCTTTGCAATTTGAGTGGTGAATCATCAAACTTCATAACTTCAAGTTCTTCGTCTTCATCCTGCACTTCAATAGTGTCATTCTTAGATTTATTACCGAGTAAAAATGTATCTTCCATCGCCGAGTTATTTTGCCAATCATCAGGTTGACTCTCTTGCATCAGACTGCCGAATGGTGTATTCTGTGACCCCATCATTGCAACACTCAGTCTTTCACTTGGACGGCGAGTTTGATAAGGTTGTGTTTGACCCAGTGGTGATGGTCTATGTGGTGGTGAACCATATGGTTTGCTAGTATTTACTGTTGAAGTACTGTCATTTAGGTTGAATGATTGACGAAGTGGTGATGATTCCTTTGGTGATGTAGACCTAGATGGACCCCTGTTTGAAAGTTTAAGAGGTGTAGGTGAGCCAGGCGTCATTTCTTCATCGTCATAATGATCTTTAGCAGGTGGAGATCCAATCTGCATTGGTGAAGCGGGTGGAGCGGCCTCTTCGATATTCTCCTCTTCACCTACTTCCTCGACTTGGTGATCTTGTTCGAGTTGTTCAACAGGTGCTTGTTGTTCAATTTGCTCACTTTGTTCGATTGTTTCTTGTTGTTCAATCTGCTCAGCGGGTTCTTCTTGCTCGATCTGACCGACTGGTTCTTGCTCAACCACTTCTGGCTCGATCCTTTCAGTCCTTTCGGTCTCCTCAATTTGTGATCCCTGCTCAAAGTCTTCTTGTTGTAAAGGTTCATCTCGAGGTGGCGTTCTCTTCATTATTGGGGTCGCAGATCTGCTCTCGACATCTTCATGAACAGCAGCAGTCTTTCTCTTCTCCGGGGTATCAGGAAGTGGTATTGTTGATTCAGGTAATGGACCTGTTTTGTTTCTTGCAATGAAAGCTGCTTTGGCTTCTTTAAACTGTTGCGAACGTGAAGCTAATCCACTCTTCTTAGCAGCTGGTGCGGGATTACCAGCATTCTTCGCTTTTTCAAGTTGTTTTCGAGCAGTTGGATCAAGACTATCGATTAACTTCGCTGATTGAGCTGGCCAAATATTTTGGAATGACCAATATGTTGTACGACCTTGCTCACGGACACCCGGATTAGCGTCACCTAGGGTCTTCTTTATGGATGTCTCTAATGTCTGTAGACCATTTGAAGTTTCAATGAAAGTTTTGTGTGCCCTGGCATGTGTTTCGATTACTACTCGTAAGTGCATTATTGCAAATTGACGTGGTGTTGGAGCTTTCTCTTGAATAGCATTATAAAGAACGTTAAGTATACGTGCACTGTATGATACATTCCGAAGAATTGTTGTCAAGGCACTCTGTGAGTGCTGAACGACAATCTTCTTAGTCAGGGTAGCCATTTTCATCAAACAGCTGACAATTGGTTCAGCGAAGCTGTCCATTGACGATCCGAGGAAATGACTAAGATCAACACATAAGTTAATGGCATTCAAAGCGACGGTAGTTCTCAATGAGCCTGCAATTGCGATTATTCCATCTACATTATGCTTGACACCTTGGATGAATATATCGTGATACTGTTGTTGTACTTCACCCCGGAGCATTCCTCTTAATCTCTTAATCTGAGTTTCTCTAGGTATCCAATTCTGCTCAGTCTCTTTACCGCTAAATAAAATGTGCATACTTTCGAACTCCTTCTCGAGATCTTTACCCGAAGCGACATAAACTGGATCAAGTTTCTCGATTTCACTGGAGTTAGATGCTTGTGATGTCGGAGCAGGTGCAGTTGGTGCCCTATTGAAGCCAAATGATGATTGTGGTCTTGATGATATACCTGATAATTGAGGATTAGAACCAGCTAATTTAACCTCTTCTATTGGATCGTCGATTGGCATTGGGATGAGTTCAGGTTTGTGGGTAGCAGACTTAAGCACACCGTCTAGAATTTCATCCGCGACATTCTTCCTTATACCCTTATCAGTGATTTCTTTCCTGAGACTTGTCTTTGCTTGTGCTGAGGAGTTTCTAAAGAGCGTTATAATCGTAGATCTCGCAGCTTCTCTGACGCTCGCATCTGAGTCTTCGAGAAGGATGACGAATGGACTGAGGAATGTGCGCAATGGGAATGATTGTAATGGATGCAAAGTAGACAAATGCAGCAATGTTTGCTCACGTATTCTCCACGCTTTACCACCTAAACCTTGCTCTCTGAGGGCTTTCTCGAGGATAGTCCAAGGTGTTTCAGGCGCGTCTTTCGTACTACTGCTACTGACAGATGATTTCGCTGATGATTGGAGCTTAGATTGTGACTGTGAGCCGAACTTCAACGTGCCAATACTGAGTGCCATTAGTGCAGCCCTCGCTGCATCCCTTATCCTTTCCTTCTGATCAGCTAATTTCTCCATCAATCCATTAGGTGGTGCTAAGAAAGCGTTCAATCCTAGTTTGAATTGTCTAGTGTTCTCGTTATTTGACGCGTTATTCAGAATTGGAATGTATGCTGGTAAGATTGCGACCACGGCGTGTCCTAATTGAGCATTTGGTGATCTTAAATTAAGCTTTAGAATGTTCGTTATATTCTCAATCTGCTCTTGCTCTTCTTCTGTCAAACCGTTCGTGAATGCGACTTCTAGATTGTGTATAGCTTCAACCTTCTTATCTACAGCTGCATTTATTGTTAATGAAGCAATATAAATTATAAAATACTCACGTGAATAACCTTTTAACACGCTCAATGATTTCGTGAGCTCGTCCATAATGGTTTGAATTCAACAATCACTTTGTTGATAAAGATGAAATTAGCGCATAGAATACCTTCAATATTATCAAGACTACAATCAACCCACGCAATTCCAAAGATCGTACAACTCTACAATGGATCGTTATCGGATGTCTACAGAAAGTTGAAAGTCTTCTCTTTCGGTTCTTTAGGCGCTGCAGTAGCTATTTCACCTATCATAGCTATTTTAGATGCTCCTATAAATACCGCTGGTAGAGTATTCCTCATAACTACAGCCCTTGGTACAAGTGTGACGTCCACAGCGATGATAAACTGGTGTGGTAAACCTTACGTAAGCTCAATGAAAGTTCTAGTAAACCCTTCAAATAGCAGACAAAGCGTCGAGTTAATCACACATTCACTCACCCTTAGAAAACTTAGAACTGTCGTTCATGACACTCAATGGTTGAGAAGAGCTGATAGACCATTGGCAAGCTGGGAAGTATCTGATGGTGAACTTACAAGCACCATCGGTGAAGGACGTGATCACGACGTTCGCGAAGTCATAGCTGAGACATTCGACGTTAAGTCTGATAAGAAAATTGGCGAATGGTTCGTCATTTGGAAGAGATCAGGAGATTCTTTAACAGCTGAAGTACAAAAAAGTGGTGCGGTCGATAGATATTTCAATGTCGATGAAAAATCAGTACCAAGCGTCAAAGTTCCATAAATTAGAAGATCTTACAATCGTGAATTGAAATAATAATAGTGTCTAACGGTAATTACAATATGTATCTTGCAATGCTTAGTTAGTTACGTATAGATAAGCCCAAGCTTCTTATGCTCACCTATAGAGTGGATGCTTGTCACCTAAACAAGCGATTTCCAGATCTGTCAAATCCTGCAAACCTAGGTAGGCCTTCTCATCGAATTCAGTTACGATACCATCATTATTTTGTTCTGTTGGCTTCGTGATTGACTGACGATAAGCCAGTCTCTTGTGATACACGTCTGGAGTGCCGTAGAGTGTATCGCGACGGTCGTTTTCTCTCTTGAGGAGATACCTCAAAATAAAACTTATTGAGGCACCAATAATGCAGAATGCCAAACAGTATGCATGACCCGGTAAGAATCTTGGTGCTGTGGATTCGGCTATCAGACGTGTTAGCTGATCTACTAGCGAAAACTGAAATTCTACATACGGTAGATGAAGCTAGATGCCTATTTATTCGTCAGTTATGACTAGTGTGTAGGCTATATACTCACCAGACCTCCGCTATTACCACACATGATAATGAAAGCAGTTGCAATAGCTCTTCTATATGATGGACCAAATGTAGCTCCATACCAAGACTATTAGAGTGTTATGAGAGAACTCATAATTGTTTCTACTCACCAATAATCCGGCTGCACAGATGTTAGAGCCCGCGATCATCAAGAACAAACTGAAAAACCTCGCACCAACGGCCTTGTTGGGTGGTATTGCCATAATTAAGATAAATCCTATAGCTGAGATTGATAACCCGGAAACACATAAGTACCCTCTTTCTGCCTTACGATCTGACCAGAGAGCAGCCAAGAAAGCTGCGATCATACCAAATATATAAATAGGTGCGGTGAGTAGATGCGACTCAGCAATATCAAAATTGCCCAATTCACTAATGATGGTTGGTATCCAGGTACTTAAAACATAGAGGAGAGTACCATTAGCGAAGTTGATAACACAAAACATGTACATTTTGTAATCTGTAAACGCTGATGTGGCTTGTGACCATGTGAAAGGAATAGATTCATCAAAACGCATCCCCTGTTGTGTTTCAATGTATCTGTACCAGGTCGCCTTTTCATCCTCGTTGAGTAGCTTAGACTTATCAGGAAAGTCTTGTATAAAGAAGAATGATCCCATGGCTACAATGAAGCTCAACAATCCTTCTATTATGCTATAAAATTATGCTAAGTGAAAATTCTCAAATATGGTCCATTAATACCTACTATATCCATCTCCAACCTTCAAGTCCACCGACACCACGCATCAGAGCTAACACATAACTGAAAATACCACCAAATGCACCAGCAAGTTGGCTTCCGAGATATATGATCGTGATTCTAATCGCTTGATTCTTACGTGGGTACCACGCGATAAGGATTATCAGCATGCCCTTCACAGAATAAGCAAAACTCATGTCATGGGTATTTACATACCGGAAAGAGACCTATTGCACATGTTAGTAGAGAGCAACGAAGCAAATACATGAAACATACCTCCTTCAGTTAAACCAAGAAACCAGCGAACCGCTATCAGCCCTGCGTAATTCTATGTGATTATTAGAAGTAAATTTAACATAGCGGAAAAGACGCACTTGAATAATGCCAGTGAGAGTACAAACGATGGACCAACTGACAGCCATCAACGGAATAGTCCATTGAGGCCCTATCTTCTTCGTAAGCATATTCAAGGGTATCTACGAGTATTGGATGAGTGTATTGTGGTTTGTTACTGACATACCTCTGAAGCTATCTAAGACTGAGTCAATTGAAGTATCAACGAACAAGTGAATACTCACGTAGCTGACATAGAATACAGTCAAACAGATTTCGAACTGATAGTCATTCTCAGGGGAACATAAGCACAATAAGGATGTAAGACAATGACACTCACGATGTGTATATCTGTAAGAAGACCTTCTAGTTTGGCCTGACCAATATTGACTCTATCCAGAAAATTGACGCAAAAAAGCAGGAACAGTGCAGGGACAATATGCCAATCAATGCGTCTTTTGAGTCGTTTAACTAGGATTTCTTCGTCTGTCCTCTCATCTGTGCTATCTCTGTACCTAAATTGGTCGATGTCCTCCTTTACTTTGCTCGTGTTGTCTACACTTGGCGTGCTCGTATTCTTCACGCGTATCTGAGATTGGAAAAGCTGAGCTGGTGTCTGATTATCTGAGTGATCATCAAAGACACTCATCGGTGCGTATAATATCCAATAGGAAATATAATATTCAGGGTCTAGTGCATATTCATACCAAACAAGCCGTTAGCCGGTACTGGTATGAATGTGTAGGCAAATAACGGCGTCATAACTTTATACATTAATTGGACTGATACAGGCTTTTGTATGTGTATAGCTAAATAAACTAAGGGGTAGATTACGTCTTTTGTTCTATTGTTCCATTTCTTCCTCTTTAGCTTGATTTGGGACATCGTCTGATTGTTTCCTGTAGATTATTAGATAAGGATATCAGTAAGAGCTTTGTAGGCTTACAACCAGAGTACATTGTTGCAACTCGACGATATTAGATAATTCCGACATATTCTAAAAACTCACCGAATGAAAACCTCTCCTAACGCACCATTTGATTTGTCATTCTGGAATTCTTCCGTGTTCGCCAGCTAGTATTCCATCAGATAGGTCCTACAAGCTGATATAAACGACAAACCTGTAAATTCATGTAATTGTCAACTGATACGAGATATCCCTTATAATCCAATCCCCATTTGAGCCTCACTTGTACAGCTTTACCGGTGAGATCGTTAAGGAATGGGCGTGGATTGACTGGCTGAACCTATGAAATAATGAGATATACTATCTCATACTGTCATATATCCTCACACTCATTATTCAATTTATAGCTCTTGGTTGTCGTCACGATAGAAATATTTTTGTCACATCTTGAGCTATTCGAGATAGTCTAAATAAAGCTACTTTACTGTTATTTTACCTTCAATTTATAGTTCACTATTTCGAATATAATAAATTTCTCCTCTCCTATATTCCTTCTTTACACAGTCCATCGATGTCTGACGACGAAAAGAACATACCAACGGCGAGCTCGTTTGATGACGATCTCACACTCCCGAAAGCTACCGCTGAGAAGCTCATAAAAGGTTTGTTTATCTTCTCCTAGAAGTGCAGCCCATCTGATAAATCACACAGAAATGCTTCCACCTGAACTCACAGTAGCAAAGGAGACACGCGATTTACTCATAGAATGTTGTGTTGGTATGTACATCTTCCTCTGTCTCTGACTTTCTGACTTTATTCAGAATTTATACATTTGGTTTCATCAGAAGCTAACGAAGCATGCGAACAAGATAGCAAGAAGACGATATCACCTGAGCATGTCGTGTCTGCATTAAAGACACTCGGTTTCGAGACTTACTTGAAAGACATGGAAGAAGTTCTTAGGGATCATAAAGCACAGGCTAAAGTTAAGTCAGCCTGGGATAAGGAAAGGAAAGGATCGAGATTGGCTGCATCCGGTATGACAGAGGAGCAGCTTCTCGCACAGCAGGAGGAGCTTTTCGCAGCCTCAAAGGCACGCATGGAGGCAAGCACGACTGGCCCGCAAGCTGAGTAGCCAGGGTTTTGTATTTCTAGCGTATGTTGTAATAAGTTATTAAATTTTGTCCACTTTACTCGCTCTAATCACTTTTTATAACGACAAATTCTCGTTTGTCTAAGCCAAATTGTAAAACGTCACCCGCCATAACCTCATAAAACCGTGATACTGGTATTTCCTTCCCATTTACATGCGTACCATTTGTGCTCTCGAGGTCTAGGATGAATGGCCTGAAATTACGTCAGTTGAATGACTATCTAAATGAAACAACCTACTTGACCTGCTCGCTTACATCACCAAATTCATTCTTAGAGCGCAGCATTCTGAACTGTATAACAGCATGTTGTTTCGAAATAGAGGCATCGACGATAGGATAGTCAGCTACGTTTGTATCACGGCCAAAGAGGTAGCAACTTTGCTTATCGAGTGTGAGCATATCTAACCATTTCTTAATAATGCTATAGTAAAAACGTATGACGCACCCGTCTGAGATTCATCTTCGAAGACGAAAATCCTCCAATCGTCCTTCTTATCCGGCTTGTGAGCTTCCAATGGCTCGTGGTATTTTAGTACTGTGCCATTAACAGTTTTACTTTCTGCAGCTAATAAACCCGAGTTCGCGAAGTTTGGCTTGAAATCTGGCGTTTCCTGATGAGGAGACTGTGAACGACGATTTAACTCATTATAAGAAGGTTTCCTATCATCGTATGGTTTCCTATCGTCATATTTACTTCTATATGGCTTCCTATCTTCGTAGGACTCTCTACCCCTATTACTCCCTCGTGGCCGGTCTTCTCTATGACGTCTTTCGTATTCTCTATTGTTTTTATAATTATCCCTATCGTCTCTATCGTTGTCAAATTTCCTGCCTCTTCCGCTGCCTTCGGCATAACTTTTACTACTAGACATGATGACAGTATCGGAATTAGTTACTTAATTAATCTACGGCTTCTCGTATAACCACCACCTGAAGTAAATGGTGCAAATAACTCCGAATAACCTTGGCTTTAGTGCACAGGAAGAGCGCAAGCTTGTTTGGAAGTTAGACTTGCGTTTGATCCCTATATTAGGTCTTCTCTGTGGGTAAATGTTTCCCTTTTTAGATAATACTAATAATCACTCAGATTTGATATCTTTCATTGATAGGTAAATTTATACACACTGACAAATACCAAACTTCTAATTCATAATAGAGTAAACGTGAGTCGTTTAGATATTGCAATGCGACTCTTAACCGTGAGCTAGATCGGACAAGCAAAACTTGATGGAATGATAACTGATTTACATATGGTATGTTTATTCCGCTATACATTCCAGCTTATTGGAATATGTTTCAGGATCCACCCCAATTTCGAAATGCAAATACTGTCTTCTTCGCGACATATGTAGCTTTTGAAATAATTGGAAACCTTCTTGTCAAGCGTTTCAGTCCAAAGCGTACGCTTCCCGTTATGATAACGTGAGTACTCTCGTTTCGGACACCGACCGACTTACAGAGCTAAGTGTTTGGGGTATCATATTGGTTTCTCAGAGCTTCGTTAAAAATTATGGAGGTCTGGTTACTACTAGAGTATGTCAGAAATATCTCAATGCTCTCATGTTGACTACTTCTAAGGTTCTTTTGGGTGTAGCTGAATCGGGCCTCTTTCCGGGTTAGCAGGAATTTTAACAAGCATAAGTCAAGCTTACAAAACATAGGCGCAATTTATATTATCTCCCTATATTATCCTCGCCAAGAACAAGCTCTCAGAATGGGATTCTTGTTCTCAGGTAGGTTTTAATTTCTCAAAAATACAGTTCTCATATGAACCAACAGCCTGTGTTCTGGCTGGTGCATTCGGTGGTGTACTCGCATATGGTCTCAGTCAAATGCGCGGAATTGGTGGTTTGCCAGGGTAAGTGGTAAATTTTTCTGTCTCATACACTAATATCGAATAGATGGGCTTGGGTGTGCAATCGTCAGCTAATAAATATAATGTCTAACATCCTACCAGATTTTCTGTATTGAAGGCTTAGCCTCATTTGTCGTCGGTATTTTCTCTTTCTGGGCAGTCGTCGATCTCCCATCAAATGCCAGCTTCCTTGATGAACGTCAAAGAGCTTTCGTAATACATCGCATCAAGCAAGGTCAAGGAGCATTATCACTTGATGTGAATTTTAATTGGAGTCACGTATATTCTGCCTTCCTAGATTTCAGGATGTATGGATTTGCAGCACTCTATTTCATGGCCGGAGCATTGTTGTACAGTCTTGCAACATTCAGCCCGACAATTATTAAAGAGCTCGGTGATTGGTCTACAGCACAATCTCAGCTTTTAACAGTTCCACCATATGCTGCAGCCTTCATAACGACCGTCGCATCGGCTTATATCAGTGACCGCACCGGGAAACGTGCTTATATTGTCATTGTCGGTAGTTTCATATCACTGATTGGATATATCGTTATCCAAGTCGTGCCTAACACCGTACCGGGGGTAAGGATTCTTTGCTGATCCAAAGATAATTCTAAAACGCTCAGGTGAAATATTTTGCAATTTTCGTTAGTGTCTCTGGATTTTCACCTGCTGCTGCTACAGTTCTCGCATGGGGCGTACGTTCAAGTCCAAAATAACGACTTCTTGCTAATTAACCTAAAACAGGCAGGCTCATTCGGACCAACTTACAAGAGAGGTGTCACTCAAGGTTTCATTATGATGTGTGATAAGTAGTACCTTTCAATGATCGACGAAAGCTAACAGTTATTCCACGCAATTCTGCTGGTATCCTCTCTGCATATCTTTATCCAGATGATGGCGCGCCAGACTTCAGGATTGGCCATTCCGTTTCCGCTGCGTTCAGTTTCGCCATATTTGTCTTGGCGATTGTTATGTTTTTTGTTCTCAAAAGGGATAACAGAAAGCGCGACGAAAAATATGGAACACTGGAAGAAATATACACAATCATACAACAATACGGATCGAAGGAGAGTATCAACGAAAAAGACACTGAATCTCCTACAACTAGTTTCTCGATGACCAAGAATGAATTCGTTGATCTTCCTCATGTCCTCCTTGAAAGATGGGGTTTGCACGGATATTCAAGAGAAGATATTGCCAACCTCGGTGATAAGCATCCGATGTTTAGATACTTATGTTAATTTACTTATTTAGTTTTCCTTCATGTACTTCCTAGAGTTTTCTAATGAACATACTTAATATTTATCTTGATGTCGACAAGTTGAAAAGTCATACACGCGATATTTATATGTTCATTTATCATTCTATTTTCTTTCATTTATATGCTAAGATCTAATAGTCTTTATTTCTTCTATGCACTTTGACTATTATCCCCGAACGAGATCTCACTTGACCTTCTCGCTTACATAATCCTCTAAAAGCAGCAATTTTACATGACGACGTGTTGCTTGTAACTAAGCGAGACTTTTAGCGACGCTTGTAGTCACATCACTTGTTTCACGCGTCTTTGGGACGCATCGCTGCTACTATACATATTTGTTATAATTAAAGTTAACGTCTTCATTTAGACACTCTCTCAATGTGAACTCTCAACTTATTTTGACTTGTTTACTTTAAAGAAATAGTGAAAATTTATTGTTTTGGCTTCTAGAAGCAAACAATTTCCAAATTTTATTGAGATTATTGTTTCAGGTATAAATAGCTGTAAATTTGCTCGGCATTATCTGAAGTATATCCGGTTCCTTTCCCTTGTAACATATGATTATAAATAGTCTCTACCAGTAGATCACATGGATTATAGCCCTGAAAATACCCTGTGACTTGTCTTATCTATGACGTGGGTATTCTCTTTTTAAAAAGTAATAAAAAGATATTATATATATTACCCGTTTGTTCTTATCCCCACTCTTCCCTTTAGTGTCCGTTGAGTTCGGCACAAAATTCTACTACACATGATGACGGTACAAAATGAGTCCCTTAATTAACCTACACCTTTGAATACAACTGCCATTTATTATGGTGCAAATTACCCCAAACAACCTTGGTTTCAGTCCGCAAGAAGAGCGAAAATTGGTATGGAAAATAGATCTTCGCTTGATCCCTATTTTGGGACTTCTATGTGAGTTTATGAGTTAATTATGTGCTTATTGCTAAAAAAATACCCAGATTTAATATCCTTCATTGATAGGTATGTTTCATATTCCGGAGAAATTAAAATTCTCATTATCAATAGAGTCAACGTAAGTCGTTAAGTAATATAAGTCTAAGTGATTACTAAGTCATGGGTTAGATCGGTCAGGCAAAACTAGATGGTATTATAGATGATTTGAATCTGGTGCGAAATATTCATATTCTCGACAACTGCTCATGTCTATTCTAGCAAGATCACGAATTTCAAAATACAAACACAGTTTTCTTCGCCACATATGTAGCTTTTGAGACATTTTCTAACCTCATTATAAAGCGCTATAGTCCTAGACGCACTTTACCTACAATGATAACGTGGGTACTAAGTTTCAACATGTCCATTCATTAACAACGTGAAGCGTTTGGGGAATTATATTGGTGGCTCAAAGCTTTGTCAAAAATTATGGAGGTTTAATTACTACTAGAGTGAGTTTTATATGCTTATATGTACGCCCTCGGACTTATTCCTTAGGTTTTATTGGGTGTGGCTGAGTCCGGTCTTTTCCCTGGTGAGTATGTCCTTATAGCGTAGAAATCAGCTCATAATGCTACAGGTGCAATCTATATCATTTCTCTTTATTATCCTCGTCAGGAACAAGCTCTCAGAATGGGATTCTTATTCTCAGGTGTGTTTCAATTTCTCAAAAGTACAGCTCTGACGTGGATGAATAGCCTGTGTTCTGGCTGGTGCATTTGGTGGTATTCTTGCATATGGTCTAAGCCAAATGCGTGGCATTGGTGGTTTACCGGGGTAAGTGATAGATTTTTCTGTCTCAAACACTAATACCAAGTAGATGGGCTTGGGTGAGTTTCCCACAAGTTGATAAGTTACCTATCTAACAGCCTGCTAGATATTCTGTATTGAAGGCTTAGCCTCATTCGTCGTCGGTGTCTTCTCCTACTGGGCAGTAGTCGATCTTCCATCTGACGCTACATTCTTGACTGATCGACAAAGAGCCTTTGTCATACATCGAATCAAGTATGGCCAGGGAGCCTTATCACTCGACGTCGATTTCACTTGGGATCATGTATTCTCTGCTCTACGCGATTTCAAGATGTACATATTCGCTGCACTGTACTTCATGGCTTGTACATTGTTGTATAGTCTTGCAACATTCAGCCCAACCATTATTAAAGAACTCGGTAGTTGGTCTACAGCACAATCTCAGCTTTTAACAGTTCCACCATACGCTGCAGGATTCCTAGTAACAGTTGGAGCAGCATACATCAGCGATCGTACTGGAAAACGCGGTATCATCATTATGATCTCAGGTTTGGTAGCGATGGTAGGATATATTATTATCCAAGTCGTGCCAGATAGCGCTCCAGGTGTAAGTGTTAAGTTAGAGATATAGCACACTCTCTAAAATACCTATAGGCAAAGTATTTTGCTATCTTCCTTTGTGTTATGGGATTCTCACCGGCTGCTGCCGTCATTCTTGCCTGGGGCGTAGGTAAATTCCTAAGCCAGCGTGATTATGCTGACACATTTGAACAGGCGGGCTCTTTTGGTCCAACTTACAAAAGGGGTGTGACGCAAGGCTTCATTATGTTGTCAGATAAGTAACATCTTCTTCAAATATAGAAAATCTAATGACCTTCTACGTAATTCAGCAGGCATTCTTTCTTCATACCTTTATCCAGATTCTGGCATACCATACTTTAGGATTGGACACTCTGTCTGCGCTGCGATGGGTTTCTCTTTATTCGTCGTATCGTTTGTCATGTATTTCATTCTCAAGCATGAAAACAAAAAACGCGACGAGAAATACGGTACGCTGGAGGAGATATATACTATAATACAAGAAAACCCATTAGCAGAAATTGTTAACGAGAAAGGATCGGATGAGCTCACAACTAATTTCTCAGCCATCAGGAATGAATTCGTAGATCTACCAGATATTCTTCTCGAGAGATGGGGATTTCAAGATCATTCAAGACAAGACATTGCAAACTTAGGTGATAAACATCCGATGTTTAGATACTTGTGTTAAATGTACTCTAAGAGTTTCGTGTATTTTTAGATTTTCCTATTGATAAAAATTGAAGTATCCATGGTAATGCTAAATAAATTACATTGCGAATAGGTTTTAAATGCCTGTCTTACTATTATATTGAGGTGAATGTGTCACATAATCGACATTTTGTCAATCGAAATTAGTCACTAGATTGCTGTAAGTTTACTATATAGGCTAAAAATCACTTACGAGAGAATGGATTGATTGAAATCTGAAAGTGGAGCCAACTCTTTCGCGTCAACGAGTTTAAACTGAAATGTCTTAGACGCATCTACGAAGAAAAGCTAACTTACTTCATGAATGAATAGCAAAAAGTGTCTATAGTTGGTATTCAAATGAGCTATTCGTTTATTGTTAAATTCAGTATAATTTCGATGAACAACGCACCTTCAATTCCCAATGCAACCATAACTTCGAAATGCGAGTTATAAATATGAGCATAGACTCTAAACAAGCGACGGAAAATATCCTTAGAAATGCTTGAGAAGTTTCTAGGGAAGGCTTGTCCTAATTTCGACGGAAAGTATGCTTCATTATCGAGGATACTTTGTATCCAATTCATCAAATTATCTGTATACTCTGGAGCCGACAATCTCATTAAACGCTTTGGTGCACCTGGTTTAGCTCCAAGTCCGTAGCTAGGTTGAGCCCATTGATATTCGTACCTTGGACCAGCTGACATGATTGGGCACTATGAAGAGTCAACGTCAATCTATATTTTATTTAAATCATCTCACATTCTTGTTATTGCAGAAGTCATTGACACATCCGTAAAGCATGTTAAGATGATTAAAGAAGTCCACACAGTGTATAGCAACCCATTCATCTTGGTCTTCTCCCTGTGGTAGTTTTACGGCCTCTGCTAAGTTTCCGGATCCTAGTGTAGCTTCGGCGTATTTCTTGAGCTGATTCTCGTAAGTCGATAAGCCAATATAGGTGTCTTAGACATACCTGAAATTGCTTACTTCCTTCTACAGCTCTACGTGGCTTAAATGTCCGAGTTGGGTTCTTTATTGGCGATGCTCCACTCAGATACACGCTCATCGTCTTGTCAAAAGGAAAGTACGCGTGACGCGACGCGTAAAGAAAGGAAGAAAATAAATGATGAATATGCATTTTATTACGGAATACTTTATTGTTATTTTTTCACACTAATAAGGCTTTTTAGTTTCTGATTAGATATGCACCATCAATTGGTATTTAAAATACATGTAAATTACAAATTGAATAAATAATTCTATGAGGTATATTCCTTGCACTCATACAATAATCGTCGTATGCGGTGATAACGTTCCACTTTATTCCAACCTACCCATCCGGACGACTGCTTTCTAAATTTGACTCTCAACTGCTGCCAAACTTCTAATACTGTTTGCCTATTTTGAGTAATGGTCAAGAATGTTGTCAAAATCATTAGAATTTGATTAGGCGACGGTACTTGATTCCCTCTATTATCTTGTGGTACAACGTTGTCACCTTTTATGATACCAAATGATTCCTGTTGTATGAAATAATTATGAACTTTGTAAAGTAGATCTGTACGCTGTGAGATAGATCTCTGTGATGTATTCTTGCATGCTTGGTATAGAATGAGGTAAGCGTTTAAAGGAATGATGAGTTTGTTAAATCTATTGTCGTGCTTTTCTAATTGTGCTTGCTTTATTGCATTAGTTGTAAATTTACCAGTGAGCGAATTAACGTCCACTAAATCGCCTAACAACTTGAAACAAGTTGTTAAATCACCTAGATCGGCTGCTTTTTGCATTATTATTAGGTAAGCCGGTGAAAGTGGTCTATTTATTTTATGAAAACCACTATAATTGCTTAAACTGAAGATTGGATGTGTTGTATCTTTGGTTATAGCACTTGGGATATCAAAATACGCTCTCTGCCATTCATCTAGGATCGAGATAGAATTGTGTAAGCTATTACCATAGCTTGAAATCTCATCTAAGCAGAATAATTTTATAATTTTAAACCAAAGGTGCCTCTTCTGACCATCATCGAAATAGTCGTTGTTCATATATCGCAATAGCTTATTAATATATTGCAGTTTATCATGTGATTTAAATATGTGAATCCTTACAACCTTGAAATTGAATTCTAACTGATGAATTTTGATTGTATTGTAAAGTTGAAAATATAAACGATCATTGTTCGATTTGTAAGCGAATTCTAATAAGGCTAGAAGAGAATGCTTATCAGATTCCGACATCCTGTACAATCTCAGAGGTTCTTCCATGTTATATGGTTTAATATGTGAATATTGGTGTATCAAGTTTGCGATGTCTTTGTCATTCTTGTTGGTAAGTTGATTGAAGAGTAGGGTAGTCAAGTTCAAAGTCGCCCTACTAATTGGACGTATGTTACTAGTCAATTTGAGTAGTCTTCTCTTCTCTTGACTATTTAAAGAGCTGAGTTCTAGCTGCTGCAAGCTGTGTAGAGGCAAGTCGCAATGCTTAAAATTCTTAATTAAATTGTAGAAGTCCCTCTTATTAAGTAGTTCGCTGAGTTGGTGTAGATAAGGACTGCTGGACGGGCTATCTAGATAATAGTTAAATGAGTTAATATACTGACAAAAAGAAGGCTGCCTACAATTGATATTTTTGAAAATATTTCTGAGCATGGCATTTGCTTCTTGTTCCCGCTAATGGACGACTTAATAGAATTTGATACGAATAATTTAATTGATTTGCTGGATAAATTTTTATTAGACGAGCTATCAAAGGAGACGAATAATACGGCTACTAGGACTACACCAACGACGTCTGCTTGCATAGACAGCTTGAACAATCCATCCAGTTTGCAGCTATTTCAAGCGAAATCTATACCGACAATTTCAATAAAGAACTATTTATCTAGGATACTACGTTATTGCCCATCAACTAATCAAGTTTTTCTTTCCCTTCTGGTGTACTTCAATAGGATGAAATCCTTATCAAACGTCTTCACATTGAATAGTTACAATATACACAGATTAATCATCGCAGGCATAACAGTATCTTCTAAGTTTTTATCCGATATATTCTACACTAATTCTAGATATGCAAAAGTGAGTTTTAGCTTAGCTGATGTAGACACTCTAACACAAATTCAGGTTGGCGGTCTTCCTTTGTCTGAACTTAATCAGTTAGAACTACATTTTCTTTTACTCAATGACTTCAATTTATTCATCAACAAATCAGAAATCGACTTTTATTTTAAGTTATTACTAGAACACTGAATCATACCCCGTCTTGTATTATATATTGTCCATCTACATCCATCTGCTCATCTAGTTTGTTAATTTCTGTCATGTCCGCCTCTCGCAGTGTCACGTTCGTCGATTCTAGATTTTCCCTTTGTCTTGCGTCATCGGATGATTTTGGTAATGGTACAATTCCTCTCCCAATCAACCAGCTAAGCATCAGCTGAGGAACACTGCAGTTGTACTTTTTGGCAATCTCAATTAGCGCCCTATTATTAAAAAATTGCTTTCTTCCAAGTGGGCAATAACCTTCAACGATTATACCCTTTTCTTGACAATATCTTACTACCTTGTCATTTGAATGCATAGTATGTACCTCGACTTGATTAACAACTGGACCATATTTAGGCTTGCTCGCTAATAACTCTTCTATATGACCAGCGCCGTAGTTTGAAACTCCCAATGAACGGATCTTTCCTTCGTCTACTAATGAGGAAAGCTCTTCGTAAGCATTCAAACGTGTATTTTTACCGCCACTAGGGGAATGTATCAAGACTAATGACAATATCATCAGAAAAGTAAATCAGAACAATATAATAGCTCACCCAAATCCCAATACTCGAGTTGAGCTTCATTCAATGCTCTTAAAATACTCTGACGTGCATTGTGCACCGCACCTGTCCAAGGGTCCACTTTACTGGTTAAGAACAACTCCGAGCGAGGCACACCAGATTTCTTAACACCCAATCCAAATTCCCTGTGGTTGTGATAATAACAGGCTGTATCTAAACAGCGATATCCACTCTTTATGGCTGTGCTAATGGCATCTGGATCTTTTAATAAATAAGTTCCGAGCCCAATGATCGGATGCTGATAACCATCTAACATTTGTAAAGTTTTTGACATGATATCGTTTAATATGGAAGATATAGTGGCGACCTGTCTCTTTAATGAGCTTTGGATTCTGACGTAAATTACTGACGTAATATGTACTTGCTTATACGGATTTCAGTTCACAAATCTCTTTTCCATAAAATTACACCGTGCGGATTTGATAAAGTCATTGTATTCCCACATTTCTTCTAATATGTATACCACAAGTCATTCATTATTGGTCTATCCTATGACGTAGTGGACATATCGATGATCATCTCTCATACATAGTAGCTATAACTGTTCCTGCTTGTATATTTTTGGATATGTTAATCAGTCGAACGTGTATACGCTTTCTTCTGCCTTAACTTTCTACCTTTCAGATCTTCCTTTGCCATATTATGCCATCGTCTAAAATGATTGAGACTAGTATGTATAACATCTAATATTTCTTTGTAGTTTTTTTTTACTTTCTTGTTTGTTTATCTATAATGTTCATACATTATTTATTTGTTGTATCCATATTTCTATGTTTGTAGTATCATACATATATACCTAGTTCATGTGTTCGACAAGTATAGATATAATGACCATTGAATGACATATGAAGAGAGAGCCTAAAGACTACTTTGTTATTTATAGAGATATCCACAAACTAGAGTTGCACTGCTGTCAGGATCGCTAGGACAGCTATTTTCGAATTTATCATATCGTTCTCATTACCAGTATTTAGACATAATTGTCAATATCTTGAGCTACGAAAGCATATTATGTCTTCAACTAACTGATGTATATTGTCCGATGTTATAGGGAAGATGCTTGTATATAATACGTAAATGTATGCATTTGGATCTCTATGTTATGTTTATGGTGTAACTGTACTTAATACTATCTCTAACCATCAATACCATAAACTCTTCATTGCAATTTTTACAATAATATTACAAAAAGCGGCGGCGGTAAAATACTGACTAACTATCAAGCAAGCCTAACGTATCCTGTGTCGATGCATACAGTTTTGAGTAACTATACCATCTAAGTCTACCAGTGACATTGACTACATGACGATGATCTGCTCCATACCCATTCTTTTGAAGTGCCCCTCAAATGTACTAGTAAAGCTTATACCAATTATTGTAGCACCTAGGGCATATTTCTGGTGTTCAAATAATTTCCCAAGATCATGAGTGCTCCATCCACAACTTAAGTCGTACCGAAGGTGAATTACCATAGAAAGTAAAACGCGAAGATGTGTGTATATTAAAAAAGGTCTTACGGTCTTTTTTATTCAAAGTCTAGAAATGCCCTGGGTAATTGATTTTTTTCCTGGAAGCATTCTTTGACAAATGTCATTATATGATTTGACCATCTCATCTCTGTTCCCTCGAGTGCTCTAGATACAACAGGCTTTGGCGAGTGGATGCTCAGATGAAGTTTAAAAAAACCGTAGAGCTTTCCCAAAAATTTATGCCTTCTACCGTAGAGGACCTGATACGAACTGGATATTGAACATAGCTATTTTATCCTCATTATGATTTCGCAACTATCCTTCTGCAAGCCAAGACGCGTGCATATGATGCTTTTAGCTGTCAAAAAACTTGTCCTTGAATGTTTTGATCAAATTAAGAGCTGGCTCTACATCTTTATAGTAAAAAAGTGTCATATCCGTAGCTGAGTGATAATACGCCTTGCAACTCTGAGAAGTTATCTAATATCACTGGACATGTTCACATATTTTAGCATCTATGTATGTATTATGGAAGCGTCAGGATAGATGATTGAGAGGTTTGTGGTTTTAATTTACAAATGAGTCGTATAGTGTTGGCACGTAATGGGTCGCAAAGTCCAGAATAAGGTTCTAAGCGCATATTAAATTATGGCAGAGTAAATAACCTGATGATGAATGATGATGAAATCTAAATATATTGTTAAGACGATACAAAGTTAAACTGCGTCCATCAATACTTCTTAGAGCATGAGGATTTGAATGGCATGTTGAATTGGTAGGAAGCGTTTCTTGACTAGTGTCGTAAAATGTCTTGATGATTTGCGTGTCCGGGAATTTTCTCGGTTACGCCGAACCACCGGAGTATCTTGGGTACGTAGTCAATTGTGGTTTGAAAAACTCGTAAAGGGCTTGAAGAGCTTGTGCGTTCCTGAGCATTGGACCTAATTCGAACCGAACGTTGATCTTGGTTATCTTTCTTCGCAAGGTGATTCTTGCCATTATGTGTCTTCTACATATAAATACTCTGTGCGAGATGCTATCATCTATGCCGCACGTCCTACATTTAGGTGAGTCGATTAGTTTGAATCGGTATCGGTATGACTTAGTCGTAG